ATATGAGAACTTTGAGCTGGAGGTTACGGGCGCAGTGTCCACAGCCGCGTTGACAGGCCAGTGGAAAGTCACGCAATGGTTTCTGGAGAATGCTTCGCCAGAAGACCTGGCTGATGCTCCCGAGTATCCCAGAGTATTCTCCGACTATCCAACAGAGGTGGGCAACCTGGAGATGCTCAAATTTGTTTCCGGTCGAGGGTTAGTACGAGATCCCGTAAAAGTTCTGGAGGTGGCAGCTGAGCATGGCCAATTACATATAGTAACGTGGCCTCTGGAAGAGAACGAGATCCCACTAGTTAGTGGGGCATTCCAGCGAGCTGCGAACAAGGGCCACCTGGACGTGATCAAGTATTTGCACGAGAAGAGGCCAGACGGCTGCAGGGAATCGGATTTGGACCCTGCTGCCCGCTCAGGATTCATGCAAGTCGTCCAGTGGTTGCACGAAATACTCATCGCTGCACCGTGTACGCCATGGATTGGGCTGCTGGCAACGGGCACCTTGAGATAACGCAGTGGCTCCATGCCAACTATACGGAAGGGTGGACCTCGTCAGCCATGGCTATGGCAGCTAAAAACGGTCACCTGGAGTTGGTCAAGTGGCTTCATGATAATCGGCCGGAGGGTTGCAAGAGAAGTACACTACAATATTGTGCCGCTGGTGGCCACCTAGACATTGCGAAGTGGCTGTACGCCAACCGGAGCGAAGCTTTCACCTTTTCTTCTTCCGAATATAGCAGAGGTATGGACGATGCTGCTGCACTCGACCACTTGGATGTTGTGCAGTGGTTGCACGAAAACTGCGACGAAGGATGGACTACAACAGCCATGGATAATGCAGCTGAAAATGGCCACCTTGATGTCGTCAAGTGGCTGCATGAGCACCGTCGAGAGGGGTGCACAACCTATGCGATGAATGCCGCAGCTTCGGAGGGGCACTTGGAGGTAGTGAAATGGTTGCACTCCAACCGAGATGAGGGCTGCACTATGGGTGCAGTGGATTGGGCAGCTGAAAACGGTGAATGGGAGGTGGTCAAGTGGCTGTGCCAGTTCCGCACGGAGGGGTGTACGTGGCGCGCGATCAGAGATGCGCTCGAGCTCGGTAACTTAGAGATAGCCGAGCTGCTTTTCAAAACGTTTCCAAACTGTCGGGATTTTCGACTGACGTCACGGTTCCCTGTTGAACGAGCCGAGATAGTCGAGTGGCTGGATAAACGAGCACCAGATTTGCTGACCCGGAGTACTCTTCAGGTCAATGATTGGAATTGGTACTTTTGCGACTATCTTCGGCTGCGTCAGTGGCGTGTAGTCGATCGTCAGGACTCTTAAGTTGAGCTGCGAAAGCAGGGCGCTAGTGGCTGAAGGGACTATAGTCTCATGTTGCGACGTCATTCTTTACGACTAATGCACGCATGCTTTCTGATCCTCTTCACACTGAAGACGAAAAAAAAACACAAAACCCAGATAGGCGTCGCACAGGACGTTAATTGCATTTGATGCGTCTAGAGTCGACTTTAGCTATCTATACCTTGAGACCGGGGTTTACTGATCTGCAGCGCTTTTTAAATTGTTCTTGTCGTCGCGTTCTGAAAACGCCTTGCAGCTAAAAAACGGCAGCACTTTAACCGTGTGAAAGGAAGCTAGTACTTCAAACCAAGTATATAGAACACAAACACATACGGATCAGAAGCAGAGCTGAGGATCCAACCATTATCGATTGATGTGTCGTACTGACACACTAGTTCGCTACTAAGTATGCATCTTCCCCTCGTAACTGGAAACGCGCCACTTCGCTTCTTGCTCACGATCTCAGGAATACGTGCCACTAATAAATAAAACCAAAGGAACTCCACGGAAAAATCATTATTCGAGCCAACACATTCCTGACGAGGAAGCCGCTCGCAGGGCTCGCCGTTCATGCTTGGTAAGTCATGTAAGCATACCCGGTAAGCTTCATCGATGAGACAAATACCGTACGCACGCTGGCCATGAATTGCTCCATAACAAACATCCGCAGTGTTTTGGATATTGAAATGGGTGTTCACGGTGTGTACTGCACCAAAACAAGATGTGTGCGCGAACAAAGTCCTGTATATAGCTGCAAATGGGCCAAGTACGCTTCCCAGCAACCGTGGTCGGCCATTGCACAACTTGCCCAATGCATCAGGAATATTTGGCGACACGACTCCTCAACATAATATCGTTGCGATACCCGATAATGTTCCCTTATCTTGAGTCATTAAAAAGTAACTTGGCATGAGCAGTAGTGGTCCTGGCCAGAGCTGAGTCGGCCACTCTACTCGAGATTTGGCATTTACTATTCATGAAGCGTGTGAAATATCACAATCAGAAATTAAGGTAGTATTGGCTAGAGACCTGCATCGTACGGTAAGAAAAAAAACGACTGGCATCTTGTCGTGCAAATACTTCAATCCCGGCCTCTACCCTATTGGCCTCTGCTGTGGCGGTTATCCCAGATACTTTTCAGGAAGTGCAAGTGGGACCTGGATGCGGCCCGAGTGACGACTTCGGTGAAAAATGGTACGGTAAAATGGCCCCCACCGGCCCATTTCAGCATTCTCAAGCCCCCTTCTTGGTCTGTCACGACATTAACATCACACCGTCGGAGGAAAAATGCCCTTTGACTTGGATTCTGAGCAGCTTTGCACTGGAGCAAGCACAAACTTCCATCCGAAAGCTCGTACGTAGAATCCTTGACAACCAGAGGAAGTCAAAACCCGTATTCAAACACCACAGCAACGTATTGTGTAACACCTTAGCTGCAAATGGGCAAAAAATACGCTTCCTAGCTACAGCGGCCGGCCATTACACAGCAATGCACCAGAAATATCCGGCAACACGCATCTCGAACATCACAGAATGGAGGCATCGTTATCCGCCACACCCTTCTCCTTTCCACTCTTGAAGATTGCAACTCGGCATGAGAAGGAGTGGCTCTTGCCGGTGGAGTAGCAAGAATCGAGCTCAACTCCTTGCTTGTAATTCGGCATAAGCCATCATGACGCGAGCGGAAGATGACAATCAGAAAAAAGATATTACACTGTCAGCTTCGCGAGATTTAATGCGGTAAGAAAGCAATATGAGACAGGGAAATCCCATTATCTCCTAAGTTACTTACTTACGCTACAAAATTCTCGGCGAAGGGAAAAAGCTGGAGCCGTCCCCCGGAATGAGCCGGCAGGTTACGACGATGGACACAAGTGAGTGGCACATCTTCCCAGTCTTCACTGCCGCGGGTCTCGTGTGTCGCGAACGTCTTCACCTGGATGGAGATGACAGCGTCCTCCGAGTGATTGATTCCTTTCTGGATGAACTCTCCGACACGCTAACGTTGACCACTGTGTACGAAATGTCGGGTGGCAGTCTGCGTCTACTTCAGTACCTGGCGGCCCATGAATCCAAGACGAAGATCTCTGTTCTTCGGCGGTGGGACGGAGATAATTTGGCAGGTAAAGCAGCGGCGCGTGGAGATATGAGAACGTTAAAATGGGTCGCTGAGAGCTACTTGCCCGGAGAATTTCTCACGGAAGTCGTCACTGCAGCTGCAGCTAATGGCCACTTGCACATCTTGAAATGGATGTCGGAGAACTATCGCAGTCGAGGCTACTGGCGAGACTGTGAGCTGGCTCGAGCCATCTGCAAGCATCACTACGACGTAGCGGACTGGTTACGAGAAAAGGTTGTGCTTGGACCTCAAAGTGCCCAGTATTTGATGTATCGTGCGGCATACTACGGGAACCTGAGGATCGTGAAGTGAGTATACGAGAACTTTGAGGTGGACGTCGAGAATGCTTTTTATACGGCGACGATTGGGCACCAGTGACATGTAGCTCGGTGGCTTTTGGAGAATTTCTCGCAGGAAGCCCTGGTTGGTGGTGTTCAGATTGGTTATGTATACTCGCATCGCGCAGACTTAGGCGATTTGGAGACGCTCAAGTTTTTTTCTTGTCGAGCGTTATTGCAAGAACCCGTACATGCTCTGGAGCTGGCAGCGGAGCATGGCCATTTGGACGTCGTCAAGTGGTTTCTTGAAGAGGAAAAGCTTGACGAAATCGGTCGCGCTTTTCGGTGAGCTGCGTACAAAGACCACCTGGACGTGCTGAAGTATTTGCACGAGAAGATGTCAGACGCGTGAGGGACTCGCACTTGGGTCGTGTTGCCCACACAGGAAGCATGAAAGTTCTTCAGTAGCTTCACGAGAATACCCAGGCGCAGGGCTCGGTCGTTGCCGTGGAAAGGGCTGCTGAGTGTGGACGTCTCGACGTAGTGAAATGGCTCCATGCGAATCGCACAGAGGGGACTACACCGCTCGCCATGTACAATGCTGCTGTCTGCGGTCACCTGGATACGGTCAAGTGGCTTCACGAAAACCGACAGGAAGATTGCCGGCCTGACACGATGCCAGTCAAGTGGCTGTATGCTAATATACATCAAGATTTCGACCACGATGGAACCATGGACGCGGCTGCTGCCCGTGGTCACCTGGATGTGGTAGAGTGGTTTCACGGCAACCGCGACGAAGGCTGTACTACAAAAGCCATGGACAGAGCGGCCGGGAACGGGCATCTGGAAGTGGTGGAGTGGCTGCACGAACACCGTCAGGAAGGGTGCACTGCTCATGCAATGGACGCTGCAGCTACAAACGGGCACTTGGAAGTGGTGAAATGGCTACATGCCAATCGAGATGAGGGCTGCACTACGAGAGCAATGGATGGAGCAGCTTTGAGAAATAATCTCAAGATGGTCAAGTGGCTGTGCCAGAATCGCACCGAGGGATGTACTAGCGAGGCGATCGAAACTACGCTGCGATTCCAGCTGAGATCGCACTGTCTGGAAATCGTAGAGCTGCTATTCACAAAACTCCCAATTTGCCGAAGTATCACGCTGGAGTCGCCCTTCAAAGTATTTCGACTCGAGATAGTGGAGTGGTTGTTGGAGCGCGCTCCAAATGCGCTTAATGGGTGCACTCTTAGCGTCAGTACCTGTGATATGTACCTTTGGGACTACCTTCGGCTGCATCAGTGGCAGGTAGTCAGTCGTAGTTGGAACTACTTTTTTGCTACGAAGGCAGAGCACTAGCGGCTGCAGGGGCTATGGTCTCGTTTCTCGTGGAGGCGTCATTTTTTTCACATACCTGTTTTCTGCTTGAAATGTTTTTTTTCGCTGGTAGCATATCATTCGTAATTACCACCACTGGGGTCCGGACCGGGACCGGTCAGCACTGGTGGCTTTCGATCAAATCATTGTAGTTATCTCACGTTTTGGGGGTGAAATAACTGTTTATTTGACGAGGGGTCTTCTAGATGCTGGTTGGGCAAAATTACGTCTAATTTTGCGGCTAGGGGCCAAGCCGCTAGACGCGCACCAAGCCAGCACGGAAAGAAGAGACTCGAGTGCAGGGGACAGCTTGGAACAATGGGCAGCACGGAGGCAGAGACTCGAATGCAGGTCGCCCTGAAGGAGTCTGTCCAGCGGACCTACGAGAAGGCCACTACCCTTCGACCGAAGAACACGCAGAGAGCATACAGCAGTCGGCAGCAGGAGTTCTTAGACTGGTGCTCGGAAAAAGGAGTAGCATTGAACAACCAGACCCGGCTTACAGTTACTGGTGAGAAGCTCCATCTCTTCCTACAAGAGCGTGTAATTGGCCGGACCAAGCGCCACAAGAGTGGAAATACACCCAGCGACAGAATTGAAACCGTCGGACGTTCTACTGTGAACTCCTACGTTGCTGCGATGGTTGACCTATGGAAGCAGCAATCTTGGGCTAAAGTGAACAGCAATCCCTCCCCCAGAGACGAAGCTGTGACGACCCTATTGAAGTTGACAGAGTACGAAGAAGACGAGAGGAAGCGGAAAAGTTTTGAGGACCGTGGAGCTGATATACTACTGGATGGTTATACGACAATCGATCAAGTTAAGGAGATAGCTCGGTATTTCTGGACATCGACACGCAATTCAGGCAAAAACTTGCGGCATTTGGTTGCTTTTCTACTGAGCCACTACGCCCTTATGAGAGGAGAGTCGGCGCGAATGATGGAATTGGCAGACTTACACTCGATTGTTCTCGAAAACGAGGGCTACATGCCATGCAGGGCTCTGGTTATGGTGATGCGACAGGGTAAAACCAACCAAGTGGGGCGCATTGAAGTCGGCGCTTGCATGCGCAATAAGCATGTCGAGATCTGCCCCCATGGAATTCTTGGATTGTACTTGTTTTGGCGTTGGCATGTGGATGGCGAGGCATTTCCCAACTTTACGTCTTCAGAGAGCTGGTATCCGATAAAGCTCTTGAAAACAGGTAAACACCCCACGAAGCCAATGTCGTACAAAGTTCACAATGCAGCTATCACAGCGGCGTTGAAACATGTCGGCGTCCACAGCAAAGCGAAAACTCACGTTGGTCGCGGATCCGGATCGCGTATGGCGGACTTAGGAGGCGCAAGTGAGTCCCAGATTCGTCGTTTGGGTCGATGGAACGGCCAATCAATGGAGAAATGTTACCTCACATCTCTTCCGAGGCAGGCGATGCGCACACTTGCCGGTTTTGAACCGAGTATTGAGAGCTTTTTTGTTGCCCGAGCTTATGTTGATCCCCCGCTAGGATTGCAGAGTATGGTATTTCCGCAGGTGGAGGTTTGGCAACAGGCCAGTGCTTCAGGAACAGCGGAACAATCGCTTGCGGCCGGAGGTTTTCTCGAGTTGCTCCAATATCTCCGTAAGGTCGTCCTCCAGGATGCTGTATTTTTTGCAGAAATCCGCACCAACGCACCCAATTTGGCAGCACCGCATATTTCAATCCCGGGAGTTCACGGAATTTAAAAGTGAGGTTATGCAAGCTGTTGAAGCAATGGAAGATCCAACTGAACAGCGTCTTCAGAAAGCTGTACCGGTGTTAAACGCCAAAATCGACGGGCTACACCAGGATTTCAAGAGTTCTTTAGCTCAAGTCTGCTCGACCATGCGAACGGTTCAAGGTAGCCTCAGTGACGTAATGCGCGTGTTTGGCACCTCTGCAAGGCGGCACTGCTGTTGTACAAGTTCAGCTTCTATCTGGTGGGCGCGAAGGCGACGGCGATACCGCTCATGTAGTGCCGTCAGCTTTGCCGATAGCTATTGACGTGCAAAGTGATCGGACAAAGTATAAACTTCGGTGGGGGTTGGCTACTGAGCTGTCCGAGATCTTGAGGATCTGTTTGGCACAAAGTGGTGTAGTGCGGACGAACGACGGTTCATCAATAGAGGGCGGTCAATTTACAGCTTAGTCGCTGCGGTTGCAGATGATATTCTCACGTCGGCTCGGGTGTCTGACGTCGATGCAACTAATCTAGCCGTGCAAGTATTGGAGGAGTACCGGCGTACCCATAACATATCTCTGAACTGGATAGCGAAACATGCGGGCGAGATCAAAGATGCTGTCCAAGCTATTGCTGTATCTCACTGCTCCGTTTCCACGACTACTATCTCCGATCCCAGTCCCAACGATTGTGACCACGCCCCGCGATGCCAACCGTATCTTGCAATATTTCAGAACTCGTCAATAGTCGGACGTATGTGTTCACCGTAGTCCTACGGATGACGCGCCAGGAATCACAGTTTGAACAGTGAAGCAACGCTAAATCTAGTTGAATACATATAGGATGAAGTACTACAAGTCGCACTTGAGAATATCGCCAAGCAGTCGAGTATCAACCACAGAAAAACATGACGAACGCACCTCCTTTCTATTAACCCGTGGGTATTGTTTGAACCGCAGTGATCCTACGCGGTACCGCAATGCATGCGGTACAGCAGTATTACAGTGCGGTACCGCAGTGATGTATTGCGGTAGGTACCGCAGTGTTGTATTGCGGTAGGTACCGCAGTGATGTTTTGCGGTACTACATATTCCGATACTTGCTGCATTGAGCCATAACGTCAATAACCGGAACCGTGTTAAAAAGAAGTTAATTGTGTTTCTACTCACCGGGTGCAACAATTAATCAAGCTGGAGATATAGTCCTATACAACTTAGCTCGGTATGCTGCTGCCTTCTTGACGCCGAAATCACCCCCTGTCCACGCGGCGATCTTCTCCTCGATCGATCCAGGCTTCTCGGCTGCAATGTGTTTTGAAATCACATCCATGTAATGGAGCACGTAAACTCCACAGTCGATGCAATTTGATTGCTGGGGCTTGGTCAAATGGACAAAGGTGCTCCACTCAAACGGAGCCGAAGATTCTGCTTGGGATTTATGGGTCTCTGATAGGACCCATTGCAGAACGTCAAAAGCATAAGCCGAGCTGTGAGCATTTTTCATCGAGTTGACGTGATAAACTTTTGTTGGCCCCGGGTGCATGGGGTTCTCAATTACCAAAAAGCTGTAGTGATTGCGACCCGATACTGGGAGAAGCATATACTGGTAGGCCGACCAGTCAAACAATGCGACTAGGTCAGCCAACAGTCGGCGTTTTCGTTTCGGCTTTCGCGTGAATCATGCAGTCTCCATCAATACGTACAACTCCGAGTCACATAGGCGAATTAATCCTTTAACTCGCTCCATATAGCGACAGATAAGATAATCCAGCGCAGTTTGGGTCAACCAAGCACCAGTCTGCAAGCTATCCAAATCCACAGGGTAAACGTGCACTGTTCGGGGGTGATCGTCATCTTCGAGATCGGTCCACACTATCAGAGGATCATTTTTTGACACGCGCTTTCTGGAAAACCGATTCGGGGGGGGTCAACATCGTCATCATTCACGTCACTTTCCTCCGTATTGCTTGGCTCATACACGCTATCTTCATCATCTGCGGCATTACCAGCCGGTTGCTCTTTTCCGCTGGTTGCGTGTGGCTTTGAATTTGTCGTGGCGGATCGCTGCTTTCCTTCGAGCAACCGGGGGCGTTTGCGAGAGGTAATAGTGGTAGGTTTTGTTTGAGCCGAGGGTGATATCTGAGCATCGTTGCTGCTATTAGCCGCGCCCTCAGCAACCGATCCATTGAGTCTCTCCACAGACGCCCCTGCCTGACACACCGTAGTTGATGTAGCCGATGCATCACTTGACACAGCAGGCGAGCCTGGACTAGCTTGCAAAGTTCGCACCGAGGGTACTTTTCCTAGCCAATATAACTCCTGAAAGTTATTGGTGGTGCTGGTCGTGTAGTTTTCCCTGCCCTCGTGCATGGCCTTGAAGTCTAGGTTAACTTGAATGGTATCACGCACGTAGTTGCTCAGTGCTGAGTTAGCGGCAGCTGCGCTAGTCTGCGTTTCATGAAGCGCGCCATCCGCCTCTTCATCAGAGTGCATAGTCAGTTGTGTTCGTGCAGCTTGCATATACGCTGTCACGTCACGGATGACTCCCACAACACGAGCTCTTGAATCGGGGGATAAACTTGCTGCAATTTGGGCGCCCATACATTCTACTACTGCCACCGAACGTGACACAACTCGGCTAACGTCGTTCGCTCGGACTGCGTGCGCAAGCGCTGTCACTTCGGCCACGAACGCAGCCCGCAGCAGCTCGTCCTGGTAGCTCTTAAATTCATCAACTTGTTCTCGACACTGAGTGTCGACGGGTGTGCGTGTCGTAGCTGGTGCTACCGGAGCCTCTTCCTGCAGTACCACAGGCGTAGCGATGTCGGCTCGCACCATTCGAGGATAGCGCCGGCGATCCTGCCGGCCATCCGCGAAGCCCAGCGGGTTGTCGTCCAGCGAAAAGGTAGCGTCAGGGTTCTTCTATATGTAGTCCTGCCGAAACTCTGCTGTCTCCCCCTCCCAGCGCTTCTTCAGAGCCCTTCCAGCCAGCGTTCGCAGCCAATTCTCTGCCGTCTTGTTGGCACCTGGCTCCGCTTGAGAGGCTTGTTCTTGCGCGAAGCGTGCAGTGCTGTCCGAGATGTCGGTGCCTTTGTCGCCTGCGTAGGCCGAGAAGCCTCTGTGGCAGCGCATGTTGTTTCTTGAGCGACGAGGGAGGTTGAGGGAGACTTCTGAGGCAATGAGCTGTGAAAGGACTTGCGCGTGCTACTGACCTATTATTGGCTAAAAAGGGGCAATGACTGTTATTTGCCTGGGTCTTCGACTGGATACTTATCGACAAGAGACCGGAACCCGGGCTCACTCTGCGGAAGGGTAGATAACCCATCATTATTGCCGTTTGACTCTTTTGAGTTCATTGTCTGTTCGGTTCTTGGGTATTCGTTAAAGTGAAAGATTTATATATTAAAGCCGAGACTGTGTGAAAAGCGCTTGCATGTACGTAAAGTGGTGCCCTAAGTGACGTAGTTGGGTCGCTTCACAGTAAATTTCTCCCAGCTTGTAGCGTGACGCTACTAGCGTCAAGATATCATGATGTGACTCCACTAACTCGCGCCATATGGCCAAAAATGGGCTTTCAGGAATAGGTTCTCTGCGACGCGTATCTGGGCTTCGCGATATTTTTTCTCCTTCAATGCGAAGATCCCGAAGCAATGAACCCAAGTCGAACAATGATAAGAGAAAGCAGCCGAGTATTAGTTTAAAACAAATGACGCCGCACTGAGACCATGGTCCCTTCGGTCGCTAGAAGCCTGTTTTCGCAGCGTCAACGTAGAGTAGTTACGGTCGACTACCCGCCACTGACGCAGCCGAAGATAGTCGCGAAGGTACCAATTCCAGGTATTGATGACAAGAGTACTCCCAGTCAGCATACTTGGAGCACGTTCAACCAGCCACTCGATAATCTCTACTCGTTCGAGATGAATCGGGGACTCCAGTTCAAAATCCCGACAATTTGGAAACTTGGTGAAAAGCAGCTCGGCTATCTCTAAGCCGTGTATATGTGGGAATTGGAGAGCCGCTTCGATCGCGTCAGTCGTACATCCCTCCGTGCGGAACTGGCACAGCCACTTGATCACCTCCCAAGCACCGCTTTCAGATGTGCATCCGTAGTGCAGCCCTCCTCTCGACTGGCATGCAGCCATTTTACCACCTCCAAGTGTCCATTCGTAGCTGCAGCATCCATCGCATAGGTTGTACACCCTTCTTGGCGGTGCTCATGCAGCCACTTCACGACATCCAGGTGACCATTTTCAGCAGCGTTATCCATGGCGGCTGTGGTCCATCCATCATCGAAATTGTCGTGCAACCACTGCACAACATCTAAGTGACCGTGTGCAGTAGCATCTTCCATAGTTCTTCGAAGGTTGAAGGCTTCACTCCGGTTAGCATACAACCACTTGACCATGTCTAGCTTGCCACAAGCCGCACAGGTTTGTATTGTATCTCGCAGGCAACACTCCAGCCGATTAGCGTGGAGCCACTGCACCACATCAAGATGGCCGCGTCCTGCTGCCAGGTGCATGGCTAACGGGGTACACCCTTCCGTGTAGTTGGCATGGAGCCACTGCACCATTTCAAGATGTCCATTGCCAGCAGCTCCAATCATGGCGTACACGGTGCAGCGAGCTTGAGTGTTTTCGTGAAGCCACTGAACGAGTTCCATGAATCCTGCGGGGGCAGCAGGCATTTTTGCAAGTAAATACTTGAGCACGTCCAGATGGCCCCCGTTCGCAGCTCGCTGGAATGCGTCGCCAATCTCATCAATCATTTTCTCTTCGAGGGGCCACTTTACAACGTCCAAATGGCCATGTTCAGCTGCCACCTCCACAACTTTTACCGGTTCAAGTACTAGCCCTCGGCCGAAGAGAAACTTAAGCATCGCCAGGTTGTCCACCTCTGCTGGACTCAAGTAGACCCTAGGGCCCCAACCAGGTCTTCGCGTGAAACATTCTCTAGAAACCATCACTCTACTTCCCACTGGCTTGCAACGCCGTTGTAGTAATTGCGCCCCCAACCTCCAGCTGAAAATTCTCACAGAACCACTGCACGATCCCCAAGTTCCCAGTCACCGTCGCAGGGAATATCAAGTATTGGGCAGACTCGTTTCGAAGCGCAACATTTTCTCGTAGCCAGTCCACTACGTCCTGGTGGCGATTTCGAATGGCTCCAGCAAGCTCAACTCCCCCCCCCCCCCCCAGCAGCCTCGCCTTCGGTGGGTTCCCCACAGCCACTGCAAAATGTGCAAGTAGCCGTTGGTTGCAGCTGCAGTGACGACATCTGTGAGGACTTCTCCAGGTAAATAGCACTCAGCGACCCATTTTAAGGTTTCCAAATCTCCACGTGCTGCTGCTTGGCCTGCTGCGTTGTTGCCGTGCCACCGCTGAAGAAAAGCGCCCTTCGCCTTGGATTCATGGGTGGTCAGGTACTGAAGTAGACGCAGACTACCGTCCGATATCTTGTACGCAGAGGTTAACGTTAACGATAGCAGACAGGTCTCTAGCAGAGCGCAGGCTGGATCCTGCTGCGTAGGTGGCCTTGCAGACGAACACCAAACGAGTATCTCGCGTCACTTAGCTCAACAGGAACCAAAACCAGAATGCTTTCATTGTTCTCTTTCTCCTACCGCATACTCCCACATGCAACGTGTCGTACACGAGGAGGGAAAGCTGTCGGACATGCACTACAGCAACTTCAACAGTAAAAAAACCCTTTGGTCTGTCGCGTCCCAGCTATCGGCGCGCAGATCTTCTTGCCTCGCGTCCGACCTGGCTCCAGCATGAGTGAACCTCGCAGCATTCATCAACTCGCAATGTAGCCATCGGGGTCAGCCGATTCCTGCTACTCCCGCCTCACTCATTGCTGGACCGGGATTGAAGACTAAGCATGGCTACCGACTGTTGCATCTACGAGCTGAGAAGATGGTGGAGTCCCGCGACGTCAAGTTCCGCGAGGACGTGACGGTCGAGCGCACGTATATCAACGCGCTGCTTAAGGGAAGGCAACACTATTATCCACAAATTCCGTTTATTCCGCTGCCTGTGGAGTATGTTGCAGAGCAATCAGTACGTGTCAAGGCTGGTGATTTGGTGCGTCGGGCGGCCAATGAAGTGGCAAGTGGAGACCACGTGCAACATGGGCATTCGGATATTGCAGAGCTGCCAGCGCGTACTGCGAACGTTGATGCTTCGGTGGGAGAAGAGCATGCGCATGAGTCGCATCCTGCTGAGTAGCAAGAGCCCCAAGCTGACGTTGCAGATTCGGTGGGAGAAGCGCATGCATCCCAAGCCGGTGGCAGTGATTCGGTTGGAGCTGAAGACACGGAAGGCAATGAGTCAGAAGAGGATAAAGCCTACGTGAGTCCGATGCCGACTGCCGATGATCTTAGACCGTGGAGTGAGAGGCACAAAGAGGCACGACCTCATGCAGCAAGTCAGCCACGACACAGCTCTAAGAGACAGCGCGGTTTGCGACGATCGCAACGTAAGCGGCAAGCCAATGTACGCCTATTTGACTACTTTATGGCTGCATTTGAGGCGCTCGAATACTGTGCAGGCAATCCGACTTCCGTTGAAGACGCGTTGAACTCTCCGATGCGTGACAAATGGTGGCAAGCTATGCAATTGGCGATGGATGCGCACAAATTGAACGGCACCTGGAGACTGGTTGAGAGGCCAAAGCAACCGTGCAATATACTGAAGTCCACATGGGTGGTGAGACCGAAGCTCAACGAAAGAGGAAAAGTGGATCGGCTTAAGGCTCGATTGGCTGTGAGAGGCTGTGGACAAAGTATGGTGTCGATTACATGGAGACATACTCTCCAGTGGTGCGAATTGAGACAGTGCGGCTCCTGCTCATTCTGGCATTTCTGCAGGATCTGGACTGTTACCACGCAGACTTCATTACGGCATTCTTGAATGGAGTGCTGCGTGGCGTTAAAATATTCATGGAGCGGCCAGACTACTTCCACGATGGCACGGATCGAGTGTGTGAGCTCCTAAAAGGACTGTACGGCCTGAAACAAGCGTCCAGGCTCTGGTATCAAACGCTGCATGAGGTTTTACTGGAGATTGGCTTCACGCAGTGTGACTTTGATGTGGGTTTGTACCAGAGATGGAAGGACGGACGCGTGGTGTACCTGACAGTGTACGTTGATGACTTGCTGATCGCCGGCAAGACGGAGGACATCGAGGAAGTAATTGAGGAGTTGAGTGGCAAGTTCGCGCTCAAGAATCTGGGTAGAGTTAAGCACATCCTTTCCATGGAAGTGAACTATATTCCTGGTAAAGTGTTGTGTATTTCCCAGACGGCCTACATTGATCGGGTACTGGAGCGCTTTGGCATGAGTGATGCGCATCCAGTGGGTTCGCCGTTGATGCAGAATGAGCAGTTACCTCCCGTGGAGACGGACGAGAGTAAGATTAACGATCCGAACATCCCGTTCCGAGAATTGGTGGGAGCATTGCATTATCTGGTGGGTTGCACACGGTCTGACTTGGCCAATGCAGTGCGGAGTCTCTCAAAGTACAGCAGCACATACACCAAGGAGAACTACATTTGCGCAAAGCGAATTTTGCGTTACCTTCGTGGTACATGGACGTATGGCTTGGTGCACCGGAAAGGAAGTGAAGTTCTACCACTGCAGATCGATGCATTTTGCGAAGCTGACCACGCTAATTGTCCGGATACGAGTCGGTCAGTTACTGGCTATCTACTGCGATTAAACGGGTATCCATTCCTGTTCAAGAGTAAACAGCAGGACAAGGTGACCACTGCCACATGCGGTTCCGAGCTTTTAGCTGCAAGCATGTGTGTTGAGGACTTGATCTGGGCACGGAAGTTGATGAAAGAAATTTACGGTCAAGCTCTGCCGTGCTCTACGCTTTATATGGATAACCAAAGCACTATCAAGGTGGTCTCGGAGCCTGGTAACTACAAGAAGATGAAGCGATTCGCGAAGAAGAGTCGTCAAATCGCCGAGTTCGTGGAGAGCGGCAAGATCGAGGTGCAGTATGTCCCTAGTGGGGACAATGTTGCCGATATCTTCACGAAGGCGTTGGGACCTAATAGGTTCCAGAGTCTGCGTCAAGCGCCGAACGTTGAAGACGTGTCAGTAGCTTTGGAAGCCCGAGCAACAACGCAGGTCCAGCTTTCGCCGACAGCTTGTTCTTTCGTTTTTCCTTTGGTATAAACACCTAACCCACACAGCCACAAACTTTCAATTTGCTGATGTCAGGTTTCAGCCCAGTCAACTTCTCCGTGGGCGTCATTCCCTTCAGTGCTTTTGTCGGCGACAAGTTGTCCACCTCCACCACGTACGGCAGGACTTCAGTCCAGAACACATTCGGCAAATTGGCACTATGCATCACAGCGCGCATCTTGTTCACGAGAACTCCATTCATCTTCTCGACGAGACAGTTTTCTTGTGGAGTATACGGGTGAGTGGGGATGAACTCGATACAGTGCTTGTTCAAGAACGCGGCCAGTTCATTACTCATATACTCTCCCCCTCCGTCGCTCGTGAACCGGGCGATTCGTTTGCCATCAGCAACTATCCCCCCCCCCCGATCAGCCGCAGTGTGTTGCCAGCAGCTTCACGCTTGTGCCGCAGGGCATAGCACCACACGTAGCGTGAGCCCTCGTCGTGAATCAACTGGAAGTAGCGCATCGTCCCGACACCCGGCAAATATCTGCCCATGTCACACACATCCGACGTCATACGCTCGAAGCTCACCGTAGTGCGCTTATCCGTATGGTCACCGAACGTCATTCTTCGCCTCTTGGCCGACATGCAGCTCAAGCATTTCAGCTTCATTCTCAGTTGATCCGAAGGGATGTCCATTCCCTTGACCACATCATGCTTCGCCATGTACTTCAGTGATGCCTCGTTGAGATGGGCCAGAAGCTCGTGCCAACGCATCAACGGACTCGCATCGGCGTTCACGTTCGATATCACCACCGCATTGTTCTCGCCAAAAGTCCCATTGTTCAACCAGTAGTGTTCTCCATGAAAGATGAACTCCAAACATTTACCATCACGCGTCAAAAACATTTTGCAAGGCAGCTCATTCGGAGGACTAGTGGTCAACACCCAACTTGATTTCAGCAAGAGACCAAGACTGAGCAAATTCACTGGACCAGTGAAGGGGAAAACTCCACGTTATCGAGCATTAGTGTCAACTCGCTCTGGCTCAGCACGTCCACAGCAGTAACCACCACAGACCCGCACAAACTTCCGTGTGTAATGCCACCATCCCACACCTTGAATGTTGCCTTGGACTTCTTCAATCGCGTGAACAGCTCGCGCTCAATGCAAACATGCGACGTGGTGCCCGAGTCCAGCATCCAGTCACCACTCGTACCGAGCCGACCTTCCTTCATCGCCATGCCGACGAAAGATTCACTCTCCGAACTACTGCTGCTACTGCTCTGCTCGTCCCGGTCTACTCTAGCCACAAACCGCATGTAGCCCATTGCACCAGTAGTCGGTGCACTACTCTGCTTGGGTCCACCACCGTCTCCGTTTCCGCCCTTGTCCTTCTTTTTCTTCTTCTCCTTACCATGCGTGTTGCTCTTCACTTGCTGGGCCTTTGACTGCTTGTTTTTGTAGTGCCAGCAATCCTTCCGCATATGACCCAGCTTGCGGCTGTGATAGCAGCGAATGGCACGACGATTGCCAGCTCCAGTGGTCTGCACAGGTCCATACGGCCCTGGTCCAGGTCCAGGAGGTGGGCCTTGGCTCGATTGCCGGTTGAAGTCTGGCCCACTTGCATCACTACCGAGCTGCCACAACTCGGTGCTCCACTATTTGCAGCTGAGTCTGTAGCCATCTTCTCCATTTCATCACGAGAAAGCAACGCGTTCTTCACTTGTTGCAAGGTTAAACACAGACCTTGCCGGTAAGAGAAGTCAAACTGAGTCACAAGTTCCCGATGCACCGCACAAACTCCCATCAGCAGCAGCTGAGACATCTCATTATCATGGATCTCAAAGCCAGGCCCCATGTGCTGCAGTCGCTGACGAAGCGAGTTCATCTCTTGAATGTAGTCCGCCATCTTCTTCCCCGGTGTGTAGGAATGCGTGTACAGCTCGCGCTTGAGGTGCACCGCATACGAGAAATCTCGCTGCGTCTTCTCAGCGGTCAGCGTCTCCCACATCTCCTTCGCTGTGTCGAAGTTGCACACTTTCTGCGCATCTGCACCCTTCACACCACGTATGATTGTCTCCATGGCTAGTCGATGCGGTCATCAAAATGACGCTGCAACAGTGGGTCCGTCTCATGACGGCGTTCCTCACCAGTCACCACTCCCCACGAATCCCTCTGCTCCAAGTACAACTTGAGCCGCATCTGATAGACTTCTAAGGTATCGTTGAACTTGGGTGGCTTGCTGCTGCCAAGTGGTTTGGGCACTTGAATCACAGGATTAGCAGGTAGCTGTCCACCACGTTGCCCCTGGGGCACTGCACCCACCACCGTCGCAGGCTGGCCAACAGCTCCCGAAGCCACTGAAGGCTGCCCTCCAGACGGCCCCGATGCCGCTTGTACCATCGTCGGCTGCCCCGGCGTGTTCGATCTCGAGCCTTGTCCACTCGGGCTCACGTTCTGAATTCCTTGACTCGACACGACTTGATTTGGATCACTGCTCATTTTAGTTCCGTCCAGAAGCCTTCTTTGGGCTCATAGCCTAGCAGACAGGTCTCTAGCAGAGCGCAGGCTGGATCCTGCTGCGTAGGTGGCCTTGCAGACGAACACCAAACGAATATCTCGCGTCACTTAGCTCAACAGGAACCAAAACCAGAATGCTTTCATTGTTCTCTTTCTCCTACCGCATACTCCCACATGCAACGTGTTGTACACGAGGAGGGAAAGCTGTCGGACATGCACTACAGCAACTTCAACAGTAAAAAACCCCTTTGGTCTGTCGCGTCCCAGCTATCGGCGCGCAGATCTTCTTGCCTCGCGTCCGACCTGGCTCCAGCATGAGTGAACCTCGCAGCATTCATCAACTCGCAATGTAGCCATCGGGGTCAGCCGATTCCTGCTAAACGACTCCGAGAGTTCATCCAGAAAGGAATCGACCACACGGAGGACGCTGTCGTCGACGTCTAGTTGAAGGCATTCCCGACACACTAGACGCGCGGCAGTGAAAACTGGGAATGCGGGCTACTCGCTTGCGTCCACCATGGCCGGCCAATTGACTGCTAGTGCTTCTCGAACAGAATCTTGAATAAAAAACGTGTATCCCGTCCCATACCGTTAAAATTCCAACTGTCCGACCAAGGAGTCCAACCAGTACCGGTACTGAAGCAAAACATTTTAGTGACATCTATTTCATTATAATGACATCTCAACTGAATCCCCTTCATTCATTCATTCAGCTTCGGAGTCGGACACAGCAGCGGGCAGCGGCAATACGGACGAGTGCTCGGGCGTGGAGAGGACCCCCGGGCCAGCAGGACCAAGAGCAAGACGGGCGTCGGCGGCAAGGAGGACAGCTGCATGGACTCGGGCGAGGTGATGGCGCTCGAGGCCAGCAGTAGCAGCAGCTCGGGGGTGGTGCCGCGCGGGGAGGTGGAGGTGCAGAAGGTCGTGCGGGGTGGTGGATGCGTGGACAGCAGCGTGACCTCGGGTGAGGTGATGGCGCTCGAGGCCAGCAGTGGTATGTTGAGAGTGGCCGACGGCGTTGTGAGCAGCTGCTGTCAGTGTACGTACATGCTACCAGTTTCTCTTCTACCTGGTTTCAACTGCCCTGCTTCTATTTGCTGGCGTAGCTGCGGTGCATATGTACTTACCCGCGACGGTGCCTCTTGGTGGAGGAGCAGCATTCGCTGCAGACCGGTTCGAATCCGGTCATCGTCTTTACTTAATTGTGTTTTATATTGTTGTGCATCATGATGTATGGTTTACAGGTTTGGTTGTAGTCGAATGAAGGTTGTGTGGAGTAGCGCCCTCGCAGAAATCTCGCGAATGCGATCTCGCACAAACTCGGCGCGTCTGGATAGCGGTCGCGCCGAGCAAATTATTCCCGGTTGTTGGAGTAGCGTATCTTCGAAATACAGGCCCAAGTCTTTGCAGGCTTCGGAGTTGGGGGTTCTTGTGTTGACGCTTGTTCCTTGTCGTAGGGCGTCGAGCCTTGGGCGTGCGGCGTTATCGGGCCGGCGTTTCCTTGGCGTTCCCGTCGGGCGTGCGGCGCTATCAGGCCGGCGTTTTCTGGGGCTTGTGTGGCGTTATCGGGCCTACACGGGGTCTTGTGCACGGCGGTTATCAGGCCAGTGCGTCCTTCGCCTAGGCAGCGCGTTATCGGGCGCCCACCAAAACGGTATACGTTTAACGTGCCTTTGTTCCAGCACGGGGTTGAGGGGGTGAGCACCCGAACCAGCGGGCGACGGGGGGCCGCGATATCGAGGCGGCTCTGCTTGCCGACGCTTGGTAGTTCCCCTGGAACCGAGGAGATCCGGAGGTCTTTGTGGTTCAGAGAAATTTCGGGACTGAGTCCTTACCCTATCCTATGTCCTTGCTACTGGCTACACTGTACTACTGCTTACTAAGCCTACCGCTCTGGGCCTATCCCTACTTCGGTCGTGCTTGCACTGCCGCGGTTTGCGTGGCGCAATCAAGATCTTACCTCGGCGCGTTTTGCTCGGCGCGTCTTGCTCGGCGCGTTTTGCTCGGCGGGGTTTAGGGTCGGCGCGTTTTGCAGAACCGGGTGCGCTGGTCGACCCGTCGGATGATTACGCGTCGCACTGGATTCTGGCACCGTGTCTCACGGCCCATCACCCACGCCGACTTTCCCGTCGAGCTTGGCCCTGCGTCGCGCCCATCAATCCGCGTCGCGTTCCATCAGCCGTGTCGAAGTCCATCACTCGCGTCCCGGCGCCTTCTTCCTCCGGCGCCCGGCGCACCCACTTCTTCCGCGGGGTACTACACCACAGTTGGAAGTGCGGCGGCAGGGGGTGGATCAACGGTGGCACCATTGGTGACGCGTTCGTGGAAGTCAGTGATCAGGGCATCGAGTTTGCCGGTCTTGTGTAGCTTGCGCAGAGCCTTCAACGCGGTGCCGGCAGCGAGAGCCGGAGATCCGTTTGCTTTCAAGAAGGCGAGAGCGTTCGCTTGCGCTTGCTGCCCCATGTTGAGCACCTCGTTCTTGAACGCAGAGGCGGCTACGTCTAGTGCGAAACCATTCGGTAAGAACAGCATCATGTATCCTACGGCGTGTCTAAACTCGTGCTGTGTTGTCTTTTTGACAGAGCGTGATGCGTATACACGAGGCTCGGCAGTGAACCACTCATACCAGAGTGCCGACAACGACTGCGAACCTTTCTTCTTCGGGCGCACGGACTTGGTGGCCGGTGGCTGCACGGTGACAGGGCTCAGCTTGAAGCTCCTTCAAGCGCGTTTGGTGCTGCTACGTCTGACTGTGCTCGAAGCTGCTCCTCCACTGCTAACAGTCGTTCATCAAGCCGTTTGTTTTGCAGAATGAGGACATCGATCTGCTCCGACTGGCGCTTTAACAGCGCTACTACAGCTGCGGACTGGGCGTCATTGGCATGCGGCTCAACCTTGGGGGGCGGCGGGGTGAAGGCACGCCGGATTGTTTCGCTCCAAGCCAGCACCTCCGACTCTCCTATGGCCCGAGCTTCCATGGCTTCTCGCATCCGGAGAATGAAGTCGCTCTGGTCGGACAGGATCAGCATGTCGGGGTAGTGCATCACGAGTGTCGCTATCAAGACATCAGCTACACCGTCATCAAGATTGAGTGCTGTGTCGTTAAACCCCAGCGTGCTCGAGAAGACTAGGGCCTGCAGTTTACCTGCGCGCTCACGGATGGGGTCGTCGAGTGCACACAGCGAAGGAAGGCGGGCACCTTCCTTCGGCTTCCATCCGCTCAGAACGCGGGCAACGTTTTGGTCGGCTTGCGTGGTACCCAGCATGTACCCAAAGGCTTTGTTGACACGGTCAAGTTGCCAGCCTCCCCGCTCGATAATCCAGTTCTCGGCCAGGCTTCCGTCGTTGGCGTGCATGGCCGCACCGCGCCGAAACGAGTGAGAGGTAAGTTCTGGGGTAAGTCGAACGTCCGTTGCTGCGGCAATATCTTTGACTCTGACTAACAACCGGTTCACATAGGCTTGCGCACCAGGGACTTTAGGCTTCCCCGACACCTGCTCGGCTTCGACCAGTGCTGTCGGGTCATCATTAGCCTCAAGGAGCTCCACCAGGCTGAGCTCTTCAACGTCCTCCACGTTAGCGGCACTCCGTTTCGTATCCACGAACTGCGGGAACATGCGCTTGCACGGAGCCTTCTGCATTAAAAGTGCTGCAGCTATAGCGAATAAAGGGCATGTTAAAAAGTTTTTCGGGTCTTTGAACAGCGAAATTCCTTGGAGAAAAGCCGTTTTAACTCTCTTGAAGCAATGGAAGAGTACGCCACCTAATAATGCATAGTTTTTATCATAGAAACATAAAACAATGGCAATAATTATTCTTTCAAGACTTACCAGGAAGAATTGAGAGCTGATGTTTCTCTAGCTGCTCGGCATCAGAGCTACGCCTGTACAGGTACCACATCGTGACGACAACGGCAGCGTCGAGGCGAGATGGTATCCGCCGAATCCGACGTTTACAGCAGTCGAACTATATTTTCTAGATCTTGTTTGGAACACGGTGTGGCCATCTTTTCCAGCGCACCGTCCTCGCGGTTGCTGCAATACTTTCCAAGCCCAGACAGGATTTTTTGCAGCTGTGGTTTCACGATTGCTCCCTGTTGTGGATACTTATCCAGCAACCAGTTTTTCACGTTTCCGAAATACGCAAGACACGTATTTGTTGATAACACTTTGTCTGTCGATCTAGCTAGGGAGTATGCATACTTATCTAACATGATTTTCAGCACCTTACCGGTCTTGTCGGCGCCAATAAGCTTATGAGCGGCGTCGGTTGTTACGTTCTCACATTCGAGGAACGCGTTGAAGGAGTTGAGAGCCGTCGTTCTTGACTTCTTGCTGTTAGCTGGAGCAAGGGAAGCGATCGACATCGCTTTTGCGCTGTTGGATACAGCTGCCTGGGTTGGAAACTTCACGATATTTTTAGAATATGTGTTTATATGAGAATTTGTATAGCATAAGAAATATTCTGTAAAAATTCCAAGCAAATATGGTCGGATCGGTTGGAATGCTGGACAATTTCTGTAAGACCAATCATTGGATAAAAATATCGTAACCCGGCACTTTCATTGGTAGACTTCACAAGTAGGGGATGACATGGACAAGCCTTGGTTAAAATAGATTGGGTATTATACCATACAGGCTACTTTTCTCTAAGAGATTTTTTTTCTTGGGCAATGTTTCACGAAGATAAAAAAAAATTGAAGACGTCGTCATCCCCCATAAGCTTTTCCTTTCCACCCTTGAAGCTTTGAACTTGGCAGGAGCAGGAGTGACGGCTCTTGTCTGTGCAGAAGCTACCACCGAGTTGGCCACATCCTACCACGGAAGTTGTCGCTGAAGCTGCATCTAACGGCCAGTTGCACCTCTCGAAGTGGTTGTGGGAGAATTATCACAGTATTTGCTACTGGGGAGGAGGCTGGGGCCATCCGCAACCACCATCAGAGCATAGCGGACTGGTTATGAGAAAGTGTTGCGCTTTGACCTGAATGTGCCCAATATCTCTTAAAACCCCGCAGCAGAGAGCGGAAATCTAGGGATCTGCTCGAAAACTTCGACCTGAATTAGCGATGCTTTCTGAATATTCTTTCGCAGGAAGTCCTCAGTGGATCAGTTGTGATTGAGTTTAACAGAGCATACACTGAAATGGAGCCGAAGTTTGATGAGGTGACATACATAACACGAGTTTGCGCGTGCAAAATACTGATCCAAAGCAACCGTTCAGAGATAGCTCGTCATACTTTGTTCAATTCACAGATCCTATCCAGCTCGACTCCTAAGAATATTTTAAGTTAGTGTAAGTAACCCCAGAAGCTGGAAAGGATCAGGTTCTCGTTTCTCCCTCATGTATAGAACACAGAGCTCCAGTAGATCCCTCCCCCCCCTTATTCACCAGCAATGACATACCGCGAGAAAACCTTGTCTCGACTTACCAGCTCCCAGTTATTTTGCCGAAGCCAGTCGCAGACGTGCCAGTTCCACGTCTTCATTTCGAGCATACAGCCCACCAGCGCAGTAGGAGCTCGTGCCACCAGCCACTCTAAAACTGCCACGCGGCTTGAAACTTCGCTCCTTGACGGAACGCCCGGCATTCCGGAAATTCTGAGAACATGAAAACCGCCGTGTCGAGCCGTTCGACTTGCTGGAAAGCCACTCAAGTGCCAACGGCGAGCACCGCTCGGAGCGATTCTTGCTCAGCCACTTGACCACCTTCAGATGGTTATTCGAAGCTGCGCCATCCATTGCAGTCGTAGTGCAGCCCTCATCTCGGTTGGAATGCAGCCATTTTACCACTTCCAAGTGCCCGTTTGTAGCTGCAGCGTCCATTGCATGAGCAGTGCATCCTTCTCGACGGTGTTCGTGCAGCCACTTCACCACCTCCAGATGCCCATTCCCGGCCGCTCCGCTCCGTCCATGGCTTCAGTAGTACAGCCTTCGTCGCGGCAGCTCACGGATGACACCGTGGACCGGCTGTGAATGTCTGCGTCGCTGCGTGCGGCGGCGTATTGCGGCGGCGTATTGCGGCGGTCTTTTGACCGTCAGCCGGAAGGCGGGACCTGTGGGGGGGGGGTCCACGGTGGTCTACATGTAGCCCATCGCGCCGTTTCCCATTACAAACCAGGCCACGGGTGACGCCGTGGGCCCTCCTGGTAGTCATAGCCAACAAAGGTTGCGTGCGATACTGGCAGGTCACCAGATCGTCGGGTGTGCGGCACTCCAACGTGCGCACACCCTCCACAGCACTCGTAGTGACGCGCGGGAGCATGCTGTCAGTCAACGTGGCCTGCGCTACATGGAGCTGGCTGCGACGGGGTGTCCACTCATGGTGCACTCATGGCGCGGCGGGGCGAAGAAAATCGCAGTGGCAGAGACCCAGATACGGCTGACTCGGGGAAGGTGACGACACGTCGCCGCATAAAGCGCTGCTGGGGCGCTCGCTGGTGGCCTGCAACACATTGGGAAGAAGGAACGCAAGTCGGCCCAGGAAAATGCAGTGGAGAACTCAAGCTTCGGAGGGCAGGCGCTGCTGAAGGAGCAGCGGGACCGCGTTCGCTGTCCGCGGTACCAAATCGACGGAAGTCGAGTAGACCGTTTCAACTATTCGGCGGGGCATCGGGAGATATGAGCTCGGTGTTGACGGTGGATGCGTCGGTCGTTATCTTAGTTAGGATAAATGAACTCAATCTAACCTCAACCTTGAAATGAAATGAAATACAGCCTTCGTCGCGGTTGTCGTGAAACCACTCCACCACATCCAGGTGACCACGGGCAGCAGCCGCGTCCATGGCTCCATCGTGGTCGAAATCTTGATGTATATTAGCGTGCAACCACTTGACCATGTCCAGGTGACCGCGTCTAGCGCAACTTGTCATCGTGTCCGGCCGGCAACCTTCCTGTTGGTTTTCGTGAAGCCACTTTACCACTTCTAGATGACCGTTTACGGCTGCCCAGTCCATTGCTAACGACGTGCAGCCTTCCGAGTGGTGAGTGTGGAGCCATTGCACCATTTCAAGATGCCCGTTGGCAGCAGCTCCATCCATGGCGTACAAGGTGCAGCAGGCGCGAGTGTTCTCGTGGAGCCACTGCACAACTTCCAGGTTCCCTGCGTGGGCAGCGCCGTCCAAAAGTGAGTCACTGCAATGATCTGGCACTTTTTCGTGCAGATACATGAGCACGTTGAGGTGTCCCTTGTCCGCAGCTCGCTGGAATGTGCCACCTGCGTCCTCAACCCCGTTCTGCTCGACGAGCCACTTGATGATGTTCAAGTGGCCATGCTCAGCAGCCACCTCCAGAACTTCGACAGGTTCTTGCACTAATACGCGACCGAAAACAAACTTGAGCATGTCCAGATCGCCATACTCTGCTGGGCATAGATAAATGTATCCTGACTGGACGGCAGCATCCAGGTCCTCACGCGAAAGATTGTCCAGAAACCATCGCGTGACTTCCCACTGGCCTTTCAACGCTGCAGCATTCAGAGCGTCCACACTTTGGAACTCGTAGTTCTCAAGGAGCCACTGCACGATCCCCAAGTTGCCGCACTCTGCTGCAGGCTTGATCAAGTACTCGGCGCACTCAGGTCGAAGCGTAACATTGGCTCGTAACCAGTCCACGACGTCTTGGTGCTGGTTGCGGATAGCCCCGGCCAACTCTACCCCTCCCCAGTAGCAACTGCTGCGGTAGTTCTCCCAAACCCACTTCAAGATGAGGAACTCTCCGGGTAAATAGCTCTCTGCGACCCATTTCAAGGTTCTCATGTCCCCGCGTGCCGCTGCTTGGCCCGTCACGGCGTTGACGTCCCACCGGCGGAGAAACCAATCCTTCGTCTTGGACTTATGGTCAGCCAGGTACTGGAGAAGACGCAGACTGCCGTCCGACATCTTGTAGGCGGCAGTCAGTGTCAACGACTCGGAGAGCTCGTCCTGGAAGGAATCGATCTCTCGCAGCACGCTGTTGTCCCCAATCACGTGGAGACGTTCGCGACATACGAGCCGCGCGGCAGTGAAGACTGGGAAGGTGGGCCACTCGCTCGTGTCCACGCAGCAGGTCTGCGGGTTGTTTGCAAGAGCAGGAGTCGGCACCTTAAGCTTCTTGTCTTGGCGTATCATTTTGCTAGTCTTGGGTGTTTTGCCACTATGTAGTTGTTGACGGAAGTCACGTATTTACAGCAACCGAATGTTTTGGAATCGTCTAGCGCACTGCACCGATTAATCGGCAAACGCACACGTCTGATCTCTACCTACGGCGCTTAGAATGGCCAAGCCCTCTCGAGCTTGTGACGGAAGTTGCCGTCGTTCATGGGCGTGTTGGCCTTGCCAAAGTGCACTGCGTTCAGAGCCCTGCGGGCGTCTTCCGTCATCTGCTCCCACATGATGAGGTCCTGGAACGTGCCGGCCTTGTCGGTGGTGTCCAGCGCGTGGTTGATGGGCCAAGCGTGTTCGTAGTTGACCTTGACACTGTTGCCGTCCAGGTTCTCAGGAGGAGGAGACGAGTACTTCTTGTAGCCGCTGTGAGCCGACGCCGAAATACCGAGAATCTTGGGCTCCGGGACGTCCGGGTTGTTGATCCACACGACGACGTGCTCCCAGTCGTGACGGTGGCCCATTCTCGACGACGGCGAGTCCTTGGGGAAGTACCACGAGTACATGATGGCCCAGACGTCATTGAACCAGCCCGCGCGTCCGTAGACCTGCGAGCCGTGGCCGGAGCCTCTGCATCCGCCCTTGGGGCTGCCGGAAGTCTGAAGACCGCCGCTGGTCTCGCCCACATCGTTCACAGCGGGGTATGGGACGCACCCTGTGGCAATTCGGATCTGCGGTTTGAACTTGATCGCGGCCTTTTCCGAGATCGTGACGGGCTCCGGCTGCGGGAACGGCTTCACTGCGTCGTGGTTGATGGTCTTCGTCACCCACGGAGCTGGTGGCGGGGTCGGAGCCGGAGTCGGTGCAGGGGTTGGTGGAAGCGTGGGTGCTGGGGTCGGGGGCTCCGTTTCACGTGGGTTTCGTCTCGTTGGCTTGATGGTCACATTGGGCGTAGCCCTCGGGTACTTAGTAGCTAGCGCCTCCTTAATGTCCAGGTACTTCACAGTCGGCTTGGGCGTGTTGATCTCCTCTTGCTCTTGCTGTTGGGAGGCATCTTGCTGATGAACGACCTCTTGCTCTTGCTGCTGGACGATCTCCTGCGTTTGGGACGCGTCTTGGCTTTGGAGCACATTTTGAGCTTGGGCTGCAGCAAGGAGCGCTGCAGTCAGGAAGACGAAGAACTTCATGCGGCGAGAGACTCTGTCGGGGTTCTTCTCCGCGTCTGGCTTGAAAAATCGACAAGTGAGAGAGAGTTTCTCAAACGGCAACAGACTGGCACGAGCTTCGCAAAGCGCGTGATCCGGACTCGACCGTTATCCACTGGGGCGATGCACACATGTGCAGTACGCGGGCGAGCCAATCCCAGCCGCGATCATAGGAAGACTTTTGTACGTTACCGGCAGTGTGTGCCTTGTTTTCGCATGTTGCACAAGGATCCGTCGTATTGTGTACGTGCAACTTGGCAGGGTTCTATAGTACAGTCGATGATGCTTTTTGTCGGAAAGCCTTGAATGGGATAGCACATCGTGTGAACAACGACTTTTGTTGAGCATAATGTCGCCAAGTCGTTCAGTCTCTATGTACAGGTTTTTAGAATCTCGATCCGGTGATCGCATCTTAAGAGTTAAGGTAAGCCAGCTGTAAATTATGCACGGCAGGGAGGGCGTCGACGTCGTCGACTCGACGACACTCCGGCGGCGCTCACAGAGATTTTCTCTGCTGTATCAAGTTGAATATCGCGCACAGGGTAAGTAGGACCGTAGGGTGGACAGTGTTGAATCGTTCACGGTGCACTCCCTCGATTGCTTCCTCCGCGTCATTTGTACTTGTCGCTCGTGGTCAAAGTCACGGAACCAGCGCCTGACACGAAATGCTTGCTGTGCCCGACGCAAGGAACAAAGCCAAATCGCGATGTTCTTTTCGTTGGCTAGGCATGGTAAAGTTAGTCCAGCGCGATTAATCCACGTGGACAGATGAGAGGCAATGTGCCCATCCGTCGTCGAAACCATTTGTCGATCACGTCCCGACCGCGCCCGTTAGTGATCGCTAGTTTTGACGACGGAAGGAAACGCTCGGCGATGCGTGCTCGACAACAGTATTGAAGGCTTTAATACTCTTGTGCTTTTAATTTTTAGCCCACCATGGATCATGCCGAAGTGACACGCACATCGTTGAAATGGCGTCCTCCGTTCTTCCCGATGTTTCGTCATGCAGAGGAGCAAAGCGCCGTGCGCAAGTCCTGTATGGAACAACTTCTTTCGGAATGCCACACCGTAATCTACTACTCCTACGTTACGATGTGGACCACAGTTGCCACGACATTCTATTGGTGCAACATTTATACTCCATTGGTGCAACATTTCCATTGGAGCGACCTACCAGCAAAGCGGCGGATATTCATCAAGAGCTCCCGAAGGACGTCGCCACCATGGTCAGCGCTGCCGCTCTTGCGCCTGCGTCTCTGCCTGCATACCGACCTCCTTCATCTCCTTCTAATGTTGCTGCTGTCTCTGTGTGTGTGGACATCGCTCCTCGCCTGTCGACAGCCAGGATACGAGGCCGAGGAGACCATCAAGCGCATCAAGAGCCACAAGGGCGTGCAGGCCGTGCTCATCGTGAACCAGGAGGGCGTGCCCATCTACTCGAGCACGAGCGACGAGGAGTTCGCCATGGACCACGCCGCGCTGATCTCGCAGCTGGCGGCCAAGGCCAAGTCCACGATCCGCACGCTGGACCCGACCAACGACATGACTTTCCTGCGCATCCGCTCCAAGAAGCACGAGATCATGATCGCACCAGGTGCCGCCGCTGCAATGTTATCCTGGGATAGTCTGTGCTGCCAGATCTAACTTTCTGCTGCGCCTGTTGCCGCTGTTGTTGTTGTTATTGCTGCTGCTGCAGACAAGGAGTACGCGCTGATCGTGATCCAGAACCCGAACCCGGGCGCCGAGCTGGACAACAACGACGCCAACAACTAATGCACTTAGGATACCGCCTACAAACACGTTTAATATCACTCAACCGTCTTCACTCGACAGCTTAGAGCCCTATTAGCAGCTCTACAGCGTTGAGTTTTTTTAGTCCGGTCTATTTTCCCAGTTTTTGGTCGTGCCAAAACTATCACGAATAAGCGAGGGGTGGACCATTTTGCCCACTTATTTTTGCCGATCCAAGCAAGACGAAGATGGCGCCCCGAACACCTCGCAGCTCGCTCAAGAAGCACGATGCGGCCGCCGAGTCGAGGGCGCTCAAGGCGCGGCGCCAGCGCACCACCACGCAGGTGCGCAAGGACAAGCGCCGCGCCGCCGTGCAGACCAAGCGGCGCCGCCTCATGTCGGCCGACCAGCCGCCGCTCACGGGCCGCAGCATCGCCGAGCTGGTCAAGATCCTCGGGGACACGACCAACGCATCGGCGGCCCAGAGCCAGGCGCGCTTCGAGACGCTCAAGGAGATCCGCGTGCTGCTGGCCACGCACGAGAACGACTACGAGGCCGTGGAGCAGATCATCGAGTCCGGGGTGCGTGTCCGGGCTGTAGTGTCCAATTGAAGTGTCCGGCTGACGGAATACTGTGTCAACGGGGCAATTGAGTCGGGACGCAGTTGGGATTGTGTGCTTATTTGTGGTGTCTTTGCGTTTCTTATTTGTGGCAGATTGTGCCTGTTATGGTATCGCTGCTCAACTCGGCCTCGCCGCTGGCCAGTGCCACCCGCACGGGCGGAGAAGTGTACCGCGAGATTTTGTGGTGCCTTACAAACATTGCAAGCGGCCAGTACGAGCACACGAAGTTGGTGCTGCCGGCTGTACCCCGCCTGCTGCAATTCCTGGAGGGATCCAACCACTCGCTGGCGGAACACGCCGCCTGGGTGCTGGGCAACATTGCAGCGGACTGCGAGGAGTTCCGCCAGCAACTCATCGCCAACGGAGCGGTGGTGCCGCTGGTCAAGCTGCTGAGCAACCCAAGCGAGAAGGAGCTGGCCAAGACCAGCGCTTGGGCGCTGTCCAACCTGGCTCGAGGGTTCGAGACGCCGGCCAAGCCGTTCGTCGACGCCGGTATCATTCCGGTGGTGGTCAGCGGACTGTCTCAGCCCAGCTCGCCTGCTACTTTCTCCGAGGATATCGTGGTCGAAGTGGCCTGGCTGCTGAGCTTCTTGACCGCACGCGAGGAGGAGTACCTGAAGCTCATGCTGGAGAACGGACTCGTGGATCTGCTGTTGCCCTACTTCTCCACGAACAACGAGCTGCTGCTGACCCCAATCCTGCGTGTGTTTGGCAACATTTGCTGCGGCTCACCGGACCACCACACGGACGAATGGCAGATGCCGTACGTTCGACGCTTGCTCAGCGCAGACTCGGTCGTGTTGCCGAAGTTGCACAAGTTCCTTCAGCCCGCTGCGGCTGGAGCGCAGCAAAAATCTCTGGCTGCTGAGGCAGCGTGGGTGATCTCGAACCTGGCTGCGACCGAGGCTCCAGTTGTGGAGCTGCTCATGCAGGCACAGTTGCTCCCGCTTCTGGGCCAGCAGTTCAAGGACGGAAGCTACGAGGTGCGACGCGAAGTGGCGTTCGCACTGACTAATATCGCGCTTACTAGTGCGGCGCACATGGAGAAGGTGCTAGCGCTGGACGTCCTCAAGGGTTTCTTGCACCTCCTGACTGTGGCAGACGTGGCTATCGTCGGCAACTCGCTGCGGCTCATCGAGAACGTGTTGCGTGTGGCCCCTCGCGGAGTTTCGCTGGTTGAGGTGAATGAGGGCATCGACGCGCTGGAGACCGTACAGTTTGAATGTGGAGAAGAGCACTTGTCCAAGTGGGCCGCTGCGCTGGTCAACGAGTTCTACGGAGAGAATTATGGCATTAACTCGCCACCAAATGCTGCTGGAGTCCCTGCTGGATTTGGCTTCGCTTCTGATGAACCCATGCAGTTGTCGTTCGGTGCTAACAACGCTGGTCCGCAGCAAGTGGCCCCGGGCCCTGGCGGTCGAGGCCGTGGTGCACACATGACCACCCCCGCGTGGAAGAAGTAACAAGGCCGTTCAAGACGAGATGTTGGTGACAGCTACGCACAATCGGTGCTAATATCCTCCGGTCGGTTGTTAGTCGTTCGCCTGGACCTTGACATTCCCCACTATTGGTATCACAATTCCACGCAGAATTCTACTAACATCGCTGTAAGAGCAGAAAAAAATATTTTCCCATGGTACGACACTGAACATCTACTTGGTACATCGTGCACTTGAACTTGACGGCAACGCACACACTTGAAACAGAACAAAAAACAAAGCTTCGGACTCCTGTTGCTTCACTCGGAGCGGAGCATGCGGTAGCCCTTCTGGGTCGTCGCGTCAGTGCCGGCGGTGCCAGAAGCGCTGACGCCGGTTTTACCGCCGCCGTTGCCGGTCGCAGTCGTCGTAGCCCCACCAGCGCCAGTGTCAGCGGCTCCTCCCACGCTGGTGCTCGCACCGGCCTTCGCGCTAGCGTCAGCATTTCCGGTCGCTCCACCACCAACGCCAGCACCACCAGCCCCTCCCACACTGGCACCAGCATTAGCGCCGCCATTTCCACCGACGCCCGGTGTGCCGCCGACACCGGCAGTCCCACCCACACCGGCACCGGCATTGGCGCCACCGTTGCCACTGACACTCGCGGTTCCTCCGACACCAGTGGATCCGCCGACACCTCCGCCGACACCGACACCACCAGCTCTTCCGACGCTAGCACCAGCATTAGCGCCACCATTGCCGCCGACACCAGCAGTTCCGCTCACGCCGGCACTTGCAGTGGCGCCTGCGTTTCCGCTAGCACCGGCGGTTCCACTCACGCCGCCACCAACACCGGCAGATCCTCCGACACCGGCAGTGCCGCCAATACCAGCGTTTCCTCCAACACCAGCTCCAGTGTTTGCCCCGGCACTTGCTCCAGCTCCGGCAGTACCTCCGACTCCAGCGCCACCGTAAGCGTTGCCGAAACCTCGGCCGTACAGGCCGGCGCTAGCGCCGCCGTAGCCGCCGCTGTAACCATTTCCGTATAGACCGGCACCGCCAGCTCCGTAGAGACCCACGCCACCGTGAAGACCGGCGGCCAGGAGTCCGAATGTCTGTGCGGCCTCTTGCTCGGCGTGTGCACCAGTCGAGAGGGCCACAGCGGCGAGGCACAAGGCGGCGATCTTGCTGCTGCTGAACATGTTGGTCGAGTCGCTTGTGGTTGAAGAGTCTTCGAATGCACAGGAGCTGCTTGTTGATGTGAGCTCGAGTGAGTGAGTTGGGAAATGAGTCCGAGGCAGCGCGACGCAGCTTCGGCCGGAAGCCCGAAGACGTCGGGGTCTCGCTCGAGACGTGCCAAGTTAACGTGGCTGGGCTCAGCCGATAGTCGGTGAAGATGCTACTGGATACGTCATGTCAAGTGCAGGTGCTGCCTGCCTCGATCGACCCACGCGATGACCAGCTTCCCCAGCAGGTATGCCGGCACCCAGCAGCATGACTGCTTTAACCGTTCGCACACCATGTGAGACTCGCCATCCGATACGACTGATCCAAAGTGCGCCGCATATGGACTTGATTTGCGCCGAAATGGGTCGTCCTCCTGAACGGTTCGAATGAATGCTAGCAACGAAGCCGAACGCCTAAAACAACGGGTCGTTTTTGTAGCCGACCGGCGAGTCGGAGAAGCTTCGTACGCCGCCGTGTCTGGTTCGGGCGTGTCCATTACGACAAATACCTTGCAAAGCTTTGCCGGGGATCGCAACTTCAACTTGGCCAATACCAATATCAGTATTAAATGTGCAAGCCCGATGCCAACATCTCCAGATGCCAAAATGCGGTGGTAAACACCGCAGTCGACAGTGCTGTTGCTGCCGTTGGGTGATCGCCCTGGAACGGACTTCTGTCACGAGTACTAGTGTATGTTGGATCTGTACATGATGGCACAAAGGTAAGTGCCCCCAATGCAAGTGACTCTGAATCCGAAAAACCTGCTGCTTGCAGCCCACATTGTGGAGCGGTCGAGTAGTAGAAGCGCGAGTTGGAAAACTGGATTGATGCGCATGCTTGCAGGGTGCTCGGACAGCAGAGTGGTATCCATCAAGACACTGACGTGGTGGCATCAGTGTACCGACTCGAACAGCATCACCGGCTCGAGCTATTATAGTTAACTTAACACCAATTGAGTGCACGGTTTCAATTTATTGCACGATATGCATTATTAGCCAATGTAATCGATCTATTAGACATTGTGATGTTTGGATTGGCCTAAAAGCCGATAATCAAATTTGTGCGCGACAGTTTTACATGTAGTATGGAGCAGCTTCCGACAAGGGCCTCTAAAAGTTTTGCGGTAAGTATTCAACAATGACTTTGGAGGGTGTCAGTGTGCTTTATCACAATCACAAAGCGGCAAGAAAGACATACATGTCTTAACAGGCACCTGTGCTATCAACAAGTACATGCCCATACTGAAACCAAGATTAATTATGGATCGTGCACTAAAATGATCACTGGCTTTTATTGCTCCTTGTGCCGCTACACTTCCACCTATAGCTTTGCAAGGACGGTTTATCTTACAGTTAGGAATATGCTCCTGGTATTGTTCCTTATTCTGTAATACGCCATGACCCGAATAGCTTCTACTCAACCATCCTTGTGCTGTCGTAGGCAAATTCCGAAATGACCCAAAATCGCGCACTCAATTGGTGTTTTAAGTTAGCATGGAAAGAGTAGATTGCGGTCAAATAGCTTGGCGCGCGCGATCATGTAAAACTTGGACGAACGATTGGTACATGTAGTAGAACTGTTCGCCTTTTGCTGAATTGGATCCCAGACTACGACTGACGTTGCTGTATCCCGCGCGGCATACATTCTTGCATCGAAGAGGTCTACAAGTCGATGGATACCAATGTAACTAGTATTAAGTTACTGTCGTTGATATAAGTGCGCTCGATAAAATTATGTATCGATGCACAGGCATCAGTATCTATCGTACTTCCAAACCATGCTCTCACTATTCGGCTGCTCCGCGATTGAACTTGCAGCAGGTCTATCGGAACCGGACTCGCACGGTTTGAGCACTTTTTCTCGTGTATCAAGGCGTGAAGATCAAACAGAACTTGTACTCGTGACAGAAGTCCGTTCCAGGGCGATCACCCAACGGCAGCAACAGCACTGTCGACTGCGGTGTTTACCACCGCATTTTGGCATCTGGAGATGTTGGCATCGGGCTTGCACATTTAATACTGATATTGGTATTGGCCAAGTTGAAGTTGCGATCCCCGGCAAAGCTTTGCAAGGTATTTGTCGTAATGGACACGCCCGAACCAGACACGGCGGCGTACGAAGCTTCTCCGACTCGCCGGTCGGCTACAAAAACGACCCGTTGTTTTAGGCGTTCGGCTTCGTTGCTAGCATTCATTCGAACCGTTCAGGAGGACGACCCATTTCGGCGCAAATCAAGTCCATATGCGGCGCACTTTGGATCAGTCGTATCGGATGGCGAGTCTCACATGGTGTGCGAACGGTTAAAGCAGTCATGCTGCTGGGTGCCGGCATACCTGCTGGGGAAGCTGGTCATCGCGTGGGTCGATCGAGGCAGGCAGCACCTGCACTTGACATGACGTATCCAGTAGCATCTTCACCGACTATCGGCTGAGCCCAGCCACGTTAACTTGGCACGTCTCGAGCGAGACCCCGACGTCTTCGGGCTTCCGGCCGAAGCTGCGTCGCGCTGCCTCGGACTCATTTCCCAACTCACTCACTCGAGCTCACATCAACAAGCAGCTCCTGTGCATTCGAAGACTCTTCAACCACAAGCGACTCGACCAACATGTTCAGCAGCAGCAAGATCGCCGCCTTGTGCCTCGCCGCTGTGGCCCTCTCGACTGGTGCACACGCCGAGCAAGAGGCCGCACAGACATTCGGACTCCTGGCCGCCGGTCTTCACGGTGGCGTGGGTCTCTACGGAGCTGGCGGTGCCGGTCTATACGGAAATGGTTACAGCGGCGGCTACGGCGGCGCTAGCGCCGGCCTGTACGGCCGAGGTTTCGGCAACGCTTACGGTGGCGCTGGAGTCGGAGGTACTGCCGGAGCTGGAGCAAGTGCCGGGGCAAACACTGGAGCTGGTGTTGGAGGAAACGCTGGTATTGGCGGCACTGCCGGTGTCGGAGGATCTGCCGGTGTTGGTGGCGGCGTGAGTGGAACCGCCGGTGCTAGCGGAAACGCAGGCGCCACTGCAAGTGCCGGCGTGAGCGGAACTGCTGGTGTCGGCGGCAATGGTGGCGCTAATGCTGGTGCTAGCGTCGGAAGAGCTGGTGGTGTCGGTGTCGGCGGAGGTGTCGGCGGATCCACTGGTGTCGGAGGAACCGCGAGTGTCAGTGGCAACGGTGGCGCCAATGCCGGTGCCGGTGTGGGTGGGACTGCCGGTGTCGGCGGCACACCGGGCGTCGGTAGAAATGGCGGCGCTAATGCTGGTGCCAGTGTGGGAGGGGCTGGTGGTGCTGGCGTTGGTGGTGGAGCGACCGGAAATGCTGACGCTAGCGCGAAGGCCGGTGCGAGCACCAGCGTGGGAGGAGCCGCTGACACTGGCGCTGGTGGGGCTACGACGACTGCGACCGGCAACGGCGGCGGTAAAACCGGCGTCAGCGCTTCTGGCACCGCCGGCACTGACGCGACGACCCAGAAGGGCTACCGCATGCTCCGCTCCGAGTGAAGCAACAGGAGTCCGAAGCTTTGTTTTTTGTTCTGTTTCAAGTGTGTGCGTTGCCGTCAAGTTCAAGTGCACGATGTACCAAGTAGATGTTCAGTGTCGTACCATGGGAAAATAACGTTTCGCCACTACAGCTATGTTAGGAGTTGCGTGGAATTGTGATCCCAACTGGCGAATGTCAAGCTTCAGCCGAACAGCTACGGCCGACTGGGGGATATAAGCACCTATCAAGCGTTGCTGTCATCAATTTATCGTCTTGAACAGTCTGGTAGAGGGCCTATTACTTTATGCACGCAAAGGTGACCATGTGCACACCCCGATCGACCTCCGGGGCCTGGGGCAACTCGCTGTGGACTGCTGTCGAACGCGGGGTTCTTCACCAACGGCTCCTACAGATTCTGTTCGAAACCGCCTCAACACCACCATCAACGACGCCTCGAATCACTTCATATTACCCGACACTAGCTCGCGCCCATGCTCGTGGACGGCTTCGGCAAGTTTCCGAGCAAGTCCGAGCTTACTTGAACTACTGAACCAGGCCTACCGACCAAGGCCGGACGTTTGCTTTCGGCAGCTGTACAGTTCAACATAGCTCACACATATAATAGCAGCAAATGCGCTGGACGTACACGCATAACGCGCTAACTTGTACGATTCCTTCTCTTTTGATCAGTTTCATTATACCCCATTACTCAGATTAGTCATTTTTGACTGAGGCGACGTAAGTTTTCATGGCATATTTTGAACAGCTACCGGGTACGGACAGGAGCGTTGCGAGAGTTGGCATCTTGCCACGAATGAATCCACGGCCACTGGCAATAACTTGTCGAGTGAGTGCTCGCAGGTGTCCGTCGACAGCGACCACAGAAAGCACGCTTCAAGTTGATTGAAGTGTCCGTAGCATTAGCAGATCATGCTGCTGTGCTGTCGACAGTTCAACCGAAACAGTTGAGGGACCGGAACTTGCGTTACCTACGCGCATCTACATATACATGTACCTGCTGCTGTTAACAGTCCACGACACGATCGAGAGGTTTTTTCTAACCCCTACATGTTTTGGTATCACAAAAACCGTCTCGCTTCCCTGATTGCGAAAATGTGCGTCTCACTGTTTAGCACGGCGTCGTTTCCACAGAAACAGCAGCCAATTTTCCCTGATTTATATAATAACCACCCCTTAATAGGTGCGCTGATTATAAATATGCCTTGCATTTGGGCCAATCATTACCACCCCTATGATTTTTCTCGGCCAATGACAAGGCAGCGGATTAGTCGCAGAGTCATGATCGTAGAGAAATGATACTCTGGACGGATGCTCGTTATCCTCACTCTTCTACCGATAGATCGAAAGATGACATACAGGGCTACAAATGTATCGGATCATATTTCTTAGAATCAGTGTCTAGACTTACTTATGGATATCTAAAATATTAGCTAGTGTAGTCATCACTAGCACTGCTTTCGTCGCTCTCGGAGCTGTCCGAATCCTCGTTTTCACTGCGGCTATCATAACTTTTGATCTGAGCATTCAGATCCACCAAGTGGGCTCTTGCTTTGTCAATGCAGCCTTGAACAGTTTTCGACGACCAAGTTTTGAAAGCTGTATCAAGCCGACTTCTGACCTGTTGGAATGTAGTATCCTTGGTGTACTGGCGCCCAACTTCTCCCTTTACATTTGCCCACACATACTCAATCGGCTGTAAATCTGAGTAGTGTGGAGGCGTGAACACTACTTGTGGCCCTTCTTCTTCGCCATAGTCACAATCTCTGGCTCTACGTGCTCAGCAATGTGCCGTGACAACTTTTCCCACATGATCGCCCTTGTATCAGATTCAGCGTAAGGCAAGCCATACAACTTACAAGCAGCCTGCATGTCGGATCTCCGACTCCCTTTTCGGGGGGTGTTGGGCGGCAACTTCTTGTGATATTTTACGTTATTCATCACAATGCGGCAGTGGTGCGGTTGGCGGTCTTCCAGACAAACGAGCAACGTTTCAATCCAATTTTTGAAGTAGTCATGATTAAACATCCCGTGATAATCCTTAGTTTGCTTGCCTCCCTCAAAAATGTCAAGCGTCTCCGGCAAAAACTGTGCTTTGTCAGCCTCAGTATGATCGGCATCCGGGAGGTTACGGTGTTTGTCGATAATGGCAGCGATGAAGCAAAATCGGCGACCCTTTTGTTTCTCCTTTATCACTTTGGGGTCCGTCGGGTCATAAAGAGAGTCATTATGACTGGAGTAGTTGTGATGTATATAACTTTCGTCGAGATAAACCGTTCGAACGCGATCGGCACTTTCACATGCCATCATCTGCACGTAGCTATCGCGCTTAGCTTCGTTTTCAGCTGACAACCGATATGTCGACCCTTTCCGCTTTACCCGCTTGAAACCACATCGTTTTACGAAGCGTTGGACGGTGCGGAGCGCTGAGGCCGTAGCGGCACTGTCGGTGACGTCGACGACTAACAACTCTTGCTGTATGAGGTGGTGTATGACGTCCTTGGCTACCGTGCGCTCACGAATCGCGCTGCGCTCACGAATAAACTCGCGCACAGACCTCTCCATATCAACAGTCGCCAATATACGGGACGGCTTCTGCTCACGATTAGATGGCGCCGATGCCACGGGTAGAGACCGATACTTGGCAAAGTCATTCCAAATCTGACGGACTGTGTTGGCTGAGTGCGACAACAGACGGCCAACTTTGACTGCGAGTGGCTCTTTCTGACGTAATTTGACAGCGCCAGACTTCAAGTTGGCTGTGACGATGAGGACGTCAATACGTTCCAGGAGCGTGAGAGCTCTGCCGCGGTTATTGCCGTTTCCAGATATTTTGGCCAACTCATGCTTATTATCTCGTTAATAATCTCGATTTTAATCCAGCCAGCTCTTAATTAAGACCTAGGTCTGATTTGTATATCTCGCCAGTACGGTCTAAGATCCGAGCTTGGGGCTCTGTTTTCTTGACCAAGGCAGTTTTCTACGACTTGGAAACACAGAAATGCCATTGTATACGGGCCAAACCGAGTTTCTGGGCCTAAAAGCGGCCCCCAGCAAAGCATAAAGCTAAATCAGCCCTCGCCTATCTCGTGTCCACTCATATTTAGAGACAGGCGTGGTCTATTTTAGAGGTTTATTTTAGAGGGCAAAGTATTTGCAAGCGGCAATATCTGTTGTGTAAGTTTGAGCTTCTGCGATGATTTCCGCCTCGGCGTCAGGAGTCTCAGTTCGCGCTCTTTTGGAAGGAGGCATCTCGATACCAGCGTGCTTGCTTCGGAGCGGTAAAGTGGCTCAGTTGTCATCGAACTACACAACCCATATTTAGGTTACGGTAACCCCGATTTATCTGACAAAACGATACTGTAGGCAATACCTAATTTGGCGGGGTACAAGTTTATCCAGTCAAAATAGCCGGATATCATTGGATAATATACAGGTGTGGGTAGGTGACGATAAATGTGCCCTTGCTGCTCTGTCACAAGACGCGGTCTATCCATAGCTCTTCCAGCATATTATACACAGCACAATCCAAAGCAGCTCTGAAAATTTGAGTCAAATTGCATGTAATCCGGAAAAGTTATAGCAAAAACACCTCTCGATGCTGTCGCGGTCTGTAAACTACCAGGATGTCGATGTAGTTGTACTGTACTGTACAGCACTTCACGTCGCGGTGGCATGGGGCCTCGCCACTCCAAGCATGTGTCGAGTACGATTTCGCATGCCACACTGCTGCTTACGACCGACATTTAAACTGCGATCGTGCACGCCGCCAAATTACTCAAGTGGTCGACGGGTGAGTTGCTGTGAAGTCCTCCGAATTCTTCGCACCATCCCATTTGCCAAGCGCATCTGGATAGCTCGCAGAGCTCTCTGGCGAGCTATCCAGAATTCTTCGCACCATCCCATTTGCCAAGCGCATCTGGATAGCTCGCCAGAGAGCTCTGCGTTCCTGGCGTCAAATGCGTTAAAAGATTCTCCATGCGGAAAGCTCGCACTGCTCCTACACACCACATTGGCATTGTGAGGATAGAGAACGCGATGAGCTTCACTATTGAGCCACTGATTAATCGTGAGCTGCATCTGGAAGCCAAGCATTCGGTAAGTTAATAGCCGCTCTACCGTCCACTCGTTGACTCCACTTTTCAATTCTCCAAGTCGCGCACACAACGACTCTCCAGTTCGAAGAGCCAACATGAAGCTTGGTGCATTCTTCACCACCCTCGTTCTCGCGGTCGCCACTATCCAGACTCAAGGTGCCTCCCAGCAGCAACAACAGGACCAGCAGCAGCAACAAGAACAGTGGCAGGATTCCTCCAATAACCAAGAGCAAGAGGAGATAAACACGCCCGAGCCAACGACAAAGAACCTGGGCTTTAAGGAGGCGATCGCCTCCAAATTCCCGAGGCCTACGCGTAACGTGACAACCATGTCATCGAGTCCCGAGCCACGTCAGGAGCCCCCGACGGAGGCACCCACGCTGCCGCCAACTCCTGCACCGACCCCCGCTCCGACGCCGCCGCCTGCTCCGTGGCACCCGAAGACAATTGGTCACGACGAGGTGAAGCCCTTCCCTCAGCCTGATCCTGTGACGATCTCCGAGAAGGCTGCGGTCAAGTTTAAGCCGCAGATCGACATCGTCACGGGATGCGTCCCTTACCCTGCTGTGAACGATGCGGGCGAGACCAGCGGCGGTCTTCAGACTTCGGGCAGCCCCAGGGGCGGTTGCCGTGGCTCCGGTCACGGCTCGCAAGTGTACGGGCGCTCGACGTGGATCAACGGCGTCTGGGCCATCATGTACTCGTGGTACTTCCCCAAGGACGCGCCGTCGTCCAAAATGGGCCACCGCCACGACTGGGAGCACGTTGTGGTGTTCATCGACAACCCGGACGTGCCCGAGCCCAAGATTTTGGGCTGTTCGCCGTCGTGGCACAACGGCTACAACAAGTACGCCCCGTGCCCGGCCAATGTCATCGACGGCACGAGCGTCAAAGTCAAATACGAGCACTCGTGGCCGCTTAACCACGCGCTGGAGACCACCACGAAGCCTGGTGCGTTCCAGGACCTCATTATGTGGAACCAGATGACGGACTTTGCACGCAGAGCTCTGAACGACACCAAGTTTGGCAAGGCGAACACGCCGATGAACGACTGGAACTTTCTGCCAAAGGTCGAGAAGGCCTGGCCGTTTAAGTAGAGTGCTAGTAGCGGCATAATATATGTGAAGGTGATCTTCCCCAGTGGTCATTGTAACGTTATGTCAATTAGTCATTATGACCACACTCCAACAATGCCGCCTCCAACAATGCACGCGGGTTTCTACTTCCTGAGTAATTCGAGGCAAACACTTTGAGTGTCGAACCATCGGCCAGGAGCACGCACTTTTGAGAGAGTCGTCGCGGTGACAATTCTTGCAAGACGACAAGGCGTCCTGCGAGTACAATTTCTAGCCGACACCGTAGGGACTTCCGTGACAGCCAGACCCGAACTCAGCTCTCTACGCTTCACTCACTTATGCGAAGGGAAATACTTGGCAAAGAGGAAGGGGGTCTCAGCCTGAACTGAGATCTCTGCGTTGAGCTGTTGACCAGAATGCAGCAGCTTGTCATGGCTAAAATGGCAGCAACTATCGATCAACCTTGTAGTCGCGAAATATCGGAACTGATCAAGAGGAAGCACGTCCAAAGCGCTTTAGATTTCTTACACTGGAGGCTGTGCCCGAAGATCATGACGGTTCCACCATGGTGCACTATGAAGCCGACCTTCCCATCCGCTTGCGAGAACCAACCCCAAGATTGCGGCATTGGAGGCAAGACACTGGGGCGATTACTGTATGATGGACTACCTACCATGTACGGATACATACCTTTTGCCGGGCAACGTCTTCAGACACGAGGAGCTTACGCCAATGCGTGCATCTGCTTCGTGCTCTTGCAACGGGGGTCGACTGTCGATTGCGGTCGGCAATGCCGCGTGAAAGTTGCTCCTCGGACCTTCCCCCACGGAATCTCGGCCCCAATCCCTCAACTCGAGTACCCAATCTACAAACAACGTCGAGGAGCAAGAATCGTGGTCGGTCTGTCAGGTAGGCCTGAAACACTGACGTCGCCGCCGGCGCGAACGAAATTCGTCGCCCGCTCTCTTGCGTTGTCGATGCGCCGTGAGCCACAAATGGGCGCAGCTGCGCGCTTGATTCCTGGCCTAGAAAGGGCGGTACAGCTTCTAAATCTTCCATTTCGGGCGGTACAGATTCTAAAGATGCGCCGTTTCTAAGAGCCTGCAGATTCAATTAACAAACGTAGACAAGCGCTTGCACTGGCGAGCTCTTGCCTGCGTCTGGCCTGCTCGAAGCCTGGGCACGCACGCACGCACGCCGCCTGCTGGCCGCTGTATCGCCTTGGACGCGTGGGGCATCCATCCTTCAGCATCGAGCTCCGCCAAAGGTGTAGGTACACTTTGCCGCGCAGGGATTCAACCACAACCAATGATGCCCTCGTCTCTCGAGGAGTAATCGCTGCGGGCTCTCTGAGAGAGTCTCTCTGCCTGATTCAATCTCTCTGTCCAACGGAGCTCGCTGCCGTGGGCGGACCGTGTGCCGGTGCCGCGCACCAATATTTCGGCTCCAGGAAACGGCCGTAACGCCGTGCCCATGCATGCAGCCCGCACCACCGCCTCGCTCATGTTGCCAATAAATAGCGTTTGCCGAGTGTATATCGTTTTTTTATACACTGCCGATGTCCTATTATCCTGGTGCCTACAATTAACTCATGGGGGCCGCAAAAATATACTACTTAATTCAGGCGCTGGCGCTTGATCTCCAGCAGCGCGTCCGAGTCGTCGGCCTTCCACCGCTGCGTGGAGCTCCACGAGCCCGTGGGCGCCTGCGAGTTGGCGTTGGAGGGCGTCGACTCGGCCATCTCTACGTTCTCGCGGTCCTCACCCGCCTCGCTGGGCGCCGGCAGTTGCTTCTTGTCCTCCGACTTCTTCTTGGAGAACACGAAGCGGCGGAGCACTTCCATGCCGGCCTCGTCCGTCTTGGGCTCGTTGCGGCGCTTGCCGTTGCCCGGACCCTTCAGCACCGCGCCGGGCAGGGAGCTCATTTCCTCCGCGAGCTCCCAGATCGCGTCGTCCTCGGGCATGTTGCGCAGCAGCTTGGCGAAGTAGCCGTACGCGTGGGTGCGCACCTGCACGGCCGTCTTGGTCTTGACGAAGGTCTGGATCTTCTTCCACTTGCGACCGTAACGGTTCAGGCCCTCCATGAAGCGCGCGTGCTCGTCCTCCGTCCAGCGCTCGCGCCGCTTGTTGGTCTCGCTCGTCTGGCTCACGGGGGACGCCGCGCCCATGGGGCTCTGCAGCTCGTCGCCCATGTTGGACGACGTGTCCATGCTCACGTTCGTGTCCACGCGGGGCGGCGCGTACGCCGTGTAGCTGCCTTCCATGGGCTGCATCATCATCATCGGCGGCTGCGGCAGCTGCTGCTGTTGGTACATGGGCGTCATCATCTGCTCCGGCTGTTGCTGCTGCTGCTGCATCTGCACCTCCTCCATCGGCGCCTCCATGGCGGGAGCGGGGGCCTCAGTGGGCTCGCTCGACCTGCCCACGAGGTGCAGGAGGTTCGTTCGCGCCAGGATGTCAGCGAAACTGGGCAGACGACGCGGGGCCGGGGCGGGCGCTTGCGGGGGCGACGGGGGCGTGAGCAGCGACGCCTGTTGCTGCGGCGGCGGCTGCGCGTTGCGACTGCGGAAGCTGCCGGACAGAAGGTTGGACACGCTCATGCGCGGCGCGGGCTGCTCCTGCGGCAGCTTCCAGGCGGGCGTGGGCTGCGGCGTGAGCGCGAAGGGCGGCACCTGCAGGCGCGGCAGCATCGGCACGGGCATCGGCCCGGGCTGGTACGCCGGGTTGTAGCTCTCGTTCACGGCGCTGCCGGGCGCGTTGGCCATCTGCTTGTGCGCCATCTCCGAGTACTCCGACATGGGTCTACGATGTACTGGGCAAGTCCTGATTCGCGGGGTTCAACGGATTGATGATCACACACACACACGCACGCGCCAACGCTGCTTGCGATCTTTGCGGCGAATTGCAGAATAGCGAGCCAGAGGGAGAATCGTTGTCCTTCCGGGGGTTGCCCGCAGAGGGTGCGGCGAGTTGCGCGAACGGGGGGCCAGCGGCCCCTCTCGCTCACGCCCCTAGCCCTGCTCAAGTTTTACAGTACGGCATGACCAGTTTGTATGGGGTGCAAAAAAAACTCGCTCAAAAACGGCCTGAAAGAGTCTTGAGCTCTTGGGCTGCTGATCCGCCGGCCCAAGAGCAGATGGCGGCGGCGGCGCCGACGAGAGTGCAGTGGGCAGCGCCAGTAGCTGTGCGGGGCGGCACGTGGCGAATGATACGTATCTGCTCGTTGCAGCTCGCTCAGCAGAGAGCGCGTCGATGAAGTCGCCGCCAACGCTGGGCAGCATACACCTCCCAAGTGTATGTGCGTTTTCGAGCAGGGAACCCTCCTGTCCAGCCAGAAAAGAGCCGCCTCGTCTGCGCGCGGAGCACGCATCTTGCGCGCTGTATGACAGATCTCGGCACATTTCGATCGCCTCGAAACGGACGCCTAAGGTTGGTGCGCTGGCGGCGCTGGTAACAGCTTGCGCTGGGGCTCCGGTAATCAAGCTCCTCCGAAACCGCGCAAATAAGCCGCGCAGTGACGAGCGGCCGAAGTATCCAGCTCGCACCGCGGCGGCTGGGGCCGCCGCCGCCACGCGGCAGGGCGTCCGTCACCTCATTAATGTATGTGTCCCCAAGTCAAGCCGCCGGCTTCAAAAGGCGGTCTGTCCCAGCAGCATCCGGCGGGGAGTGAGAAAATTTAGGACCGAGGGCGCCGCGGCCCGGAATGTTCCAGGTCGTTACAGCGCGAGCTTATTCAGATGATCCACTTGGTGGGTTGCTGTCGAGGGTTTTAGCTGTCTGCGAGCTCGACGCTTCGCCAACGCACTCGCGCGGCAGCACGCAACAGCGTGGCACATGCACTGCAGTAAATGTACACGGCGCGCTGCCGGCGCCGTAATCGCATCGGTGCGTGCCGCCCGCATCGATCAGCGCCCAGCTGCGCGATTTGTTTCGCGACTTTAGTGATAACATTTACATTTCCTGCGCAAAGCGTTTTGTGGTCCGACCAAGTATAGCGGGGGTTCGTGTGCCTAATTGGCTTGTCTCTGTGGCGCACGTATCCACTACGGTACATACGGTTCACAGTGGCACGCCTGCCATCTAGCAGAACTGAACCAGGAAGAGCTCGCTTCAACTCGTTTCGCCTCGAAACGGAGGCGCCGCCGGGCGCCTCACGACTGCTGCCAGCCTGTCAAGCGGTCTGGGCATCCTCGAGCAGCATCGGCGAGGTGCCGACGGCCGTGTCTCGGGGCTTTGCAGAGCAAAACGGGAACGCGCGCCGATCGCACACCCGCAGTCTGTTATGGCGGACTTGGCTCTGCACTGACAAGAGGCCTCTCTATGCCTGCCTGCTTGAACATCGCGCGCGCGCGGCCCGGTCTCTTTTTCATGGTGCTTCGGGTCAAGTGTATCAGCAGCGGCAGCGGCGCCGCCTGCTGCTGCAGGGCGCGCGTAGCTCACTCGGCTCCGCACGGAGCTGCTGCAGGCTGCAGGAAGCAGAGCCACTGCCGCAACCGGCGCCGAATCTGGCAGCGACGTATGTACACTTCTCGGGCCCGACAGCCGGCGCTGGCCGGCCGAAAGTCGCTGCGGCGCATGCATATCGGCGCAATCCTTTTGACGCGCTCAAATCGCGCCTGCACCAACCATCAGGGCATCGCGCGCGGTCCCTTCGACGAGAGACAAGAGAAGAGAGACGAAGCGGAGTTGTCCGCCGAAACAGGCCGCTTGATCATGGTCTTCAACCAGCCGACGTACGCTCGAGCCGAGCGCCCCGCGCTTCGCGGCGCGCATGCACTTGTCCGTCGCGGACGTGTCGAGGTGACGTGGCCTTCGCGTCCGTCGGGCTCCGATAGCGATGCCCCCATCGCCCCTTTACGGGTCCGTCGGGGGGATGGTGGGGTGGCTTGGCTGGCTGAGAACGTTCGCAGGCGATTGCAGAGACCGCGGTGGGGCAACAACAACATGGCTCGCCTCGCAGCAGCGCGCTGTCAACAACGACAGCATGACCGCGCCCGTCTTCCCCGCGGTACAAGCGGTACGCGACATCCGCGCTTGAGGTGCAAGAACTTGATGAAGACCGCGGGCGCTTTGCCCGGCAATGCCCGCACGGCGGCGGCGCGGCTGGCTGGCTGGAACTGTGGCGTGTTGCACCCTTGCCGTGTCTTGAAGAGGAGTTCTGCCCAACGGCATGGACAGTCGGTTTGAAAGGTTTTGCAGCCTGCCCCAGATCGTCGCTGATTGGCCCAATGACTTGCGAGAGGGTGCAAACATGTACAAGTGACAGGGCGATCCTAAATCCTTTCATAATCTATGCGTACCATGATTTGATTGCGAATAATCCGGAAACACTCAGTGTAAGGAGCCCCTGTAACTAGATAGCGTACCGATTTTAGCTCTAAACCTAGCCACGATGTTCCTTATTTCAAACTCGGTATCCCAACCGTTCGCTGCACCAAAGCCGCTTCGCTCTGAAGAGAGGAGACCTTCGTCCAGGGTGCTCCGCGACCGCCAGCTCATCCACCCCCGCTCCGCCTCGAACCCGCGATGACCACCGTGGTGCTCTCCCCGCCCTCCGGCCCCGCCAGCTCGCCTGCAGCAGTGCCCAGCAGCAGCAAGAGCGTGCTGATGAGCGTGGCGGCTGCAAAGGAGGCCGCGGACGCGTCGCCCTCCGACTCCGACAGCCCCACGAGCACGGCCATTGATCTGAGACTGAACGAGGTGGAGGGCGTCGACGTGGAGCCTGAGGAGGCGAACGACGACGAGAACGTCGAGCGCAGAGCCAACGGCGTCTCGGACGAGGCCCAGGAGCGCCCCAACAAGAAGCGGCGGCGCGTGTCTTTCGAGTGCGCGGACATTGTGGAGTTCGAGCCCACGGTCTACACGACCAGCGTGACGTCGGGCGGCGTTCCCGTGGGCTTGTCGCTGAACGAGCGCTCGCGCTCGCGCCGACGACTGGACTCGTACGAGATGGAGCGAGAGAGCGAGTACGTGCCGGGCAGCAATGCAGGATTGATAGAGATACAGTCTACAGCGCTGTATAGGCGTCTTAGGATCGCGTGCTGACATTTCGTTGTTGCTTTCCAGGCGAGTGGGGCGGCAGAGCTACATGGAGGAGGGCTACCTGGACCCGCAAGAGCGGGAGATCATCCTGAACAACGCAGGCTGTGACGAGCCCGTGATCGCCTCGGTGGAGGCCGAGGTGAATACCATCATCCAGCACAGACGCGAGTCGAATGAGATCGACTTTGACTTCATGTACGGCGTCGGCGAGATGGAGGACGACGAGGATGAAGTTGAAGAGGAGGAGGAGGCGGAAGTGGAGGAGTCGAACACAATGACATTCGAGCAGGATGGCGTCGAGGCAGCAGAGATGAAAGAGGACGGCGAGCAGCAAGAGCACGATGCTGAGGACGGCACTGCGCCGCCCTCTACGACCGACGAGCACTCGGTTGAGCAAGCGGAGAAAGATCCGTCTACAGAGACTTCGGTACATCCCTGCAGCGACAACGAGGCGGAGGCCGCGTCGATATAGAGAGCGCACGGCCACGTCCTCGACGTGCAGGCCGAGGCGAAGGCCGCACGCCAGCTCGCGCCGACTCTGCGCTGGAAACTCCTACTGCGCGCGTGTACATATCCGCTCCTCGTCGTCGTCCCTAGTCGGTTGGGTTTTGTCCATTTGTATTCCTTTTTATTGGCTGTCGCTTCGACCAGCCGCAGTCACGGTGCCCCACATATACAGACGCCATCATTGTCTTCCGCCGTGTTGTTGCTTGCCTTTCATTATCCACTCCATCGGGTGTTGAAGCTGCTCGGCAAAAGTGCAGCTTGAAGCGAATGTGCCATGCGGTTGACCCACTGTTTGATTGGTTCACAGTTTTGCCCAATGGCGCGGTCGCTGGCCGATCTTTCCTCGTTGGTTGCCAAGATGTCACAAGTTCATTGACGTTGGCTGTCGCTCCGCCGCCTACACCACCGCTCCGCGCCCCCTGCAGGTCAAGACTCGCGCCGCTGGCGCCGCAGACGACTGTACCAGCTATCTGCACAGAAATACAATGGCTGCTGCAAGCGAAGCGCCCCGGAAGCTCCGACGCGCTACGTGTACGCCTGCTCAATCTAGTTGTGGCGCTCCATTGTGTTGCGTTGAAGTTGTGCTCACAGACAGTGTGTTGTTTGCTATGAATGCAGACGTGAAGGTTCAGGACCTGACGCCAGGCTCGCAAGGCCACAACCTGGTGCTGCAGGTGGTTTCCATCGCGCCGACGGTGGAGAAGAAGCGCTATGACGGCACCATCTCTCGCATCGCCGAGGCGGTGATGGCCGACGAGACTGGATGCGTCACGTTTACTGCGCGGAATGGTACACTGTTGATATGTTGCTGCGTGTTGGTCGTGCGGAGACTGACGTTTGTGTCTGTATTGCGGATTGCAGACCAGATTGACATGCTGAAGGAAGAACTCGTGGTGGTGGTGCGCAACAGCAACGCGGACATCTTCAACGGTTTCATGCGGCTCAACGTGACGCAGTGGGGCAAGCTTTCACTGCACCCGGATGGCATTGCGTCCACCCCGCCGCCGCCGCCCAGTGTCAACACGGACAACAACATCTCCGCCGTTGAGTATGAGCTCGTCACGGTCGACGACGCCGAGGAGTAAATTGATGGGTGTGCATTGCATGCCAGTGTGCGTGCTCGCTTGCCGAGTCCGGCGCGGCACCTCACAGGAATAGGGTCAGTGTAGTTGCGTTCATCGACGTTAAGCTCGGACACACGGAGCTGCTCCATATAGCAGAGAACCTGATCAGCTACGACCCCGCCCACGCAGTGACGTTTTCATCTCACCTTTTTTTTACACACCCTGTCCTCTTTCATGTGGTGCACCTCATCTGTCCAAATTTCTCGCATATAACAATTGGCTGCTCGATCTCTGTAGCAGGGCTCGTATCCAATAATTCTCCGAGCCAACGGTTGGTTGGCTCGCGCGCCTCTGTCTGTTGCTGTGCGTGGGGCTTCCTGTGTGGGTCATTTCTGAAAGCAATTGCCCAAGAGAGAATTCCTAGTCAGCCATGGGTGTCCGTACCAAGACCGTGAAGGGCTCTGCCGTCAAGATCATCGAGAAGTACTACTCGCGCCTCACCTTGGACTTCGACACGAACAAGCGTGTGTGCGATGAGGTAGCCATCATCCCGTCCAAGCGCATGCGCAACAAGATCGCTGGTTATATCACGCACCTCATGAAGCGCATCCAGCACGGCCAGGTGCGCGGCATCTCGCTCAAGCTGCAGGAGGAGGAGCGCGAGCGCCGCATGGACTTCGTGCCGGAGGTCTCGGCCATCGACACGGAGAACATCGAGATCGACAACGACACCAAGGACCTGCTGGCCCACCTGGACCTCAAGCTGGCCGGCGTGCACGTGCCCCAGGTACGATGAGCTCTTGTTGTACGGAAGGAGAGAGACAATGCTGGAGCCGATGATGACCCCATGCGTGTGGTCGGAGCGGTGGACCCATTGCAGCCGGCTGTCAACACCTCGTGTTGGCTGCGTCTGGCGTTAGTGCAAAGCAGAGATCTGTAGCGGATACTATCACACGCATAGTTGCAATTGCGCTGTCCTGTGCTGTACTGCAATTGGTCGCCACCCCCATGTCATCGGCTCCCTCAGCGTCGCTCCAAATTGGACGATGCAGAGGTTGAGCGCTTTGCTAACTTTACCTCGACTTGTTATCTTTTTTCAGCCTAAGGCCCGTGAGCAGCACCACCACCACCGCAACTAAGCGTCTTTCAGCTGAAAGCCTAGGTTGCTATGTGCGGGTTGCTGTAGGAGGACTGTCTAGTCTTGTGGCAAAGCGCTTTTGCTGTTGCCTTTGAGATGAACACAGTTTTGCTATCTCGATAATCCCATGGACAATTCTTTCTTATGCTTGATGCGTTCAGTATCTTCTCGTTTATTCATTCTACACTTGCGCTGATAGTCCATTTGGCGGTTGCCTAGAACTCTGTGGACTGCTTCATGATCATGAAGAACTCGTCCATGTCGATCTCGCCGTCTTGGTTCTGATCGAACTCGTCGATCATAGCCTGCGGGCGGCAGCAATAGTCAGAGAAGCTGCGTCGGTCTACCTACGGTACTCTACTGCAGCATGGTGCACACACCTGCAGCTCGTCGTCGCCGAGGTTCTCACCCAGCTCCTTCGCCACCCTACGCATTTTCTGCTCAAGAGACAAAAACACGCGAGCCCAACGCCAAGAGAGCGACTCCATTCAGCAACTTCACATAGTTTATCAACAGCGAGACGAACATCAATTGCCACACACACCCGCAGTGTGATGGTGCCTGATCCGTCTTCATCAAACAGCTCGAACGCCTAGAGGCAAGCGGCACAGTCAGTCCGACTCCAAGTCCGTGTCTGTGTCCGAGTTGGTGGGGTCGTGCGGCGAGCGGCCCACGCGTCCTACCCGCGCAATCTCCTCGTCCGGATCTCGTGCCAGCACCTTCCGCCGCACTGCAAGAGTAACACAGCCACACACTCGTCAGCTACAGCACCCACAGCCGGCGCTTCTTCATCTCAAGCGCCTTACTGATCTCCATGTAGTCGTTGAAGTCCACGTGGCCGCTGCGCTGCACGTCCACGTCCTCCACGAGGTCCAGCACCTCGCGCTTGGTCACCTGGAAGCCCAGCGCGCGCATCAGCACCTTGAGCTCGTGGTAGTCGATGGAGCCCACTTTGTCCGTGTCGAAGAGCTCGAACGCCTCGCGCAGCTCCTTCTTCTGCTCGTCGGGCAGCTCCTGCTTGGCTCTGCGCCCTGTCCGCGACGTGCGCGCGCTGCCCGAGGCTCTGGACGTCCGGATCAGCGGATACAGCGGCACGGCGCCGTCTCCGCGCTCCTGGTGGCTGCGCTGCACGCGCGTAGAGCTCATGGTCTTGTGCTGCCGGCGGTTGTGCCTCTTCGCAATACTGAGGCGAAGAGAATCGCTCCCGGCCGTTAGGACGACCGCTGATTGGTGGAAAGTGACGCTTCAACCGATTGGATTGGACGGGGACCTCTTCGACGCCAGCATATTATCCGAGCCCAATGGAGGCGGCGGCCTTCTCCACGGGCGTGTCGATCCAGTACCCGCATGGCTGCCTGACTGCGGGCCACTCGGCCGCCCACCGAGGCGCCTCCGTTGAGTACCCATTCCCGTTTCCATCGGACTCGCGCGCAGCCTCACAGCGCCAGTTCAAGTCCGACACGGAGGCGTACAGCGTGTGCCAAGAGCTCGCCTACCACTTCGCCTGCGAGAAGACGCGCCGCGCCGTGCAGGAGCTTCTGCGCAAGAACAACGACACCAGCTACAGCCAAGTGCTGCGCTTCTTCGAGAAGTACTGCGCGCGCGACGAGGCGGCGGTGGCCAATGGATCCAATGCTGTATCACAGTCGCCGTCTGGGCGACGGCTGCGGGACCTCAACGCCCCAGTGTTGTTGCCTCAGTTCCACGCATTCCCGACGGCTGCAGTAATTGCTGGAACAGACGCCACGTCGAGCGATCTGTGGGTGGAGCCGTTGACGCACAAGCTCCGGCGGACGTTCCCGCTCTGTGTACCGGTGCAACGCGACGTATCCACTGCTCGGCGGTTTGTGGAGTGGCTGGCTGCTAGGATGGCCAAGTTGTGTGAGGTGAAGAGGAGAGAGGAGAAGTGGTTGGAGGGTTTGGTGGACAATTTCGATCTGCTGCCTTTGGATCAGCCGCCCTTGGGGGCGGGGAGTGTCGGTCAGAGGATGACGAGGCAGCAGCTAGCGAAGGCGAATGCAAGTGCAACATCCGGGGTACAGCAGGATGACGAAGAGAAGGACGCACACAGCGACGCAAGCTTCTTTTCAGAGTCGAGTTCGGATGGTAGCGACAGCGATGATGAAGTAGCAAGAAGGGGGAAGCGAAAACGGCGGCTGCCGTCTGTGGCGTATGGACGATGGACAATGTCGAAGCTGCTGACGGCAATTCAACGTGATATTGATGAACTGGTATCGCCTAACAGTGGGGATACTGCTCGCGAATGGGTCTCTATGCTTGGTGAACTGGTGCAAGCTCGGATTCTGGAGGCGTTGGCCGTAGTGAAGGAGGTTCAAGAGAAGGAGGACGCCGTGATTATTCAAACTATCGCGTGTTACGACGAAGCGGTAATGTGGTTGCAGCGCACAATATCTACGTGCCAAACGACAGCGGCAAAACTGCTCAATGTGGCACCAGAAGCGGGGCCAAATAGTCCCACCACTGTTCATATCGGCAGTACGGAAATGGCGTTGGCACGGATGTTGCAGCGTGTGCTGTATCAGTACGCGGAATTTTTGGAGGACTGCACACTTGATCGAGAGGTTGTCCGGGAACGACGGAAAACTGTCAAGCAGCGCATCTTTAGCCATGAGAGCGACTATACACTCAAGCGAAATGACGTACAAGCGGAAGTTCAAACGCCAGCACCGTCCTCTCCCTCTCCGCGGCCATTTCTGCTGCTCTGTATCGAGCAACTTGAAGCGTTCTCGCAGCAGGTGCTAGGTGAATTTCTGGAGGTCTGGACGAACTTCGTCCGACACCACCAGGAAAGTCATCAAGCGAAATATGTAGGCTGCACGCTGGGCTTCGTAATCGGAGTGGCCTCTGCAACTTCACCGGCGCTCCGACGTTTGGATCTCACGGTGACTAACCGCCTCGAGCTGCAGTTCTTCTCGCTTGTTGACTCGCGGAAGTGCTTTGACGATGTACTGGAGTCGTTAGTTGTGAAAGCAAGACTGCCCCTTGCTCTCAGTGGAGAGGTATTACGAGCTATTGCGAGCCGTCATCACCGCTTACCGAGCGTGCCGCGCCTCTTGTTAGCGCTGCGCTTCTTACTCTTCACACATTTCCGGCGTTGCCCCTGGAGTTTTCTATCGCTGGCTGTAGATGGTCTGTCTTCTCCTGGTGTATCCCCCATCCTGGTAGCGGCTAATGGGACTCCGTTACCCCACCGTGTCTCCACCTGGGTAAGGCGTCAACGCCGGCGTTTAACCCGTGAAGCACAAGGAAAGCCGATTGAGTCCGATTCCTCTCTGGCATCGTGGCTTGCACCATGCAGCGCCTTGGAGTTGGCGGACTTAGCTTCACGAGTTTTGCCATCCGGGGCTGGTGAGGAGAATTGGCTAACGGTGCTGGAGGAAGCTTTGCTACATGAGCGTCATCGACACGCTCGCTGGCGCATGGGTTGGCAGTGCTTTCGCTCCGCTTGTACATGGTTGGACGTGCGCATCGAAGGAAGCTTGGAAAATGGCCACTATACCGGGAAGCAGGAGCAAATGGCAGTGTTGCACTTGGCGCTAGCGCTCGAGGGTCGACTCGGCGAAGCACCACGCTTCATGGAAGTCCTTCGACGGCTTCAGAATTGCACTCGATGGGCAGCGCTTTCAGTGATGATAGAGGACTGGCGTTCGTCATTTCGCGCGTCTGGACTGAACGACGACGACCTCGAAACGACGTTGGGCGAGCTAGCACTGTTGTGTGCTTATGCTCGAACTGAGAAAACTCCGCCGAAGATGTTGGAAGCATTACGGGAAGAGCTTGTGACGGTGTTTACCACTCGCCTCATCACTGCGTTACTTCATCCACCGACGCCCCGTTCAAGATCCCCTGCAAATGCACTGGTAGAAAATTGGTCGGTGCTGATGGACGCCAACGTACTGGAGGAGCGACTGCGGCTCGAATACCACGACAACCTTCGCAACGTGCTGCAAGACGCTGGAATCGGCGAAGAAATCGACACCAGCAACGACGAAGACGTCAAGACTTCGTGGGTGCACGACGTGGGGCTCGCCTTCTTGTTCTACCAGGAGAGCGCGAGCGCAAGCTTGAGTCTTCGCGAGTGGTATGAGAGTTTTGCAGCGGAGCTGAAGGAGGAGTCCAAGTCTGCATCCAAGAGCAAGAGCAAGAAGAGGAAGGCGAAAGACGCCAGCGAGGACGCAGCCTTTAAGGCACGGTTCGTTCGAGCGGTCTGTACGCTGCGGCACTGGGGCTTCATCAAGCACGACGCGCCTCGCGACGCCGAGCAGGACATCATCGAGAAGCTCGTCTTCATCTAAACTCGCACAATATAGAATTCACGACAGGGTTGGCTGGCTAGCTGCGCAGAGGTTGAGAGATATTGAGACAGAGGTTAGAGTAATGTTCGGATAGCAAAGTTGAACAGTCGAGAAAGATGAATGGTGCTGGGTGCGATTTAAAGTAGGGAAGGAGGACTATAATACTGTCACAAGAGCGGCCGTAGCTCTTCGGTCTCCATGCTCTCACGCGTCGACGTCTGGTCTGGTCAGCACTCAGTCGTCGCCTCTCTCAATGGCTGCAGCAAATAAAGACAAAGCACCAGTAAATAGTCAGATATACCGCAATTTATCTTCAGATATAAGGAGCCAGGAGCTCGTACCGCCCGTGTTGTAGTGCAGCAGCTTCTCGATCAGGTCCACGTGCGTGAGCATCATGCGGCGGCAGCAGTAGCGCTTGAGCGAAAGCTCGTCCAGCGCGTCGCGCTCCGTGTAGTCGGCGCGCAGCAGGCCCAGGTACGTCTCCCACTTGTTGGCCAGCACCTTGCCGCACGTGAAGCAGCGCACAGGGACGATCATGGCGACGTAAGTACTTAGCTCCTCCGGAGGCGAATTACCGAGTGACACCGGCCAGCCAGTGGTCGCCCCGACGAGCTATTTCAGCCAATCGCGATGCAGCAAGTATGTTCGACGAATCATGGACCGACTTTCGCTTAGGTACGATCTTGTTTTTGAGAGGCGAGTGGCTACAGAAAGAAAAAAAGAAGCGGCGGATCCAACGCAGGAAAAGCAGCGGCGGCCTCGGGGTATGTGAGCATGGCGGCGGCGGAAGAGCACCAGCAGCGCCCACAGGCGGCCTCTCCGACGAGCGAGAATGCGGCGCATATGGCCAACCAAGTTTCGTCCAAATCGGCGCAGAAACCGCTTTGCAATGACGTCGAGAAGGGTCGAGAACAGGCTTCAAGTGAGTTGGATACCGAGAAAAGCAGCCATACGTCGATGAACAAGGCAAACACGGAGATCGCAACAGGTTCAGAAGATGCACCGCCCAAGCAGCTACCTGATGTTGTCTCGGTTGGCAGCGTGAGCGCAGATCCGGCAGCAGCAGGCACTGACAAAGATACCGACGGAAAGACGGCGGATCCAGTGGCTCTGGAGGACGCGCCCGTGCCTGTGGACGTGGACACTGAAGGACTTGAACAACAGGAAGACACGTTGGCGTCTGAGCAGTCGGTGGCGCACGTTGAAGTTGGTGCAGAGAAGAAGAGATCGACGGAAGAACCTTCGGAGACTATTGAGAAGCTGGTGGAAGTTGGAGTTGGTCAAGGTGCGACGGAGGAGACTATTGTTGATGTCGCTGCTACTTTGAAGGAGACCGTTGTTGCTATGGAGGTGGATGGGAGCGAGAAATGTGGTGCACCTATGATGCAGTTGGATGAAAAGACCAGATCTACAGTTGCTGAAGGTAACCTGGCTGGAAAAACGACAACGGAGGAGACGACGATCGCCGTGGAGGTCGTCTGCGAGCAGAAGGAGGTCACGAGTGTTTCGAAGGGAGATATCGTGGAGGAAGTTGGAAAGGTTGAAGGATCAGCTAGCCCTCAGGACCTGAGGGAAAGTGCTGCTCCAAGTGACAAACACGGAGATATCACGAGTGCAAGTGAAGACGTTGAGATGACTTCAAGTGATGCGACCGAGACGCACGCAGACAACGCACAGCAGAGGACGAATGATGCAGCGCCTCGACTAAGGGTGGTGGAGGTGACCGAAGTGGTGGGGCAGATTGTTCACTCGCTTGTGGATAACGTGGTGGAGTTCTTGGATGATACTGTATCTGTGGATGCAGAGTCTGTAAAGTTACTCAGCAGCCCAAAGATGCACAGTAGTCCCAAGATGCTCAGCAGCCCGAATATGCCTCACCTAAGTGCTGACGAGGCGTTTGAACTTCTCGAGGCGCACCAAGGCGATGACCATGTTCTACTTCCAGAGCATGATGATGGTGCAGATGCTGACGTAGAAGCCGAACCGACAAAGAACCGTGAGTACCAATGGTTTGACGGGGACGACGATGACGACGAGGGGGTCGCAATTGAAGCGCCCTCCGTGCTGGACTTATCAGAAACCACCGACGACGTGATATTTGGTGATGCCATCGATCTGACGGGCGTCACACAGTCTCCTGGTGATAATAACGTTGACCACCTCAGTGACGGTAGTGGGGACATGCTTGTCATTAATTCCAGCAAAGGTAGCAGTAGCAGCAGCTCGAGCTCTGCTTCATCTGGGTCATCATCCTCGTCATCGTCTTCCTCCAGCAGCAGTGCAAGCTCCGCGTCGGAAGATGAGCATGTGCGTCGTGTACTGAAGAAGCGGCAGGCGCCAGTGGGTACCGGTCCACGCAAGCTTCTGAAGTACAAGAAGCAAAAGCGGTCGCGTCATGCAGATCCCGAGTCTTCCCAGAGACGTCCTAAGCGCAAGCGCAAGATTCCGCCGCCAACTATTCCAGCGGAGTTCGACGTTTTTGAGACGGACGCGGCGGATCCGATTCTCAGAGGTTCCTATGCTGTGCGCAACAATCGACGTGCGTGCTTTGTGGGGAACTGGGGCTTCAGCGAGGACGCATTTGCCAATATCGAGAGCGTTAGCCCGTTCGAGTACACTTCGCGCACTCGCGTTCCTCAATCACGTCGCAGGGACGACAAGCGTCCAGTTTCCGGCAAGTACGCAGGGTTCTTTAAGCTGCGTCAGTTCAACGGGACGTTGGTCAAGATCCGAGAAGATCAAGTGGACTTGCAGTTTTTGCCCATGCCGCCGTCGGATGAAGAGAATGAGGACGAGGACATGGACGGCTACGACAGTGACAGTGACGACGAGGAACCAGCAGCCAGTCGCTATACTGTGCTTGGCAAGGGTAAAAACCGCTTCGGCCGGTTCCTCATCCGAGGATATCTAAATCCGGAGAGCGGCCGGCTTACGGTCAAGCGTCGGTATTTGGAATAGCGCTGTTTGTATAGGTGAATTTTCGTGCATTCGGGCTCGCTCGCTCGGTGCAAGAAGAGAAAGTATAATGATGCAGAACGCAGTAATGCAGAGTTTATGAAGAAGAAATGGTGGTGGGGCGTAGTTGCTACCAAGTCTACAGTGGCCAAACTAAAGCAGGACGCTGTTTTCCCTCGTTCGTTCGAGGTAGTGCAGCCAATCTGGGAGCACGATGTTTCCGACAGCAGCGCAGTGTCACTTGGAGCGCATTAAGCGCCCTGCAGTCCGTGTTGAAGTTGACGTGTACCATCTCGCCGTCTAGCAAGTGCTTGCAGCCGTTCCACTGCGGGTTGGAGTCTTGTACAACATTGTCAGTACCTGGCGGACGACCCGCTCAGGAAGCAGCTTGGGCATCAGCGCGCTAACGCACCCAGGACTTCTTTTCCCAGTCAACCTCGTCGACGCCTGCTCAAGATGCTTCTTCGCCCCAGTCGCAGCATGGAGCTTGCTCGCTTCAGAATGCCAATAACCTGACTGAGCTCCGTGCTCGCCGCTTCAGCGGCCATTCGAGGGTGCATGCAGGCAAGAGTCCATGTTGCCCAAGCGCTGCATTCGGCGAAACCTAGTCCTCACACAAGCCGAAAGGGTCTACACGGGCGCAGAAATTGGATATGGCGCTGATGCTCACATAGTTCTTCAACCCAGCCAATCCACAGATCCTCCTCGACACGACGAGGGGCCATCGCGGGCGGGCGCGAGCCACTGTTCGAAGTCGAGGCCGTGGAACCCGAAGAGAGCGCTGTACTATCCAGCGGAGCCCCCCTATTGGCCCTGGTTTCGTACCGAAGATTTTCCGGCCAGGCATCATTGCCAACGCTCCGAAGGGAACTCGCTCACTACGGTCAACGCGGCTGGTTGTCGAGCTGTTGTCGGCATGCCATGCTGTCCAGTTTCCGCGAACGGCGGTCAGCCTGCCCACGTCCAACCTGCCCCCAGGCTGGAGCTGTGTGCAGTGTCTTGCAAACTTGTAGCTTCCCCAGGCTGGAGCGGTGTGCAGTGCCTTACTAGCTTGTAGCTCCGCCCAGGCTGGAGCGGTGCAGCTTGAGGGCGCGATTGCTGGTCAAACGCGATGCAAATCTGCGGTGATGGTCGACCAGCGCATACCTTCGGCCTGCAGCCAATCAGCAGCGCGCAGCGGACCACTTCAACTTTGGAGGCGCCGGGATTCGCCAATAATATCGACCAATGTCGGTGCTTGGTATCACTTCGTGGATATCTCAACAAAACCGGGCCATCCTACGTCACACTTGCACCCAGCTGCGCAAAAGCTCACCGAGCTCTCACTCTCCAATCCGCGCCGTGCCCAACACCCGCCCCGCCCCCTTCATCCGCTCAAGATGGCCCCCAACATCGCCAAGGACATGACCGCCCTCATCGGCAACACACCGCTGGTCTACCTGAACCGCGTGACCGAGGGCTGCCACGCCAAGATCGCCGTCAAGTGCGAGTTCATGGAGCCCTGCGCCTCGGTGAAGGACCGCATCGGTCTGAGCATGATCCTGGACGCCGAGAAGAGCGGCCGTCTCACCAAGGACACGCACATCATCGAGCCCACCAGTGGCAACACCGGCATCGGTCTGGCCTTCGCGTCGGCCGTGCGCGGCTACAAGCTGACGCTGGTGATGCCCGACACCATGTCGATGGAGCGCCGTATCCTGCTCAAGTCCTTCGGCTGCGATGTGGTCCTGACCCCTGGTGCTAAGGGCATGACGGGTGCCGTGGCCAAGGCCAACGAGCTCGTGGCCAAGGAGCCGGGCAAGGCCCTGTCGCTCGGCCAGTTCGACAACCCGGCCAACCCGCAGATCCACTTCGAGACCACCGGCCCGGAGATCTGGCGTGACACCGACGGCGAAGTCGACATCTTCATTGCTGGCGTCGGCACTGGCGGTACCCTGACGGGCACCAGCCGCTACCTCAAGCCGAAGAAGGACACCCTGAAGGTCATCGCCGTGGAGCCCGAGGAGAGCCCCGTGCTGTCTGGTGGCAAGTCGGGCCCGCACAAGATCCAGGGCATTGGCGCTGGCTTCGTGCCCAAGGTCCTTGAGACCGACCTGATCGACGAAGTCGTGACTGCCAACAGTGCTGAGGCATTTGCTATGTCCAAGCGCCTTGCTCTCGAGGAGGGCATCCTGGTTGGCCCCTCGTCGGGTGCCGCCGTGGCTGCTAGCATCAAGGTTGCCCAGCGCCCCGAGAACGCCGGCAAGCTGATTGTGGCTATCCTGCCCAGCTTCGGCGAGCGTTACCTGTCGTCGGCACTGTTCGAGAAGGAGCGTGAGTACGCTGCCAACCTGCAGACGTCGGAGCTCGCGGCCTAAGTCGTATAACCGCGGAGACTTCAAGCATGCAGGTGCCGAGGTGATGATTCCCTCGGTTCCTCCATGTTTTGTGATATTGTAAGTAGTGACAGATCTAGAGGAGTAGAGCACACTAGTGTCGGTATTTTTCCTAAATACACGTGGGCTTGCGTCTCTCATCTTATCGCTCTCGACTAGTAGAGTAGAGCGCGACCTCTTCGGGCGTGGCGTGCGTCCGACGGGATCGACATTGCCAGGCCGAAGGGAAGATTCGACCCGAATGGACTATCTGTCTGGATTGTGGCTTGTTGCAACTTGTAACAGGTAGAACCAGCAAGTTGCCACTACATGCGCCAGCAACGCAATGAGACCCCCCCCCCCATTGACATGTGAAGAGCGATCGTTCTCTGCGCTGCATGAGACGAGAAAGTTGAGACCAAGGAGACGAATAAAACCGTTGCAAATCACAAGTTGAAGTTGCTTGGATCCGCGCGTTTGATTGGCTGTGAAGTTCGGATCCAAGCGACGCAAAAAAGTCTTGTAAAGACAGCGCTGCCAGCCGAAAGACCTCGCAGTCGACGGACAGACATGCTCTGTGGACCATGTTGAAGGCGTCTCGGTGGACAGCGTGTCCCTGCCGCCGAAGCAGTTTTGGCCTGGAACGGCCAGTCTCTTCACTTTCACTCGGTCTCAGTAGATTGCGATGCACCCCTAGCCTCGACGTCAATATTCACCAATCGCGCGCCGCCTTACCTAAAATTCACAAAAGTTGAAGTGCGCCGCTCTCCCATTGGTCCGATCAGACCAATACATTTCCTCTGTGAGTCCTTCGTGGCATGTGTGGCGTACGTACGTTTGGGCGATCCATCACCTGCCTCATCATTCTTGAACCCGCGGCGTTCCGGACACACCTCCGCCCTCCTTCCTTCCCCACCGCAATGCTCGCCCGCTCGCTGATCGCCGGCCGCCGCGCCATGCTGCGCAACGCGCGCTCGCTCCACATCGCCAAGGACATGACGGAGCTCATCGGCAACACGCCGCTCGTGTACCTGAACCGCGTGACCGAGGGCTGCCACGCCAAGATCGCCGTCAAGTGCGAGTTCATGGAGCCCTGCGCCTCGGTGAAGGACCGCATCGGTCTGAGCATGATCCTGGACGCCGAGAAGAGCGGCCGTCTCACCAAGGACACGCACATCATCGAGCCCACCAGTGGCAACACCGGTATCGGTCTGGCCTTCGCGTCGGCCGTGCGCGGCTACAAGCTGACGCTGGTGATGCCCGACACCATGTCGATGGAGCGCCGTATCCTGCTCAAGTCTTTCGGCTGCAACGTCGTGCTGACGCCCGGCGCCAAGGGCATGACTGGCGCTGTGGCCAAGGCTGAGGACATGGTCAAGAAGGAGGCCGGCAAGGCTCTGACCCTGGGCCAGTTCGACAACCCGGCCAACCCCAAGATCCACTTCGAGACCACGGGCCCCGAGGTCTGGCGCGACACGGACGGACAGGTGGACTTCTTCGTGGCCGGCGTGGGCACGGGCGGCACCCTCACGGGCACGGCCAGTTACCTGAAGCCCAAGAAGCCCAGTGTCAAGATCATCGCTGTGGAGCCCGAGGAGAGCCCCGTGCTGTCGGGCGGCAACCCCGCGCCCCACAAGATCCAGGGCATCGGCGCCGGCTTCGTGCCGCGCGTGCTCGAGCGCGACCTGATCGACGAGGTCATCACGGCCAGCAGCCCGGACGCCTTCGCCATGGCCAAGCGCCTGGCTCTCGAGGAGGGCATCCTTGTCGGCCCGTCGTCGGGCGCCGCGGTCGTAGCCAGTCTGGAGCTGGCCAAGCGCCCGGAGAACAAGGACAAGCTCATCGTGACTATCCTGCCCAGCTTCGGTGAGCGTTACCTGTCGTCGGCTCTGTTCGAGAAGGAGCGCGAGTTCGCCGCCAACCTGCCGACGTCGGAGCTACCCTAAGCAGGCAGGCAGACCGGGTTCGCTGTGCTGTTTAACGCAAGCACTGTAGCTTCGTGTTCCATAGCGTAAGTAGTTATCGATCTGCTGTAGATCTCTAGACAGGGAGGGAAACTTCGTGTCGACAGTTAGTGCCGCACGCACAACCAATATATTCCATTCGAACTACAGCCTTTGCTTTGCAGTCGTTGCTACAGTCGTGCAAGTCTGGGGCATCGTGAGCTGATAGAGCCCGTCACTGTGACTCACCATTCGATCACCATTGCTGAGCAAAAGGTATCGTCACTTGGACGACTGTTGCAGGCTGCGAGGAGCTGCAACTTGCAGCTCTTCATTTTAACGAGTTTTTAAAATAATAAGGTGGATTCTTATCAACATAGAGGCCTATACCCGCGGTTCCTGTGCCATCGTGACGTCCTCCTCATGCCGCTCCAAGTAGCTGGCACGCGCGCGGCCGCGCTCCGCTTGGAACTTGCGCAGTTGCCGCAGGTAGTGGAATTCGCGTAGCATTGCGTTGGCTTCCGCGTAGTCGTTGCGCACCGCTCGGGCTCGCGGCACCTCCATTTCCGTGTCCATGGCGGTGGCCTCACCCGCCCATCGCACGCCGTGAGCACCTGCAAATAGATAGTTACAATACAAATGCTAGGTTCAACTCGGGGCCTCTATCAAGTGCAGCAAGGAGGTATTGTACCGTCGTAGTTGTAGGCGACGCGCAGCCGCTTCATGTCGTTCTCGATGGCCTCTCCTCCCTCCGAGCTGCTGTCAGGCGCATCCGTGGATGTGGATGTGTCGCTCTCGTACGCAGGTAGCCGCGGGGTCTCGCTCCACTCGCACTCGCGCTTGCGGCTCATCGCGTCAAGATGAAAGAAGACTTTCTGAGGAATTTGCTGTAAAAAGAAGAGAGTATAGATTTTAGTCCAGTTTGGTCTCTGGTCCATTTTGAGCTTATATATTATTGTGGTATTCAACTATTTTGCCGCCTGATTTGACGTGTTATCTCGGAGTCCGATTTATATAAAATGGAGCTCCCACATGATCGGTTAGTCCAATTTAGCTATATCTGACCTGAGTTAGTGCACGCCTACCAGATATACATTAAGGGGCTGTCATACTTACAGCTGATATGCAGCGTCATATACGCGCATAGATCTCGCGGGACGCAGATATCGTCTCGATAAACTGCCCTACCCCTAGATATATGCCGTGTAGCCATCATAAAGTTTTGTCTTGTTGTTAGTATACTTTATGCTGACCATCATTCTAACATATGCATCCTTCACTCTACGGGCATATCGATGATCATATATCTTCCGCCAAATCGAAAAGACGCTAAGCTGCGAATTTGCCGCCGGCGGCGCGAAGTCGACAGCAGCCAACACTTCGAAAGGTGAGCGTGGTTGATGGCTTTGTATGCACTTCTCTATGAGAGGACTCACCTCGTGTTTGATTGCAGGGACAATGGTGCGCTTAACCCACTCCGCCGTTCACTGGCGGCGTCGGTGCATCAATGACACGTCCAGCGAGGACGAAGAGAACACGCCGCCGAACATCCAGCCCAGCCACCAGTACGACCGCGACAGCAAGCGCCGCATCGAAGACGCCAGCGAGTCCGCCAGCGCTACGGGCACAGCAACGCCTCCGTGGCTACCGCCAGAGAGAACCGGTGTCCAGCCGCCCGTACGCCAGCCCCACCACGTCGTCGCCGGTGCTCCTGGAGACGCCGCCGAGATCCCTAGCGGCGCTTCAGCCTCGCCACGAGGGCCGTCGTGCGCGTCGTGAAGCTGCCGCGCCTTACGCTCGCCGGCAGTCGGTGCCTCAGCGCGATGCCCGACCCGTCATCAACCCACGCGGGGCGATGCGAGTCACTGCGGACGGATCGCCTCGGACGCAACTACGGGGGCCGCGGTCACGGGATCGGTTCATTCCAGCGCACTGGCCGCACCGCGTGATTCAGCTTCGCGAGCAGTTCAACCCGCTCGCGACGGTATTTCCGTCGGTGCCTCACTTTGGGTGGTGCGACTGCCCATTGCCGTGCCGTGTGGACTCCTGCCGCAATTCGCTAATGCATCTCTACTGCAATATCAACTGCTGCCCGTACGGGGGGGGGGGGGCTCTGTGGCAACGCGCTGGCCGAGTCGAGCAAGGTGTATCTAGGGAGGAACGTGCGCACATGGTCGTTGGGCGTGGTCGCTGGCGAGGACATCGAAGCGGGCGAAGTGCTGGGGCAATACCTCGGCGAGATGGAGCACTTGAGTGTTTCGCGCACGACCCGACCGCGCAATAGCGGCTACCGCTTGGTGATGAGGCAGCGGCCAGAGCGACCGACGTTCCCAGTCTGCGTGGCGATCAACGCCGAGAACATGGGAGGGCTGATGCGCTTCGTAAACCACTCGTGCCAACCGGTGGCGAAGTTCGTGGAAGTGGCCAACGGCCGCCGTACCACCGTGGTCGTGGCGTCGACGCAAGACATCCACCGCGGCGAGGAGGTGACAGTCGACTATGGCGACGACTTGTGGTTTGTTTGCCACTGTGGGCTAGATGGCTGTCGCCACCGCAACATTCAAGACGACCAAGACCCGTGAGAGGGCCAAAGAGTGAGCAGGACGAGAGAGCAAGCAAGGTGAAGAGAGAGAGACCAGCGAGAAGGGGGAGGGAGCGAAGTGGAGGAGGTGTAGTTATGTAGGTAAGCGTGTTGTGAACAAATGAATTGCATTGAGATAACCTATTGCTGTGCGGTTGTTGATGGTGGTTGCCGTGAGTGCAAAGTAGCTGCAGGCTAGCAACAAGCAGGGAAGCATGAAAAACTGGCGCCAAGGTTCGCGCCAAACGACGGGTTGATGGACTCATCTTCGTTCGAAGTTTTCACGTACACTGACTTGCTAATTGCGCGCGCAGATTTCGCGCGCCAGCGTTGAAGTTGTGAGCTACTAGCATCCTTTCAAGATCGATGCGAACTGGTGGCGGCGAAGGCATCGCCCTGGCAAGCTGCCGCCGCGGCGAAGCTGTCGTCGTCTCTCACTTCTGGTTTTACCAGTTCTCCCCTCCCAAGCGCGTCTCCGCCGCCTCGCCTCCGCCCACCACTCCCGGTACGCCGCGCCAACACGGTCCAACGTGGCAATGAGCAGCGTGTCTGACTTTTTATTGATTCGTCTGTGTGTGTAGATGCCCAAGCACTCTGGAACCACCAACTACTCGACGGCCGATGTCGACCGCCTCCTCACGCTCGTCAAGAAGATGCTGCCGCTCGGCAGGGACGAGTGGGAACGCCTCGCTATGACGTACAACGCCAACAGGCCTCGAGGCTCGCCCGAGCGAGACTTCGAGAGCTTACGGCGTAAGTTCAAGGTGCTTCACAGCACCCGGAAGCCGACCGGCGTGCAGGAGACCCCCCCCCCCCCGCTCATCAAGAAAGCCAAGGAGGTCAAGCGTGCCATCGACGACAAGGCCAACGTCGTGGAGATGGACGACGAGGCCGACAACGACCAGCCCGACTTCTGCTTTGAAGTCGACCCGGACGACAGCTTCTACGAGTGCGGCGACGGCGAGGGCGAAGGTTTGGGAGTGCCCACTGCCGCCACTGTGGGCAGGTCCGACTGCGGCGAGTCGCCGGGCTCCGACGAGTCGGCCGAGGACGAGTCGACGGCTTCCAGCCGCTCATCGAGCCGAGGCGCGTTCCAAGACTTGCTCTCGTCGCCGCTGACCACCGATGATCTGGACGAGCTTGCACGCACGCCGCGTCCTGCTCCTGTCCGAGCAGCGCCAAGTACACGTCGTGCTGGCTCGGGAGGGCTGCCGCCACCACGTAAGGCGGCTGTTACTGCCCCCAGTAGTGATAGCCATCGACTCAAGGTGCCGCCGCTGCCACCAACCACGATGCCGCCGAAGCGGCCAAGTACCCCAAGCTCCACAAGACGTCGAACCGTCTCGGAGGCGTGGACTTGGCCGGCTTTCGCGACGCGGTGGGCGCCAAGCGTGCTCATGAAGAAGACAAAGACACAGCGGAAGCTAGCTACGCCAAAGCTAAGCACACCCGTGCCATGAAGGCAACAACAGCTCTCAAGACAAAGCTGGATGGCCTTGAAAACAACGCCAGCAACATGCGAGGAGGCATCCTCGAGACGATTCTGCTGCTCCGCGAAGAGATCGAGCGGAAGGCTGACGCCCGTCGCGCCGAGGAAGATCAGCGCCACCGCGACGAAAAGGCGGCCAACGAGGCCCGCCTTCTGGAAGCCAAGGCTGAAGCTGAGGCGCGCCGCCGTGAGGAGAAGCTGGAGAGAGAGGACCGTGCGCGCCGTGAGCGCGAAGATGCGCGCGCCCGCACTCAAGAGCTGCTCATATTGATCGGCGCACTGACTAAGAAGGCGTGAGCGGAAGGCGCGCATGCTCTTCGAAGTGAGGCTATCATTCACGTTCTAGTTACTATATACTTGTCACTTACCACTATGCCTCAAATCAAACATGTTGTTCATGATCCGCTAGCGTGTCCGTCATGGGTTACGTGATCTTCTAGCGCCTTCATCATCACATGTACTTCTCGTGCTGCGTACATATCTCTGTGAAGTCAAGTGCAAGACGCACGAGCATCGAGTTCGGCTCTCCGTCGCAAACGTTTGCAGCACGCTGCTGCCAGCAACATCGAGATAATGAAGCAGCTCAATTCAACGGCAAAGAAAAATGTATTGTTGCATGCAGTACAAGCACGGCTAGTTCGACACCCTACTCGCTGGATAGCTCCATCTCGCCTGAAAACGTCGTGCGTATCTGCGAGATGCCGACCGTGCGGACGCGATAGTTAGCCATTCTGAAGATGTTGTTGATCCGGTGCCCACGAAGCTCGGGGTCATACGGCAGGGGGAGGTTCAGGCGGCTGTACACCTTTTGCATGCTCCCCATGCCCCACTCCGCTGCCTGCCTCACGGACGTGATGGCGTTATGAAGCGTCCGCGCGGAGCTTCTCAGCGACGGGAGAATCCTCTCGAGATCGCCATCTTTGAGAGGAGTCAGGATGCGACCGACCATGCTGGTCGAACACGGGAAGGCCGAGTCCGACACCACGTCCATACGTGTGTCCGGGCAGAGGGTAGGGTCGAGCAACTTGGAACGGAAGCCCAAGGAGGTGTCGGAGTCGTTCCACGACCCGGGGCAATTGTGCTTACACCAAATGATGCAGCCGTCGACTGCGAAGCAGATTGTGCCAGTCACGAAAACGGTGTGCAACCACCCGTTATACATGGCGTTCTGCAAGTCCGCATTCGACGGCTGCTGAACCTACAATATCATTGATGTTAACATTCTATCATAGCAAGTAACATTTTGCAAACTACAACTCACCCTTAAGTTCTTCCCATCAATGAAGCCGAATGTGTGTTTGAGAAGCGGCTCGCGGGCTTCCACAAGCTTTGCGAGTTCGGCTTGGCGAGCAGGCGAGGGCCAAGAGATTCTGGCAGGAGCGTAGCCTTTTAGCGCCAGCGACAGCGCTTCCTCGGCGCGGCGTAGCGTCCTCGATATGGTGCTCGGCGGAGCCCCAAACATCATACACAGGGAGCTCTGCTCCATCGACCCGACGTAGAAGCACAGCACCAGGCCCAGGATCTGGTGGTAGTGTCGGAGCTTCGGGGGCCGCCCGCGTGCCGTGCTGCGTGGGATATAGTAAAAGCGGCTGAAGCGCCGCAGTAGTTGGTGGAAAGCCGACCTGAAAGCATGCATGAATTAGATATAGCGCAGCAACTTCAGATAGTAAGTAGGGTCGCACCTGGTAAAGCTCGTCGCGTTTAGGAAGTTGATGTCGCTTCCGCGCGTGTACAACATCATCCACGCGGAGTCGCAGGGCGTGTCCAGGCACTGGGTGGTCAGGTAGTGCCTGGTCCGCATGGCGATCCTCCACTTCTCTTCCACGAGCTTGTCGTACACCTCCCTGCGCACCTCGTGCAGCGTCTCCTCCTGCTCGACGAAGGCGCTAGCCAGCACCAGCATCGCATCGACATCCTCTGCGGCCATCGCTCCGGCGCTTGTGTCCGACGCGCGCCAAATTCGAAACTGGTGAAATTTAGAAGGGATGCAGCGTCGGCGGTGTCCGGAACGAAATGACGGGTACTTTCTTAAAGCCCAGCAAGCGTCTATCAAGCCGCCTGATTCAGGGCGATATCAAGCGGACACAAGTGACGCATGTACGACAATTGCGGTGGAGATTTTGAGCGCTATGTCAACATATATCTTTTTAAGCCCTGTCATATCTGCTGCAGGTATGACAGCCCGTTAATGTATATCTGGTAGGCGTCCAGTAGCATAAGACTCAAAGGGGAGGCATTCCAAGTTGGACATACCTCTCCACATCTCATGACGCATTAGAACTGCAAGACATTGGGGACAATAGTACACTGTATATAGCCACTTCGTAGCACTATGGCCATCTAAATCACCTGTGTGAACATCTACGGCCGCTACAACTCCGTGCCACGCTGATCTGAGAGGGTCCCAGACATGTTTTCGCGGCGGTCCCTTTTGCCGGCGAAAAGCGGCATTTCTGGCCCCTGCTTCGCAAGTTGCGAATCGCAACTCGCAGACCCCAGACGCAAATCGGTCCAGATATAGTTTGCTTCCCTCAGCCCCTCCTGCTAAATCGGAGCCCTCCAGCAAATCGGGCCCGATATATCGGATCTTGGACCACCCGATTTGCCAAAACGGATGAAAGCCACAATATATCTTAACGTTATTTTGACGGTCAATTTGGTCCAATTTGGACACTTCAACTTCAGATTTGCATCACCACGCAGCGTTGAGCTGCCGTCCGTTCGTGTGTGGGGCACTCGAGATGATCATAGTCACGGTCTCCTCGGTCTGCACAGTTCGCGGTGGGTCATGCGCCCTGTAGCAGAATAGCAATAGACGAGGGCAAACAGAAGTTCTTCCCGGAGCTCGGCGCAGAAGTCGTCCATAGAGGCTGTAAGCTGCATCGGAGACCGGCGCCGCCCGACTGTTACTTGACAGTTGCTGCTCGGACACAGCTAGACCAAACTTTCGTGATATTCACTCGCTCTGCGGGTTGCTGGATCTGGAGATCGGTGACTTCTCCGAGGTTGGTCGACAAGGCCAGCTCACTGCTTCTCGGCATCACATTCGCGATGCACGAGGGCAAGAACCCTTGGTGATCCCGGTCAGGGTGCGGCGAGTGTTGTCCAACGATGACTGCTGATATGACAAGTTCTCATATCAGCGGCCAGGAGTTCGTGCTCTCAATATGACCAGCGATTTCAGGGCTGTACTGAGAGAACGCTTTCTAGTATTAATACAGAGTTTTGAAAGCGCTTCAGTACCGATGTGCCTAGTGAAGATATCGACTCGATCAAACTATTTGCACTGTATACACAAGCGATTTGGCACGTTTTGCTGCCAGTTCCCAAAAAAAACATCGGTCAGTGGAGGAATTTCCATAAGTCAGTAAATACTACTGAGATTTGCAGATTTGGATTTGTTCCAGGAAGACTACTGATCAGTACTTTTCCGACGAGTTAGTATTCAGCTATAGTATTATTAATACATGTAGTACTGCACTACTATACATTAAGCTGAGCACGTGCTCTTGGCCTCCGTGTTGGCGCTAGTCGTGACTGGCCTTCACTACCTCGACAGTGTGTAGCTGTTTGACTAGCACCTGCTCGTACGAGCACGTGTGCCTGACGAACCACGCCAAGCAAGGCCTAGCGGGGGGATATTGCAATCTTGACATGTATCGGTGGTAATGTTATTTTTACATTCTGCATCTATTAGAACATGAAAAAAAAACACTATGTAATCGCTCTCGTTGAGAATTTCGATACTCGTATGTGTTCTGGACTGAGTTCTCATTTTACCGCAAATAGAGCTAATCAAAATGCACTCGGACTCTCCCCTGAGTAGTAGACAGAATAACAACCCGCAGTACAACATATTGCCTTAAAAGGTACAGACATCAAATGCTGGATCGCACACCAGGCGGTGGACGTTCATACATACCTGCCGCGCAATTGTAACTAGACGAGCATTTTAGCTAAGCGAGTTACCATACCGCCATGTGCAGTTAACTCCTATTGTTGGTGTGTGCGTTAGAACCCCGCGTTTTACTGCCTATAGTTTTAGAGTTGTAAGACATCGGTACTTTTTAGTAGTAATTATCGTGCCCTATGACTATTTCGAACCTGTAATACCTACTATGTTCGAATGAGCTCTGAATGCCTCTGATAGCCACTAACCTGTTTCTAGAACTGCTTCGGTGTTACAGAGTCTACAGCGAATGCTGCAATCAAATGGGGGGCTAGCGGAGAGCAGTCCTCTGTCAATGCCGCCTCTATTCAATACTCACAACTCTAGAACTTCGTATTATAATTCAAATGACCCAACAGGACATCATATTTTCAACTGCTCTTTGTGTTGGGCGATAACCGATTCGACGAATTGAAAATGTGTGTAACAGTTTGGCCTATCCTAAATCCCACTACAAGGGCTATGTTTTTTTGCAGTTATTAATTAGTTGTACCCATGAGAAAACCATAGAAATATTTGGGACTGCGGGATAACTATGCCCCAGTACAGCCTCCATTACATAGTAAATAATCTGTGAACTGAAGCACTGCTTCAACTGCGAAGCTGCAATATACGCACTTATGTTCACGAGTAGATGCAGTGCTCACTCCGAGTGCGACTGGCGTTAAGAGTGAAAAATAAAAAAATATACGCACTTATACACGTACTATTGCTATATTGTAATATTGTAATCTCGTAGTGGTTTAGACAACACAGCACGACTGATAATGACTTGTTTAGAAATACTGATGACATCCCAGAACTACTGATGTTCGAAAATAGTAATCCAGAAGCAGTTGTGCAGAATACTATTTTCCAATCCCAACACAAAATCTCAGTAGTATTTACTGACTTACGGAAATTCCTCTCGGTCAGTGCCGTGTGAGTGCTATCGTCATGTGCAGACCACGGCACAACCACCAACATGGCTTGCGTTAGCTTGGTGATACTGTAACGCTCCGTCAGATTACAAGACGAGAAAAACACATGGGATCGCAGTCTGGTGATAGTGGTGACAAGTGTTTGCCCTGCCCAGGCGTCTCTACTGTACCAGTAGAATAAACCCCGGGTCACCTGTTTCTTATTTTTTGTGCTTGCAGTCTTATCGTTTATTTAAGAAACTCACGCGCCGATTGGCCCATTCAGCGTGGGTTCAGCAACTGCCTTCGCCCTAGACAGTATTGAGCGCTCGTGATGACACAGATCCCGAGCATGTCGCTGCGGTCTGCGTCGACTGCAGCCGCGGGCGAGCTGCTCCTGTCGACCTCCAAGTCGCGCGCGTCCTCCGCGTCGTCGGTGTCCATCTCTCCGGCCTCCGCGAGCCACGCGCGCAGCCTGGCCACGCCCACACCTGGTGCGCGCGCCGTGCCGAACGACGTGCCGCTGCGCTTCCACTGGGAGGGCTACCTGCAGAAGCGCAGCGACTGGCTCAAGCACTGGGAGACGTACTACTTCGTGCTGCGCGGCCGCTCGCTGTACTGCTACCTGTCGGAGGAGGACGCGCGCCGCCAGAACGCCAAGTCCAAGATCAAGAAGGGCAAGTTCGGCTTCTCGGAGCGCGTGTCGCTCGTCAAGGCGTGGGACGTGGAGGAGACCCCGGCCGGGGGCAGCTCCGGCCAGACGGGCTCTGCCGCCTCCACACCCGTCGCCGGTGCTGGCTCGCAACCGGAGGTTGCGGTCGACGCGGCGGCGGCCGCTACGAGCCCGTCGTCAGCAGCGACCGTAGACTCCGAGTCCTCCTTCAGGTTCACCATGGCCACGCACAAGGGCCACCAGCTGCACTTCCGCACCAACTCGGAGGCCAGCAAGCACGTGTGGCTGCAGTTCGTGGCCAACGCCATCGCGGACTATGACCTCGCGGGGCACATGCGGCCGGCCGTGCAGCGCCTTCGGACCAACGTGGTGGACTTTTACACGGGCTACGAGTACTTCTACGCGGCTCTGTGTGCGCGCGTGTCGGCCGATGAAGGGGGAGTGAGGATGGATGTGCCTCCCTCGCCGTCCGCAACCGGACCGGGTACTCCGGGCGTCGGATCGTCCGAGGACACGGACAGATCGAGTCTCACACTGGCGCTGCCGAGCGGCAAGAAGCCCACCGCGTCCTACATGCCGGTCACGCCCAACCAACCCATGGCCAAGACGAACGTGGTCGCGCCGATGGACCACGCGCTGCTCCGCTTCTTCTCGCTGCTGAAGTCAGACGTGATCCTCCGTAGCAACTACCTGCCCATGGTGCCGTTTGAAGGCAAGTATCGTGGATACGCAGGTGTGCTCGAGTACTTTTCCAGGTTGTCCCAGTCAGTGCAGATGGAGCAGTTCATTGTCGAGAGCATCCAGATGGAGGAGGACGAGGAGCACGACGAGGCCCCGGATTTCGAGTCTCGTCCCCCCCGGAACCGCAACAGGGTGGTCGTCATCTCTGGGAGGGAAACCATGCAGGTGCGGTACAACCAAACTACGTTTATGCAGCAGTGGACGCACAAACTGCACTTCAAGCCGAATGATAACGGGCGCGTTAGCCGCTGGGAGATTTTCGGCGACGTCGTGGCCTCCAGCGTGGTGTTCAAAGCCCCTGGCTGCACGACGAATCTCACGCTACCGTCGCTGGCTGAGCGTATCCGTGAGTCGGTGGTTGGTGGTTATGTGGTTTCGATTAATCTGCACCAAATTACGGACGTTCGGTCGCACGAGTTGCAAGGCGACGAGTTCTTCGTACGCTGTTCGCTGGATACCAACGAATTTGAAGGCGTGTGGCACACGGAGGCGCAGTCTCGAGCTGCCGCCCCTGTGGAGATCCCCGGCGATTCATCTGGAAGCGAGCTGGCGTCTTGGTCCTACAACTACCAGCAGGAGCTGTATCTGCAGTTTGATCGGCTATCGCGCGATGACAACACGGTGCTTCTCATTGAATGCTGCCGCAACTCGAACCACGAGGTCGTGGCGCGCACGCACGTGAATCTTGCAAGCTTCTTGAACGGCAGCAGTGGTGTTAGCAGTTTCGCCACCACGGGCGGGACAATTTCCAGTCGGTTGATGGGTCGACGCAGCCGTCGGAAAACCAACAGCAATGCGTCGAGAGTAGGCGAGATGCACTCCTACGTGCTGTCCAACGACCACCAGAGCTTCTTCGGTAAATTGCTGCTGGGCATCACGATCTCCGCCATGTCCCATCGGTCGGTATCGCAGCGGTCGTCGACGTCAAGCTTCCGGGACAGCTATCGGGACAGCATTGGGTCAGATGATGGCAGTATGGGTCCTCCTTCCTTCGCGTCGATGGCGTCGTTCGAAAGCTCGTCGACGCGGAACAGTTTCCGCGCGTTCACCAAGCAGTTTTCTCCACCTGGGGAGGACGTCATGCATCAGTTTGTCATCAACGGCGTACGGTATCAGTTGGCTGAGAAGTACCGAATGGTGAAGATCGTAGGAAAGGGTACGTACGGTGAGGTGATCGCAGCGAGCGATTTTGTTCACGGCGGCACGTTCGCGATCAAGAAGCTGGGCCAGTTCCTGCGGCATCCGAAGGTGGCTCTGTTGGCTTTACGCGAGATCAAGCTCATGAGTGAAATCGGCACACATCCGTGCCTCATGGGCTTGCACGAACTGCAGCGGCCATTGGATTACGAGCACTTCGAAGATCTATACATCATCCAGCCGCTCATGGAGACAGACCTGTGCCGCATTATCCACTCGAAGGAGAGTTTGAGCGACGACCAAGTGCAGTACTTCTTGTACCAGATGCTGTGCGGCATTCACTACCTGCACTCAGCGGACGTCTTGCACCGTGACATCAAGCCAAGCAACATCCTCGTGAACTCGGACTGTCGGATCAAGATCTGCGACTTCGGGCTGGCTCGGCACGCGAACGACCGGGACCTGGCTGAAGGACTGTCTGAGTACGTGGTCACGCGATGGTACCGAGCGCCAGAGCTCCTACTCGCCAACGCGTACACGAAGGCTATCGATATGTGGTCTATCGGGTGCATCTTTGCCGAGCTTCTGGGCCGGCGTATTATGTTCCCGGGGACGTCCTACGTGGACCAGCTCAAGGTGATTGTGGACATCGTGGGCACGCCCACGACCTTCAGCTTCTGCGATAACCCTGTGGCACGTCGCTACGCTGGTCGGCAGTTCCTGATCCAGAGCCAGAAGGTGCCCAAGGTGGACTGGGCGCAGGTCTTCCCGGAGGCCAACCCGGACGGACTGGACCTGCTGGACAAGCTGCTGCAGTTCGACCCGGCCAAGCGAATCACGGCGGCCGAGGCCCTGGAGCACCCGTACGTGAGCCAGTGGCGCGACCCGCAGCTGGAGATGCCGTGCCACGCCGATGTAGCGACGAAGCTCACCCAGTTCGACTACGCACAGGTGTCGTACGACCCGCAGACGCTCAAGGACCTGCTCTACCAGGAGGTCATGAAGGCGCAGCGGCCGCCCCAGCAGCAGCCTCAGACCATCGCCGAGTGAGCGGCCTTGTAGACCTGTACCATGTAGAGAAGTGAGGCACGGAGGCAGAAACACTAAGAAAAAAATCGACATCAATAAAGTAAAAGGCAAGAAGCTCGCAAGGCGCAAGTACCCCCAGCCTGGGGGCATGTTGATGGAAAATGGCTACACCCTCAAATCCTCTCCTGTTGCATACATTTCCCCTCCCCAACGTCATACTTGTTTTTTTTCGTCCAATGACACGGCGTTATTCCTCTCCTCCACACACCACCATAGCCGGCCGAGCCATTTCACGCCTCTCATTCCCCCGCACCTACTCGCGATGAAGCTGCTGCTGCTGACGGCGCGTCGCGTGGCGCGCGCGGCGGCCCCCGCTGCGGCCAGTGCGCTGTGTCCGTCTGTGCGTCCCGCCTTCAACGCCGTGTCGGTGCCCGGCGCGCGCTTCCTGAGCGACAAGCCCGGCAACAAGAAGAACACGGACGCCGCCAAGCTCTTCGCCTCCAAGGACGACGACAGCGACAGCGACTCGGACTCGGACAGCGACTCGGACTCGGACAGCGACTCGGACGACGAGCAGGAGGAGGTCGAGGTGGAGGAGCTGCTGCCCATCGACGAGGACGGCATCTCCACGGCCGAGCGGCGGCGCCGCCTCGACGCGTTCCTGGCGCACAACGCCGAGTACTTCGACGAGGAGCGCTGGGGCGCCGAGGACGGCGAGAAGTGGTTCGGCTTCGACGGCGACATCGACGCCGTCACGGAGGAGGGCGTGCCCACGTGGCTGCAGTCCGTGCGCAACATGGTGAGCGTGGAGGACGAGCGCGCGATGCGCGCCAAGTCGGCCCGCATCGCCTTCCACGAGGCCAAAAACAAGATCGTGCGCGTTCGCAAGCTGGACGAGAAGGGTCGCGCGTACGGCACGGGCCGCCGCAAAACCAGCACGGCCCGCGTGTGGGTCAAGCCCGCCGCGCAGCCCTTCACGGGCCGCATCAAGGTGAACAAGAAGGACCTCGTTGACTACTTCGTGCGCGACACGCACCGCGAGGACGTGCTCAAGCCCTTCTCCACGGTTGAGAAGATCGGCTACTTTGACGTGGTCTGCACGGTCAAGGGAGGAGGTATGACGGGACAGGCTGGCGCCGTGCGCCACGGCATTGCCCGCGCGCTGCAGAACTTCGACCCGGAGATGCGCCCGGCGCTCAAGAAGGCGGGACTGCTCACGCGTGACCCGCGTATGGTCGAGAGGAAGAAGGCTGGTCAGGCCAAGGCCCGTAAGAAATTCCAGTGGGTCAAGAGATAGATGCAACGCAGGCAGGCAGGAGAGAAGGCTGCTGTCAGACAGGAGCCTCAAAAGAAGCAGGCAGCAAGGCGACGAGAGGAGAGAGAGCTGGCTGCACGTGCAGTGCAGTGCGAGTGCAGCCATGGTATCTGCCCAACTCAAAGCATTACCCGTCTGTCAGTCGTGTGTCCAAATTTCCGTTTATTGCCATACATATCTGAAGAAGCTCAGCTCGCTCATAGTAGTACGCGCAGTTCCGTCACCATGTGCGAGTCCAGTCTTCTTCCTCCTGCTCACTGCTCACTTTGTTTCTTTATGACCTGATGCGTGTCTAGCGCGCTACAACGCCATGGACGCCTCCAGCTTCCGCAGCGCCTCCAGCTCGTCTTCGTCCGCGTTGCCCACCACGTTGATGTTGGATTCCACGGTGTGTGTTGGCACGTCCGGCAAATTATACTGCGCTAAAGGAGCGAGCGGGGCCGAAGGCGCAGCGGCGGCGGCCGCTGCAGTTGCTGCTGCAACAGGCGCGGGCGGAGCTCTGGCCGCGGCCACCGCAGCTTCTGCGGGCGTGACGGCGATGGGCTCCAGCGTCTTCTCCTCGAGCTCGAGCTCCTCCATCTCGCGCAGCTCGTCCTCGAGCTCGTCGTCGTCGTAGAGCTGCGAGCCCAGCGGCTGCGAGATGGCGCGGCCGATCTCGTCCGCCGTGGCCATCTCCTCCTGGATGTCGTCCATGATGTTGTCCACCTTGTCCACGTTCATCTGGCCGTGGATGGCCTTCATCTGCTCGGCGCCCGAGCGCAGCGCCGTGAACGTCTCCATGTTGACGTGCGCGCTCTCGAGCGTCATGACCTGCGTTTCCAGCGTCATGCGCGCACCCTGCAGCTTCTCCACCTCGGCCTCGTACATCTTCTTGCGCTTGAGCGCGAAGATGGCGCCGCGCTTGTCCTTGGCGGCGCTCTTCTGCTTGGCCTCCTGCAGCTGCAGCGCGATCTTCTTCACGATGTGCAGCTCGCGCTTCTCCAGCGACTCCAGCTGCTCGCGCAGCTTGCGGATCGTCTCGGCCGTCGCCACGGGCCCCGTGCGCGCGGGCGCCGCCGACTTGCGCCCGAACAGGTTCATCCTGGTACTGCCGCCGCTGATGCCCGGCCCTTGTAGTTGTGAGTTGAGAATCCAGGTGCTACGTATCAAAACACAATATGGTGTAACATTTGTGTATATACTTAGTGTACTTACTTAGCGGGTTAAAGATCAGTACAATGGGCGTCGAACGGTATGTTTACGTACCGCATAACCTGCACTCAGCATAAAACTACTTGATGGAATTCCCGAACCCATTTTAGAACGGCAGTTAAAACCACCTTCCAGAATCTAAATATAGCCTACGCCTGTAGTGCAGCATGTGGTGTGCTCACACACCAAAATGTCGATGACGCGACGGTTGCAGCCAGATGGTCCGTGTCACACGCAAAGGCATCCATTTCCTATCGGTTTCGGAGCTGCTCGCTCGGCAGTCCCCAAGCTCCTCCTCCCTCTTTATGCTGGCGCGCATGGCTCGCGAGTGGAGCGTGTTCATGCGGCAGCCCGTGCTGCCCCGCCACAGCAAGCACCACCCGCACTCGTGGCTGCGCCACGTGACGCTGCTGCGCGCGCTGCTGGTGGGCGCGACGCTCTTCGTCTGCTGGGGCTACACGCAGCTCCTGGTGCGCTATGGCAGCATCTCGCCCGCCGCCACGGCGCTCTTCACGACGGCGTACGACGGCCGCCTGGCCGACGACTTGCCGCCTATGTCGCCGCCCTGGCGCCCGCCCTTCCGCGTCGTGGTGTCGCTCACCACGACGCCCAGCCGCCTCGACAAGGTCATGGACAGCGTGCGCTCGCTCACGCGGCAGTCGCTGCAGCCCGACCAGATCTATGTCAACATCCCCGAGGGCCCCATGAAGCGGCACCCGGAGCGCTCGTACGACGAGACGGAGATCCCGTCCGAGCTCGTGGGACTCGCGCCGCTGGTCAAGGTCAACCGCTGCATGGACGACGGCCCGGCCACCAAGCTGCTGGGTGCCTTGAGGCTGGAGGACGACCCGACCACGCTCATCATCACGCTGGACGACGACTTCGAGTACCCTGCGGAGCTGGTGGCGTCGCTGGCCTGGGAGGCTGTGGCCAAGCCAGACGATGCTCTGGGCGTCTGCGGATGGGGCATGCTGCCCATGTGGCACGAAGTGGGCGTGGTGCCCGCCTACGTGCCGTACTTCATGCGTCCTCGCGGCCGCTACGTGGATATCTTACAGGCGTGCTGCGGCAATGCCTACCGACGCGGATTCTTCTCGGACGTGGAGGCTCTGGCTGACATCCCGTCGGTCTGTGTGACAGTTGACGATGTGTGGATTGCTGGATACTTGCGGACGGTGGAGCAGCGCCATAGCGCTTTGATCAGCAAGAGGCTGGATCCGTCCGACCCGGAGTGGAAGAAGGAGGAGGCGCGCTCCTCCGAGCGCCAGATGACGCTGTCGAGCTTTAACCACGAGCACCAGGTTCATTATAAGTGCGTGCAGGCTCTCGAGGAGAAGTTCCAGCGGCGGTGGACGCGTAACTTTGAAGAGTAGGCAGGCACGTACGCACAGGTAGTATAGCTTGATAGATGTTCAGGCGGGAACGAAGAGTTTGTCGGCTTCGTTGCTGTCTGTAAGCCATAGACAACACCATTTAAACACTGGGATAGGTATGTACGCATGTGTATTACTCGTTCTTGTCGATAGTGCTGCGTGGCGTCAAGGATGCTCACCGCCCTCGCCTCTCCTCATTCCAACGGAGGAGGAATCCCCACCACGGATCAATCACCTGCCGTCTAATTCAATTTGCGGGCAATCGGAAAGGGAAGCGCAAGTCAAGCTGGAGTGAAATCAACGCCTTTTACACCGGGGCTTCAGTCTCCTAACAGCGCAAGACGCATCTACTCGTTGCCATTGTGGATGGCACCAGCCTCGTCCACGGACGAAATTTGACTGCAAACAGCACACAAACGCAAGGTTAGTATCAGCAAAAAGCCACCGCAAAACGATACAGAGGCAGGAATACGTACATCCACTTCTTGTCGAGCGTCTCCTTCCACAGCGTGACCTTGTGGTCACCGGATGACACGGCCAGTACGTTGCCCGTAACAGACCAGCTCACACGCCACACGGGGGCGTCGAACGTGTGCAGCAGCTCGCGCTTCCAGGTAGTGTCCTCCGCAGTCTGCGACCAGATGTACACGTGCTTGTCCTCCGAGCAACTGGCAATGAGGTTCACGGGCAGACCCGTGCTCGGGGCCCAAGCCACATCACGAACCCAGTCGCTGTGCGCAGGAACGGAGCTCAATTCCTGCTTCGTCCACTCGGTCTCGCCCTCCGCGAGGCTCCAGATCTTGATCGTCTTGTCGCATGAGGCCGTCACCACACGGCGGATCGGGCCCGCGGGACCCTGCGAGCCCACCGAATTGAACGGCGCCCAGCTCACAGCGTTGCAGCCCAGCGCGCTGTCCTTGAAGTGGCTCACACTCCAGCCCTCCGCTGCAATAACCACGACATTGCACCATTTCTCAGTAAATCACCGCACTAGAAAAGAAAGGATACTCGAGTCAACTGCAGCTGAACACGTACGCGAGTAGCTAAGCACGGAGACGGTGCCGTCAGCCGAGGCGCAGGCGAGCGCGAGTCCGTACTCGTGCGGCGCCCAGGCGATGCTGTTGACCGAGGACTCGTGGAAGGCGTGCACGTAGGCCTGCGTCCACTGGTTCAGGCTCTGCTCGCGGTAGATGATCACCTTGCCGTCGTACGAGCAGGCCGCCAGCAGCACGCCGAACTTGGGGTGCGCCCACGCCACCTGCCACACGGGGCCCTCGTGTCTAATTTACCCGGCAACACAGTATCAAGAACAATTACTTAGTCGCCGCGCAATAAATAATTGTCAATAGATCCAAGAGCTACTGAGCTACGCACGTACCCCGTCAAGATCTGCTCGTTGTTCTGCACGTCGCCCGTGACGTCGTACACCTTGATGGTGCGGTCCGAGGAGCACGTGGCCAGACGCTTGCCGTAGTAGTCCAGCTGCGCATCGTGCTGTTAAACCGATGAGAGGTGGGAATTAGTCCAATTGGCAGTAGTTTATGGGCGTTAGAGGCGCCGCAAGAGCGTGCGGAAAGAGGGAGGACAGAGTGCACACGACATACGATCATGTCCTCGTGCTGCGTGTCGATGGAGAGGATGGGGGCGCTCATGGTGGCCGAGCTGGGGTCGAGTCGGGGCTGGCGCTCTGTGCTTCGGTGGCAGCTCGAGCCTTTTGTGAACTTGGGGAGCGAGATCCAGCTCGAAATTTTACCTTATGTACACCACATAGTGATTCATCCGGCCAATCAAAACGAGACAAATCAAAGTTTAACGTTTAACTTTTGAATATGGAAGTCTTGCATGAATTATAGTGTCGCTAGGACGCAGCTTTTAGATCGCGGAGCTCACCACCAGCCTCTGTAGCGACGGAATGGAGGGGAGAAGCATAGTACAATGTCGATAGACACCTGAAGTGGTCGTGGCGGTGCGATACTGCGACGAAAAGCTCTGCTCACCAGCCGGGGTTCTCGTCCTCGTCGGGCACGACCATGACGAGACTCTGCCAGCCGAACTCCTTCCAGTTGAGCTGGAAGAGCAGGACCCACGAAATGAACAGCACCGTCCAGAAGCAGAAACCCATGAACGATCGGCGCACCCCTAAAGGTAACAACAACAAATGTCACAATAACAGTGAGATCTCAATGCGAGCACGAGCACGACTGTATCAGGAGACTAGGCTCCGGTGGGCCTGTGCTGCTATGAAGTTACTGCACATATAGGCGTACACATGGTGACGGTGGCGTCGATGGACGGGTCCATGAACTGCTTGCGGTAGAAGATGACGTTGACGAGGTGCAGCCACGGCAGAAACGCCAGCCCCCCGATGAACATCTTCTTGGCGATGCTCTCGTCCGCCTCCTTGTTCAGGTTGCGCGTGAAGTTGCCGCGGTTGTTGGTGTCGCCACTGGGCGGCTCGGCCCGAGGCGCCTCCTCCAGCACGGGCGTGTCCGTCACCGACTCGTTTTGATCGTGCCTCGCCATCTTCGACTGAAATGAGACCGACAACTGGCGTTTTGTATCGAGCGTAGCCTTGGTTACTCCTGTGTATCGTACCCCGGGTACTCTTTCTGCACAGAGACGCTCTCAGTGTTGAAGCCACCACACAACAAATCCAGTCGACTAAAGCAGCGGCGCGCTTCCAGGCTTCCAGGTATCGGTCCATCAGTCGACGGCATGTACGGCGGCAACTACTACCCCCCCACCACAGCAGGGGTATCCTCCTCCCCTCCCCCGCCGCAGCAAGCTCAGGCCTATTACGCAGCCCAGGGTCGACAGCTCTTCGTGCAGGCGACTCTGACCCCGCAGCCGGCTTATGTTGCGTACCCAGGCGTCGTGTACGCTGGCGGCCACTACAAGCACAAGAAGTGCAAGCACTACAAGCACAAGCACAAGGGCTTCAAGTTCAAATAGCAGCCGAGCTCAGTCAGTCGAGACTGAGGTCTGCACGCGCTGGTAGAGTATGTAGAGCAGCTAGCTAAATGCGGTAATGCACTGTACCCTCGCGGCGTAACCCCGGTTACGATCGTGCAACGCTTATTGATACTTCTGCGTCCAAGATGGCCGGCACGCGGCTGCAGATCGTCGGCGCCTTCGTGCTGTTCGCGCTGCTGGCGGCGCCCGTGGCCTGGCACCTCACGCAGGTGGAGCGCGTGGATCTGCCCGTGTCGCGCATCCAGCAGCTCTCGTGGGACGCGTCGCGCTTCGGCGGGACGGACCCATTCCAGGTCGATATCTACAGCGTGCGATCGGGATCTTCCGCGCCGCCTTCCAGCGCCCCCAACGTCGTGTACAAGACGCACAACTTAGAGCTAACAATTGAGCAGAAGAAGACGCTGGAAAAGTCCGCGCAGTTGGGTCCGCAAGCCACGGACGATGCGCTGCAGACGCTTGTGAACACGCAGCACAAGCGCTTCAGTGTGTTCCTGCTCTGCGACGAGAAGGCGGCGGGGTCTGCTCCAGTTCTGACGGTCGGGAAACATCGCCACGCTTGGTCTTCGCAGTGCCAAGTGACGAAGGGGGATGAAGTGCACTCGGCTATCGAGACGCTGATGACGCGCCATGTGTACCCCCAAGCAGACGAGAAGAGCGAGAAGAAGAATGTTGATACGAGGACGGCGCGGAGAGCGCTGCACTACCGACTGCAGTTCTCTTTATTGAAGGAGAACCCCACGACCCCGTGGAATGAAAACCTGCAGACGCTTGTGGATCGGTATTTGGGGAAGCTCGTGCAGAAGGTTGGAGCGGTTGCCAACTTCACCGTGGAGACCCAGATCGTGCAGTATGCTAGACTGGCGAAGGAAGTCACGCCGAGCGCCGATGGGACGGAGTTCTATCTCAACGCTGAAGATCTCAAACAGGTGAGGCTGAGTTGATCATGGGCTTGTCAGTACGTGGCTGACGTCGTGTTTGTCGTTTGGTGCTGTTTAGTTCAAGAGTGCGAACGACTTCCTGGACGCCTCGGTGCTCGGCGACGGAGAGCAAGTGTTGCACTTCATGGCCGCGCTGCCCGATCCTGCGCACGCTCCACTGTCTATTCGTCCTGATGGTCAAGAGAAGAGTTTGGCGACGTCTTTCGAGCTGCCTGGTTGGGGAATCGCCGTCATTTTGAACTCCCACGCGCTCAACGGCAAGCCTTCTGTCAACGCTACTGAAAAGGAGATAGCTGCGTTGACTGCCAAGACGAAGGAGCGCGAGCTGCAGCGCGTCATGGGGCTTTTCGTATCCGAGTTGCGCACGCTGCTCGGCGTTCCGTCCTTCTCTCGTCGGCAGCAAAAGGAGGATGCCACTCGGCGACTCCAGTTCCTGCCCTCGCCTGCCGACGGCATTGCTGACTGGGAGCTGGACGTCGTCATGCGCGACCGATTCACGAAACTCATACAGACAGCGATCGAGACGCTGCAGTCGACTGTCAAGCTCGTGGAGACGCTGCCGGAGCTGAGCGTGCTGGAGCGCGTGCAGACCCGCGTGGAGACGGCCGTCACTCGACTCGAGGCCATCCTCTGCGACAGCAACGTGGAGCAGCGGCAAGAGTGCGTGGAGGTGTCGGATCTGCGCAGTCTGCTGGCCATGGCGCGCCAGGCGTCGGAGCTCACGGACGCCGCGTACTACGACCACACCATGATCCGCCAGCTCTACTTCCCGCAGGAGCAGATGCTGGGTGTGTACGCGCCGCTGCTCGCGCCGCTCATCCTGCCATTCCTGCTGGGCTTCGTCCGCGAGCTCAAGCGCTTCAAGGCGAAACGCGCGGCCAAGAAGACCAAGTTGCAGTAAAGTGTCCACATCGGTAATAATGGCTACATAAGGTGGACACTCGCTGTCACCTCTTTAAAATGATATTGTTCCCTCTTAATTAAGTATACATTGCTCCATAATTATACATAGTAGTCCCCAGGCTCTCCCCATAGCCAAAGTGGAGGGCCACAACATCCACGAAGCCTCGCTTCAGCACCTCAGGTACGCCGCGCTGTGCTGCTGCTCACGAACATGACCTGGTCGGGGGAGTGACACCGCCATGATCGCCGCTGTCTGCTCTCTCCGGCCATATAAATTGCATCTACACGCGCTCCCTGCATCCTGCACAAAGTGCTGATCTCTGTTTGTATCTATCTGCCCGTTCCGCAGCCTTTTACCCCCGCGTGCAGCCTCGATCCCCCGCCTTTGAAGCAGCCTCTGACGCCCGCCCGCCATGGCCTCGGAAGAATCGCTGTTCGGCTCGTCCATGGACGGGCTGCCGGCCTTCTTCACCAACGGCAGCGTGGACGACACCAAGTATGAGTCGCTGCTGGCCGACCTGCGCGCGCACGACCTCCTGGGCCCCGTGGAGAGCGGCGCCAAGGCCAGCGACGCCGGCGGCTCGTCGCTCTTCTTCAACGACGCGTTCTCGGCCGTGTTCATGGGCAACTTCCAGTCCGGCGCAGCTCCGGCAGGCAACAAGCCCAGTGGAGGCGCGGCCGGCCGCGCGCCGCCCGGTCTGAGCGCTCCGCCTGGACTGGCCGCGCCCTCGGAAGACCTCAAGTGGGCCAGAGGCCAGCAGGAGTTCTCCAGACTCGAGGAGAAGTTCTACGGGTCGACGGCCGACAAGACGGCGGCTTCAACTGCCGGTGGTCGCGCCGCGCCGCCTGGGTTGAGCCTCGAACAGGACTCTGAGCTTGACGAGAGCCAGGTGCCTGGTCTTCGTGGACTGGGGCTTGATGACGACGACTCGGTCGTGGATGCGGTGCCCCCGCCGTCCAAGCAGACACCGCCTCCCCTTCCGCAGGCTCCTCCGGTCCCGGCACCTCCGATGCCTCCCATGCAGAACGCCCAGCCGCCGAATGCGTGGGGTGCGCCGCCGATGGCTCCTCCTATGTCGCCTCCCAACCCGCAGCAGCAGCAGCAGATGCAGTACATGCCGCCTCCTCCGCCACAAATGCAAGGCCGGCCTCCGCACCCGATGCACATGCAGGGTCCTCCGATGCCCCCTCCGCCGCAGGGAATGTATCCTCCTGGCCCGCCGACCCCGCAGTTCTACGGGCGTGGCCCGCCGCCTCCTATGCGCCCGCCCTTCCCTGGACCCCCGGGAGCGTTCGGACGCAATGGAATGCCTCGCCCTCCTCCGCAAATGCAGCCGCCTGCGTTCAAGATGATGACACCGCGTGACGTGAACTTTGTGATGCAGCAGCAGATGAAGTGGCTGCGCTCGAGCGACCCATTCAGTGACGACTACTACTTCCACAACTACATGCAGAAGCGCGCGCGTGCTGGCGTGCCCGGCCGCCCGTCGGTCCCGCTTCCGTCGTGGAAGCTCCAGCACGTCAAGTCAGTGGACCCGCGCGATGTGCAGCGCGAAGTCAAGTCTCGCAACTGGGAGTCGGAGTACCATGTCCTCGGACGCAACGCCAAGAGCAGTTTGTACCGGCCGAAGCAGCTGCTCAACCTTGCAGGCAAGGAGGAAACGACCTCGCCGCCGGCTTCGTCGCCGACGAATGCCGCGGATCCGGAACGCACGCCTTCCAGTGGTGGCGAGGAAGAGGCCACGTCTTCAGCGCCCGCGGCGGCCGAGTCGAGCAGCGAAGCTGCCAGCCCTAAGCACGTTCGCGGCTCAAGCCCCGGTGCCCAGGCTGTCGCTGCCGAAGCTCAAGCTGCCAAGGTCCTTCGCATGAGTGACGATGCCGGCAAAAACTCCGTGTTCGCGAACGATACCTGGAAGCTGCGTCTCCAACTTGATCGCGGTATGCAGTGCCTGCTGTCGCTGCAGGACGCTCGCCACTTGCTCGATGCGCGTGGCATCAATGTCCAGCAGTTCCACTCGATGAACGAGGACGAGATGGACCCTGCGCTTGTTGAGCTGCGCTCGCGCACTACGTCGCTGCTGATTGAGCTAGCGGGTCTGCTCGGTGTGATTGTTACGCAGCCGGCCGATGCTGACAGTGAAGCTGCTTCTCGTGGCGTCATGAGCTGTGATGTCCAGCAACTTCAGAGGATGCTGACGGCGACGAAGGGGAAGATGCTGGTGAGTCGCGCGCTGCCGTTGCTGCACCCCTCGGCTCGGTTTGTGTTGCTTCCTCACCTGGTGGATCACCTCCTGTCCGGACGGACTGACGGCGGTCGCCAAAATGATGTCAACGATGCGGGTGATGACCGCCTGTGCCAGACGCTGGTGCTCATGCTGCTGTATGTCCCGCCTGCCCCGCCCGCCGAGCTGCTGACCGAATGCCTGCAGCGGGCACTGAGCGGCCACGACGTGCAGTCGCTGTCCATCGTTCTGCACAACCGCGCGCGTGCTGAGTCGCTTCAGGCCCTGCTGCAGCGTGGCGGGTCAGCCGTCCAGCAGTTGGCAGAAGCGGAAGGAGCCAACGCTGAGCATGCAAACAGTGTCAAGCAGCAGTGGGAGCACCACCAGGGTGTGTTCGTGCAGCTTGCCACCGCCATCAAGCAGGCGGCTTAAAGGCGATAAGCTTTCGCGTTCAGTTCTTCGTGCGACGGCGGAACTATGCCTACTTCTAGCTACCAAGTTTGCTTTCATACACTTTTATATACTACCTGGTGACAGGCTAGAGGGGTTTTTATATCTGCTCACATTGGGCATATCTATCGCGAACTCGATGCTCACTTCAACACAACTCATTGCATTTTGTGTACTCAGAATTAAGGGGGTTTTGGGGACCAGGGTGATTTTTTATTGTCAAAGCGGCTCAATGCCAAGCTGTAACTATTCGTGCGATTTAAGATCCGCGAGCGTAGCAGATTAAGCCCAGGCATCTCTGGCGCGAACGCTACCTGTGGTTCAGGATATGTGTATGTAGCCCACGGCCGTAAACCGTGGCAAACCGCAAAGTCCACGGATGAATGGAAATGAAGAATGGGGAAACAGCCCAATCGATATCTCCTCTCACTGTTGGCCCAACAGTGTTGGGTCGTGTCCGGCTTGCAGTAAGGTAAACGGCCAATCTCGGGCCGTTTGGTCAATTCGGGGCCGTCGTGGTTTTGACCAGTGAGGACGCTTTCTGTCTTGTTATTCGTAGAAATAATATTAAGTACGAAACCTATACAGTCTGCCCCCGCAAATCTGGAAAGGTCGGACCAATAGAAACTGCAAGGTTGCGAAACTTGCAAAGGGCTTGACAGAAGTGTCAATGTACTGAATTACTCAATTAATGGGAAAGTAGCGCCTCGTCTTGTACCGTCGGCTCAGTTTTCAAGCAGAGCGCGGTCGTTGAGGGGGGTCGGCGATATAATACTGTATCGCCGAATATCCGATATTCTTGTGTTCGTACTTGTACATATAGTGAAGAGTTTGTCTTGGTCGCGGAGCATCGCATCACGTAGACCGCTGCCTGGGACGGTCGTTTAGGGAGTTCTAATGTCCGTACTGCCCCATCGTTCAGGGCAAGGTACTGTCGCCCAAACCGTATGCCGTCATGTTTGCATCGTGCTACAGCAATAACTTTAGTGAAAGTTTCACTCCTGCTATAATAACTATTTAGCAACTTGCACTTCCCGCTAGAAGGCCTGGTCCCTCCATTTTTCACTAAACTCAGTACCCATCATCCAGCAAGCGCAAATCTCGTGTGCATAACTGTACTAGCTCTGCGAGGTACATTCGACATCGCTATTCCAGATTTGCCGGGGAGACCTGTTCAAAATACAACAACTGGCGGGGAAATTTAGGCGGGAACTCGAACCAGCCATCTACTTTCCACTCTTCATTTTGAAAGCAACACAGCCCAATGGTCAATACCTACACGCAGGAGAGGAAGCAAGAGATAATCGGTGAAGTCCAAGCAGGCAGCGCTGTTACCACAGTCGCTACGGCGACCGGCGTCCACGAAAAGACGATTCGGAAGTGGCTGGCGGCAGCAAATGAGGGCAAGTCGCTTGCCTCCTCGAGGCCCGGGCCGAAGCCGTTCTTCCCCCCAGTTGCTGAGCAGCAGCTCTGCGACTGGGTCATCGGTCGGTAGCTCGTCGGCCATCCTGTCAGCCGCTCTGTGATCATTACCAAGGCTCAGGGGGTCGCTCTCCTCGGTTGTGGTGAAAGTGTCGGGTAAGGTTGGTACAGGCGCTTTAAAGAGCGCTTTCCCGTCCTGACAAGACGAACTGCGCAGGCGCTGTCACTCAAGCGCAACTGCATCGTCCCCACCGATCTAACTATGCTTTTCAATACGCTAGCAAAGCTCGTGATTGAGTTGAAGCTCGATGCCTCACGTGTGTTTAATATGGACGAGACGGCGTTTCAGAAACAACTCAAGAGCAAGAAAGTCGTAGCGGTCAAGGGGTCGAGCAACGTTTGGAGCACCGAGCCTACGGCGAATTTTCACCTCACCATCGTGGCGTGCGGAAGCGCTGCTGGATTCGTGGTGCCTCCGGCATTTATTTTGCCGGGGAAGACAGTGTCATCACGGCTTCTAGAGAACTGTGAGGCGCCAGGAGCCGCTGTGTCGTCATCGCCTTCTGGCTTCATGAACACGGAGCTATTCGAGGTATGGCTACAGTTTTTTCTGTTGCGGTGCCTGATTCAGTTCAACGCCCTCTTGTCCTCATCCTGGACATATGCGCTTCGCACTACTCAGCGAAGGTGGTGGATGCAGCTGCGCACTTTAGGATTCTGCTAGTATTCCTACCACCAAACGGAAGCACCTCCTGCACCGTTGGATGTCGCGGTGTTCTCCACGCTCAGGAACAAGATCCGGAACCTGATAGGCGAGCTGGTTGAAGAAGAAGACAGCGGATTCTACAGTATCAGCAAGGAGGACGCCATCGTCGTGGCGGGCATGGCGTGGAGAGGGGCCAAGATCAGTCGCAACATCAAGCGGGGTTTCAAGGCCTGTGGACTGTATCCACTGTCGCTGGTCAAGATGGGCTCTCGACTCGATGCGTTCGCCCGCAACGGAGCCCCTCGTCACGTCCAGCTCGCTGCGTGGCTACATATGCGCGAGATTGTCCAAGATGAAGCTCTGACGCTTCCAGCGCCGCCCCCCAAGGACATCAGCACCAAGCGCAAGCGTGTATCCGTAGGCGGCCGCCTGCTGACACACGCCGTGCTACAAGCAGGCATGCCGAAAATATGATATATATCTATTTTTTGCCGGACACCATAATAAATATTGCATTGCATCCGAGTAGCAGACTAAATAAATAACGTAAGACATAGTGTTGACACAGTAAATTACTGCAATCATGTTACGACTGTACCTACTTACAGGCACTGCTCCACGGTCGCAACATCCCAGCTGTTGATCTTGAGGAACAAGATCATCTCTAGCATCATGGGGGAGAGGCGGTGGCGCTCATGGCGCAGCACAGCGCGCGCAATGCTGAAGAGCCTCTCAACCATGTTTGAGGTAGGAGGAATCGCATTAAGCAGCTCGTACGTGGCCGGCGCAGCAGCTACCTTGCGTCGCTTGAGCGCACGCACAGCGAACCCTTCCTTGTCCGCCGGCGTGCAGTCCACGTCTTCCACATGAGCCTGCGTGCGCTTGAACGGCTCCAGCGCAGCGACTTCGTCGTCCGTCAGCAGGGCCTTGACGACCGCCTGCTCGAAGACGGCGGAGTGGACTATATCCGCATCGGTGGCTATGCATAAATAAAAACATATAAAACGCAGTAGTTTAGTAGAAATACCATCAGACGCAGAGTGAGCGATGATCCTTACCGAGATACTTCGCGAAGGAGGGGTGGCTCTTGAGGAGCTCGTCGAATAGGACCCGAGCGTCCAGCAGCGTAAGGCCGTCGCCCTGCAGGTGCTTGGACACGGACTCGACGTCCCGGAGGCTTGCCAACAAAGTATCCAGCTTGCGGTGGGCTGAGCGTGACGGAAGGAAGTCCGCGAGCTCCTCGTCGTCCGCCGAAATGAACGGACGGAGCCGAAAATAGCGCTTGAGCATTGAAAAGGTCGACGACCAGCGCGTGTCCTGTCTGAGGACAGCGGCCAATGGGGTCTTGGCACTAATTTCGAACAAAACCCAAAAACAAAGACCAATTTAGTACCAATACAAAAACCAAATAAAACAGCAAACAGAGTACTTACCGCAACTTGGCTGCTTGCTTTAAAGTCCGCAACTTACGCATAAGCTGCTGGACCTCTTCAAGGATGCTGTCGTGGGGCTCCAAGTAGTCTCGCACCGCCAAGTTCAGGCGGTGGCTGGCACAGCCGATTAGCGGCACACCGAGTAGGTTCGCCAGCCGCTTGTTTACTCCGCAGTTGTCACCAACCAGGAATAGACATCCGGAGATAGACTTACCAAAAAAGGGTAGGAACCTTTTAATCGCCGTCAGATGGCCGTCAGCGCTCAGCTGGTCGTCAGGTTCATCCATGACGGGCGCTAACGACAGCAGCAGGTACTGGGGGCATGTCGCCGTCTCAAAGCAGCCATACACTGCCATGTAGTGCTCCGTGCCGTGGGCCCACCCATCAAGGACCAGACCAAAACGCTCGGGCATCAAGGACCAGACCAAAACGCTCGGGCATCAAGGACCAGACCAAAACGCTCGGGCACGGCGTCGCCGATCATCGTCTCCACGGCCTTGGTCACGGCCTCCATGATGGCGGTCAGCGTCTCCACGGAGATGGGATTTAGCTTCGTGTATCTACATAACATACGGCATTAGCACACATGTATATCACCAAAATAGATATGAAAATACGTACTGTCGCGTTTCCTTGGACTCGCAAAAAGTCAGCGGTAGATTGCCCGTGACGACCCAGCGCAGCCACGCGTAGCGGTTCGAGGCCTTCTGGGTGACCCACGACAGTAGGGTCCCGTCGCAGCGACACTAGCGTCGCGCATGTCGCTCTCGTAGTTGGGGTGCGCCGCCCGCACGTGCGACACCAAGTTGCTGTAGCCTGACTTGGGCGCGTGCTTGCGGCGCTTAGCGCAGGTCTTGCAGGCATAGTAGCCCGTCGTCTCTCCCTCCTCGTCCAGGCAGGGCTTGAAGTAGAAGGCAGCAATCTGCCTGGGCGAGAAGGTAGGCCTCGGAGCGGGGCCAGCGAGGAGATTGTCGATCTTGGTGCTAACGTCGAGTCGTGATGCGCATGCTGGGTGGTGCTTGTTTGAAAGTGAGGGCTAACGGCAAAGTTACGCTGGTAGAGCGCGATGTTTGACCACAACTAATGGTTGGAGCAGGATGAGCAGAAGTAAAATACCGAATTTTAGAACTCGGCTACATAAATTTCGGATAAAACAAACGGCGATGCCCTAAATAAAGTATTGTATCCGAAAATACTGTTATATTTTCGGGCAATATTATTTTTCGGGATGCCTGGCTACAAGAGGTGGACGCTGGCAAAGCCAAGAGGCCAAGTGGCGCGCGGAAGAAGTCGAAGCACGTGCAACAGTGTGTACCTACAGGGTGCGGCATCATTGAGTCTGTGTTAGTTTAGACTTGCCACTGCGCGAGTTCATCTTAGACAAACGTAGGCTTCTCCAGGCTAAAGCAACTTACCAATATAATGCAAATGTAGCCATCTCTAGACCTGTAGACATGGCTAGGCCTGTGGCCGACGAGGAAGGCTTGACGTCAGCCAAATACCAGACTTGCAGAGAGTAGTGTTCATGAGCGGCTACAACCTGGGCGGAAGTCCTTGTGCTCGCGAGCGAGCGAAACAGCAGAGGCTGCGCTGCTTCTCCAGCGCATGTGGCCGATCTATCAAATCGGGCAGCGTGGACCCCGCCCTGCCGGGTAATTGCACCTCACAGGATCGATCTTGGGCGCTGGCGAGGCCGGCGCCGGAGGGAGTGCTTCGTCCGATTCGAGTGTGCAAGATCCTGCCGAGCCCCCTGCCGACGTCGATGAGGCCAGCCACTGACGAAGTAGGAAGAAGACTGTCGACGCCCGAGCGCACGAGACCCCTAGCACTGGTGACGGCGATCTCGGCCAGGATGCGAGCGCTGACAAGGGTGGACCTGCTACCGCTGGCGTGACGAGCACGGACAGCACCGATAGGGCTGGTAGTCAAGCAGAGAAGGCTACCCGCGGCTGAGGCAAGAGCCGTTCCGGGGGCCGTGCTCGACCGAGTAGCAAGAACCCTGCCGCCGCCAATAGTATCGGTTCAAGTGGGAACGGTGCTAGCGCCACTAAGTCGAAGTGCCGGAAAAGCAAGAAACCTGCAGAACCTCATAGTTTTGCCGTGGCTCATGAAGACGGGGGCAATGGGCCGGTTGTAGTGGAAGCGCTTCGAGTTAGCGCCCTGCCAGCAACAACGAGAGCGCATCGGCAGGACGCGACGTGACCAATGATACTACGGCTGAAGGCCCGGAAGATGCGGCTGTGGCAAGTGAGCGACACGGTGATGCAACCAGCCCTACGTCCATTACGACAATAATGGCAACGTTGTGGAATCGGGGATGCTCAATTGTCGTTGGTATTTTGAGCGATGATGAAGTTGACATTGTGCTCCGCGCAATTAACGCAAGTCATCCACGTCAATGGCTTTGCCATTTGGGCGATCAGAACCGGCGCCAAATGGATGTGGACATGAGAACCGATGCTGTTTCGGTCCACCCCGCCATTCAGCTTGTGCTGGGTCGATTTATCGCGTATGCGTCCTAGCTTCATCCGTCGTGGAGTGTGTGCGAGCAGCTGTCTGTGCTTGAGTCACAACCAGGTGCTGAGGCTGAGCGCCTTCACCGAGACTTCTCGGCGAGTGAGACAACTAAAGCGATCAATGCGAGAGAGTTGGGTGCAGGCTTCGTTCCTGCTTGTGCTTGAGCCGGAAACGGTTTTGACTGTTGTACCGGGGGCTTTGCGGGCAACGTGCTACGAGAAAATTGGATGGTTCTCGACGATATGCAACCCGGTGACATGCTCGTCTACCGAGGAGACCTGCCACATGCTGAAGAGGCAAGCTCCAAGCGCAACTTACGGATTCAAGGGTGTTTGAATGTTGACGGCATCGACCGCAATGCGGGGGTGGTTGAGCGGGTTGCGTGGGCGTTCTACCGATGCGTGCACTGCTTCAAGAGGTGTTACGGTAAGCGAGTTTTATCGAACCACGTGCGATACTGCAACGACAACCCGGACAAGGAGAAGATCGCTACAAAGCGCAAGCAAAACAACGACAAAGGTGCGTACTGTAAGGTGTGCAAGCACCATTTCGAAAAGAAAATACGTACGATGCTCATAACTGCCACGGCGCGGATGGAAGCGACGGTAGTATTGATGGTGACAACGCTGACGACAGCACTGAGAAGTAAGGCGCGCAATGCAGCCGATGCAAAAAGAAGGTAAACCACAGCTCAATACACGACATGGTGAAACAGGCCTCTTGTCTTGCCCGGCTGTTAGGCAGATCGTAAAGCCACGCTGCGTCCGTCCGTTGCAGTCGTCGACGCAATTAACACCTCGTTGGCCGTCAGAGATCCACCTGATCTCCCCCTGCCGGAACGTCCGCTTGCACGTCCGTCCCAATTTGTTATTACTCGTTAAGCGCAATAGAAGCTGGATGTCCACCAACAACTACAACTCGTCCTCGTTCTCGTCCACTGCACCTGTCCTCGCCGATCGCCCACCAACTGTCCACAGATCCCGCACTCGTACACCCGGGGAGCAGCTCGTGCCTCAATGCCTGTGCCCTCTGTGCCGCCTGTGACCCAATCAGCTGACTCACACTCGCCCAGTTACAGCTCGCTCGTGCACACAGTGAACAGGGGAGAAACCTCCTGTCACCGCTTCACGCGTTCTCGTCCAGACCCAACAGGGGACAAACCTCCTGGGGCCCTCTCGTACACTCGTTCGCACTAACGATGGACAGGGGAGAGACCTCCTGCCACCGCTTTGCACGTTCTTGCTCCGCTCTGCGTCCTTGGCCGCAAAATCCGTTCTATCGCTCCTTCCTCACCGTCCTCGCTGGACTCCCCCCGTTCTTCAATGTCACTGTCAGTCCTGCAACGGAATTACAATTCGACGATATTTTCATCCGTTGCTTGAGCCATATGTTGAGCAACGGAACAATATAACAATAATGTGTACGAAACATAACGAACATAAATGAATTACGTTTTAATGAATATAATAATTAATTTTAGTAGTATTGTAACAGTCACTGTGAGTTCAATTTTAATGTTTATATTACAGCAGGGCTTCGCGCTAAGCTGTTGTAGTTGTCACCTTATACTTGGGCTACGCTTTGGTTGAGACAGCACAAGAGTGGGTTACATGCATTAATTGGAGGATGGAACGACAAGCGTATATACAAATTATGGGATACGATGTCAATACTGCCCATTATAGCACCCTCGCAGTAGGCCGTCACAACACAGGTCGTTGAGATCCAGCTCCGATGGCCCCGGTTCAGAGTCGAGTACTCCAGTATCTAGGGTGCGCGTAGTACAATGTAGTAGCTTCAGAATTCATATGTGTTTATGGAAACAAGTTAGTGCGGTTGTATAGTACATTTTTGCGCAATTACCACGGTCATCTATGCAGTCCGAGAAAGAACCAGGAGTGGCTGTGTCCTTCATGACATTCCGTACTAGTATTCCCCATCACAGCTACTGCTAATAACGAAGACGGTTGCGACGCATTCTATAACCAGCCTTTCAACGAGCGGTATAATGTTCGCCATCACATCGTATACGACTGATGTCACTTTTGAAATGAATTAAGCGTTGGATTGGTAAGCGCGGTGACATACCACAAGGCATCAACGGGAGGGTATCCACGGCGCGGCGGTGTCTCATGTGCGCTGACTCACTAACGGACGGCATGCTTCTCAACAACAGTGCGCTCCGATGATCGGTGGCGGAGGCGGTTATTTTGGCAGGACTCCTTACTTACCCACGCGGTGGCGGGGCTTGTCTGCGTAATGACAATTTGTTAGGACGTGCGCCAGATAAACCTTGAATACTTGTTATCACTTGGAACAACCAAGTGTACCATGAAAAATATATGTAACTTAAGGCATTGTGTATCCAGACATGGTTTGTGTAACCTGCCTCACTTACACCATAGAGGTGCGATTCGAAATACTACGGTAGTTTTCCCCACTTCGCAGACTACATCTGATTAGTAAGTGTACGGTAACGGTTGTCATCATGCTTACTCCTTATCGATCGGCGCTTTGCCGCATCACACATCACGTCCGCCAGACTCCCACAAAAAGCTCATTAATCGAGGAAACCATGGAAGCAGCTCTGTTTGGATAGTGCCGTGTTGTATACCTAGAGTAGTTCAGAGTTCCATCTCCCGAGTAGAAAGAAAGTCAAGTAACACTCCTTCAGTTTCTATGGAGTCCGGTTTGCTGCCTCGGACAAGGGAGCGCAGCCTGTAGAAGGATCGATCCCGATCGGCTCGGATAGCTGGATACGGGATGTTACTGAAGGAAATTCCCCCGCGCGATCGAGAAGAAATCGATAGGAGAAAGAAGCGAACTATCAATCGTGTCAGAAAACCATCCCCGCGTGGCCACCAATCAAGCCCTCAAGGCTCAAGTGGATAAAGTCTACACCTGCCAACGATGATGTTTCATAAACAGCGGATCGGCCAAAACACTGCGTGTTCTGCGTAGCGATTCCAGCGGAATTTGAGTCTGTAGTGTTAACAAGCTTAGCAGTTTACGTGGGTGCCAACCACGGAAGGGGTCATCGATGCCCTTGCGGCAGCCGCTCCCGCTGTGATTTGGGCCTCCTTGGGCGTTGAAGCGTGCGCCACCTCAATAGTGAACGCTACAGGTGGCCAAGACAGCCGAGGAAAACGATGGAGGGTCGGTCAGACCGAACATTTGCGCTGAACTGCTGCAGGCAGCCGCTCTACAGCCTGAAAGCCTTCTGTGCCTCGAGCATATCGGTGTCTAAGAGGTAGCATAGAAACGTGACCCGGTGGCCCCGAGCTCTGCAGTCGCACGACGGATGCGATCCTGGTCGTGTAGCTTCTGCAACAGGTAACTTGTTATATACATTTTACGTCAACCATGCACACGTAGCAGGGTGGGTGCGCACCGAGCAGAAGAGGCAACAAAACTGTAGAACACCGCAATGTTCTACAGTGGGTTTTGGCGTATAGCGTATTGAAATCAGTGTGTTCTGCAAACGCTTCCAGAGGAATCCTCAATGCAGCGGGTTTTCTCTTTCCAGAGGAAAAACTCACCCTCTGTTTGAAATCAGAGATGCTGCGGACACACCCTAAGCAAATACGTTGCTATCAGACACAACGCATCGGTCTTAGCAGTAGTTCGGTCAACATGATGGGAGTGAAACTTCTATTGCACCCCCTCCGTTGCGCAACGGAAGGGATGCGTCATGACTCGTATGTTTTGTTTTTATAAAATTATGTATGTACCGTTGCGCAACGGAAGCTAGAAAGAAATTTATTGTTTTATTTCTACAGTCTACCTTTTATAATCAATATGTTGCTCCGTTGCGCAACAGAATATAAATACTTGATTTTAGTATTGATGTAAACCTCTTAAGAATTATATTATGTAGACTGTCTCTCCATCCATTTGTGGTTTACTATTAATAGAGGCGCGTAATGGCAGCAAGCTTTCAGCGCTCGCGGGCGTTTCTCCAGCACTGACCGGGCGGGCGACCATCTACGGAGACGAAGACAAGTTGTGCGCTGGTAAGGTAGGTAAAGAGCGTGTGATCAGTAATTTGCACTGAGATGATATTTTGTACAGTACTCATAGTTTAATGTGCACGTAGGGTCACTTCTAGTCACACGTCCAAGCGGTCGCGGGATCCCTGTTGTTGACTTTCTGGCGCTGAACGAGAAAAAACGAACCATGATTCGCGTTCTGGATTTTTTCAAGGAGAAGAATCCTTCGTGGGAGAAGATAAGGACGTTCGTTATAGATAAAGATTTCACGGAGTGGAAATCTTTGGAGATGTGCTTTCCGTCGGCGAAAGTTATTTTGTGCCAGTTCCATGCTATCACCTATTGGAAGAAGCTCCTGCAAAAGCGAAAATACAACGTCAAAGTTGGCCAAAGAGATGAAATCATAAAGCTTTTCAGAAGAATGATGTTCAGGTACGAAGCATGCGTACAAACATCATATATTTTGAAAATACTGACAGACTTGTGTTATGTTTTGCGGTAACTAGTTCCACCAAATCGCTGTATACGACGGCGTACGATGCGTTTGCAAACTTCTGCAAGAGAGTGCCCAAAACTTCTCGCCTACTTTGATAGGAACTGGGGTCATGTCGTGAAATGTGGGCAAACCATGCACGAGGTCTTGTTTTTTCCACTGGTAACACTACCACCAACCGTCTCGAATCGAACTGAAACCAGTTGAAAATTCTACTAGGACACAAACCAAGGATTGACAAGGCAATCGCCGGAATCTTGGGTCATCAGGTTGCGGTTTTCCAACAATTTTCCTCCTCTCTCGGTCTCCACGTATCGCGCTCAAGAATGTCAGAATTGATTCCGCAATTCCTGCGTTAAATTACGGGAAAACTGAGTGATTACACTTTGGCAGTGGTCATAGAGCAGTATGTGCAATTCAACACGCGCCTCCGCCACACGACTCCTGAGATTCCGGATAAAAGATGTCCCTGGAATTGGAAAATATCCTCGGCTTGGTCTTCACACACTGTCAACGACCTGGACTGGACGTGTACATGCAACTTCTACAGTAGCACAAACTTGCCGTGCAAGCATATCATGCTGATTGCTCAAAACGGTCAAAGGTTTGACTTCTTGCCTCCGTCGGTGGTCCACCAACGTTGGTGCATGAATCATGCAACTCACGTCCAGGAAGTACTGCGCGATACGGTTAAGGTTTTACGCGTAGTTCGGCAATACGCTAGCGTTGCAGCATCCCTTATCGAGGCCGAATCTACAATCGAGCACGGAACCGATACCCAAGGTCCTGATCACCAGCATTTTGAGTACAGAGAGCCAGACTCGGTGCAGAATTCCAGCACCAACGACGAAGCAGCTCCCTCCGTTAAACGCAAAAAATCCAAGAGGCCCAAAGTGCAGTACTTAAAGATTAAACGCCACGAACGAGCTGATATGGTGGTCCTCGCGTCCAACGAGAAGTATCGATACGCTGGACGTGTATTCGAACCTCTTTTACAGCATTTGTCTGAGTTGTCTACAGCGAAGTTTTGCGCAGAATTAGAAACGTGGAAAGAGGTCGTCGATCAGCACTTATCGTCCCAGCCCTCTGTGAAAAACTCGGTTCGCAACGTAGAAGATAGAAATCCCAACGATTCCTCGGACAGTGATAGTTGTGACAGTCTTGTTGAAGTCGAAGTTGGTACTGCAATTGATGTGTTACAAGAAGGCGTCGACGAAACCAAGCAGTGGGCGGACAGTATTCGATCTCAAGTATCAACAATTCAGACGACTAGGGAAACTCTAAGTGAATGCCAGCAACCGAGTATACAGCCGAAGTCTCCTCTACAAAAAAACAGAAGAAAAATCATTTTCTGCCGTGGGAATGCGTAGAGAACGAGAGGTTGCAGTGGAGACGCTAAATTTTCCGAAGAAAAAACGCAACACAACCAGAACTACGCGGACACAAAGTACTTTTGGTACGTCGACATCGCGTACAGCTGTCATCGTGTCGCGTACAGAAGTAGACGTGAGCGTCCGTGACGTTATAATGTGGTCCCAATCATCGATGCTGTCGAGTGCGGTTCGTGTACTAGATACGTACCCAGTCAAATTAGAAGAAGTGGCACACCGTATTCCTCGGTGTGAGCGGAAATGGGCACGTCCGGAAGCCTACACACACAATTTTGTCGTTCCCGCTACACTAGTATCTAAAATGATCTCTGTCATGGAGGACTATCGGCGGGAATCGAGCGGTCAGTCTACGACTAAAAAGAGTCTCGCTCACGACGATTTGAAAGATGAACTAGTGTTAACGATAACTTCTGACTTTCCGAGCTTCTGTGGAACTTTCGTCCGCACACTGCAAGAGTTCCACAGTTTAAAACAACAATGTCGTGCCTGGGAACGAGATATACAATGGGTAGGACGCAGTTAGGGAAGCACAAACCAGGCTCTCCCCCTTGACTACATTGGCCTGTTTGCTGGTGAGATTGATGCACACTTTGGATGGATGACCGCACCAGGCACACGAAGTCTCGAATGTGCAGCTGAAGTACTTGAAAAATTGAAGTCTCGAGCCCTGAACACCCTCTTCGTGTTGCCGTCTGGTCGCTCGGCAATCTCTCTAGCTCAAATTATTGGTTTCGTAGCACAAGACGCGATGTTGAACGATCAAGTAATTCATACTTGCTGTCAGGCTGTATGTGATGGAGTTCCCGATTCTGCTGTAGTGTTGAGCACCTTTGTATTCACGCTGGGATTCCCACCCAGCCCTGTGGCGGAGCACGCCTCACGCAGCAGCAGTCCTGTTGACATAGCCTCAGTCAAGTACGTCGTCCTACCCGTACATTTGGAAAACAACCACTGGAGAGTTATGGTTGTCGTTCTGGAGTATTCAGTATCGCCGGTGATAAATGTATTCTTCTATGAACCCTTTTGTCGCGGGCAGTACAAGGAGGTGATGGAGATACAAAAGTGGGAAAATGGTTTGTTACGATTTATCCGCAAGTGGCACGAAGATACACGCCCTCATCAGGTTTTTCCTTCCCTTGAAAAAAATTGGTTGGCAGGGCCTCGTCAACCGCCAGGGACTCTCTGCTGTGGAGCGCTTGTAGTAGCGCAAGTGCACTCGATCATACACGATCCAAATTACTTTCAGTCTCTTGGAGAAGCTATTTCGACGGAATACGTTTGCTTGGTGCGCCTTCGCATTATGTGGTTGCTACTGTGCCAAACGAAGGAGCGAAGTAGTGAGCCAGTAGCCGAGACGATCAAGAAGAAGATCAATGAAGACTTTGGCGCATGGGTTTAACTTTACAGGAGTAAACTATACATTTTTTTTTAGCATATTGGCGGACTTTACACGCGTGTTTTTGTATTCACGCAGTGTGGACATGCGTCTGCTTGGTACTTTTGCCTCGTGGAGCCGGACTCACAGCTTCATCCGGTCCCGCTGCATGCAATTTTCCCTTTCGTCAGCCGTCTAGTGATGAAGGTCACAGTATCGGCTTGGATCTTGCTTATCCAGGCCTTGGGGATTCGGCTGATGGCGAGCGCATTTATGGCCACCCTGGCTCAACGTAGGTGTTGCTCATTCAGGTGCGGCACTTGTCTGCGTACTACACGTAATTTTACTACTAAACTTGGTGCTCCTGCCGGCAGTGGCCTTACAAGTACTGGCTTCGGCTACTGGAACTCGTGTTGAGCGTGGTGTTGGTGCCGGTGCTGACCTTCATCCAGTCGGCGTGTCTGTTGCTACTGTAGGCCTGGGCATCCCGACGCCGGCGTTGGTTCCTCCTCTGCGCTGCTGACCAGTTGGGCTGCTGCACTTGGTGCCGCGGGCAGTCTTGCTGTTGCTAGTCTTGGTGGCGTCGACGTGTCTGTTGATCGTCTTTGTCTCTGCTTCTTGTCTTTTTTGTTCTTCACAACCAACTAACCAATAATACACTCGAAATCGCTACTTTATTACATTAAGCATTCCGTTGCCCAACAGGTGCTGAAGCAACGGAGATACTTTCGTTTGATTGTGCTTCCGTTGCAGTAACGAGACTCCTTCAATGTTGCGTCAACGCTGGTGTCACCCAACGCACACACTCTTCGGTCCGATCTGGAGCTCGCCGTTTTTTTCATACTGGGGTCCAGTCGAAGTCACCGATTCTCATTGGCCAATTTTCCTGCACCGAACCAGAATCCTGTGGCCGCTCCTGTGCTTCCCATCGACTCTGCCCTTCGCCGTCAGCTCGCACGACGCTGGGTATGCCGGCTTCAACATGGCCTGCTTGCGCTACCAGTCTATTACAATGGTATTCCTATGTATCGTTTGTTTTGAATGTATCGCGGGTCTGAGTTGTATATAGTATGGATTAGTGTTAAACGTCAAATATCTGCTCGGTGTTGTAGTTGTATGGACCATGGATCAGTCTTGTATATCTAGGATCTGTTTTGGTGCTAGTCATGGATCCTTGTTGTACATCATGGATCTGCATTGGTGCTACTGCTTAATAGTCATGGATTCAAGTTGTCAGTCATGGATCCGTGTTGTCGCGACTATTGTGTAGTCATGGATCTAAGTTGTCTGTTACTGTACTGAAGGCGTGAATATTAGTTGTATATCATGGATCTGTGATGGTTTTACTGCTATTTTATCATGGCTCCGCGTATGTTTTCAAGGCCATAAGTGATGTGGCATGGTCAAAGATCGGAGTATGGAATCTCGAGAGTGTATTGACGTTTACACGACGCATACAACGTCTGGCTCGTACCCATGGTCACACAACAGCGATTAGCTTTAACCCACCGGCGACCGCTCTTATCCCGATTTTGCAGGGATAAGATTAATATAGAAATTTGTATACTGGCGGGATAGGGTAAGCGAGGTCCCCAGCGGCCTGCCCCGACTCTTCGGGTTCCACCGGCTGACAATCTCATTGGTCAGAGTTATCCAATCAAAGCTTGGATAGGGCCGTAATATTAAGCTCTGTCGAGATTTCGATCGAAAAAACCTTGGCGTAATTCGCAGGATAATGCGAACATTCGCTAAGTGAGTGAATTGTTCTGAGCTGAATATCGCGGTTGATGGACGTGCTCGGCAATCGCTGTGACACTATCCCAGGGCAAGCACGGCACGGCACATGAGGGACGCCTTCTTCTGCAACGACGAGACGTACGAGGCACAACCGAAAGCAGAACAACTCAATCTCAGTACGCTGCTCACTCTAGCCAGCATGTTGCCCCATTGCTGACGTGTTTCTCGACTGCAGGCGAGGCGAGCGCTGGCGGCACAAGCCCCACCCACCCCCATTCCGTCGGCAGTACACCCGCCTGACTTCCTCCTTCCTCTTCGCCATGCAGGGCTACGGCTACTCGCAGTACCAGGCACACTCGCCATACCACCAGCGCAGCGGCGAACTTCCCAAGCTCTACTACAAATCTCTGGACCAGCGGCGGCTTCAATGGCCCGGCGTGCATGAACTCCAGCAGCACGTGAACCCGAACAGCCTGCAGGCCCAGCACCAGGCCCGACGCCGCAGCAGGGGGACTTCGACTACGAGCCCATCAGCACCCAGGCAAATACTACGCGCTGTCGCCCAAGACCTATCGATACAACTGGGGCGGCTCTCAGAGCCGCTCTGTTGGGCTGCGGTCATACGTCAGCCCACACGGACAAACGTTCGCGTGAGGCGCCCTAAATGAAGGAGAAGAAGCGCGTGTTCAAGCTAAACGATGGCATCAACCATCACAAGACGCTGCAGGACGAGGCCGGACGATCAAGCAGTCCATCGTGTGATCTCGAATCAGAGTGCGGAGCGCGCCTAAAAGCAGGCGGATCTCCGAGGACCAAAATGGTGGTGGCTAAGGCGGTGACGTCAGCGATGAGGGCTATAATACCCAATGGTGCTGCCAAAACAGGCTCTCACTGCAACAGCAGCCTTTGCAGGCGGATGCAGTGAGTATGTGTTTTAGTGTAAGGATCTAGTATAAAATAAAATAAAGGCATTCCATAGAATTGAGCGACAATCAAATTCAACCTGTCAAAAGTCGCGGTCGCTCCTCAGTGGTACAGTACACATCGTGTGTGGGGAGATCTTCTCCGAGAAGATCATGGCCGACGCAAGTATGTACACCGACGACACGGCGGCCGACAGCAGCAGCACTGTGGGCGGCAGCAGCAGCGATGACGATGAACGCTCGAACCAACAGGAGCTCACAGCGCGAGGACGCTCCGAGAGCCAAGGGCAGCTCAGCGATCAAGATACTGACTTTGACCGCTAATCCTACTTTGTTCTCTCGGACCCAAACTACACCTACGAGGCTGTCCCGGTGCGCATGTATGTCCTACTTGTGGTGGCTATTTGATATCTAACCGTCCTGCTTGCATACAACAGGCTTTCACGCCGGATGTCAACCGAACAGCGTCAAACAACAAGAAAATTTATGGCAAGCCGATGTCTGTAGGGGAGGTACGTGCACGTATCTTTGGTGTTTCAGTGGGCATCACGATGGCTCAATTCCGATGTATGCCTAGACGTTGGAGATATTTCAATGACACCAGGGGTTCCTTGACTTTCACACCCTCCAGCCAATACGCAAACCTTCACGCGACCGGGTGGGTATGCGAATTACTTGAGTTCTGTGGCGTAGTCTAACAAATGTTATTATGCAACAGGTTTACGAGCCTAGATTCAGGTCTACCAACCATGTAGACGCATTTCTAGCCGCCCTTCCGCTCTACGAGATGTATGCGCAGTTTCAGAATGACGAAGACTCGAGTCACATCTACGCGTGGTTGCAAGCGTCCCTGAATGCCTCGAAGGTATTTCACGCGTTCTGTGGTGCCAGGTGTACTCCCAACGCTAACGTGCCATTGACCTCTGTGTAGATAACGCTGACTATGATAAAGCGTCGACAGCGCCTGTGTGAGTGGGATATTGAACGCTTAGACGCCTTTCTCGATTCCCATGTTGAACATCATATCGCCATGGAGGCAGATGAATCGTACGACGAGAATGCTATCCGGGAGCATACCAAGGAGGGGGGTTTCAAAGAGCTCGAGTATAAAGCTCGAGTCCAAGAAGTTACTGCGCTCGAGTGGCTTGCTGTCTGGACGTATCAAACCGAGGTGATGTTTCCTCGTCTTGGGGTATCGTTGAGACGCTAGTACGTCGGAAAGTGCTTAGCCCAGCTTCACAGAAGCATACATATTTTGTTAGCGATGCTGAGATGTAATAAAGAAGCCCATGCCTACATATATTCCGTCATCGCTTTCTTATTGTAGCATAGATCTCAACGTTGACAACCAGCTTGGCCGCTGTCGATGCCAAGGTTGGCTTTGCTCTCCCTCACAGGCGTATTTGTATTAAATTTTGTATGGCAGATGTCAAGATTGACTTCGCAGTGAAACATAGATCTCAACGTTGACAACCAGCTTGGGTCAAAGCTGGCTTCGCTCTCCCTCACAGGCGTATTTGTATTTAAGTTTGTATGGCAGATGTCAAGATTGACTTCGCAGTGAAACATAGATCTCAACGTTGACAACCAGCTTGACCGCCGTCGAGTCAAAGCTGGTTTCGCTCTCTCTTACAGGCGTATTTTGTCAAGATCGACTTCCCAGTGAAATATTGACTCCCACCTAATTATCCGACTCATTCTGCTGCTCGGCCCCGCTGAGCGTACATTCCACCGCGCCGAGCAACTCCGCCAGCACTTCCGCCACGGCCTCCCGCTCGCTCTCATCCGGGGGCCTCTCAGTCGCAGTTACTCCTTCTTCATCCTGTCCTGCTGCATCTGCGCCTGGCCGCTCTGGCTGATGCACTTGTACCTCTACGTTTCGCGTGACACTTGGAACCGGTAACTGCGAAGATGACACCGAAGCAGCCCCATCGGCATTCTGAACATCGGTCTCGTATTGCCTTGGCAGTACAGCATCCGAGGAAGCTGTGTCCATCGTTTCCACGCGTAACTCCTCCTTCGACCGACGCATTCGGATCCGTCCGACCTTTTCAGAGTGCGGAAGTTGATCTCCGTTTTTCCATTTCGAGTGCCAAATGTTAAAGCACGATACAGAATTACCATCGGATACGTGTCGCGCCTTGGAACACAAAAACCGTCTTCCTCGATCAGTGGAGCACTGCTTGCAGTACTGACGCGTTGTGCCGGGAGGTCGATCCGATCCAGGACTACCAGCACCACGCAGTACCGAGCAAACTTTGCACACGCGAAACTTGAACTTGCCCTTCGCTGTCTTGTCCGTCGACACCATCAATTGATGCTTTGAGCTTGCTAGCGAGTACGCCGTCGAAACTGGCGTATGGTTAGTTCTTGGCTCCACCACGGTAACAGCGGCTTCGGCGACTGGCACCGTTTCCAGGAAGTCATCATCTCCGAGAGCGAGTAGCTCCTCGTGTAGCTGAATGAGAAAATCCGCGTGTGAAAGAGGTTTTTCTCCCACCGACTTCGCGTACTCACAGTGGGTGATAAAAGCGTTTATAACAGCTATGTCGAGAAGCCCGTAGAAAACAGTCTTGTAGTATTTCTTCGGTCGCATGACTCTTTGAATGGAGTACCTAGTCACAAGCATTTTCGACGAAAGTGATGGGCGGCAGAACTGCAACAGAGCAACGCGTACCTTTGCAGACGTAACTGGTCGTGACTGTCAACACCCCCCATGTACTTGTTGTACAATACCACAAACTCCGGACACGGAATGTTTGCCTGTGAGCCGTCCGTTTGCTTCGTCCGCACAATTGCACGTCTAGCGGAGGCCCCAGTCGCCACAAAGTAGCAAATTTTCGAGTCAACCCACCGCGTCGAGTACATTTGAAGATTCGTATTGTTCCGAGCACGAATGTATGAGCCGCGCGGCATCCCTCTCGAAGCTGATTTTTTGTCGGTCTTCAAGTCTTCGGGGAAGCCAAGATGCGTCGTAGAAACCGTCCCGATATTGTAGTACCCCATGTCCATCAAACGAAACCCCAACGTCACCGAAAAATACTCGCGATCAGTGATGATGATTCGCTTCTTGGATCGATCCACCCGACGCTGTTCCCACAAGGCTTTTAAGGTTTTGAACCACAGCAGCTGGTCCACTTCTGGTGTCAAAAAATTGACTGTTTTGTTTCTTACCGCAATAAACCTCGAACCTGAGCATGAATCCACAGCGTTCAGATACCAACTATATAAAATAGCGCAAAGGAGCATACCTGGAGCAGTAGTGGGTTTTCCCGCAACACACAGCGAACAGCTTGGTGCCGTACTTGTGCGGCTTATTCTTCAGGAAAACTCGTATTTTGTTCCGCGAACTTCTTGAAGGAATAACCATCTCGTCGAATGCAACCCAGCGCCCTAGTTCTATTCCACCCTTGAAAGTAGTCTGTAACTTGTTTATCACGTTGCGAATCTTCCATGCCCAGTCCGTCTAAGCCTGCGGAGCCTGGTTGTTCGTAAAGTGGAGAAATCTGGCGAGGGCCGTGTTAGTGGGCCCTCTATTAAAATAACGTGGAAGTCACAGTACCTGTTAATCTCCTTGAAACGCTTGCGAACCATAAACGGCGACCAAGTTCCAGCTGGGATCGCTCCACGGGCTCGCGTCTTCCAATGATCTTCCAGTCGAGACTTTATCGGGCAAATAGCCCTGGATATTACTAGGGCCAGAAAATGCATGATCTCCGCGGCAAGTACGTCTTTGAACGCGTCCAGCTCCTTTTTCTTTGCTTGAAACATTTCCTTGCGTTTGTGGATGTCGTCCGTCTTCTTTTCAATGGACAACTTCGCCTGTCGAAGTCTTTCCGGTCGGGTCTGACGCTCGTAACGATTAGTTTCCTCGGCAATCGCCGTCCAGAGAGTCTTCGGCATGTAGTAAAAAAAAAGATCAGAAGGTTTCATCGTTTTCGCTGCCTCTATATCCGAGGCAGTAAGTTGAGGAGGGTCCGTAAACACATCCGTAGCGCCGGACAGGTCCGAGTCATCCCGTTCGTCGGTTACCGGTAGCAACTCCTAACCATTGTCAGACATGCTTCGAAGCATTTCATCTGTTATGTAGTCCTGGGGGCCGGCAACCGCGCGAATTTCCTCTGCTGTTTCGACACTAAAACTTTCGTTTCCGGTATCACCTGCAATATAAAGCTCATCTGCAAACTCATCTTCAGAATCGTCGTCGGCACTCTCGCCAGAACAGCCATCCGATTCCAGCACCTCGTGATCGTCATCAATACCCACGTTCACTTCATCAGCAAGCATGTCCGCACGTCTTTTCGATTTCTTTCCAGATACTCGACTCCCGGGAGACGAAAGAGTACGTCGATTTTGCGAGGGTGTTGCGGTTGTTTCTGCTGTCTGCCGGGGCGATTTTCTTTTTCTGGGAGCCTTGCCTGACCCTCTGGAATCTGCTCGCGGTACTGGCGTAGCGTCCGCATCCGCATTGTTTGAGATCCCGTCACCCCAAGGCTCAACACCACCACCTGCATTTGAGATCGCCTCTTCCTCGGTAGTCTCGGGAAAGTAATCCGGGTAAGCGTACTCGTAGTCATTTTCGGTTCGATCATCGATTTGCCGGCTCTCGGTAGCCACATTGTAAGCATCATTGGTTACTCCCACTCCATTATTTTCTGGAGTGCTTGCTTGGCGAGATGTAGATCCACCTCTGGGTTTCTCGTTCTCATCGGTATCTTTCCGAGGGCTGTCATGGCCTACCGTCCCGGTAGCATCGGTGACTTCAGCTGGAGTTGGGTTTTCGAGCATAGCTTGACGTGCTGCTTTCTGGCGACGCCTAAACTTCTCCAATTTGTCAGGGCAGTTCAGATTGGAGGCAGGCTCCCAGCTCGTTTGGGAATATCCCTTCCATTTCACCTCAAAGTAAGACAAGCCAAAACTAAAAGTTTCACGAAGAATTTTTTCCACTTCGTACACTTCCTCCAAACCTGGGCACCATTATTACAGTTAGTACATTTTTCCCAAAACCAACATAAGAGCATGTGACAAACACGTGCTGCTTGTTACCTTCAGAACCCTCTTGGTGTTTTGCAGGGATTGTAGCCGTCATGTGGCTACTTCGGTCAGGCAAGTCTGCTTTTCGGGTTGCTTTTTTCTTCAACGCGCGTGCCTCTTGAAGTTGTGCTGCCTTGAACTTGTTGAGGAGCTCAGGACAATGCAGATTCGATTCCGGCTCCCACGACGTCTCGTCGTAACCCTTCCACCTTCACATGGTACTTGGGCTCTCCACGCACGAACTTCATCTCGATGATCTTCTCGACTTCAAATTCGTCGTCTGCGGCATTATGAACGTCTACTGTAAGATCGCTACGACGCTTTGCTAGTGAAAGATGCGTTTTGCTTACCAGATGCCTCGGAGTTCACTGTCCTCGCTGCTTTTCTTCACGCCTTCCGGGGCGGCTGGGCGTCGCGCCCGCTGCCTACTCGGCGCTTCTGTGCCATCTCGACGAGTGACGGTGGAGGGGGGGGGGGGGCAAAAGGCGCACTTCTTGCATCCCGATACGTGGGCATTATTGACCTTGATCATACAACTATACTGATATTAAATTTCGAATCTAAACACATCCGGATACGAAGCACGACAGAGCAGATCGTATACTTGTAATATCTCGATGTTGAGTTGAAAGTGTCAATGTTGACATCCCAGGTGAATTGCTTAGCAGATTCCTTTGGCAATAACAAATAGACTGGTACTGCTAGATGTCCTAAACTGCTTCTAGAGCTCCTCAACATTATTTTCACAGTGATAAATACACGCTCGGCGTCGCACTCACCGTGCACGTAACCCGCTACATGGCAACGGGCATCACGACCGAGCTCGCGAGAAGCGAAACGACGGGCATGACGGCCACACACCCACCCACGTGCATGTAAAGAAGAGGGATTTAACGTTGGGCTGGGGAATGTCAACATTGACATCGTGAGGCGCTGGAACTCCAGATCAGCGAGGCATCGAAGCTCACCAGAAAACTTGACGGCAAGCATAGAGGCACCCGGAGCAGCGACTGCTGCACGGCAAGCATAGCTGCGGCAAGCATAGCGGCGGCGTAGGCGACAGATGAACAGCGAGCATGGCGGCGGCCCGAGTAAGGATCAGCAGCTTGGTGGCGGCCTTGGCGGCGACGGTCGATGCGAGCCGGACGACGGCATAGTTGGGGAAGCGCGCTGGAGCAGTAGCTGGCGATTTCGGAAATGAGGTTTGGGATTGAGCGCGCGGAAACGATCTTCTGGCACGGATCGGAGCGCGAGCGTGATTGGCCGCGAAATGGCTGGCCAAATTACACGTCGCAAATTCAAACGATGGGGGCGCTGATTGGCGTAGATACCGGAGCGAACCCACGGGCGAAAATCTGCGTGTTGCGCGAACTCAAAGCGCAAGTTGGAAAAGCGCGCGAAAAGCTGTGTGTTGCGCGAAGCTTGATGGCTGAAGCCAGGCTGATACCACTTCGTGTGACCTTTGGATTGAGCCAATGCTGATTGGCTTATTAGCTTCAACTTCAACCCTCGATAAGCACTCCGAATTATAGTAGTTCTTGATTTAGTGACTGCCTAGTACGAGGGTATTTCTTTTGCAGTTCTATAGTAACTTACTTTTGCAAGTTCTTCAGCAACAGAAATGATGGCAAACGGTGCCTGAACGTCGCTCGCCTCGCTACCTAGGCCAGTGTGGTGTCCTCACAAAACGCGGAACCCGTAGATATGAAATACCAACCAATGCGTGCACACGGTTTCTATAGGTGAGCGCTAGCACCATTGATCTTGTCCGTCGAAAAAGCTCTGCTTCTGGGTGGTCAAAAGCTCACGAGACAGCACACTAATTCCCTCCTGTTCCTCGACAACACTGATACGAATAGACGCCAGTGACTTCAGCGAGGAATACGCCGCGCTAGCTAAGAACACGGATGGTTGATGACCCCCCCCTCCTTTATTTTACTGCATACTACTACATACAGGAGCCCACACACCGCTTGACCTCCCGTGCCGCGCCACCGTGCTCCCGGCTGGGAGGCAGCGATGCACGGTGGTGCGGCACTGGTGGTTGGGCCGGCGAAGTCACCACCGACACCTCCATGCAGCCCCTGTAGTGGGCCTACCTTGGCTCAGTACTACGGCTTACACGTATGCGCACGTGTATGAGGAAGCGTAGGTTTCTTTTACTTGAGTTAAGTATACTCGAGATCCACGAGTATACTTTAAATAAGATAAAGACTCCAAGTAGCGGGTTTTGGTAAAAGATGCGAGCTGCTATTTTTGTTTTATGTTTCTGACTTCCTCTAAATGTAATATTCTAAACTAGGAATCTGCCAACGGCTGGTTGGCAGGATTCTGCTAACATGCAAGTCACTCATTGGCTAAAAGATGCTGCTTTCAGCCAATAGGAATCCTAAATGTGCATGGACCACCCGTCGTGGTGGTCGTAAATGCATGTAGCCATTGGTGTACCTTACACCAAGGTCGAGAAAGTGTTCAAACCTCTAACAGACATCGCATCTGTTAGAGTAACAAGTGACTGTAGCCACTTGTGCGTGTAACCCCGTTACAGCCCCCAAAGCTCCCTGGAGCGCCATTGCCAACGGACGCGAATTACCCTCGACTTTCGCCATACCACCGATACCAGCCACCGTCGGACCGCAGAACGCACCTCACCGGGCGAGGCAGCGAGCCGCGGTGGCGCGGCACTGGCGGTTCGGCCGGCCAAGTCACCACTGACATCTCCATGCAGCCCCCAAAGCTCCCTAGAGCGCCATTGTCAACGGACGCGAATTACCCTCGACTTTCGCCATACCACCGATACCAGCCACCGTCGGACCGCAGAACGCACCTGACCGGGCGAGGCGGCGAGCGGCGGTGGCGCGGCACGGGAGGTCAAGCGGTGCGTGGGCTCCTATATGTAGTAAAATGCAGTAAAATAAAGGAGGGGGGGGTCATCAACCATCCGTGTTCTTAGCTAGCGCGGCGTATTCCTCGCTGAAGTCACTGGCGTCTATTCGTATCAGTGTTGTCGAGGAACAGGAGGGAATTAGTGTGCTGTCTCGTGAGCTTTTGACCACCCAGAAGCAGAGCTTTTTCGACGGACAAGATCAATGGTGCTAGCGCTCACCTATAGAAACCGTGTGCACGCATTGGTTGGTATTTCATATCTACGGGTTCCGCGTTTTGTGAGGACACCACACTGGCCTAGGTAGCGAGGCGAGCGACGTTCAGGCACCGTTTGCCATCATTTCTGTTGCTGAAGAACTTGCAAAAGTAAGTTACTATAGAACTGCAAAAGAAATACCCTCGTACTAGGCAGTCACTAAATCAAGAACTACTATAATTCGGAGTGCTTATCGAGGGTTGAAGTTGAAGCTAATAAGCCAATCAGCATTGGCTCAATCCAAAGGTCACACGAAGTGGTATCAGCCTGGCTTCAGCCATCAAGCTTCGCGCAACACACAGCTTTTCGCGCGCTTTTCCAACTTGCGCTTTGAGTTCGCGCAACACGCAGATTTTCGCCCGTGGGTTCGCTCCGGTATCTACGCCAATCAGCGCCCCCATCGTTTGAATTTGCGACGTGTAATTTGGCCAGCCATTTCGCGGCCAATCACGCTCGCGCTCCGATCCGTGCCAGAAGATCGTTTCCGCGCGCTCAATCCCAAACCTCATTTCCGAAATCGCCAGCTACTGCTCCAGCGCGCTTCCCCAACTATGCCGTCGTCCGGCTCGCATCGACCGTCGCCGCCAAGGCCGCCACCAAGCTGCTGATCCTTACTCTGGCCGCCGCTATGCTCGCCGTGCTGCTGTCGCCCATGCCGGCCGCCGCCATGCTCGTCATGCTGCTCTCGCTGTCCCCACTACGGCTACGCTCGCCGTGACGCTGTGGCCGGGCTCGCCGAAATGCTGGCCGACGGTCGCCCACGCCGCTGAGATCGTCCAGGAGCGTAACTGGTCCGGCCAAGATGTCGATGTTGACTATCCCAGGTCAATGTTGACTTATGTTATGTGTGTTCACACATGGTCGGTGATATGGTGTGGTCAACATCAGAAGCAGCGGAATCTTGGAGGTTCGACGACATCCGACGTGTGAGAAATGGAGCTCAAAGCCCGACAAATCGTTGACGACTACCGGGCGTATTGGGAGGACTGCCGCGCGTATATGCAGTACCCGCCTCGGCTCTTCGTGATCATGAGAGGCCTCCCGGGCAGTGGCAAGACAACGTTTGCTCAAGAGGTCGCATGTTATGCAGCAATGGTTGATTTCCGCGCATCGATTTGCTCAGCTGACCACTTCTTCCAGCGCGGAGGATCCTATGTGTTCGACGCAAGTCGGCTTTGGGAGGCGCATCGAAGCTGCTACGAACAATGCAGAGAACTCCTGTGGCGCAGCCCCGACCGTGGCGTGGATATCGTTATCGTCGACAACTGCAACCTTCGGATGGATGATTTTGAGCGCTATCAGGATCTGCACATTCCCTCGGACAAGCTTGCGGTTGCTGCGTTCGAATGCCCCCCTGGCATAGCGGAAGCAACACAGCTCTTCGAACGAGCTAATCGTGTTGGCCACGCTATCCCTGGTCGCACTTTCGTGGAGTACTTCTACATCTGGAGACACAACGCACCGGAGGAGCCGCGCCCCGACAACGAGGTGGACACCGTCGATGAGCTGCACATCGATAACGAGCTGACCACCGTCAATATGCCGCGCGCCTACATCATCACGCTGGAAGAGTTTATGCGTGATCGCTAACGTGCTCCGGCAATGCCGAAGAGGTGACTGGTAGCTTCAGTAAATCTCTAATTTGACGTATCCACTCGTGTGTTGGCGCTTATCTCACCACTTCTGCATCTTTTTGTAAAGACAACCATGTGCATCTACTCGTAAGTCTCTCATTGAGTCACCAAGTCGACTACGACTTGGAACGTGTCTACGCTGGCTTAGACACTTGTTACTGAAGCCAGCTCAACAACGACTTATACCAAGTCAACGTTGACTTACAGTCCTCTTGATTCGAAATCGAATTGGTCCACATCAATTTATTTCAACTGTAGGATTTGCGGTTTCACTTTCGCAAAGAACCTTGACTGCAGCAAAGTGCTGATGGCGATGCTGATGGCGATGCTGATGGCGATGCTGATGGCGAAGCGATCTCAGGCTGCAGAGAGCGAGGGGACTGCTGGTGGTGCTGCTCGCCAGGCGCCCATGACGAGGAGCAAGAAAGCTGCAAAGGCGACGGACAAGCCAGCGACAAAGCGGACGAGCGCGCCCACTGACAAGTCAGCAAACGCTACCAAGACCACGCCTGCCACTGGCAATGCCAAGCAGAAGCGGAAGAAGGGGGAGGGGCCAGACACTTCGCCAAGCCCCCGTAAGCAGAGGAAGACTGCCAAGAAGACTGGCGAAGGATCCAACGGGACGACGCGCGAGTTGGGCGCCGCGAGTGCATCGGAGGACGAGGCGACGACTCGCGATGAAGAGACGACTTCCCTGGTACCCAAGCACGCGCTCCGGTCCACGTGCTTGGCTCTACAAAAGAAGATCGCAGACGAAAAGGGCGAGCACCGGCAAGGCCCACGGCGCTAGGCAGGTGATTACTACAAGATGGCAGACTACCAGAAGCGTGTGTGGGCGGAGAAATACACAGCTGCTAGGAACAGCGACAACGACTTGGACTACGAGGCTTTGAGCAAGTTGACTCAATTCAAGGCGTTCATACACAACCCAGAAGAGCTCCAGCGTCACGAGCCTGCGCTGCTGAAAGAGTTCTACGAGGTTTACTTAGCGGACCAAGCCCTGAAAGCAGACGCACACGCGCAGACCGCTGGATCGGGTTCGTCAAAGCTATCGCAACGTGGCGGAGCCGAGCACCTGGCGATCGAGCAATGCGACATCCAGGCGGCTCAGCAGCTTACCGCAGCCAGAAACCAAGCATCGCTAGCGTCAGACCAAGCTCCAGGGCCTCCAATCTCGCAGACACCCGTGGCCGTGCAGGAGGAAGGTGCCCCAGCTCGGAGACTGCAAACCGACAATTTGCGAGGGGAGTATGCGAATTTTGAACTCTCTATTTCGCAAGCACTGCAGCAGTTCCGAGAGAAGCTGGATGAAGAAGCAGAAAGGGGCTCGACAGCTGGAGGAGGAACAAGCACGCTCAAGGAAATTAGAGGAGCAGTTAGCAGCCGCTGCGAAGGAGCTGGCCGAACTCAGGAGTGATGGCAGTGGTGATGGCAGTGGTGGCGACAGATGTACCGTGATAGCGCATGAGTGGAAGAGGACGGCTGCAAAACTAGCCGAGGAGAAGGCGATTTCAAGTGGCTTGCGCAACAAATTTGCCCATGTGGAAACTGAGTTGAATTTGTCGAAGCAATCCGTCCCCACGCACGCAGACAATCTACTTAAGGCGCAGGCTAGCCATGCTAAGAAACTCCAGGATGTGCACGAAGACATGAGCAACCTCACGAGAGAGGTGGACGAGCGCAAGAAAAAACTGGAGGACCGGGAGAACGAGGTGGCTACACGAGAGAAGAATATGGAGAACAAGGAGGAAGAACTACAAGTCAAAGCCGAGGAGCTGCAATCTCATGAGGTCAAGCTCAAAGAGGAGGGCCGGCGTCTCCAGAACGTAACGCATCGCCTGCAACGGGAGCGGGAGCAGTTGGACGCGGATAAAAAGAAACGAGAGAAGCCGAGTCGAGAGAAGCAACAAGGAGGCCGAATATCGCTGAGGCAGGCGAAGATTTTGAATGAAATGAAGCGCCAGACCCGGCTCCTGGAAGAGCAGTTCAAGAACAACGGGTGCCCAGCTGCGTTTAAAGAGCTCGAAGCCAACCGCAACCGGATCGAGGAAGAGAGGGCGGCGATGCAAGCAGAACGGGATGGAGTGAGAACGCAGTTGGAATCGATGAAGGCTGCGCTAGAGGCGGTGAAAACGGAGAACAGCGGATTGCAAGACACCATCGCGAGACGAGAGCTGTACTTGAGTATGTTCAAGCATAGCGCGGTGACCGAGAAAGCTATCGAAGAGTTCACGGAATGGAACGCCGTCATCCGAGATGGTAAGCCGCTTGAGTTTCTGCTTCAGTGTGGTTTGACATTGTATTGACTTCCATTGTCTCTGGACTGAAAAAATGTAGGTAACACGAGCACAATGCAGAAGAAGCGCGACTTCATTCTGGGCAAAATGAAGGAGGCGTTTGGATCGAAGACGGCGGACGCTGAAGAGTTCAAGGCGCTTGCGGTCGAGTTCTGGGAGAAAAGAAGTGAGTTGGTCCACGACAAGACAGGTACCGTCATTCACTCGATGGACCACGGCAGATACGCGTGTGTATGCGCGAAGATTATGGAAGCATTGGCTGCGTTTGAGAGTGCCATCCTGCTGTAGTTGTGTGCTGCTGCGTAACGATGAATGAATACACCTTTCCAAGTCACCGATGACTTAGAGCGAGTCAACTTTGACTCGATACGCTTGTTTTATTGATCGCGAAGTCAACACGGACTTAAACCAAGTCGACATTGACTCAAACGTCCTAGTTTCAGTAACAGCGAAGTCAACGTCGACTCTGAACGAGTCTACATTGACTCGGTCGACAGCGATCCAACGTTGACTTACAAATCCAAAAAAATAAACTCGGTTTCAGTATGAACCCCCAAAGGGTCGTTTTACTTGAGTTTGTATAGACGTATCCGAAGCGAAAAATGGCTGACTTTTCAGATGAAGAGGATCGCCAATTCGTTCAGCTCGCGGCGGTGTACGAGCAAGCGGGAAGACGAATCGACTGGGTGTCAGTGGAGAAAGACATGAGGCCGTCAACATGGAGCGCAACCAAACTGCAACAGCGAATCAAGACGCTCAAGAGACGATATGGCAATAACGTGCTGAGTTTCCCCCCACGCTATTTCCGCCCGCCACCAGACCGAGCAGGACTGCATTTGGAAGCCAAAGCTGCGTCTCCTCTACGGTTTTCGCCTTCACCACATACCATTTCGATCCTATCACCGCAAGAAACCTACAACGCCACTGAAGGACTATTCTGCCTACTCACCAGGCGTGATGTGCGCGCGAGTGAACGTCAGCTAAATACCGGGGAGATTACAATGGCTGGGGTGTCCATGCTGATCGAAGAAGCGAATATTCAAGTGAATGACGTGTTTCTGGATGCTGGATCCGGCGTGGGAAATGTTCTCGCTCAAATCGCTCTGCAAACGCAAGCATTTCGTGTGGTTGGTATTGAGATCCAACGTGACCTGGCCGCTAGAGGTATGGAGCTGATACCGTCTAGGGCATCGCGCTTTCCACACTTGCTCAAGATCAGCGTCGTCACCGCAGACATCCGCAATATTGCTGAAGGCAGCGATACTGTTATCAATGCTGATCCAGACTCGAAGTTGGCTCAACCCAGCTCCCTTATCAGCTCCGCCACCCTTTTATTTTGCCACGACACTGTGTTCGAAGAAGATGTGGTTTTGGCAATGCGTGCTTTGTGCATGAAGCTACCTCATCAACGTCTGGTGGCGCTAGCAACACGAGTGTGTCTGCGGCATCGTAATACGTGCCGAAATTCGTTTTGCAAGCGGTGGAAGTTACTGAAAACAATTCAGGTTCGGATGACTTACAGCAGCTCCCTTCGGGATTTACACCTGTACGCTGCTGAACCAAGATGGTCGATGCAGTAACTACGATCACTACTCTAACATTGCCGCCGAGGGTCATACCAACAGCTATGTATTAATTGCATGAAAATCAATCACAACTCTAATCAACTTCGTCCTGCAGTTGAGTTTGACAGCGTAATGGAGCCGCTGTCGCCCCATGAGCTGTCATACGAGGTCTAGAGAACCCAATACAAGATGAAGTGTTCGTAGCGGACGAGCTTACTCGAGTCGACGTACGGCATCGTGGGCTCCGTAACCAGACCCCAGCTGACCATGAAGACTCCATGCTTCAAGCCGCCGTTGTATCTGTCGTTCTTGGAGTCTTGCCACACCCCGCTGTCCCTGTCGTGCTCTTGGCGTCCTCCCTGCCGCTTGTTTCCGCCGTCGTGCCTTCGGCATCGCGCTTGGACATTCGCTGTGGAGTCGACTCGCGTTAGGGTGAAGTGTCAGCACCCGCATGGTTTCAGCGGTGGTGGCACGTAGCTTAGGTGGGCGCAGATGCGCAAGATCGCCTCCTTGCTCAGCTCCTGCCGGGAGTAGCCGGTGAACAGCTCGTTCTGAATGTAATACGCCTGTCGACAACAACACCACCAGCATGAGCCCCTAGATATGAACGCCAAAGCTGCCAAGACGCCGCCTTACCTTGTGGGGGGTGAAGATGGTGTCCAGCTCGCACACCTACCGAGTCCACAACATCTCTCAGCGTCAGCCTCCCTTCTGCTAAAGCTCCAGTAGCCCTGACGCCTCACGTACATTGCCGAAGTAGCGGTCGGGCTCCTCCACGAACAGGAGCGTCCAGGTCTCGATCGAAACAACTCGGTCTTCGCAGTGGCACCGGCAGAGCCGTACTCGTAGCTCCTCGACCAGCGTACCTCGCGCGTGTGAAGGCATCTATAGAAGGCAATGATACAAGGGAAAAGAAAGTTAACATTAGTGAGCGGTGCATCCTATCAACTCAGAATTTTACCATAACGGAGAAGCGCTAATCCTTCGCGAGCACCTGGCAATCTGCGGGTGTAAATGCTTGTGCGGTGGCCAATGGTGTCGCGGAAGCCCGGCACCCATGCTCATCTACCTTTCAAGGTGAGAAATCCGCAAACAGATCGCATTGGCCAAAACGCTCTCGGCGGGACCTTGAAGAGTCGCAGTTACCCTAACCACCTGTATGGCTTGAACCGGCACTTTCCCCCGAGGTTTTTCTTATCCCAGCAAAATCGGGATAACGGTCGCCGGTGGGTTAACTCATTGCTGTACACTTCGAAGTTAGATGGAATGCGACGAGTACCTCGCGGGCCATTACCAGCTGCATGTCGACAAGCGCGGCGCTCCAGAGCTCTGCGAGCTCGGCGATCTTCAATTCTTTCTGGCTCAAGGATTCTAGCCGGGAGTTCGAGAGGGGTTGGTGCCGACGAATCCACCAGTGCGGGTGAAAATCGGTAGGCCGCAGTCCGATGCATGTAGCCACTCTCGGATGTAGCGAGTGTGCACACGGAATGCCCCAGGTCATTTCATACGAACCGGTGCAGGGTTTAAGGATGGTTTCCATGCGCTAAAGTGACTCCACGCAGCGCAGAAACACGTGTGTGTGAATAACTCGGATGACGGCAGCGAACAATTTCCCGCGCCGTCTTATGGGCACGTACACTTCCGCATTGGAGTGAAGCACCCAGTGTCGCTCAATCGACTGCCTCCACCAATGTTCCATGCGCGTGTGTACTGTCAGCAAGTCGCCGCTGGATGTCCCCAGCCAACTCTTGAGCGTAGCATGATAGCCCTCCACGCGTGATGTGGCGTGCATTCCGAAATGCAACACTTGATCAGTCCAACAACGAACGATTCTCCGCTTCCAAATGTCGAGCCACACGTCGTCGATATATGTTGCTTCAACAGCAGACAGCAAATGTAGCTCATGTCGACGGAAGTGATAGTCCTCCTCCGTTTATGCGTACACTACACGCAGAAATGCTTCGCAAAAGGTCTGGTGATCTCCCGAGTCCTGGAGTAGCGATATATCATGGTCGATTTCTCTGGGGAAGGATACCCTGCGAGCATGGGTCTGAACGTCTTTCATGATGTGCCACAGACACAGTAACGCAGGCGTGTCTGGGAAACTTCTTCTAGAGCGTTCAACAGCACCAAATCCCGGTCGGTGAGAAACACTTGGGGTGGTGGAATTCCTTGCTGTGATAAAAGATGCTCCAGCTGTCGTAGAGCCCTCTGGAAATCGTGCTCTTCCCCCCCGATCAGAGATACGTGGGCGATGTGAACCGTCGTGTTCATTCCTGTCACCCCCACAATGTTAAACAGGGGCATGTTGAACCGATTTGTGCGGTACGTGCAGTCCATGATGATAACGTCGTAGTTGGCTCGGTAGATGTTAATGGCGTCGTTGTGAGCGAAAAATAGATGGGCCAAGTGATGGTGCTCGTCATACTGATAGCTCACTTGAAAAGGTCCATCTTGTAGCTTCTGGAGTAGCCGCTCGATCCTTGACAGTCCTCCGAGCACAGCGCGAGTTGCACGAGCTCTTTCATTGTACACGTCGCGAGGTACTAGAAGAATTCCCGGGTCTTCTACCAGTAGACGTGCGATAGTCTGTCTCGCGGTAGCGCCAGTTTCTCCATCCACTGCAATCGCGAGGCGGGCGGCTTCTGTGTGTGACGCTCGACGATGCATCGGATGCGAAGCTGCGTGCGAGGATGGCGGATGATTGTGTTGGCCAGCCCGACCTCGATGTTGAAGCAGCCAGCCGATATCGCCGTGACTGCCAGTCGTACGCACGAGGTAGACCTCCATGGGCATCCATACTTTCGGCTGCTTACATTTGGCCGCTTAGGCGGGTTGAAGTGCTCGCGTTGGCTCTGGGGAACGCCGTGCCTATCGCAGCCGTAGCGGATGAGCCGCTTCCGGTGACGCTTGTCATAGCTAGTCCCTTTGTACACAATGGCATAGCCGTGAGGACGCGCAAAAGCGTTCAGCCCGCGTTGAGCTTCCACTGGGGTTCGGAACATTCGCTCCACCAAGCAAGGCATGTGCCACAATTGCGCTCCTGCTACCTGCTGTCTAATAGCTGGCTATTCAAAATTATCTTCTCGGGCAGGCCCCAGTCGATCATGCGCCATAATAGCCGAAACACTTAGTAGCGGTGGCAGCGGGTCGCTCAAACCGGCGCTCGCAGCGTCTCGCTAGCTGGTCCGAAGAGAAATAGCTGCGGCCGAAACGGTAGCTTGCCGTGGAGACGATAGTTGGAGCTGCCACAACGCTTCTTCCAGCGTGTTACAGTGTAGATTTCGAGGCGTGGCCGCAGGCCGTGCCAGTACCGGGGGTTGAGGCAGCAGTGGCGGTGTCATACGCGAAGCCCATTGGGCTGCGAACACAGGCCGGGTTGATGATGCAGGCCATGAAGTCAAAGCTTCTGATGCGGAGTTACTTGCAACGCGACGTGCTGCTTGCATTGCTTCAAGCATAGGATCTAGCGGCTTCAGGTTAAGGTACGTTGAAGCCCGGGTTGTAGTGCTGTTCTGAAGTAATGCGTGGCTGTCAGACGGAGCCCCTGATCACCGCTGTGAACCATCCGATGATTTTCAGTTCGGTTGCTACAACTTTTGGTAATTGCGGTTTGCATGTACTATGCACAAGTTTGGTCGCGCTGTAAGGGGCTGATTGAGTTCTTGGTGTTTGGTTTCTGGCGTGTGCCTTTAACTCTCTCCTACCCTACCTGATTGGTTAGCTCATCCGTGTCCCTGTTTTGGGAAAGCAGCTCATTCTGGCTACCGGTATGTGAGTATTTCGGGTGATGTTTTCGGAAGTGATGGCAGCACCTCTGGGCTCCCCCAATCAGGACAAAAAGGTATAAACAGCCACATCACATGTGCAGAAGCCCCTGCACTAGCCGCCCCGCTACCGTTCTACGTATTTTCCGGGCCCCATGCGCTCACTCGATCTCGTTCATAGCGGCCGCGCCATTTCTGGCTTTTCAGAAATCCAATAATTTTGTGTGAGATGCCTGTCCTTTCTGTTGGTGTTGGCCCCAACACGACTCCGGGAGTCGTGTCGCGGTCAACCCTATTGAAAATAATTTCAACCAATCAGATCAAACCGTGTTGCATGTTTATGTTATGCCTTCCCAACACCGACACCAAACACCAAGAACTCAACCAGCCCCTAAGGCGCGCTGTCGGTATCACCTCCCCACGCCCTCAGGTCGTTGGAGCCTCTACTGATACTGAATCCAAGTCTATTTACGGCCTCTAATTGGCACGCAGGCAATTTCAGGTAGTCGTACTCGTTGCCGTCTCCGTGCTCGAATTTAATTGGCTCCTGGCTGAGGTGAGTATAAAACAGGCTGGCCCTACAGTCCATGTTTCGGAATAGGGTTAGGGATAAAGGCATACTAAAACCAAGTAAGATCTCCAAACATGTAAAACATGCTGAAATCATGGACATCCATGTGCGGTATCCCGGCCCGGAATTTTCCCTTCAATCTGTTTTCAGGACGGGTGTCATGGCACCCAAATCTATTGCAAATCCCTGGGAACTGGGTAATCGAGCTGCTAAATGTAGCTCTACCTGTCCTTAAAACCTTTAGAAGGCCGGCCCAGCGCTAGGCAGGGAACTGTAGACCTAAGCCTTGGTTCGGGGCTACGTTTGCGGGTTGTTCATGCTTCTCAAACGCCACTGATGCCGATTTGGTCTCTGCATCACGATAGATTTGCGGGCCATTTCACCCCCTCCAATCCGAAAACATGGCTGTACATTTTCCGTATAAAAAAAGCGGAGATCGAGGGCTTTTCAGAACTACCACAACTTGCTTCGGTTGTGTCCCAAGCAGCATTCGTGTGAACTGCTCGCCAAGTGGCCTCTAATTGACCGTTCCCCTACGAGTCAGTACTATTAGGACACCCTACGTATTCACATGGTATCTACCGCACTTTTGGAACGTAAGAGCGCGAAAGCAAAACAGTTGTTCACTTGTTGTTTGGGTATGTGTGCAGCCTTGTCCTTCATGCACGCTACAGCTCACAAATGTATGGCCGGCTCGAACTGCTAGTAAACCATCGCTCTCGCCTTGTCCATCTTTCTCTCAATGACTCGCCAGCAGGGTTAAACATGCAAATGCAGCTCCAGTTCGCTGCTAGCTGGACTCGATCTGCGTGGTAAACCTTCCGTTTGTTGGCTGCAATCCCAGGCACATGCAATCGAGGAAAACGTGGCAACTATGGATACGCTGGACTCGCTGTCGAGATGACGATCAAAGCACTTCAACATCGGCGCCGAGAGCTGGTTCAAGCGTCCAACCATGCGGAGACGCGGTGTAGCCATCTGCCGTCGAGCGGAAACCAGCTGAGAAGGCTCCGCTCGACGCAGGCAATGCGCATCAACGAAGAAGACGCTGGATACATGTCGGTGATCGATTCAATCTCACTTCACCCCGCTTTGCAGACATTCAAAGCGTGCGGCTGGCGGCCCCCGCACTCAGCGTTCGTGGCCGGCAGTCCGCTTCTCGGTGCAGCCTCGTCATCCGTGCGGCTCGGAGTGGGAGCTGTTTGGCCAGCAGCACCGACTGCTGATCACGAGCGTGGCACTTTCGGTGACAAGTGCCGGCAATTCAATTGCCCGCCGGTAGTCAGCGATGTACTGACAAGTAGCCAGGCCCGTTGTGCGGCGGCCGTGTAGCCCCGGGCTACTAGCCCGTGCAGCATGCAGCGCTCCGAGGGAGATGGAGAGCCTTCTCCTCCTTCTCCTTCGTGCCATCATCACGGTGGCCGCTTTCGCATCCGTATTGGCCTCTGCATTCAGGACCGGCCGGCCATCCCGAAGCTCACTTCATCGAAACCGCATGCTCGCCCGCCCTGAGCCGAGCTGGTAAGATGATCGTCACCGCCGCCGGGTGGCTGCTGCTGCTACAAGAGAGAGAGAGAGAGAGAGAGAGAGAGAGAGAGCTGACTCACGAGGTCAGGCATAGCTCCGCGTCGAGCAGCTAATGCGCCGCCGAACCAGGCCGCGAGCTCGCTGGCACGGTGAGTAGCTCGACGACCATCTGCGTGTGGACACTATAGTCGCGAGTGTCCGCAGCCGTCGCGGAGCCGAGCCATGAGCCGCGTGACGTGTTCTGAGCGCCGCACATTGCGCGCACCGAGATTTGAGCTCGCGCGCACGCACCGGCCTGCTGCAGAGCCATCTCGGCATCTCGGCGGCGAGGAGCTGTGATGGGTGATGGAGGCCAATATGGCGAACCGGATCGCGGCCCTGTCAGTCAGGGAACCCCAGGAAGAGAGGTCCGCCCATCGTCTTCTCTCTCGTTGCTAGACATGCGCGGGAAGTCGAGCGAGGCGTGACCGTCGCTAGCCATTTCCGGCAGCACTTCCAGCAGCAGCAGCAGCGTGACTTGAAGCGCGCCGCGCCGCGCGGAGCCGGGCCGGTTGCGGCGACACTAGCGAGCTAATGGCGCTGGGCGAGCTCTCTCGTCGGTGACAGCTCTAGCTGCTGGGGGCCGTGTCGCCAGCTGCAGCGGCGCGGACAGAGCTCGCTTGCTCGCTGTGTTAATACAGGCTGTTGCTGCTGTTGAGTACATGTACACACACCGACGACCAGCTTGGCGCCGGCGCCAAGCTGCACTTGCCGGCGGCAGATGGTTAAACCGGCCAGCCAGCCGGAGGCACCCGTTCCAAAGGGAGGTCCACCGTGGCACGCAGTCATAGATCGATTCGTGCCACCGATCAACTCGTATCTATAGTGCGGGCGACAACAGTGCAGTACCTACTGTACCGGACGTCCAGACTCGAGTCTTTGACATCCTCTCACTGCTCACTTGTGAATTCGACACTGCGCGTGCACATGAACGTCCTCGCCACTGCTGCCGCTACTACTACTGCGATGCAGATGCCCGCCACCGCCGGCAAGAAGCGCGCGCTGACCGAGTCGGGCTGCTTCGCCCCCTCGTCTCCTCTTGCTGCTGCTGCTGCTGCTGCTTCGACCGCCGACTGCAGCCTTGTGACCGCGGGCCACGACGACGACGGCGAGGAGATCCTGGTGGAGGCCGAGCCGCTGCCGCACGAGATCGAGACGGACCCCGCGCTGCGGTGCCGGTACCCGAGCAAGCACTGCCTGCGCACGCGCACGGTCAAGAAGACGGGCGCGCTGCACAGCATGTGCGCGTTCCACCGCGCCAAGGCGAACCGCAACCAGCGGCGGCTGGAGAAGCGCAAGCGCCTGCGGCTCAACAGCAGCAGCAACGTCGCGGAGAGCGTGTCGCTGGGTGCTGGGCGCCCGCACCTGGTGAAGCAGGAGCCGGTCGCGGTCGAGGCCGCGACGACGACGCTGCTGCCGACGTTCTCGTCGCCGAGCTTCAAGAGTTTGCTGCTGGGGCAGTCGACGCCTCCGCCGATTATGCTGATGCAGCCGCGGTCCAACTCGCCGCGCGAGGTGGCGGCCGAGTTTGAGCCGTTCCGGACGCCGGCGGCGCTGTTCCCCGAGGACCTCGAGGAGCTGTGCGAGCTGGTGGACGTGAACACGCGGCAGTCGCGTGTGACTACGCTGGACGACGCGGAGTTTCTAGACATGGTGGGGCAGTGCCTGCTGTAGATGTGTAGCCAGTGGGAGAAGTATTTAGTCGAGAGGATGAGTAATGGAAGTTGTATTAGTGATTCTGTGGTTGATTCTGAACATTGAGACTCGAATACGAAGCAATGCACGTATTACTTGCTGCAGTCGAAGACAGCGTTGCCCGGTAGTTCCTTGTGTTGGTTTGACCAACTTGCTTTAGCGACTCGGGTGTATGTTCAAAGTGCAAAGCACTCGAAAACCCGTCGGTGTCATCGGCAGGACTGCAGCCGTCAAAAAGAGCACCGTAACTTCCTAGCCCGAGTTCAACTCGAAGACCACTGCATGCAGCACCACAGATGCAGTCACGCACAGCATCATATCTCAGACAAGGATGAGTGCTTCGAGGCTCGAACTGTTCGAGCTTCACTACTCCCACTGGACGCGATTGAGGGCACCGACATACCTGTAGGAATTGAACGCACCAATGGTCGGAACGACTTATCCGCAGGATCGTTCGTCGACATGCCAAAATTGACTACCGGTAAAGAGATTTGGTAAGAAAATTGAGCTCCGTCACCAAGCACGTCGTCGAGATGGGAAAACCCGAGAAAGCATGCTCGCACACGTGACGCAGCTTGTTAAACACTTCTTCTGCTTGGGGTACCCCCGCTTGGGTCGAACGACAGAGCGCTGCCTCCTTCGCATACAAACCAAAAAAATCATCCTGGAACTTCACTCGAACAAACGACAACTTCCATTACTCATCCTCTCGACTAAATACTTCTCCCACTGGCTACACATCTACAGCAGGCACTGCCCCACCATGTCTAGAAACTCCGCGTCGTCCAGCGTAGTCACACGCGACTGCCGCGTGTTCACGTCCACCAGCTCGCACAGCTCCTCGAGGTCCTCGGGGAACAGCGCCGCCGGCGTCCGGAACGGCTCAAACTCGGCCGCCACCTCGCGCGGCGAGTTGGACCGCGGCTGCATCAGCATAATCGGCGGAGGCGTCGACTGCCCCAGCAGCAAACTCTTGAAGCTCGGCGACGAGAACGTCGGCAGCAGCGTCGTCGTCGCGGCCTCGACCGCGACCGGCTCCTGCTTCACCAGGTGCGGGCGCCCAGCACCCAGCGACACGCTCTCCGCGACGTTGCTGCTGCTGTTGAGCCGCAGGCGCTTGCGCTTCTCCAGCCGCCGCTGGTTGCGGTTCGCCTTGGCGCGGTGGAACGCGCACATGCTGTGCAGCGCGCCCGTCTTCTTGACCGTGCGCGTGCGCAGGCAGTGCTTGCTCGGGTACCGGCACCGCAGCGCGGGGTCCGTCTCGATCTCGTGCGGCAGCGGCTCGGCCTCCACCAGGATCTCCTCGCCGTCGTCGTCGTGGCCCGCGGTCACAAGGCTGCAGTCGGCGGTCGAAGCAGCAGCAGCAGCAGCAGCAAGAGGAGACGAGGGGGCGAAGCAGCCCGACTCGGTCAGCGCGCGCTTCTTGCCGGCGGTGGCGGGCATCTGCATCGCAGTAGTAGTAGCGGCAGCAGTGGCGAGGACGTTCATGTGCACGCGCAGTGTCGAATTCACAAGTGAGCAGTGAGAGGATGTCAAAGACTCGAGTCTGGACGTCCGGTACAGTAGGTACTGCACTGTTGTCGCCCGCACTATAGATACGAGTTGATCGGTGGCACGAATCGATCTATGACTGCGTGCCACGGTGGACCTCCCTTTGGAACGGGTGCCTCCGGCTGGCTGGCCGGTTTAACCATCTGCCGCCGGCAAGTGCAGTCTGGCGCCGGCGCCAAGCTGGTCGTCGGTGTGTGTACATGTACTCAACAGCAGCAACAGCCTGTATTAACACAGCGAGCAAGCGAGCTCTGTCCGCGCCGCTGCAGCTGGCGACACGGCCCCCAGCAGCTAGAGCTGTCACCGACGAGAGAGCTCGCCCAGCGCCATTAGCTCGCTAGTGTCGCCGCAACCGGCCCGGCTCCGCGCGGCGCGGCGCGCTTCAAGTCACGCTGCTGCTGCTGCTGGAAGTGCTGCCGGAAATGGCTAGCGACGGTCACGCCTCGCTCGACTTCCCGCGCATGTCTAGCAACGAGAGAGAAGACGATGGGCGGACCTCTCTTCCTGGGGTTCCCTGACTGACAGGGCCGCGATCCGGTTCGCCATATTGGCCTCCATCACCCATCACAGCTCCTCGCCGCCGAGATGCCGAGATGGCTCTGCAGCAGGCCGGTGCGTGCGCGCGAGCTCAAATCTCGGTGCGCGCAATGTGCGGCGCTCAGAACACGTCACGCGGCTCATGGCTCGGCTCCGCGACGGCTGCGGACACTCGCGACTATAGTGTCCACACGCAGATGGTCGTCGAGCTACTCACCGTGCCAGCGAGCTCGCGGCCTGGTTCGGCGGCGCATTAGCTGCTCGACGCGGAGCTATGCCTGACCTCGTGAGTCAGCTCTCTCTCTCTCTCTCTCTCTCTCTTGTAGCAGCAGCAGCCACCCGGCGGCGGTGACGATCATCTTACCAGCTCGGCTCAGGGCGGGCGAGCATGCGGTTTCGATGAAGTGAGCTTCGGGATGGCCGGCCGGTCCTGAATGCAGAGGCCAATACGGATGCGAAAGCGGCCACCGTGATGATGGCACGAAGGAGAAGGAGGAGAAGGCTCTCCATCTCCCTCGGAGCGCTGCATGCTGCACGGGCTAGTAGCCCGGGGCTACACGGCCGCCGCACAACGGGCCTGGCTACTTGTCAGTACATCGCTGACTACCGGCGGGCAATTGAATTGCCGGCACTTGTCACCGAAAGTGCCACGCTCGTGATCAGCAGTCGGTGCTGCTGGCCAAACAGCTCCCACTCCGAGCCGCACGGATGACGAGGCTGCACCGAGAAGCGGACTGCCGGCCACGAACGCTGAGTGCGGGGGCCGCCAGCCGCACGCTTTGAATGTCTGCAAAGCGGGGTGAAGTGAGATTGAATCGATCACCGACATGTATCCAGCGTCTTCTTCGTTGATGCGCATTGCCTGCGTCGAGCGGAGCCTTCTCAGCTGGTTTCCGCTCGACGGCAGATGGCTACACCGCGTCTCCGCATGGTTGGACGCTTGAACCAGCTCTCGGCGCCGATGTTGAAGTGCTTTGATCGTCATCTCGACGACCTCGATGGCACTGTCCGGCGTAGCTGTCCTCAGCCACGTCCTCGGTAGCGTGCGTGCGCGGCCAGCAAAACGGAAGGTTACAAGACGAGTCCGGCTCGCAGCAGACTGCACCTGTCGAGTCGCTGGCAGCGACTCACTCACTGCTAACAATGGTCAATAGGTGGATACCTTACAATCGCCATGTACGCAAGCAGCCTCACAAAGAGCTGGTATCCGCTCGCGACTGCAAGTTCTTGATCTTCGCCCTCCACGTTCGCCCTGAGGCGGCTATTTTAGACTCCGATACTACTCACCAGTCTAAAGCTAGCTCGCTACCCCCGCCGAACGAACACTCCACTCCCCGTCCACCACAGCGTCAATTCTGCTACATTCTACGTGCAGATCCGCTTGCTCGCAGCGTCCTGTACAGCTCCGGTGTCTACACATCCATCGCACTCCGTCGGATTCGTACTTCGTTGAGGCTGCAACCGAAGCAATGACAGCGGCCGACACGTGTCTGCCTCGGCTGCGTGTGTTTTTGGACGCCTCACTGTTGGTGGCGTTGGTGCTAACAGCGTTCGCTCTTCGTCGCCGCGTCGGGGCCGCCAGCACTCCACCGAAACCCGACGATCTCTACGACGACCACCTGAATCGAACCTTCCGACGCAGCGTGGCTCTCACGGTGCTGGGCCTCCAAGTATGGGGAATCCTGGGACTCGCGCTGGGTCTCGCGTCCGATTGTCCGGCACAGCACTGGCTTGTAGTGTTCTGCCTTGTATTATCTGCTGGATGCATGCTCGCGGGCGCCGGACTCAGTGCGAGGGAGGCGCTACTCACCATCGACTGCGATGTACGTTATCACTTCAACTTCAACAACTTCAACATTGGTAGCATAACCATTATGACTGACCGGCTTGCTGTTGTTCTGCCTCTCCTGTCAATGGCAGCTCCTGATGGTGCTCTGGTGTCTGCGCTGCTCGTGCTGCTCGCGCCTGACCAAACGTGCGTTGCTGCTGCCTCCGTTGACGTTGCTGACCACGCTCAACGTCGCGTCTTGGCTCGAAAGCCGAGATGAAGTCGCATGCAATGCGTCGGAGCTGCTCCCGCCGTCGACTTTCTTCGCTGGGACGGCGTCCTTGTTTCTTCTCATGCTTGTTGCAATACTCGTAGCTGTGGGCTGCTCGCTGTCCTCGTGCAAACATCGCGTGACGTCCACGAGAGTCGGGAAGGTGTTGGTGGCGTTCGGACTCGCAGTCTTTGCGCTGATGTCGATCACCTGGGCGGTTGTCGGCATGGTGAGCCTGCCCAGACACCAACATAACGTAGATCTCAGCGTTCTCTACGAAGCTACGTGCTGGAACGATCAGAGGAGCACTGTGAGTGCTGCTCAGTGGAGTATCGCGCAGCTCCTGATTATCGGTGGACTATTGCTGGTGACGACGTTCTGCTGTCGACTCGAGCACTTCTTCCTCGCGCCAAACGCCCCCGAGATCGACCTTTCGGAGCTGTCGCCCAGGCTTGCAGCAATCAAGAATATCGAGGATCAAGGTCCCATAGGTATTGCACAAGCTAAACCCTCGGAGGCGCGTACACCCCAAAGCGTGGTATGACCCAAACAAAATTGCACAATCGGCGTATGGTACTCGATCGATTGACCTATCTAGGGAACAACCAACAACTAATACTATTAAAAACCTGAGCAAAGTTCCAAGCCAAAATATTGTCTGTGCTTGCATTTGTGATGGCGCTTGGTACTCGAGTGCAGGACATCCGCCATGCAGCGTCGCCGGCGGCCCACGACAAAATCTCGCGTCGTCAGTATGTTGCTCTCTGGGTGTTCATGATGGTGCTTCACGCATTGTGTGGAGCTTTCCTGTTGGCCTGTGCGAAGCTGTACTGGATCATGGAGAACAAGTACCTCGACTACTTTGCTACACTTCTGGCACCAGCTCGTGACCGCCACTTCCGCGTCGTAGGGACTGCGCTTGGAGTTCTCGGAGCAGCTCATGGTCTCGTATTCCTGAATCACCTCGGAGCTTCTGTGTATGCTGGAAGACTGACCGTCCGACCGGTGAATTTCGGCTCGGACGGTCTGTCATTGATGTCTCTCGTAGTGTACGCGCTTGATCGGCTTGTGAATTGGGTAGTACGTCGGTGGAGAAAAGCTCGACGTGACGGACGACGCTCGCAGTCTCTATTAGGTGCCGCAAACTCGCGTCGAGATCAATGCAGCAACGACGAAGCTTACGGTCGCGTGTTTGCAGCTCGCAAGACAGTGGAAATAGCCACCCAGATCCCGAACGCGTATTTGTACAGCACCCTGATAGCGCGGCCGTGGATTAACCACGTCAAGGTGGCGCTTCTGGTGACGAATTGCTGGTCTGCGTTCATTATCCACAGGATGCTGATAAAATCTGAATCAGTAGATAAACGAGTTGCTCCGTCGATCTCGTCGACTTCTCATCAGTCGGTGCGCTTCTTGGCTGTGGTTGTAGACACTTTTCTCTCGGTTGCGACGGGTATTCTCCTACCAGGAGCGATTATTATCCCTTATATGTTGGTCTTCGACTTCAAGAACCTCGACTTCCCGGATTCACTTCTGTATGGAGACACATCCTTCGCCAACCTGATCCTGGAGAATCGCGCGTTCTTCGCTATCTCGTGGGGGAACGCAGTGATGAAGGGGGTGCCCCACCTCAGTGCATTCCTGTGTTTGATGGCGTTAGCGTCCATGCTCGATTGTGCTACCAAGTCTGAACGAACCAACACACGCCAACCTTCACTGCCGAAACTTTTGCAGAATGCCAAGAGAACCAGCATCGCGGTTGCGTCCTACCAAGCGTTAGTCAAGGCTAGCAAGAGCGTTCGAAGAGCCAGGCTGGTGCGCTTTGTGCATCGTGTAGTAGCTCCATCCATTTTCCTGGTTACTGGGATCACCATGCTTACTCTCCATCTTGTGGCGCAGTTCGCCCCCATTACCGGTGAAATGGAGGTCATAAGGAGCTTCTGCCTCCAGCGCATGCATCCGTGGCTCGCTCCCAATGTCAGTTGTGCCGTGATCAAGTACAACTGCTATCGTGAGGGGGTTGCTAGCCCTCCGGTTACAGCTCTGGATTTATTAGAGCGTGAATCCGTGCGCAGCCTCATGTTCTTGCACTGCTCGGAGCTCATAATCCCTCCAATTATCCAGGAATTCTCCTCTCTAATGGGTATCGAGCTCTGGAACACGACACTTGTGCGGTGGGGGGAGGAAGCAGCTCTGTCAGCGCAATTTCATCCTAGAATGATCTATATGATCTTTTCGTTTGTCAACATGACCAGCCTACCCGTTGGAATTCTAAGACCGCCACTTCCAGAACAGTTGATAGACTTGGAGTTCATTCACACGAACCTCACGACGCTACCCGATGAAGTTGGAGAGGCTTGGATTAACGTTCAGCTCGTGTACATGGAACACTCGCAACTGAACCAATTTCCAACTGTGCTGATGACGCTCCCTGTTTTGGCCGAGCTCTCCTTGATCGACAACCGGTTCGAGACGATGCCTGATGATGTTCTACTCACTGCAGCCTCCACCTATTTCTACGACCTGGCCTTCTCTAAAACCCCATTGCGAAAGTTACCAGAAGCTAGAAGTGAAGACTTTTACATTTCCTACTTGGCACTGGAGTACTCACAAGTGACCGAGATTCCTGCCTGGATAGAGACCAACGTCTGGGAATCTGTGGCGTTAGGTGGATCGCCGTACTGTGAAGCTGATGGCATTGAATTCCCCAGTGTTGTTCTTTGTGGAGAAAATGACGACACGTGGGACCCGCTGGGTGAAGAACGCTACCCAACGCAGTATATTGAGCCGTCAAGATCGTTGGATTCGTAACGAAGAATTTAAATTGTATTTGTATTTAACTCTTAGCTGGCGTGAAGATGCCACGTAGGTTAACGGATAGCTCCCGCCGTTCAAAGGGTTCCATTCACTATTGGTACAATCCACGACCTCGAGCAATTGAGCTGATATGTCTTCGCAAGCAGGAGAACCGCCGAGGGTGATGGTCTCACTGACGTCTGCTTCAATCCAGGAGGGTAGAGCTGATAGACTCGTGTAAGATAACCACAAATCGTCAATGCTTAGCTCATTTCTTGCAGATTCAGGGAGCGCTTTGAGTGGATTGTACGACAATGCCAGTTGCTCGTAGCTGCTCGGATACATATCCGACGTAAAGAGGTCGTCGGCAGTTCCTCTAGGCCAGTGTTGACGAGTGAGACGTCGCTAACTGGAAGTCGGAATAGTGCAGTCGGGAACTCTTGCAGCGGGGAAGTCTCGACGTAAATTACCTGTAAGGTATTCCAAACATCCGCCACTTCTTCGGGTATTTTCGTTAGGTTCGTACAGACGATTTCGATATCGGAAAGAAGATCGGGAAATGGTGGCGATAACACTCCTTCGGGCAAAGTTACCATGTAAACGTGTGCCATAATGAGAAACGCCATTTTCGGGTGCAGGTCAGCGTTTAGAGCGGCTTCGATGCCCCAGCGTTCCAGTGTCACGTTCCAGATTTCGATTCCTAGCAGATTAGGGAAGTCTCTAATGGAAGTTGGCATAATAAAGGCTGGGCAGTGCTCGAAGATGATGGAGGTCAGCGCTTCGCGCTGTAGATTTTTGAGCACGTTGGGCGCTGGACTCGCCACGCCTTGTCGACTAGGCTCCGCGAAGGCTGGGATAGGAGAATTTTGGTATAAACCCCTTCTTTTTATTTTTCATTATTTTTTATTAGCTACAGTCATCTCCTGCGCCTGCTTCGCAGCCGCAGCATCTGCCTGGATATTTGCCAGTTCAAACTGTCTACCGGCAATGCTTTACAAAATTAAAAATGCGAACCTTGGTTGAGATCTGTTTTGCAGCTTGTAGAAAATGCAAATGCTTACTGAGTACCTGTAGTGCTATTGTACAGTCCAAGCGCTCTCTTCGTCCATCCGGATCCTGCTCAATAATATATGCACTGATTCATACCAGTGTCGTCGGTAGCACACCGGTTCAATCTGCCCACGCTTTTGGAGGCCCCAGTGCGACACCGGGGTCATATCGGTGTGATGGGTATCCTACCGGTTCAGTCTGCCCACGCATATAAACGTTTTGGAGGGCCCAGTGCGGCACCAGAGCCGTACCGGTTTCAAGAAATATACCAGTTAGATGCCAAGAGGGGTCATCGTTTGACTTGATGTACCACGGATATAATCCTATTTGGTCTGCGATAGCAGCACTAACGTTGCTTCCTATCCCAGTATAACAGTTGAACTTGATGACGGAGCAGCTTAAATTCGGGGCAAGCCACGGACGCACACTTTCCAGACACGTTTGAGTAATGGAAGGATCAGCGTTGGATACCAGATTCGCTGCCTCAAAGTGCAAGGCAAGCACAACCAGGGTTGCCGAATATTGCATTGTTATCTATTGCAAGCAAGAAGAGAGAATATATAATTGAACATCAAACTAAACAAACCCGCAATAGAATATCGACATACTTCACACAGCAAAACAGATTATTGGTGCAATGTCAGTGTATTGATGGGTTATATTGAGGGTTGCTGGTCTTGGGTACTGTGTACCAGTTGTACCCATTAACCGGTTAACCCGAACCGGTCCAATCCGAACCCACGTTGATTATGGTGATTACGGTAAGTTGTTTACGCCACCGATGATTAGACGAGTAGGATGATTGGATGAACACCGGTGAGTGATGGTTGATTAGATGCACTAGGTGATAGGACGCAGGGTCGCGTGTCTATAACAGTAGGGTGTAAGCTCCAACAATTCAATCACTTTCGAATCTTCATTCTACCCCTCAAGTGCCTTCGCTCCGGTCCCGCCGTCTGCGACGTCCCTCCCTCCGCTTCGTCCGAGCTTCGTGTCCAAGATCCATACCTTCCATCAGGTTACATACCTATCATTTACTCCGCGCTCTCAACAGTGCGCGCGTCCCAATAATCAGCATTCTGCCGCAGGAACAGCAGCATCTCCAGCGTGTACGGCTGCAGTGCGTGGCGCTGCAGCCCAAACGTGGCCCGAGCGATGCTAAAAAAAATCGCTCGACCACGTTGGACGTGGGCGGAATGGACGCCAGCAGTTCGTAGCATGGTTGATGCTCTTCCAGGCGCCGACGCTTTTGCAGCCGCTCCACGAAGGAGATGCTGGCCTCCTCATCCTTCTCTTCTTGCTCGCCCTCGCCCGCTGGTGGAGCCGCCAAGAAGCGCTCCAGTGCCGCCTTCTCCATCCGGGTCAGCCGCTTGGCTTGCCCCTTGAGCACCTTGACGCAGCCCGCCTCGAAGTCGACGATGTCAGCCCGCGGTGCTACAATACAATACATACAAATTAATATTAGTAAATGTACCAATAACGCATAATAGACAAAAAAACGTACCGAGATAACGGGCGTACGAGGGCTTCGCGGCAATGAGCCCATCGAACCAGACGCGAACGTCGAGATGGTTTGCGTCAGCACCTTGGAGAGCCTTCGACACGGACTCCACGTCCTTCAGCTCGCCGAGCAAGTCCCGAAGCCACCGCTTGGACGCCGCCGGGGGAAGGAGCTCGGCCAACTCGTCCTCCTCCGCGTCGATGAATGGTAGAAGCTCGAAGTAGCGGTTAATCATCGCAAAGGTCGAACCCCAGCGGGTTTGCTGGCGGATGATTGGTCGAAGGTCGGTCTTGAACCTGCAAGCACCAAAGTGTCAATTTCAGTTAAATCACACTAAATAACAAAAATAACAGGAAATATACAAATACCAACCGCGGTTTTGCAGACTGGTGGAGGGTCCGCAGCTTTACCATCAGCGCCTGTACCATGTCGACATCTTCAGCGCATTCGCTCAGCCGGGCGGCGACGGCTCGGTTGAGTCGGTGGCTTGCACACCCGACTAGCGGGACGCCCATCAGCGTAGCGAGGCGGCGGTTGACGCCGCAATTATCTCCCACCAGGAAGAGAACCTGGTCCAGGCGCTTCTGATAGTCGCGCGCTAGCATCGTAGCCAAGAAGGCTTGATGACTAGCCGCGGAGAAGTCGTCGGTCTCATCGTTGACGAGTGGTGCCATGCAGAGCAAGGGGCACCTCAGAACCCCATCAACCTCGTAGCACGCGAAGACCGCGATGTAGTGCTCCGAGTCGTGGCTCCACCCGTCAAAGATGAGACCAAACTCCTCCGGCATCTCATCTCAGCTGCGATCGCGTGCTCGACGCAGCGCGTCACCGCGTCCATGACGCGCCGAAGCGTTTCGACAGAGATAGGCTGGAGGCGCGTGTAACTAGATGCAAAGTGTAAACACAGTATTAGTTAATTGTGAAACAGTACATATTCAGTAGAGAGCTGGGTCGTACCGTCTTGCGAACTTGGTCTCGCAAAATGATAGCGGTAGGTTGCACTTCACCAGCCACTCCAGCCAACCGAACAAGTTCTGAGCAGAGTGGCGGACGTAGTGAGCAAGAGAGCCCGTCTGACCGGGTGTTGCGGCCAGCATCTCCTCCGAGTACGAGGGTTGCTCGCGCCTGATATGCTGCATCAGGTTCGAGTACCCCGTCCCGGTGACTCGCTTCCGGACCGCGCCGCACCGGCAACGGAAGTACTCGAGAATGACCTCGTCGTATTGATCGCGGCACGGCCGGAAGTAGAAGTTGGAGACCTGCGTGTTAGTGAAGGCGGCGGTGCGAGGCGGACGGGGGGCTGCGAGCATTGTGACGGCTCGTGGTGGGCTTGGTGGCGGGTTGTCGGCTTCCGGTGGAATGAAAAGTGGGGAGAGTTGGTATGGTCGAGCTCAAGCCATGGGTTTGGAGGATGGTTGGCTGCAGTAGCCCACAATACATAATCGAAGATGTTATGCTCAACTCAAAAGATAACTGGTAGATAGCGGTTAAGAACATGTCAATAAATTATTGATTCAAATCTATTGCAATAATTTCAGCACCAATTTATTTTTCGGCATCCCTGAGCACAACTGCAGCGGTGAAGAAACCTACTGAAGGCACGACGTGCTGCAAAAATGTCGATAGTTTTAAGGGATGGGACTTGGGAGAAGCTTGAGATAATGACACTCGTTCTTTGCAGCTAATACAGCGGGCACCACCGCGATGCGTCTCATGCTACGCACAGCGTCTGGAGCGAACCTCTCGAGAATGAAGCTGATACTGACAGACTCAGCAAAATGCTCAAATGCGGTACGAGCTTCGCAATGCTGTCAGAAACTGAGAGGGCAAAGATGGCTTGGTTCTCGTACACCAGTCTTGTGAACGCCGTATCGCCATAAAGCACTTCCATCGGAAACGTCAACAGCTCGGAGTCAAACTGCAGCGCCCAATGCAGAAAGATTGCCAGTGGCAACACTAGACACGAAATCGTCGACAGCAACGCGTCCATTGCCACACGCAACGTTCGCTCGCGAATGTGCGAAGCAGTCGCCAGCATGAGGCGTTCAGCAGTGCCGTCAGTAGACAATTAGCGACGACCAAGCCCACGAACGTTGACAGATGAGGGCACTGTATCGGCGGCACTGGTTGATCTGCGCGACGACCTCCACAACCTTTTGCAGCACAAAAGCTAGCTCAAAGTATTGTCCTTCGACGTCCACCTGGCTCTTCAGCCCGAGAAACGTACGCGTAGCTGACCTGCCTGCTGCAGTTTGGTGTGTCGGTGTCGTCACCTTCTTGTTCGACGTCCTTGCAAACCTTGGACACCTCTTTACTATTGCAGTCCGAGGCCAAACGACCAAAGCTCTCGCTTCAATGGACGACCCAATGTGGAGTACGAGATGAAGGGCGTGGAACGCTCCGAGCGCCCCCACAACCACCCCGAAGGAGCGAAAACGGCGTTGCTCCGGGCGCGCCAGCAGGTCCGAGAAGTAGATCATCAGCGGCTGCTCCATGAAGAAGTACAGCCCCGCCATCGCCAGCAAGTAGGCCGCACACAGGGCGTGCAGCGTCATCAGCAACAGCCATACAGCCACGAACTCCCCTCGGGGCAGCTCCGCCGTCCTTGACTTCAACTTGCCCACAGTGTAGCCATCTGCTTCGGCGGTGTAGCCATCTTGCTTCATTATGATGATCCCAATGTCCCAGTTGTGCAGGGGGGAGAGGAGGAAGGTCTCGTGTGTAGCTATCAATAACGCGCGTCCTCGCCAATTCTTGAAAGGTCACTAGAACATGAGCTACTCGTACGGCGGTGGGAGCGGCTACGGGGGCGGGCCGGCCAACTTCTCGGGGGACGTGGGGGCCTACGCGGCCCAACTCCCCGGCGGCCAGCGCTTCAGCGGTCAGCCGTCGCCTCTGCAGGCCCTGGCCAGCGCCGTGGCCCTGCCCGACGTCTTCACCGAGGCCGAGATGGCCCGCACTCTGCGCCGCAACAACGGGGACGTCATGAAGGCCGCTCTGCAGCTCAAGGAGAAGCACGCGTTCCGCAGTGAGATGCACTACCTGGAGCTCAACGTGGGGCTGCCCACGCTGCAGGAGGAGGTCCGCAAGGGGTACGCCCACCTTCTCGAAGGAGTGGCCGACCCCGAGGGCTGCCCCGTTCTACTGCTGCAGCTGCAGCACTTCAAGCCCGCGTTCGGGGACGGCCAGAAGCTGCAGCGGCAGGGCCGAGGCGCGGCCGACGGCTCCGCGGCCAGCTCGCTGGAGGACGCCCGGAGGCTCTGCGTCTACCTCATGGACCTGGCCGTGGAGGCCATGGAGGAGCGACGCGCCCCCGGCGTCGTCTTCATCGTGGACGTGGCCAACTGCTCGCTGGCCAACCTCGAGGCCAAGATGGTCACGGACATCCTGCAGGTGTGCAAGAAATGGTATCCCGAGGTGGTCAAGCGGATTCTGGTGGTGAACAGCTCGGCCTTCGCCCGGGTCCTGACGCTGCTGCTGTCCAAGCTGCTGGGCGCACGTACACAGCCGCGGATCCGCGTGGTCGGGGAGCCCCGAGAGCTGAGCATGCTGCTGCCCCATGCGGCCATCCCTCAGCACTACGGAGGTGGGTACCAGATGATCCACCCGAACGCGTGGCTGGCCAAGCAGGCCGAGCTGGAAGACGTCGACTTGGACGCGGCCTACGCGGTGCAGAACGACGAAGAGGAGGAGGACAAGGGCTACGGCCTGGAAGAGCGCGAGGTGGACCCCAATGAGAGCATGAATGGCATGCAGTACGCCAACGTGAGCGCTGTGGACGCCGCCGAGATGCCCAACAGTGTGCTGCGTGGGCCGCTGATGCGCAAGAAGACGGACGGCGTATGGGTCAAACACTTCGCGTTGCTGCGGCCCGAGGCGGTGCTGCTGTATGAGAATGCCACGGGGCCCCGGCCGATTATCATCATCCCTGTCAACTACGAGGTCCGCGTGGTGACGGCGACGTACCCGAGCAAACCCAAAGGCTGCGGCTTCCGGATTGAAGTGCCTGGAGTTGTCGGCGGCCACGAATTGGTCGCCACCAGTGAACAGGAGCGAGGCAATTGGCTTCAGGAGCTGCAGTGGGCCATTAACCACAACAAGGAGAAGCTCGAGCGTCGGGAAGAGCGAGAAGAACACCGCGCCAAGATCCACCGTGACTTCGACGCGTTGAACATGATAAACTTCGACATTGAACTGCCAGTCCCTGTTCCTCCGAAGGCTGCAGACAACACTGGGATGGGAGCTCAAACGCAGCAACAACAGCAGGTGCGACCACCTCAGCCCGTTGAAATGGCAGGGATGCCAGTGCCTGCTCCAATGTCAATGAATGCCAACAAGATTCCTAACGTGATGGGGATGATGCAGCCTCAGATGCAGAGCGGAACGACTATGGCCAACTTGAATTTCCAGCAGCCGCAGTCTCCGACGCAACCGTTTATGCAGATGCAGCAGCCGATGTCGATGGGGATGCAGCCTCAATCTATGGGCATGCCAGGGCAGCAACCGATGTCCATGGCCATGTCGGGGACGTTCGGCATGCAACAGCAAGGGGCTGCGATGAATATGCAGCAGCAGAGGACGATGTCGATGAGTATGCAGCAGCCGATGACGTTTGGAATGCAGCCACAGCAACCGATGGCAGTGGGAATGCAGCAACAGCAGCAGCGGACGATGTCCATGACCATGCAGCCTCAATCGATGGGAATGCAGCAGCCCATGATGGGTATGGGAATGCAGCAACCAATGCAAATGCCAATGGGCGGCCAGCAGCAGATGTCAATGGGCGGACAGCAAGGTATGAATATGCCGGTATCTTCAGGCTATCAGCTCAACGCAAAGTCCCTGCAAGAGCAACTCCTCAACAACTTTCGAGGGTGAATAAAGATAGCGGACGTGGAGGGTGTCCAGCTACCCCAGTTTAACAAGAATATAAAGCGTAAACCAAACGCGAGCGTTCCGTACATTTCAACTTTTACGTGCAAGATCGCACAGGTCTAAGTTCTGAAGAGCCCAGCAACACCCAAAATCTATTGAGACTTGCATCGTTAATGTCGATACCATGGGAGGATATCGCATCCCCATGAGTAAGAGTAAACCAGTGTCATCTTCAACGGCTCTTACGTTACATCTCCCGCTGGTATTAAATAGGAGTCCACCGCAGCTCCACAAAGATAAACATGTAGCTCATCATGCGAGACAAGAACGCCAGACCACTATTATTAACTTCGTCCCCAGCTGCTGCAGATTCTATCGGATGGCGCCCTGTAGCTCTGAGGACCGCTCGTCCAAAATGTCTAATCAGCCGTCACTATATCAGTCGACACCAACGAAACCAAAGTATCAACTGACCTTGACGATTGCTCGGAGTCGCATCCAGCATGCAGCCACCAGGCCTCATTGAAGAGGACGATGATTTCGCGGTGGAGCGAGACGTCTTCAGTGTTGCTCCGATGGAGCTACCCGTTTCCAAGGTGCGGCGAATCTCCAAGCCCAAAGCTCCGACCGAGCTAACGGATTCACTCTCCCCTTGGGAGTATGTGGTAGTGTGGACACTACTGCTGATACTCCATGGCGTATGCGCGTCCTACCTGCTGGCGATGACGATGCTGTACTTCTTCATGGAGAACCCCCTCATGGCCTACTACACCAACCTCTTGGCGTTGCCCGAGCATCGCTACTTTCGTCTGTTCGGCACGCTTGTTGGAATTCTGGGACCTCTGCACGGGCTTCAATTGGTTCTGCATCTGCTTTGGTCGATCAAAGCTCGATCCCCCGCTGTATTCCCTCGCGCCGCCATGGTCGACAGAGTGATCAAGTCCTTTAGCGGGCTAAAGAAGGCAAAGACGCAACCGATCGAGTCGCGGTCTTCTCGCTCGCGTACGTCACTCAGCTCGATCACTTCGTTCACTGCTGCAGGGTTGAAGGAGGTGCTGAGTGTCGAGGGAAGCCACTTCGAGTTGGTGTTCGTGGTGCGCAAAGCAGTAGAGGCCAGCGCCCAGATCGTGCAATGCAGCCATTTTAGCGCCTTGATCGGCAGGGTGTGGATAAACCAAGTATATACCGCTATGGCGGTAGCCAACTGCTGGGTGACTCCGTTGCTGGACTACATCATGCTAACGTCTAAAAAACGTGAAGTGATTCAGGCATCCGATAGCCATATTATCCGCGAATATGTGCCCATGTCGATTCGAGGCCGGATCTTGAGTGTTGTGGTGGATACGTTGTTGACGATGATGGCGTGTCTGATCTTGCCTCTCACCATCTTTGTGCCCTACGCTCGAGTGTTTGACTACGGCTGGTACGGTTTCCCCATGGAAATGCTCTACGGCGACGTGGCCTTCCCGAACCTCATCCGAGAGAACCAGGCGTTGTTCGCGCTCAATTTCGTCGACGGAGTGACGAAGATTATCCCACATTTGAGTATTCTGCTAGCGATGGCGAGTATCAGCCTCCTGCTCGAGTTGTACCCGCCGAAGCGAATGAAGAGCAAAGCTAGAGCAAGCGTCTCGGTTGCGACTTCTGCTGCAGTTCGTGGGAAATCAACTATTAAATCGTTAAGCACCATTTTAAGACGTGGGAAACCTTCCTGGAGGGTTGCTGGCATGACATTTTTCCGTCGAGTGGTGACTCCTATGGCGTTTGTGGCTGCGGGGGCTCTCGCTCTGGGTCTGCATCTCCACGCTGCCTACCTGGCTAGCACGGCGGATGCTGATACCATGAAAATGTGCCTACAAGGACTGCGACCGTGGTTTTCGGTTAACGTGAGCTGCTCTGTACTGGAATACAACTGCTACAACCACAACGTGCCTTACCCGGTGAACGACATCCTCGAGCGCTTGCAGAGCGACGCAGTGACTGCCATTGTCTTCGAACACTGCCCAGAGTTTCGCATGCCCGCTTCCATCCGTCGCTTCTCCAACATGCTTGGACTTGAGCTGTGGAACGTATCGATAGTCGAATGGGGCGCGGACACAGCGCTGAATGCCGATCTGCATCCGGACATGATCTACTTGATCATGGTGTACACGAACATGACCGCAATGCCGCAAGGTTTGCTGACAGCTCCACTGCCCCCACTGCTCGCAGACATTGAGATTTCCATCACGAATCTTACGCTGATCCCCGATGAACTGGCAGACGCGTGGTCCAACGTGAGGCTTGTGTATCTGGAACACGCTCCTCTCAAGGAGTTCCCAACCGCATTGTTCGAGATCCCGTCGCTGTCGGTATCGTTGTTAGACGACGGACTGGAGACGGTTCCCGAGGACCTTTTCACTACGATCTCGTTGCTGGACGAGTACTTGGAGGTGTGCTTTTCCTACAACCCGATTAAATCTCTCCCTTCGTCGATCAGAGAGGGGATGCTCATCAGTTACCTGTCGATCGATCACACGAACTTGACAGAGCTGCCAGCCTGGACAGACTCGGTCGGCCAATGGATCGAACTGGGTGGTTCGCCAATTTGCAACAACACGGAAGTGCAGCTATCAGCTATAACGAACAGTTTCGACTATGGGTTGGGCCCGTTCATTGCTGGCAAGTACCCAATTTGGCTCGTTGAGCAGTATCGACTCATCTAGGGAGAACATTTATCATCATAAAACGACTTTTAGAGAAGCACCTGCAACTACATGTAGCAGCACAGCAAGAGCCTAATATAGTTTGAACTTTCGTTACTTGTAACCCCTTAGGTAGCAGATTTCTTGGTTCATCTACATCGTAGTCATCAATTGTCGTTCTTTATGTTGTAGTAGTGTTCCGATATCGCTGATTCCTTGAGTAATTGACAGTATTGCCGGAGTACGTGCGCTGTCGCTCGTCGAATTTAGCTGCGGTACTTGCCAGTATCTTGTCGTTGAATCTCCGTGGCACGTCGATCGCCATCTTGCTTGGTCTTTGCCTCTCGTAATGACTGCTGCGAGCTGGTCACCATTTTACTTGAAACGACAGCAGAGTCGTCTGCTAACGCCCAGAGGACCAGGACTGCCTTCACCACCATTTTAAAGAGACGCAGAGGCTTGTTAACCATCTCGAGTCTGCTTGCACAACGGCTACGGTTCTGTGGTGGAAAAAGTGATTCTGCCAGACAGGCAGCGCAGTACTGTCCAGCACTCGAGACCGTAGGATAGATAAGGCCGAGCGTACGACCAAGGATAGCACAGCAGCTACCGCAACCCAGCGGCAGGGGTGCATTGAGGAACCTTGTACTAGCTCAAACGTCCTCGGCTGATTCTTGTATTAGAGCAGGGAATCGTCCTCGCCACCCATTCTCGCCAAATAGCTTAACGATCACGCTCACGCCATCGCAACATTAGTATCCTTGTATCGCTGGTAGATAAATGCAGGCTGATGGAAGACTCTTGTATGTCGATGCCACACCGTTTTAGGTGTCGCCAATGCTGTAACGTACACGTCGAAGAGGAGTTTGGAAGCATCAACTGCTCGATTAGTTTTAGGCTAAGTACAACGTTTCTCTCTAGGTATCCTCATAAATGCCCTCAGTTGGAGTTGAGTACGTTTGTAGAGCTACGATAACGTCGGTTCCACGAGTAAGTCGAGTCGTAGTTCGAGTAGGTCCGCTGCCGCTCATCGAACTTGGCCGCAGTGTTCGCGAGTATTTGCTGTCGCTGAATCTCTGCGGCTCGTCGGTCTGCATCCTGCTTAGCTTTCGCCTCTCGGAATGACTGCTGCGAGCTCGTCACCATTTTGCTTGACACGAGGTCGGGGCCGTCTGCCAGCCCCCACAGCGCTAGAACTGCCATGGCGAGTATCTTCCAGAGACGCGGGAGCTTCTTGATCATCTTGAAACTTGCGACGCGGGCGGGTGTCAGGATCCCTTGGACTCTATAACTTCAGTTGGACTTACTTCAATTCTGCTGAGTCTTCGACGGCTGGAACGAAAATGACCCGCATCTTGCTTTGCACTCTCCCTCACTGCTCGTTGGACGCACCTTCAGAGCACACGGTACGCTCAATACTATGCAGCAATACTTGCCAGCAAGGCCGATAAGACCCAAGTTCTCGGCTAAGGATAGCGTGGATGATGGCAGGGACGGACCGAGGAAAACTTCTTGCACGCGTCTTGCAGTAAGGCCGACTGCAACCGTAACGTCCTCGCCTCCAACTACCTTCTTCATCCCGGCGTTTTATTTTAATCAAGCGCGTGGCCATGCTCCCCACGTTCAGGATTAATAGCCGCCCACGGCAACGGCATGACGTCGGAGAACGATTAAAAAATCCCAGTCCATATTGGGAGAAGGTGTCGGAACCAAACAAACCACCACTGATCTTCACTTGCACTGCACAAAAAGCTAGGATAAATCGCAGCAAAAATGCTGTCACCAGCTCGTTCAATTTAGGTCATTAGACGTGCTCCCGCAGCAGTTCGTTCGTACAGCGTGAGCCAGTCAACCAGACAGACAGCGACGTTCGTGATGCTCTGCTACTGTATAGTGTAGGTAGGTAGGTGGGTAGGTAGATAGTATCTGCTTAGCTCGACTCGGCGGCGGCGGCCTCGATGGCCTCCGTCTTCTTGGACGGGTCGTGCGTGAACTTGCGGTAGAACTGCACGAGGCCCGTGCCGGCCATGAAGACGTTCACCGCGAAGAGGTTCCAGTTCTTGGGCGTGATGATGAGGCTGTAGCGCGACCAGATGAGGCCCGTGGCCGTCACGGCCGTCTGCTGGGCCACCGAGATGGTCTCGGGCGAGCGCCGCATGTCGGCCAGGTTGGCGAGGGAGATGGCCCACTTGATGGTGGGCGCCCAGAAGTGCACGGTGAAGGGGCCCGCCGGGTGCGCGAGCATGGCCGTGAGCTTGGGGCTGCTGGCCACGATCTGGTGCTCGAGCACCTTCTGCTGGATACGGGGCACGATGGAGGGCAGCATGGCGATGGCGATGGCGATGGCGATGGCGGCGGCGGCTTAGGGTCGACGTGGAGCGCTTGGAAGTGATGGATAATGCGCGACTGACTCCCGGCGGTCTGGAATTCGCTTTTTAGAGCTAGGCTAGGATACTAATTCAGCGAATGGGGAGGTCGGAGAGAAGATTTAGCCAATGAGAGATGGTGATTAGATGATGTGGCTATAGGATATTTACAGGCTGAAGTTGTTGTATGTGAGCCGCACACCAAGCACCAATCGTCAAATCATGCTGATCACCCAGACTGCACTTCCTGCAGGGCTCATGGGTCATGAGCACTTCGAGTTGAGTCTGTTGGTTGGTTGGAGGAAGACTCTAATAGCGATGGTATATAGTGTTGGTGTGTGGGCTGTTGGCATGCGGACCGCCGAAAAGCTGCCAAGCAAGCAAGCGAGCCTCGGGTGGGGATTTGTTGACGATGCATGACGCAGGTTGAGCAGCGCAAAGCACTGTAGATATGGTCGCTGGACGTGCGACGGCGGCGGATGTCGGCGCCATGAAGCTTCAGTCGGTCTGGTGGTCGCTGGCTAAATGCACGCTGGTGACGATTCAAAGGAGGAGGCGAAGCCGCGCCGCGATCTTAAGACGAGTCAGCGCTGGGAGAGCATGGCGCCAGTATACAAACACAGCGGGCATGCGAGCGAGCATGGAGAAGCAAACTTGAAGCGGTGAGTTTCCTAGCAGCGATATCGGTTGAACACCACACGACCCTCGTCATCGACCCGCTGGATCCAATTGTGATGATGCTTGCTTGCCCCTCGATTATCAGGCACTGCAGTCTGGCTGGTAGCAGCAGTGAAGGCCTTCCTGGCGCCGCTGGCACTCATCAAGGATGCTGGGTGTCGGCGATCCTGCGCGAACTCGTGTCTTTAACGAGACCTCCAAGCAATGCATATCTACCCACCTTCAAGGACGTACGATGCATGATGGGCCCCTCGCCAGGATTCTTCTCGGCCGGAGCTGCACTGACGCAGATCTCAGCACAACAAGCACGAGCCCAGGATAGCTGAACGAACAAACATCACTGCATTCAGCTTAGACGCTGCCCGTTCATATTAGGTAGGTCAGTTGTGGCGCCGTGGCGGCGAGGAGTCTCTATGGGAGCAACTGGCTCGCTAGGCAGCAATAGACGAGGAATACGTAGCGACGGCTGCCTACAGCGTGGCGCTGTCCGTCGTTGTCTGCGTCTTGAGCGACGGGTCGTACGTGAACTTCCGGTAGAACTGCACAAGGCCCGTGCCGGCCATGAACACATTCACCGCGAAGAGGTTCCAGTTCTTGGGGGTGATGACCAAGCTGTAGCGCGACCAGATGAGGCCCGTAGCCGTCACGGCCGTCTGCTGCGCCACGGAGATGGTCTCAGGCGAGCGCTTCATGTCCGCCACGTTCGCGATCGAGATGGCCCACTTGAAGGTCGGCGCCCAGAAGTGTACTACAGTACAGTACGTACAGCCAATACAGACACACAAGAGTACAGAGTTAGAGTACGAATGCGGCGCCTGACGCCGAAGACGTAGCGCACCTGTGAAGGGGCCGGCCGGGTGGTTGAGCAGCGCCATGAGCTTGGGGCTGTTGGCCACGATCTGCTGCTCCATGACCTTCTGCTGGATGCGCGGGACGATAGACGGCAGCATGGCGAGATCCTTGGGGAGGGGGGAGGGTAGTGCTTGTGCGGGCGGAGTGACGTACGGGGCAGGGCACTGCTGCTTTCGGTCAACGTGAGCCCAAGGCGGCGGAAGCGATTGTGAGCTGGAAATCGAAGCAGCCCAGCCGTACAGTACGGGAGAAACTGAACTTCAATCTGAAGTGCGACCGCTGTAGGTCCGTCTAGCTTCCAAGCTATAAATTGCTTGAAGGCTCTGCTTGTGAGCTCGTGTCGGCTGTGAGTTGACTGCCTGCAGGTCGCAGTCTGCGGGCTGGATCACAGTTTTCTATTTAACTTTAGTCAAAAGCTCACCTCGGTCACCGGCATCTGTGGACGAAATCTGAGGAACGACTGTAGCGATTTGCAACGAAAACCATGATTCTCGAGTGTTGGGCTGTTGGCGCTTGAGTTGATCCCCAGTGGATATGCCTCGCTGGCAAAATGTCGACGAAGCAACTGGCGGCCGATGGCACTCAACAGCTCGTGTCGGCGATTCATTTCACGTGTCTATACGGGCTCCTGCTCAGAGCACTCAACGAAGCACGACGCCGTCCGCACCAAGCAAATTGTGCAAGCATTCGCTCGCGTGTCTATCAGCGCCATCCAACATACAAGCTCAGCGGGCATGCTGTGATTCATGGCGACGGAATTGAACGCGCTCAATTCACAGGCTGTGCATTGAGCGCGTTCAATTCCGTCGCCATTAAGTGTGCCCTTCTGGCTCTAGGTCTCTATGGGAAAGAAGCCGTCGGGCAGCTAAGTTAGCAATGCAGATACGTTCCTGGGTCCTCCCTCCTACAGCGTGGCCGACTCGACCGCTGCCTTGGCCGTTCCGTACTGTGTCTTCGCGGTCTCGGTAGCGCGTGCCACCGACTGGTCGTGCTCAAACTTGCGGTACAGCTGCACAATGCCCGTGCCGGCCATGAAGAAGTTCACAGCGAGGAGGTTCCAGTTCACGGGCGTGATCACCGTGCTGTAGCGCGACCAGATGAGTCCTCCACCGGCAACCGCTGCTCGAAGTAACAGCAAAAGAGTTTAACAGTTAGCGTCGCCGTACTCAGTCAGTTTGGGTGTCGATGCAGAGCTCTACGCACCAAGCTGCTGCAGCACCGAAATATTTTCGGGATCGCTGCGCATGTCCGCGATGTTGGCGATGGAGATGGCCCACTTGAAAGTCGGTGCCCAGAAGTGAACTGCAGCAACACACGGAACTCGTTAGTCAATTGTAACGCTTGTATCCTACATGGAGGTGCGGCTGCAGCGTACTTGTGAATGGGCCGGCAGGGTGGGCGAGGATCCGGGCAAGCTTGGGGCTGTTGGCCACGATCTGCTGCTCGAGCACCTTTTGCTGGATTCGGGGGACGATGGACGGAAGCATTACGCTTAAAGTGCAAAGGTATTCTTGGGTCAGCTTGCGCGCTTGGTGATAATTGGCGAATTGGCAATTCATTTTTCTGCTTGGTGTGCTGGCATTGCCGCCCGATGATCCTTCGCTGCAAGAAGATGGCCAAGCGAGTGACGATGGTGAGATAGGAACATTTTCATCCTATCTCGAAGTTTACTAGGGCTAGGCTTTTCAGGAACCTACGACGCGTAGGTTCTAGTTCTCGTAGGCTACGAGAACTAGTTTTTGCCACTCCGACCTTGCAACTCAACAGAAGAAGACCGGGATCTAGCCTGCGATAATCGGATTACCTTGCACAGTAATTCGTGTCTTTTGACGATTAGTTTTGGAAAGCACTGTCTCACAAGCTACAACTGGATGAGTGCCCAAGCCCAAGTTGAAGCCGCTCTTGGTGAGTGAGCAACAGCGATGGATACAAAATGTAAGATCACCACGGCTGAAGCACTCGAGACGCCTGTATCGAATTCCAACACCACTACCCTTCAACAGGGATAGTGATCGATTCCTGTGCGGCAAGGACCCTAAAGAAACGCGAGAAGTTCTTTGGGTAGAGCTCACTGAAGTTCACCAATTTATCCGCCAACTTGTATCCTACCCGGGGACTGCGAGCTTTCCCCGGACCAATGGTGTGCTTGTCTCGCGATCCTGTGTGCCTATCAGTCCACTCACGTCTACTCCACAATTGCATCTGTGCTACACCACATCCCGCTGCAAAATGGCAACCGTGTCACCAGTTAAATAGATAGCTCAGAAGCCGCGAGTATATATCCTGTCGGCGGCGCGGGGGAAGCATAATCTCCGCGTCCGTGGGGTCCACCTCAACATCACGCGAGCCCAAGCTCTGGTGCGCCAAAGTAGCTAGATACAGGTGTCTCATTGAGCGCGTTCGCGTCCCGGTCGGACGGGTAGCACTTCTTGACGCGGATCATGATGTCGTTCGCAAGCGTGCGTCCGTCGTAGCTTAGCGCCTTCTCGACCTGTAGTCTCGTGTCGTAGGGCAAGTGCAGCCAGTTGTCGCCGCTGCTGCTCGAGTAGTTGACGACCTCGTTGACCGACTGGAACTGGTGCAGGATGAAGGACTTGGCGCTCGACTGGAACCCGAACACGGTGACTCAGTACTGTTTGTCCTACCTCCATGCACGTTCGGGTAGGTAGTACGACGCCCTCGCTGCAGCAGCACTGCGCCGTGCAGCAGCGGCCGCCTTGTCATCGCCCACGCTGTGCGATTTGGCCGCAAAGCCCACGGGGTCTAGCAGCGCGGGGGCGGCACGTCCTCGTCCTGAGCGTCGCTGTCGTTAGCGGCGTCCTGGGAGGAGCCTTTCTTGCGCCTGCGAGCTCCCAGACTGTCTTAGTAGCTGCCACCGAAGCTAAATGGGGAATCCTTAGGCACCTCCACGCCCTGCTACTTGGTGCGGTTCGTGGACAAGCTCTTGGCGAAGGTGAGGCGCGGCTTGGCCTTGGAATTTTCATGGTGCGAACGAGGAGCTCTTCACGATTCGCGCTCTATGATGCTGCGGAGCGTGCAAATGATTCCCCAACGCTGGCGTGAACCGGAGATGAAAACCGGGTACATGTATATTGGTGGTGTGCGTACAGGTTTATACTGTACCAGAGGTCTGCAAGCAGCAGTCGTTGCTTTAGGAATGATAGCCCTCATTACTCAAAGCAAGGCTTTCTATCCGTGCATACCTACACTTGCAGTGTAGCACAGCTCCTCGCTCCATTGCCACGTGGAGAAGCGAACAAATTCCTGACGTAACAAGCAGAACTGCGTGGGGCCGTGAAAGCATGGCGCGCTGCAGCAGCGAATCCGCAATGGCACCACTTTCATCCCGCCCTGCGCGACAGAACTACCCGTGCGCTGTCGCCGAGCAAGCACGCGCGGAGGCACGTCCAGTTTGATTTTACGCCACTTCTAGCTCAAAACGCAACTCAGCCTCCTGCAAAACGCTTGCAGGTCGAGGTTGCACCAGTGCTTCGGGCAGCCGGACAAAAGCCGCTCGCCATCCCATTTTCGCTATTGACGCCTCCTTCCCCCGTGTGAGATTGTCAGCAGCACTCTGTATCGAATTCCGTAGTGTTCGGGCCTGAGCAACAAGAGCGGAGAACGCGACGAATCGCAGCAGCAGCAGCAAGTGCACCTCCACCCCGAAGATAGCTTGCATCCAGGCCTTCCGCTCGCGGTTACCAGATGCAGCAGCTGACTGCTGCAGCAGAATATACAGCAATGATCTTGATCCCGCTCGTTCATCCAGCGCGCGGTGCCTGTATGCGGTTTAACTTGGCGTCAGCGAATGCCACGCCACGCGGGCGGCGGGCGGGCATTGCGCGCCACAGCATGGAGCACTTGGTGGGGCTGCACGTCTTTGGGCCCGAGGGGCCCACACCACCAAAACGGATTTAAACACCTGAAGCGCGACGTTCTGAAGTGCAGAGCCGTGCGACTAACCCAGTAACCGGTCAAGGGCCCTGCGGCTCACCTCAAGCTCACCTCAGCAGCGGCGCTACCAGCAAAAAGTCGCTGAAAGTGAAATGGGCTGACCACTTTAGCGCTACGAGCGCCTCCACCTCGAAATGGCAGGTTGGCGTGCGTCCGGCGCTGAAGATGCAGGGCGAGGAGCTTCAAGGCGGCCTGACTGCGCGCTGTCGCAGATCCGACTTCCGCTGAAAGCTGAAGTGTTTTAAACTGTTTCGCGGGCGCTGATTGGCTGTTGTGCTTCAGCGGTTTCGGTCGTTTCGCGTCCGCACGTTGTGTTTAAACCTCGATCCCGAGGTTTAATGAGCGGCGCGCCGTGACCGCAGGCTTTCGCCGACGCACTTTGAAAAAGACCGCATCCGTGTCACAAGCACCACCACCAGAACCCCCCTCCTCTACTCAAGAACAATGGTTGACGTTGCCGGCGGAAAGGGAGACGCTGCCAAGGGCGCCAAGATCTTCAAGACCAAGTGCGCGCAGTGCCACACCACCAACGCGGGCGGCGCCCACAAGCAGGGCCCCAACCTCTCGGGCATGATCAACCGCCAGTCCGGCCAGGCCGACGGCTACTCGTACTCGGCTGCCAACAAGAACTCGGGCGTCGTCTGGACGGACGAGACCCTGTTCGAGTACCTCCTGGCCCCCAAGAAGTACATCAAGGGCACCAAGATGGTGTTCGCCGGCCTGAAGAAGCCGCAGGAGCGCCGCGACCTGATCGCTTACCTGATGGAGGCCACCAACGAGTAAGCGCATCGAGTCGATGCGTGGGCCGCGACGCCGGAGGGCAGCAGACGTCGAAGACTAGCAGCGCCGCGAGGATTGCCGTGAGCACCCAAGCGAGAACACGCCTTATCGTGCCTACAAGCATAGCACGGGTGCGCGAGCGAGACTGAAGACGGAGCAACCGAGGCACATGGTTCCCCTAGATTATATTTTAAACGGTTGAAGAGAAACATCTTTCTTTGCACTTTACTCCTGGTCTTCTTGCGTCTTACATTCATCGCGCCACTTGCGCCATGTTCCCGAAGCCGAAGAAGGAAGATGCGATATGCGGTGTAGACGTGCGGCCAGGTAGGACACGCTGCCGTCACCGTCCCAGCCAAGTTTGCCACGTCACTATTGCTAGAAGCACAGCAACCACACTGACTTGCTGCTGGACAAGTTGCAGACACGAAGCGGAAGCCTTCAAGGCGAAGGTGTCGAGCACGAGCTCCCTTCGGCTCCAAACGGACGGTCGGGAAGGATTGGATCGCGCGTACGTTGCAAATCGCCAGGTGGTCTGTGTGTTTAAAACCGGCCTCGGGCGGTGGCCTGCACCACCAGATCGCTTCATAGCGAAGCAGCACTTTAATCTCGGTGCGGGCCGCGCATGCCAACACGTAACGTAAAGAAGGCTCTAACTGAAACGGTGTTGGGGTACGTTTGTCGATTGAGTAAATGGATAGCGCATGCTGCTTAAAGGTGGAATTTCCGGCGGGACGTGTCGAGCTGGTGCTGCTTGTGGATCCACTCGTACTCGCCAAACTTGGTGTCGAACGTGCCCTGCTGCAGCCATCGCAGCTTCATCGTGAAGCGCGGGCCGATCTCCTGCAGACGCGCCTTCTTCTCGTTCTCGAACGTGTAGCGGTGGTGTCGTACGAAGATAAAGTCACGCTGGTTGTGGAACGTCACGACCTGGTGGCCCTCAAACTCGGGCTGGTGCTCGAACAGCGAGCCCAGGAAGCGGCCCACGCGGTGACCCAGGCGCGTCGAGAAGTTGTTGAGAATCAGCTCGGGCTGGTGGTTCGTGCGCCGACCGCGCTCCTTGATGCTGGATGTAAGCTTGACGTTGGACACCTTGAAGAACGCCGTCGGACCCTCGGGCAGACGGCTCACAAGCATGCTGCAAGACGGACACATCAACAATTGCAGCGGTAAGTCAAACCATGCACAGCGCACAATGAGCGTGAGCATTCGACAACGTACCCATTGCAGATCTTGCTCTTCTCCGAGAGCACAACGAGGTGCGTGAACTTCTTGTTGGTGGCGAACTGCACAATCTCCTTGATGTCGAACGTGCCGCGCTTGTAGTAGAACGAGTTGGGCAGCAAGTCCATGAGGTCCTTGATGAAGTGGTACAGCTCGCCCGACGGGAACGGGCGCGTGGTGATCATGAGCTTGGGCGTCTCCTCGTTCGCAAAGATGCTGGCGAACTCGTCGTCGCGCTCGTCGGCCTCGATCTCCTCGTCGCCTTCGCTACTGACCATCGTGACCTCCTTCTCACGCGTGTTGTCGATGGTGCGCGGCTCCATCTTGGGCGGCGCCTCCTCGCCCATCTCCTCCGCCTCGCGTCGACGCTTGAGCTGCGCCGCCTTCTTGGCCTCCTTCTTCTCCTTGCGGTACTTCTGCATCACGAGCTGGCGCTTCATCTTGTTCTTGATGTGCGACGGGTTGCGCATCTGGAACGCGGGCTCAGCGCCGTCCGCATTGGTCGCACCTTCATCCTTCTTCGCTCGCTTGCTGGGAGGCGCCATCTTGCTTGCAAACGTCCACGGAGCGAGGCAGCAGTTCAAGTCAACCGGGCTTCAGCAATTGAAATGGAGACTGTCAGCCAGCCAAGTCAACTTGTGTACGAAACACAAAACGATTAGTCTGATAACCTGGCGAATCAGATCTCTGAAGATGGTGTGGTGTACACAAGCTACACGGCCGGCATTGCGTCAACGTTGGCGGTCACTTGGGCAGATTCAAGTTGGCTCGGAGGAGAGCGCAGCGATGGCCATGCGCGAGGAAATGGTGGAGAACGGGCTCAAGTTCCTGCAGCACCCGACCGTCCAGGTGCGTTGCCGCAATCTTCTTCGTTTTGTGCTTGGATCGCGCCCTCTGGCGCGTCCTAATTCGCTGTGGTCGCTGCGCGAATGCTCACTCGGTTCTACTTCTTCACCTCCTGCAGTCGACGCCGCTGTCCGAGCGCGTATCGTTCCTGGAGGGCAAAGGCATGACTAAGGAGGAGATCCAGGAGGCGATTGAGCGCCACGAGAACGGCGGAGTGTCCACCTCGGCAGCGACACCGGCAGTGGTCCAACCTGTGGCACAACCGTTGCAGCAGCAGCTCGCGACTGCAGCCCCGATGATGATGTCTGCAGCTGTGCCCATGCAGATGATGCAACCTCAGGCGCGGTATCCGCCCTATGTCCGAGTGTTGTGGACGCTGTCGTCGCTGGTGGGGGCAGCCTCCATTCTCACGTTCCTGTGGAACTACGCGGTGCAATCGGGATACATTCCATGGCTGGTAGGGTGGTTTGATGCGAGTCTGTGAGGGATTCAAGTTGTTAGAAGGCGTGCTAACGGTTTGTGGAATTGCGTGGATGAGTAGCGTCCGATGCCGCCCCTGCTGGAGGCCGCAAAGGTTCAGGAGGAGAAGGAGAAGGAGGCCAAGAAGGACGAAGCGTTGTTGGCGGAGCTTACGAGTGTGTCATCCGCGATTCAGAAGCAGACAGAGGAGCTGGCCAAGTTGAGCACCTCGTTGAATGAAAAGGAGCGTGATATGCAGAGCAAGACGTTGCTAGCTGCGCAGATCTCCAGCTCGCTCGCAGAACAGGGCAACGCGCAGTCTATCGCGGAGTTGAAGGCTGAAATCTCCACTCTGAAGGCGCTCTTGCTGTCAAAAAAGTCGGAAAGTGCTAGTGATGCTGATGCGAATACTTCTGGAAAGGAGAGTGGCGATAAAGTGAAGAAGCAAAATGCTCCTGGAAGCAAGACCACGGTGCCGTCTTCGACAACGGTTAACCCGCAGCAGCCACCTGTGGCCGTTCCGAAGGTGGTATCAAAGGCTGAGCGCATGGAGAAAGCTTTGAAAAAGCTCCGAACTGAGGTACGCATAGCAATCGCTTAACTATGTGTGTGTGTTATAACTAAAGTGTTTGCTGGGTTTTCGATGTAGAACTCGCTGGAACAACTCAAACTGTCAGCGGGAATTCTCAGTATGTATATCAAGAACCTTGTCGAGGTAAGGCAATAGCATGGCAATGTGCATACCTTGTCACCAGTAGCGTCTCACATTTGACTTTGAAATGATCTTGCAGAATCCGGATGTCCCTCGCTATCGCCGCATTTCCCCTGGCAACGCGAACTTCAAGCAAAAGATCGAGCCACTCAAGGTGATATTCCCCCTGGCCGTCGCGCTCTGAAAGTCGAAATGGGTTTACTAACCAGTTGTATGTTTGCAGCACCACGAGGAGCTGCTCAAGTCAATTGGTTTTGAGACGACTGGTCTTAACATGGAGTGGAAGTGGCACACAGCGAGCAAGATGACCGGTGCATTCGATGAAAACATCGCCATCCTGCGCGCGCTCCTGAAGGCGCTTCAGTCTCTCACGAACCCGAAGTCGTCCTCTACTCTGTCACTTGAAGAAATTGCGCATGCTAGCCTCGAAGAGTTCTTCGCGCAGCAGGACAAGAACAAGCAAGAGGGCGCTTCGTCAACGACCACTACTGTGACTACCACAACCACTACGACTAAGGAGGAGAAGCGGTCGGCGGCGTCAAGCGGCAGCAGTCGGTTCACCAACAACAGCGCCCCGTCCGGGTCTGCGTCCACAAGTCTCGACGCGTTCATGGCTCGCCTGGAGCAGCAGACAAGTGTCAGCAATATCTCCAACAGTGATAGCAGCGTGGCGAAGGCGCTCTCAGCAGACGTGGCAGCCGAAGACGAGGAGGAGAAGATGCCCGTGCCGGTGACGAAGTCGATCTCTCCGACGGTGACGGCAGGCGGGCCGTCGTACCCGGAATCGTTCAAGGAAGTGATGGATCTCATCCAGAAGGGCGAGACCGTGCCGGGCATTCGTGACATCGAGGACAAGCTGTCGGTCGACTCGAGCGCGCTGCTGAGCCAGCAGATGCAAGCTGGCGAAGCGGTCGCCGCGAAGCCGTGGGAAAAGATCAAGGCATAGTAGATTGACTGCCGATAGCAAGTGGGAAGCAGTACATGTAACGAACGCTTTGGTGAAGAGTACACTCAAGTCTCAGTGTAGCAAGTGCAAGAGGGTGCAGGTGGTTTGAAGTTCACGGGAACTAACGGCCACATGATATGCTACTCGTTGTGTAGGCTTGCAACCGCTGTGGGTGACGACTATAAAGGCGAACAAGAGCACCCAGCGGCACCCCCTCTTCCGGACGAGTATCGCACGAAGCAAAAGTTTGCCGGTCGTAACGGCGTTCTCAGCCCGCTGCCACCGCGCTGCCGTGCGAAGCGGCCTTGAGCTCTGCCGCCGGCGAAATGCAATCGTTCACAATCCTCGACGCGCGGCAGGACGCCTCGACACTCCTTCAACTTGGTGTGGACAGGTGACCGGAATCAGGCGCGCGGCGTTCAAAGGCTTCGTGGGAGTGCCATGGAGTCCGTCCGCCCTCAGCAGTCCGACGACGGCAACGGACAGGCAGCGGGATGGTCCGGAGCTCGACGCCACGACCTCGATCGAGGCAGATCACACGCCGCCGCCCGATCGATTGGGGGCACCGCAGCAGCGGATTCCTCGCACTACGGCAAGCGGTACAGTGTGCCGCTTCACTTGGGAGGAGACGCCAAGCACCTCGAAAGTCTTGCCCAGGGGTTGGATACACTTTGTTAAAGTATATAAAGACTCATCGTGCTAGGACTTTGGTGTAAATGAGGCCAGTTCCGGCCCTGGGTTCTTGCAGCAGCGCAAAACTGCGCGCTTGTCGCACGTCGCTGTTCCTCCAAGCCGCATTTTGGCCAATGATCGCTGATGCGATCGCATTTAACGGTGGACCCGCCGGATAAGCTCCGATTATCCGGCGAGAGCACTTCGCTTCTTCGTCCTGGCGGCCAAAAATATGTGCAGACGTCGGGCGCAGTTTCCAGTTTGCCTCGAGGGGGGCAAGTGAGTGTTTCGGGGAGTTGAGGGGCGGATTCCGATGCCGCTGCTCCCAGAAGTGACAAGCAGCGACCACTAAGGTATGAAGTCGTCACGTGCGGCATTGCATAGCAGTCGACTCGAACACTTGTCGATCGCCTGGATATCTTACCTGCTTGGCCGTGTATGTGTCTGTCTGCAGGCATCAACTTGATCCTCGATCACCTCCGTCGTCTTCGTCCGTGTCCGCTGCCGTGCATGAAGTCTCTTCCTCTGCATCTGGCATGAAGACCGTGGTGCCCCACGCCATCGAGCTGACAAGTGGCTTCCGCTTCGGATGCTAAAGGCGGTCGAGCCAGTCGGGCGGGCGGTGGATCGGCGCGATGAACCAGTGAAAGCGCAGAAAGCGAGCGAGTGAGCATAAGCTGCGTTGATGTGGCAATGGGAAGAGCTGCGGCCTCCCTAGCCTCGACGCGTGCGGGCGTTCCCTTGCTCCGCTTCTCGCTGGAGGTTCAGTCGTGTTCGAGCAGATCCGGTGGAATTGCCAGTTGTCGAATGGCTGATAATGCTGCTTGATCTTCCCAAGCAATCAAATTCTTCACTGGGCGGCGGACTCGGGCGACGGAGTTGGTGATGGTGGAGAGCATCGAGGTTTGTGTGCGTGGGTTGCTGGTATAAATATGTTTTTATTGTTGGAGTTTTTAGCTTTTCTACTTTTTCTAAACTGATGGCGGCATCATGAGCGTGGTGCTGCCTGCGGAGAGTGGAGTGCTGCTGGAAGGCGACGGGAGCGCGCGCGCCGCTGCAAGCCCATGTCGCCCGGTGAACTCGCCGTGTCAGGCTCCTCGCTCGCTGGTGCTTGGCTGCTTGAGGCGCGCCCGTCGAGGGGAGCGCTCTCGCTCACTCTCTCGCGTCGCAGCCTTTTACAAGCAGTACTTAAACTTCTTTCCAGAACAAAACGTGTTTTCGGCGTCCTTACCGCGTTTGCGCGACAGTCTTCCGTTGCTCGCCGCTCGCGCCGCTGCAGTGCTCCCCAACAACTTGTCAGCACTTGAACTATCGTTGGCAATAGGGAAGCTGTCTAGCAGCGACGCGGGCGTGGCAGGAACCTGCGCCGTCTCGCGTGGGCTTTCATCACTGTCCTTGGCATGCGACTTGACATCGTGGTCGAAGTCGTGGTCGTACGGTGACCGGCCTTGACTGCTGCAGCACTCCGGAGACGTCACGCACGCGGCGGAGTCCATTGGCGACGACACCGTCATGGGCGACGAGTGCTCTTGCTCCACGACGTCCAGCTCTACGAACGACGCGGGACTCTCGACCGACTTGGGCGGGTGGAACATATAGACTAACTTCGACAGTCCCGCCGCGAGCACGTTCGTTTTGATGTACGGCGCCGTGTAAGCTTTGAGCAAGTAGCGAGCCGCATCTAGACAAATGGGAGCAGAACACAGCTTTCTTTAAACATTGCCAGCACCCACGACAAGAGAACAGAGTTCACAAGCATGCCAATACCTTGCAAGGTATGGAGGGGCGTCGCCAACGCACTCCACCACGGCAATCCGCTGGCTGTGCACAGGTCCTCTGGCACGTAGCTCTCGTAGAGTCCCGCCAGGTACACTGCACCGGCCGCTAGGTCCACCGACTCTAGTCGCAAACACGCCACCGTGTACGCGCTGTCGTTCAAGAACGACCACGCCACTTGCTTGATCTTGCTGCTCTGGGTCTTGGCCTCCTGCTCCGTCAGATGCTGCAGACGCACCACCTTGTCCACCTTCTCATTGATGTACTTGTACGGGTGCGAGAGCGTCAGCTCGTACGCCAGGTTGTGCAGTACCACGCCCTCCATCGAGATAATCTTGCCCGCGATAACCTGCGGGTCGTGCTTCTGAATGGCAAACACCTGATCCTTCTCCACGACTTTGCGGACGGCAATGTACTCCCTGGCGACATAGCCGATCTTCTTCGGACTCTCCTCGGCCTTGGAGCCGAGTAGCACGCACGCAGCTGCGACCAGGAACTTATCGTACCGAACGATCGACTGACGCATGTAGAAGCGGTGGAGGTAGTTGTCGGCGCTGATCTGAGCGAGCTTGGGCAGGTCAAGGGCCTTGGCCATCTTCTCAATGAAGTCGCACGCCTTGCGGCGGAGCACCAGCTCATCCGCGTACTTCATGCCGTCCCGCTGGGACGGAGTGGACCGCAGCTCCTGTTCCGTGAAGATCCAATCGCCTGTCATAGCCATGGCTGTGTGTTGGGACTGAGGTGGGTGGGTGGGTGTATATGCAGTGGGTGGGTGTGGGCTGGCGTGTGTGTTTTTAGGCAGTGAAACTGAGGGAAACACACGTCACACACAGAGCATCAGAGACGCCATCCCTCGCACCAACGCGGCCACAAGAGTCCGAGGCTTTACCTGCTGTAATTGATCTCCACCGAGGACGGTCGACGCTCAGGAATAAGCGCGCCTAGAGAACGGGAAACGGGCCGCTGGAATAGGCCTAAACAAGCGCTCGTCCGGTGGCGACGAGGGCGCTGCGAGTGGTTCCGTCGGGCAGTCGAGTGCTCTGGCCTGTCCTGCCTTCCCTCCTGTGCCCCTGGTGCTGCTGCGGGTGCTGCTAGCGAGGCTGCTGGTCCCTCAAGTCGCTCTCCTGCTCGTCGGCGTGCACGCTGTCTCCAAGCGCGCGATTCTTGAGTTCTCCCCCCCCTCTCGCTACGCGGCTTTTCTTCGCGTCTTACCGGAAAGAATTGCAAAAGAATTGCAAATGAATTGCAAAACGAGTGGCCAGAGCTCCTTCCCAGGACGATGTCTTGGTGTTTGTATACTCCGAATTTAACGGCTCTCGGGACGGAGGTCGCGCAAGTCTGCGATGGGTCGCCATACTTCTTTCCATACAAATTCCTTGTTTCACCCGCCCCGCGTGGCAGAGAACGTTCTAGATTTCTGTGCGCGGGAAACGCACGCCAGGCTATTTTCTGGCTCCAACGTGCAATTCAAACGCGCAAAATTGGACCGGACCAAAAAATTAGAGCCCTGCCACTGAGCTCGAGCTGCCGATTGAGCAAGTAAGGATTTGAGCAGGTGCACTGCTTTACTGCTTACGTCGGGAGTTAGCTGCGAGCTTAGTGACTATATTACCTGGTGTGCAGCTGATGTTTAACGCCGGCAATGGGGAGCTTACATTGGGGCTCCCGTAGCTTTAGGCGGCTTGCCTCCTTTTGACCTCCATGACAAGAGCTCTCTTGTGGCATGCGTCTTCAAGGATCCATGGTGGGCCTGGTCTGGTACTGATGTCCACGCGTAGTTTTCGTCTAAAGGAAAATGCCGATCACGTTTCCAAAGTAGCTCAATCTAGGTGACCGACAACTAAGCTTACTGTAGCATCCAGGCGGCTATTCAAGCTTGCAGCGGTAAAGCAGCGCTCGGATCTTTATCCTCCGGTGGACCACGAACCCATGAAACACGACTACTAGTCGTGTTTCGTCGACTAGTAGAATGGTATCCAGCGAGAAAAATGTTGTACATGTGCAAGGCTGCCATTGCTCCGCTGATATTAGTGACAGCGCTACCACACTTGCGAATGATCATTGTCTTGAGGGTGCAGCAAAGCTGAAGCACGGTGGGCAACGATTGTCCAGCGTACCCCCTCAAGCCTTCGCCGCGACTGGCAAGATAGACGAAGAGACCTGTTCGCACCCTGCGGCAGCTCGCTAAGCTGAGGTGCGATCGTGTTCAATGCAGTCGATTCGAGGCTGTCATAGTGCGTTCGGTTCTATGGCAGTGCCGTGTGCAGCTTTCAGTCATCTCTGCACTCTTTTACAGTGATCGGCATGTTGAAGTGAGCAAATATATCGTTTTAGTCCCAATTCAAAGCGCGATTCATTTTGACCTACACCCCTTGGTGCACATAGAGCCAGCTGGAAACCACGGGAATTTTCTGGGCACGTGTCGGAAGTTGATTGGACGGTCGCGTCGTCGTGTCGACAATGTAGCTCGAAGGTCGCTCGAAGGACATGGCTACTCTAACTTCAACATGAAACCGGTCAAGTTGCCGTTTGTCCTAAATGGCGATCCGCCTGCAGACCTCACCGGACATTTAACGCACTAAACATTAAGGACGACGGGCCGTCCGCCCAGCATCGACGGGGTGAGCGCTGCGCCCACGGCAGCGTCTGCGGCCGTCTGCAGCTGCAGCTGCGAGGGCTGAGCCAGGCGCCGTAAGAGGAAGCGGTGCAGCAGCTCGTTGCGCACCAGCGCGTTGCCCGTGCCGATCAACCTGCAGTGATCCAGCAAGAGATTGTAAGTGTGCATCCCTAGAGTGAATGGAACGCGAGTGGAATGAGACGTACGGTTGAACGGATACCAACGGCTGCAGCTCCGGGGGGATCATGGCGAAGAGGTTGTCCACGAGGCCGCGGGACAGCGCCGCGCTGATGTCGCCCATGCTCCAGTTGCTCATTCGCAGATTTAGAATGCTGCCGGTAGCGTTGGGGTCCGCGCGCTCGCCGTTTAGTGTCGGCACAAACGTCAACTCGGTGTCTTGACGCTGCAAACCCAGCGCGATCAGCCGCGCGTAGACCTCGGATTCGCGCTGCGCTGCCTGCTCTTCGTTGGCGTCATTACAAGCGGGGGCGAGTCCCATTTCCTCGGCCCACTGCTGCCACTGATGCACGAACCACGCAAACGTGTTGCCGCTGTTATATAAGACGAGTGCGGTTAGCGATCCAGAGTAGTCAAACTGCAGCAGTTTATGCGAAAACGAACCCGGAGAGAGACGCTGCAACACCCAAGAAGCGGTCTTCGAACAGGAATGGGCGCACTTCAAAGCTCGAGTTGTCCTGGCCGTCGACGTCCTCCGAGCTCGTTGATAGTTTTGCAACGTCTCCTCCCGTCAGCACCATGGCCATCTGCGCAGACGTGCCGATATTTACCACTGCAAGTAATAAGAGCACGCAAATATCACGACGTCAGTACACCCGAGCACTTCTAAATCATCACCAATACTCTTTGCAACGCACGCGTTAAGTTGGAGTCGCTGCTTGGGTTCGCTTGACGCTGCGCTAAAGCGGCCAGCACGGAACACGGGTGATCACCCATCGGCACGAACACGGGCTTGTTCTCGGGTAAGCCGAAAGCGGCATATCCGGCAGAGCTGTGGCCGACGCACGTGCCGGGTTTCTTCACTGCAGGAAGCATGGAAGATGGGATCCGAAGTGCGCGCAACACCCTTGGGTCCCATGTCTGCGTTTGCAAATTCAGGCCACCCCAACTGTGGGCGTCTGTAGTGTCCATAAAGGTTTCACTAGGAAGCGTGTGGCCACAGAGCACAAAAGCCACGAAGTCATGAATCGTTCCGCAAGCGTCCATGCCCACCAGAGTGCGAGGAGAGTTTTCCAGCGTATGGGCAAACGAAGCTAGGCCGTATCCGGCAGCAATTCGGTTGGGCCGCGAACCATTAGACGTAGATTTGGCGCGTGCAATCTTTCGTCGGCAGTTGTCCAGGAACGCAGGTGTGCAGCGCTGATCCTGCCACGTAATGAGCTCGCTCCATACCGGCTCGTACGACTCGTCGTCATCTTCGCGGATCCAGTTTCCAGCCGTTGCCAGCAAACGCTCGGCTGCCTCGTGCACAGCTCGACTGCACCACCACAGAATTCCGTGCATTTGACCGCAGATACCAACTGACGTAACGCGCCGCCTCGCCACCTCCGGCAGCGAATTCACCGCGCGCTGCACTGCCAACAGCACCTGGTCCACATTCTGCACGCCGATTTTATTCTCCACAAAGTCCTCGCCAGGTCTCCTCGGAACCACCACGTCGTTGAAGGACACGTTGGCCATAGCAACGGTCTGCCCACCATCGGCTTTCACGAGGACAGCCTTGACTGCGGTAGTGCCAATGTCCAGCCCAAACAGCACGGGAGTGTCTTCCTGGACTTCCGGTTCAAATTCATACGCATTGGATTGCGTTTCCACCGCAGCGGGTTGGACCACAGGCGCGCTAGGAGTGTGCGTCATGGGTGTGTTGGCGTGCATCGCCGGCATGCCGGAGTACGCAACTGGATCACTGGAGTTCGCTGCAGCCGTGCCTGAGTTCGTCATGGTCGCAGTCGTAGTCATAGGCGAAGTCGTAGCTGAGCGTACTACACCCTGGTTGGTCTGCACGAAGCCGCGTCGCTCCACGAACCTTTGGCACAGTCTGACCAGTGCCGCTTGTCCGCTCTCGGCGCTCTTCTTGTCTGCCAGGTAGCCCTCGAGCCACTGCGCGTGGTTCTGTCGGATGTAGTCGATCATGTGCGATGACGTCATTTCCCTTCCCTCCTGTCGTCCCTCCTCCAGGAACGCGGTCAGCTCCCGCGCGAAGGGAAGGATCTCGCGGCGGCCCGAGCGGCCGATGGACTTGCGCGAGTCGGGCCCGTCGAAGCTGTTGATCTTGTCGGCGTCGTCCAGCCAGTGGCGCAGCGTGCGGCGTGGCACGCCCTCCATCCTGCAGACCTCACGCACGCCCGCGACCTGCGCCAGCGCGATGAGCTCGCGCTTCTTGCGGACCGAGTAGTTGGCGCGCTGCTGGGGGCGGCGTCCCGCCGAGTCAGCGCTGGCTTCGGACGCGGATCCTGCGGCGTCTGGCGCGTCGATCAGCGTCGTATTTGCGCCGACAGAAAGAGCAGCGCTTCCGCTTGCTTGTGCACCCGCGCTCGGCGCCGGGGACGCAGAGATGCCCGCGCTAGTGGCGTCCGCGGACGCCGCCTCCATGGTCGCTTCAAGTGGGAGTTGCCCTGCACTGCAGGGCCTGCAGGCAGCAGGCGCGATGGGGCAATTTTCGCTTACCTAATTGGCAGAAAGTTGAAGCTATTAGTTCAATTTCAGCCTATCATTACAGCAGAAGTCTAATTATCGAGGGCAGGACACATCGTCCACTTCGACGTCCTCCGAGTGTCCTCTCGATGGCGACGCGGAAGAGCTACCCGGCGGCCTTCAAGCTGTCGGTCGTGCGCAAGCTGACCGAGGGCCCGGCCCCGCCCTCGGTGCGCTCGCTGGCGCAGCGGCACGGCGTGACGCCGTCCATGGTGCGCAAGTGGCTGGCCAGCAAGGCGGAGCTGGAGGCGGCGGTGGCGCTGGACGCGCATCGCTCGGGCCGCCAGCGGAAACTCGGCAGCGGCCGCAGACCCAACGTGGCGGTGGACGCGGCGCTGCTGCAGTGGGTGCACGCGCGGCGCGAGAGCGGCCAGAGCGTCACGGACCGACTCATGAAGGAACAGGCCCGAGTCATCGCGCAGGAGCAGGGGCTCACGGACTTCCACGCGTCGAACGGCTACATCTACAGCTTCAAGGGCCGCAACAAGCTGCTGAGTGCGCCGACGTCCAGCTCTAGTGGTAGCGCTGGCGGCAGTGCCAAGAGACGGAAGGCGGGGGCGGAGCCCGTCACGGTGCAGGTGAGCCAGGAGGCGGCGGGCGTCAGCAGCGGACCGGAGACGGCCAAGAGAGACTGCATGTTCGGCATCGACATCGGGCTCAAGAACGTCAAGTGCGCGCTGGTGTGCGTCACCTCTGGCAACATCTTGGCCACGTCCAGTGTGCCCATTCAGCACGATGCGAGTTTGCTGGAGAGCGAGCAGAGCGTGGCGAGCATTCTGCTGGCGGTGCTAGCTGCCGTACAAGCTCTGCCAACACCGTTGAGACAGAGCATCCGCTCGATCGGTATATGCGGCGTGGTGAGTGAGCTTGCAGTTGTCAGAGTTGCTGAGGGTGTTCCTACTGACGTGTAGTTTATAATGGTCATTGACGCTGTGGGGCAGATGCACGGGATCGTGTGGTGGCGCTGCAAGACGGTGCGTCAGGCAATGTGTGAGCTTCTATCGGCAAGAGGGGGCACTGGTGCTACATCAGCGACGAGCTGGCTGTGGAGCACGTACATCACATTCTTGGACCAGCGGTGCTCGCCGTCGCTGTTGGCCGAGTGGAGAGCAAAGATTCAACTTGCCAACGCAGCGGTCGATGCGACTTCGTTTTCAATGGAAGCTGTTGGCGGCAGCGCATCGTCTTCGCCTATCGCATCCGGCTACGGGCTCGCCACGTTCGCGTATATGACGGAGAGGCAGCCCTGTGACATCGAGGGATTCGACACGTGCGGGACTATTCAAGACTTCATCGCGTTCGCACTCTGCGGACACTCTGCTCCAAGTCAGAACTGCATGGACGTCACCGATGCCTTCAGTTGGGGAGGCTTCGACATGAACACCAAGACCTGGAACCCCCGCACGTACGCTCAAGTACTCTTAAGCGTGTTTTCGAGTATGATCTGAACCATGTGTCTTGTATATATGCGCCAGTGTCCAGGCGCTCGGTCTTCCAGCTCACATGCTACCGACGGTGAAGGCTCCAGGTGCGGTCATCGGCCAGAGTTCTGACGTTGCGGCAGTAATAGGTCTTCCGCACGGAAAGCCGGTATACCTCGCTATGGGCGATCACCCATGTGCGGTCATGACCACAATGGCACAAACTCGGAGCCCAGCCGATCTCAACCTTTCGCGCACTTCCGGTACGTACAGGCCAAGAAATGAACCGGGATTCCTGACTCTAACAACCTGTGCGTGTTTAAAGTCTTAAGCATTGGTTCAGCATCACAACTCGCTATGGTCCTGACAGCGGAGGACGCAGCGCAACTGAGTGGTAGTTGCTCGCTCAGCTTCGAAGTCAGACCATTTCTGTCGGAGAACTGGTTCCTCGGAGTCGCAGGGTCTTTATCTGGGTACGCACACTTCCGTGGCTGTAGGTCTCCTTCACCGCACCACTAACGACAAAACTGTTTAAACCTACCGTAGTGGAAACATATTTGCGTGGTTTGTAAAGCAATGTCAGGCGTGGAGCCAGCAACTGGCAGTCGACCCGACAGCCGAGCATCTATCCGATGACGAATTGTACGCGCGTTTGATTTCTCTGGGCGGCACCAAGCTCGACACCGATCTCAAGTTTTCTCCAACGCTCTATGGCGAGTGGGCATCTCCTGACGTGCGAGGCAGCATTGGCCAACTCCGCATCACCAACTGGTCGTTGGGTGATATCAGCGCTGCTATTTGCCGCGGTCTAGTGGACAATATTTTCTCGATGGTGCCGGAGGACCTGCGCGCTGACCTGCTTCAGCAACCGTACGTCCATGTTTGCGGGTTGTGTATCGTCGTATCCTACATCTGACGCTGTGATTCCATGCCTAGAATGATCGGAACTGGACAAGCGTTAGTGCGCAATGGCCTTCTACAGCACTTTCTTAGGCAAAAGCTAGCGCATCCGTCTCAACTATCGATCCAGAGTACAGCAGATGCAGCCGTCGGGGTTGCCTTCATCCCGTCACTACTGCAAAAATGATAGAGGCTTAGCGCCAAAAGGAAACTTCATTAAAATGATTTAGCTGACTTGCTTGGTGTTGCTGCTTAGCTGAGACTCTCACTTGGATTTACGGCACACCAGCGCATTGGGGCAGCACGTTGCGTTGCTGCAGGTCGCGTGCGATCAAGTCGATACGCACTCCCATGTTGAAAAGCTCCGAAGACGCCGATTGGGAGGTCTCAGAGCTTCCAGCGCGGTGCAGCGCCACGACGGTGTTGTCTTTACGACTCAGCACGGGCGAGCCTGACGATCCGGGCTCCGTGTCGGCATTGTACCACACCGTTGGTTGGACGTTGCTTGTGTCGCTATCACGACGAAGATACAGAGAAGAGTCCCCCGAGCTTGTGGTCGCCACCTCTATAATCGCGGGCTTCCCATCTTTGATGGCAGCAATCTCCTTGGGCTCACCACGCGGGTGTTGGGGGATGTAAATGGTTTCCCCGTCCGTGGGGCCTGCAGCACGGAGCCGCAGGTATCCATAACGCCGCCCCAGGTCTGCAGTCGAGTTGTTCGGAAGCACCCGCAGTAGAGCGTAGTCCAGATCCGGATTCTCCGTCACCACTGCGACGCGGGTGGCCTCCACAACGCCAACTTTTTCGCCCATGTATCCCGCCTCCCGACACGTCTTGGTTTCGGCCATGAAGCCGACCACTGCCTCCACGACGCGACCAGTTTTGTTCGGTGGAGAAGTAGCGTAAGGCCAAATCTGGTTGACAACACGCGGCAGAAACTCAGTGCTTGTTTTCTTCCCGAAAAGTGAAGGTCCTTCACTGCCTTCGACTACAGCCGCGTCTTTCATGCAGTGTTGGTTGGTGATCAAGTGGTTTCCTCGTCCTATGAGCCAGCCCGTGCAAAACGCCCAACTGGTTACTTGGCCAGAGGTGGCTGAAGTCTTCTGTTGTGACTCAGTGCGGATCATCAATCGCGCTACTGCACGGGCCTTCGCATACATTTGTGGCTGACTTTTGCGATAGCAAATGGCTTCCTTGGCTTCGTCCGTAGCTCCGACCGTGCTTTCCGTATCAACTCCAGCTATTGACGTTCCAGACCTAGGCCCGTACTTGATGAACGCGTACGAGTCCATCACCACGACGGGCTTGTCGTGCAGGCTTCGGACCATCGGCAGCATAAGCGTCATAATGCTAGGAACGTACTCGACCACCACGGTGTCGCCTCTCAGCAAGAAGGGGTGAGTTCGTACCAACAGTGAATGAGGTGAGCCTTTGCTGCTCGTAGTTTCCTCGACGATCGCGGTGGCGTTTGCAGGGGTGACAGTGATTGACATCGAGCCGTTGGGATCGCGAACCATGACCTTGTCTCCGGACAGCAAGTTGAGCTGCTTAAAATTGACTGCGATAAAATCTGCTCCAGGCTGAGAGATCTTCAGCGCTTGTGGAAGCCGCTTGTCGCTCGGGAAGAGGCTCCATTCCGCTCCGGCAAGTGGACGCAGCACAATGACAGCATCGGCAGTCTGCAAGAGCTGCGGGAGCTCGGTCACTTGGCGACCGCACGAACTCACGTTAACGTACACTCGTGCGGGCAGCGAAAACAGTGCAAGAAGCACCAGCACGCAGGCTGCTGCCATCGTGCGCTCGGTCATCCCAACAGCAGCTTGCAGAGAACTGGCGGGGATCTTTTCTCTTTTTGAAATGCACCCCAGTTGATTTTCTTTTACTGTCTGGGACGGGCACTCACTGCTTTGTCGAAAGGTAAACATGCAGGTTTGTCGATTTTCTGTGGTTAATGAAATTGGTGAATTATACTGGGAGGATAGCTAAAGCTGGCTGAACAGCCTAACCAATTTTATTTCAGCGGCCGGCCCCCCCCCAACTTTAATTGGCAAATGTCGCCTCAGTCCATAGACCACTGATTATGGCTACCGTAACATCAAGGAGTTTGTACGTTTCGTGGCTGGTTGTTCCCAGAATGTCGACCGTATCCGTAGCGTGTACCACACACTGTAGTGAGCAGTTCTTGAATTTATGAAATTTATTCGGAAAATTGACTACCCCTATCATAACTAGGATAGCTGCATTTTTTCGTTATAAGCTGCTCAAAATCATTGAAATAACAACTAACGTTCCTGCGTCTGTAAATTGACTAAGCCCCATGAATCCTTCTTGTGTAAATTTGTATAGCTGGAATGCATGACCTCAACGCGCTCGGCCGGGGGCTTTGCCCCCGGCCGAGCGCGCCTTTAAGTTCTTTCATGTCTTTTGCGCGGCAGCTTCGCCATTTTTTTAAAGGTGCTACACCAGGGTTTGAAAACTTGCCACCAACTTTCATGTTACATTATTCTTGCCTACCCCACGTTTATAAATTTAGGCACACAAAGGAAGTCTACACTGTCCTCCCAGACCAAAGCTTCGCCTCTAGTATAGCGAGCATGGTAAGTAGGGCTACTGTTGTTGCGTTGGGGGCTGCAAAGTGACTTCTTCGACAGTCACTGGCTTGCCCATGGCAGCTTTAACGCCATCGGTCTTCATGATGCTGTCGTCCAAGCCTTGGCCTGCATGAGGGTGAACAGCGGCTGCTCCTGCACTCTTCATCAGCTCGAGTTGGGGGCGGTACCACATGTAGTAGCCGATCGAGTACACCACGAATTGCCCGAAGACCGTTCCAGAGCCAACAAGCTGTTCGTACCCCCAACCTGCTGCCAGCGTTATCCCAATTACCTTCAGCCGACGTCCGTTGGCTTCTTGGTCATCGTCGCTCTCCTTGGCTAAATGCTTGCGAGTACAGGACGCCAAAGATGATCAGGGCGATGGACACACTGCCTGTGACCAGGTGAAGAAGCTTCTGTCGCGCTGAGCCGTCTTCGGCAGTGTTAATCGCAATTGAGCCAGCTTTTCGTATGATCAATGTGAGTATCATCGTTACCCAGTTGGCCTTGTTTGAGGTTTCAACGCTGGCAGACTCGCAAGCGAATGACGTCGAGGTGGTAGTAGCCCCATCGACGGTAATTTGCGAGAGTGAGCACTGATACGAGCCGGACGAGCACGACCTACAAGTGCATCCATCGCACCCTATATCTTCACTCCCGCACCACGTTTGGCACTCGCAGCAGTCATTAACCGTTCGCGTGGTGGTACAATTCTCGTTGTTGTACACAACTGTTCCCAACAAGCATGCGAGTGAGATCGAGACCATTAATGTTGTAACAACGCACACAATTGCATCCAACGCGGTCGCACAGCCGCCGTCTTCTTGCGGCAGTCGAGGAACCCCACGAGCTCCTTCTTGTCGCAAAAGTAATCGACGAAGTCTGTCGGCGATCCATCATCCTAGACAAACGACTTGAGTGAGCCCCAATAAAGCAGCCACGGGATCCAAGACATCCGTTTAGCGACGAGCTCCTTGCTTGAGGGCTCCCCTTTGAGCTTTTTGGGGAAGCAGAAGAAAGTCACAGCGGCAGCGCCTCCCGCGAGGGCGATTGCAGTAGCGATGTACACAGCGCACACGATGCCGTAGTCCTTGCTGCTCATGTCCGGGGCGTCTGATGTTTCTTCTTCGGAGGAGGCAAACTGAGGCGCACAAGTAAACGGAGCCGAGCACGATGCCTTGATCTCGCCGTTGGTTTCGGTGCAGGTAAAGCACGAGCACCCAACACCGTTGAATTTGCTTTTGGCTTCATCGCATGAGCTGAGGGTCATCGCGTTGCAGGCGTCCGCGCCGTCAGAGGTGCTGGTGCTGGTTGAAGTGGAGCTGGTTCCCGTCCCCGTAGACGCCGAATAGGAGCCCGAGCAAGCGTATGGGTACTTGCAAGTGTACTCAATGTTATCATTAACACTCTTGCACTGACGCTGGGTACAAATCAAGCTTAGCTCCGAGCATGTTGTAGCGGTGATTCCATAATTGCTGTAGCAATCTCCACTGTAGTCTTCTCGGACAAGTAAGTGCCAAGACCCAACCACCAACAGTAAGGTGATGCTCTCGAATCGACCAAGATGCATCGGAGAAAGCTGGCGGTCTGGAACTGGGGTACTTGTTGCTTGTCTTGAATATCGTGAAGTGAGGGAGTGTGCTGCACCGGTCAATCCGAAACGGGCAACTTTTGGGTTTTGTTTTACGCGTCTTCACAACTTCGACTTGAATAGACGTTCGTTTAGCTCGCATGGGACGGATGTTCCATCCGTAAAAACAGACTGCTGGTGAAAATCGACGCCTTCCATCGGTACCCCGCTCCAGCTCTAACGAGAAATGTCCAAGCCGATGAATTACCTGTATTGTGAGTAATACTCATTGAGTAGCAGTACTCAGCGGTCTGCTGTGATCGAGCTTTGGCTGTTTAGTATACACAGGAAAGCTTTCTTACAAACTGAAGCACGCAATGCAGTCGTGGAGGATCGACACTTTGCTTCAACGGCGGCGGCGGCAGCAGCAGCAGCCAATTCTAGCCGCCCATTTCTCCGCGGTCCATATGCGTTGTCATGCTGGACGATCGCCACGTGATCTGAAGCAATGCATGGCGATCTTATAGCGACCTTACTCGAGCAGGCTCGAAGAGCAGCAAAAGTCCCCAGATAAATGCAAGCGTTGACACTGTTTGACACGGCGGCAAGCCCTGCAGCAGGCACAGCAAGGTCGAGTCGAACCTCGAGCACCATTTGGCCAGCGGGCGATAACTTCAACTTCTCACCTGATTCCGGCTCTGTCCGCGAATAGAGTCCCAAACCCCGAGGTTTTTGACGTGCAAAGGTCCGATTTACACCAAACGTTTCTGGACAGAGCAAAAGATACCGGGCGAGAAAAAGAAATCCTGGGCCGTCGCTTGCTGGTCCAAGCGGATCCAAAGACACACAAGCGGAAAGGACGCGCGAGGCCCAGGACCAAGAGCGCTGTAGGACTCGAGCCCCACGTGTTAGCCGCCCAGCCGCCGATACAACGAGACCGCCGCCTGTGGGGCCATGGGCTGTTGCTATTCCAAAGAGGACGACCGCTTCGACGGCAGCGAGGCGCTGCTGCCCAAGGGCAGGAACGGCGCCAACAAGCGAGTGTGCGTGCACAGTTACACAGGCCCTACTTAGTCCGCTCCGACTGACTGGAGGCTGCTTGCCTTGTTGCTCCCTTCTCTGTCTGATACATAGAGAGAAGTCGGTGGAGGTGGATCTAGCCAAGAAAGACAGCGCCAACGGCAGCTACAAGTCGCCATCGGCCGTCATCGCCGCGGGAGACGCCAGCTCCAAGGTGCCGGCCAAGCCGCAGCCGCCCAAGAAGAAGCCGGTGGAGAACGTCGACCTGCTGGGCCTGAACGAGAAGCCGCCGACGCCCCTGGCCGCGCCTGTGGTCAAGGCCCCCTCAACAGCCAAGCCAGCGCCGTCGCCGTCGCCGCCTAAGCCAGAGCCTGCAGCAGTTCCGGTCGTGAAGCCCGAGTCGCCCCCGAAGCCGGCGCAGACGTCGCCGCCCAAACCGGCAGAGACGTCACCTCCCAAGCCGCAGGAGACGAAGAAGTCGCCCAAGATGTCGCCCAAGAAGCCGACCGATACCGAGGACAACAGCGTCATGGCGTCAGCGTTTACCTCCGTGTCCGTCAAGGCAGAAGAGGCCGACAACGACGACGACAATGACAACGATGACGATAACGATAACGACGGGGACGACAACGACAATGGTGACAACGACGGCGAGGACAAGCCCAAGGAGCCCAAGCCTGCGAAGAAGACCACCCCCACCAAGAAGTCCAAGAAGAAACGAAAGGTACGAGGTTACTGTTGATTACTGAACTTGTTGCCGACGCATACTCACGTGACGGATTGTGCTCTGTCGGTACTGCAGAAAGGAAGGAAGTAGACGCCGTCGCTACTTCAGTTATGAGCTAGCCGGGTCTGCGGCGCTCTTTAGTCGCGACGCAGCCCCAGGGAGGCAGTAGTTTGGTTGTCCAAAGCTTGAGGGTCAAGCGAGACGGAAGCGGAGGGTCTCGCTTTTCTGTCTAGCTGCTGCTCTTGTTAACGAAACAAAGAGCGCATTTTAGCCGAGAGACATGCGTAGGCGCTTCTTGCGCTTCTGTAGGAAAATGTCGTCTTCTTCGTGGGTACTGCCAGGTGTGCCAAAGGCGGAGTCACCTGTCGATCGTGCAGGACTGACGCCGCGCCTTACGTTCTCTGCGTGCTGCTTCTCCGCCATCTGCATGAGGTCGCTGGCAATCTCACCGAGCTCTTTGTTGTCTCGCTGCAGCGCCTCCTTCTCTTGCCGCAGCGTCGCGATCTCCTCGCTCTGAGTGTGGAGTTGGCTACGTAGCTGAGCATCCGCCTTCTGCACCTGCTCAGCCTTGCTCTGTAGTACTGCCTTCTCCGTCTCCAACTGGGCAACCTTAGCCTGCAGCTCGCGCTCTCGACCCACGACCGATTCCTTCGAAGCCAGCGTTTGCTGCTCGTTGTCGCGCATAGCCTTCTGCAGCTCTTGCAGCTGCTCCTGTGCCATCTTCTCCGTACTCCGTGCAATGTTAAGTTCTTCACGCAGTGCCGCCACCTCCTGCTCATGCTGTTCAACCAGTACACGTTGAACGTTCTCCACCGACGCCGCTCGTTGTTGGTCCCTGCTGGCGAAGCGGTGCTGCAAGTGCGCGACGGACTGGGCCAGCACCGTCTCAGTCTTCTGGTAGTTGGCCACTTGCACGTCCAGCTTCTCCACCCGCTCCTGGGCCAGCGAGAGCGCCTGCTGCTGCTTCTCGAACGCTTCTTGCAGCTTCTGGCGCGTGGCCTTCTCCATGTCCAGCGTCGCCAGCAGCTTCTCCAGCTGCAGATCCTCGCGCATGCCGTTCAGCGTCTGCTTGTGCTCCTGTAGCACCGCATCCAGCCGCCTCTGCAGAGCTCCACACTGTTCCACCACTTTGTCCCGCTCGCGCTCGCGGTCCGTCACCTCGTAGCGCCGCTCCACCAGCTCCTTCTTGACCACCAGCAACTCCGCGTCCGCCGCCAGCTTGGCCTCGTACTTGGCCTGCGCGACCCTCGCCTTCAGCTGCGCGGCCGAGAACCGCAGAGAGAACTCGTCGTCGTCTTCAGCGTCATCAGCAGCTGGGTTTGAACCACCCGCGCTCTTTAGCTGCTCGTTGTCGCCTTCGTCCTGCTCTCGAGCCGCGGATTCTGCGCGTTCCACCGGGTCAACCGCCTCCATCGACACATCAGCAGAGAGCGGTCGCTCTGTTGCTTCTCCTCGTGCGATTTCCTCCGCCATAGCGTCGATATCAGCTGCGCCTCCGCCGCGTCAACTTGCCCGTCGCTTCCTGCAATATGAAATGCTGCGCGCACAATTGTACCCCTTTAATGGTACAACGCGCTTGGATGCACTGCTTTTTCAATTATCGGAGCCCAGCCATGGCGACTCGAACCAGCGCGGCCCGGGCGCTGCGCGTGGGCTCCGTGGGCGGCCTGATGCCCTTGCTGACCGTCGCGGGCGCGTCTTGCCTCGCGGATCGGCGAGAGGCGCTCAACGCGCCGCCGCAGAGCTCCAAGACGTCGTCCTCCGACTGCGTTTCGACCACGGCGCTGCTCGTGTACCGAGGACTTGGCGCCGGCCTCGCCTGGACGATCGGCGTGGACGGCTACTTCCTGGCCAGCCTCTCAGACGCCGAGTGGCAGCAGCGCGTGGCGGCGCGTCCCGGCTCCAGCGTCGCGCGGGAGGCGGCGCGGTGGCTCGGACGGCTCAGCGTGCGCAACATGCTCGGCTTCGCGGGCTTCCTGGGCGTCTTCGGGGGCATGAGCTGCAGTCTGAAGAAGGTGCGGGGCAAGAGCGACCTGCTGAACCCGTTCGTGGGCGGCTTCACGGCCGGCATGGTCATTCTGCCCAAGGAGGTGCGCAAGCCTCGCGCGCTCCTGACGGCGGCGTTCCTGTGCGGCTCGGCGTCGATGGCGCTGCACTACTTCATCCCGACTGGCGAGAACAAGAGCGAGGGCGTCAGCGAGACAAGGTAGTCGCGTGCCAAGTAATAGAAGAGGAGAGCAGGAGGAGAAAAGCTCTATATTTGATTCGCGCAATGGATTGCTGTTCGTGTGTGGTTTAAATTTACCAGCAGAGGAGAACGATTGAAGGTAGATGGATTGATATCAAGTGCTGATTAGCCCTGGGGCAGTGCTCAACACGATGAGGCAGCGACGACATGTGAACGGCAACAGCAACGCAGGGGCGGCAGTGGACGCATCGGTCGCAGTAGGATGGGGGTCTGGCCGCAGCGTTCCTGCCAACATCACTTCAACGTCCAAGCGCTCGTCACCCGGGAGTGCCGTCGACAGTGTTTTGAACGAGCCAATTGCATCGAATCCAGCAGCGGTCAAGCACGAAAAGAGGAGTGGAGCTGCTACGGCCAGACGTCCGCAGTCCAGCAGCCTCCGAGACCCGCTGGCAGGGTGTCGACCAACGCGCCGAGTTCAGGTACAGTGTTGAAGACCGGACACGCTTCGCTATGAGCGGGCTAATAATTGCGCTTTGCTGGAAAAGAGTGCACGAGGTGCGGGCGAGAGCTCAACCCAGCTCTGCGAGGTTAAAGGTAAAGCGGCACTAAAGTCGGATTCGCAGACGCACAGTAACAACAGGTAAAGTTCCTAGCGGGTATGACATTGCAGTATTTGAATTCTAACGATCGCTTCACAATTTTTGATGCGCAGCCTCCCAAAGCTTCAGCCTCAAACTGTTGATGTTGCTCCTGCCTCCCGTAAAGACAAGAGCAGGGGTACTGCTGGTTCACGTCGAAAGTCGACACCTCCACCATCCGTCGCTACGTCAGGGATAGATGCAGCATCTCACGTTCAATTGGCAGTCACGGTGGCGTCTACAACCCCAGCTACTCATGTTGTTCGACCTCCAGAGCCCGCTGAATTGAAGGACTTGCGGCGCTTGCTACGAGACCGATATGGCGAAAAGCGCAGCGTTCGCCAAGCGTTTTTAACATGGGATTCGGACAAGGATGGCCGCTTATGTGTTGCCGAGCTCAGACACATGCTGACACGGCTGGGCTTCGCTCAAGCTCTTGGAGGAGAGAAAGTAGACGCCATCCTCCAGCACGTGTTGAAGTCGCCCGCAGGGTAAGTCGCCAGAGACAATGTCAAGCTCTAGGGATAGCAACCGATTTGACTTTGTATGTCCTCCAGGTCCCTGAACTATGACGATTTTTGTGGACTCGTTTACGGATCGCAAGAAGTTAATGAATCTTGTGCCGGCACTACCTCCAAGAAACAAGCAGCGGCCGATGAAGATGGAGTGCTGACGACTGACCCCGACTGTGTACTTGCCTTGCTGCGTGCCAAGTATGAGACGCGCAGGGTTCACCAGGTCTTTCGAAACTGGGATATTGATAAAAGTGGCAGTGTCACGCTGGCGGAAATCGAGAGTAATTTGCGTCGCCAAGGCCTGCGAATCGCGAAGCCTCAGTTGATGAAGCTCTTCGATACGTACGACCTTAACCACGATGGTCGGCTGCTCTACGACGAGTTTATGCGTCTTGTATACGGCCCTGTGCACGAGCAGCGTTACAGCTATTTGGCGGCACAGCGGCGGAAGAAACAGCAAGAGCGGCAACTAGACAAAGGGGACCCGTTGGACTTCTTCCGCAGTTTAGCAGCAGAGTCCCAGCAAGCCACTCACAGCACAGATGTAAGCATCCATGGGGGTATCCTTGTCGAAATGGGCCTTGTACTCACGAAGTTTTGCTCACAATCAGGACCCGGGCTTCAGGGCCACGCTGCAGCGAAAACTTCAGACATTTTCACGACTCAATGATGCGTACGCAGCTTTCGACAACGATCATAGCGGAAGCTTATCGTATAGAGAACTTTGCCAAGGGGTACGGTGCTTAATGCTTAGTCTGTACTGAACGAAATGCGCCACTCACTAAATTTTTGTATCTTTCGTTTCGCAGTTGCAACAATTGGGGATAAACCTGACAGAACGCGAGTTTCTCCACCTAGCCACGCGTGTAGACACAGACGGAAATGGTGAGATTAGTTTCAAGGAATTTTGTGATGTCTTCGGCGGTGGTGATGCGTCCAACCGAAGACGAAGCCAGCGTACAACTTCTCCCGGTGGCGAAGTAGACGAGCGTGTCGAAGAGCAGCAACAGCGCGAGTCGAAGCCGCACAAGAAGGATAGTAACCAGCGACGACGGGCAGCAGGGACGTTTAATTTCTCCCACTTGACGAGGTATACGCGTTTGTCACGGAATTCTGCTACGACCTGTAGACTGACTGATTCTGCCTCATCACTGTAGACGCACAAAAATTCCGACACGGTGTGGGCGGACACCATTCACCAGTTCAAAAGGAATCATCAGGTGGGCAGGCTTTTGCGTGTTCTCGCTTTGAATATGTGGAGCAGACTTGTAACAATCCTTTGATGCAGCGGTAACCAAGACGGAACCTCGGATCCGGCTCGGTTCACGACAGAAGCACAACTGTATGGCAGTGGGTCCTCCTCTCGGTCAGCTGAAGTGGCTACAGCAACCTTGACGCTTGGTCAAGAAGAGAAGCAGCGTCGGGATGCTGCAAACACCCAGCGGTTGCAGCGGTTGCGCGTCCAGATGGAGGATTATGAAGCTCAAGCTAGACCGCTGGAGGATACCTACACTCAGGCTCAGGAACGGCGAGTGCGGACTCTGCAACGCCACCAGGAACGATATCACCAGCGCATCGAGGAGCAGCGACCGAAGATTACTCTTTCGCCACCAAGGAAAGGCATCCAGATTCCACGGATAAGCTCCACCACGCCATTCGGAACTCACTGACCGTTTAACGTCTTACGCTCCATTGCCTTGCGTGCTAAGATCGTTAACGAAAACTAATCTATCAGTCACGCGACTCGAATGCGATTGCAACGCGACTGGCGGCATGCGCCGATAAGGATGACTCGTCCGCTGCATCACCCGCCATCGCTTGCTGGTACGCCATGATCGCCGAAGGGTGGCAGCGATCGTAGACAGTAAGCACTACTGCTCGACAGACGCTGATGAAGCGGTTCCAGCTAGCAAGTAATAGCCCACGAGTCTCCTGACCGTTGAGGTACCACACGTCCAGCTCAGCCAACGCGTCGACTAGCGCGCTGAAGAGGCCGTTAAGCTGCTGCTTGTTTATTTCACAGTCGTGCAGTACGCGCACAACTCGAGTCAGCAAATGCTCCAGCAGGTGCTGCAGCTCCTTCGGTTGGGATAATCCAGCTCCGATGGTCAAGAAACCATGCACCACTAGGTAGAGCTTGGTCTCGAGTTCGCCCAGGCTGCGAGCGCTATCACTGAGCGTGCCCTCTGCAGCAGCCCACGACCTCAAACGAGTCATGATTTTCTCACGATACACTTTGAGAACGTCGTTGTCATTGATAAGATGAGCCTTGAGGTCGCGCAGGCAGTTCGTCAATGGATGACTCAGATCCAGCCCCACCGTCTCCCGTACGCTCGTCGACTGCAACTTCTCCTGCAGAAAGCCAATCGCTGGCCAATCTCCAGTGCTCGGTGGCCGTAGCGCGATCTGAGCACCGTTTTCAACCACGTCTTCCACCGTGTTCTTGTTGGAGGCTCCTTTGGGGAACGCGAGCTTCGACAGCGTCTTCCGCTGCGGCAGCCAGTGCGTCATGAGCAGCGCAGCGAAGAAGCGCAGGTCCGGCCAGGTTAGAAATCCTGTGACTGGGTGTTGCGGGTGCACCTGGAACCTCGTGTGCAGGATGAAGAGCAGACACGCGTACTTGCTGGCGAGCTGCTCGGACAGCAGGAACAGCTCGCTGACGGCTCTGCACGGCAGTCCGTGGAAGTTGCGGTCCTCCACAGCAGCGTACACCCGGCGCAGGTTCTCCAGCTGCCGGCGGCAGCTCTTGAGCGTGCGCCCGGAACGCTCAGCGACGTCGTCCAGGTCTTTTTCCAGTCGCCCGGAGAGCTTCTTGCCCAGCAGCCAGCGGTCCACGTCGACGTCCCGCGAGTAGTAGCGCTCTACCATGTAGTACTGCTGCGCCGGCGGGATCTGGAACAGAAGCTGGGAGCGGAACAGACTCGGCTGCGACAGGTAGTGCTCCAGCTTGTCGTACAGGCGGTACTGGTCCACGGTGTCCCGCCAAAGGAGCTCGCGCAGCTTGGCGTCTCCGCCCAGGAACGGCATGGGAACGGCCGACGGGAGGCGCAACCGAGCTGCCAGCGCGTCTCCTGCATTGTGCCCCTCCAGCCAGAGGGCGAAAACGTCCTCGTTCACACGGATCGGGTCCGTCAAAAAGGCCTCGAACACTTCGCGCATCATTTGGTCGATCCAGGTTGGAAGATCGGATTGGGTTTGACTGCCTCACATTTTCACAAAACTATATTTTGGTACGACTATTTTACATTTTGGTCATTTTGGTCATTCATGTAGCGCTTTGCGAATCCTGAGTTTTCGGGGGACGCGTCGTCTACATGAGTCTGACGAATGTCGTCTCTTCCAAGCGATTCCATCCCGTTGTTAGGTCAGCATCCGCAGGCAAGTGGAGCTGTCGTCTGCCAGTTTCCAGCATCGATGGACGGAAGCATTGACCTCTTGTGACCGTCGAGTTGGAAAGGCCTGGACTCGAGTCTCGTTGACGGCGGACTCGACTGGAATCTTCACGACCGAAGTGGAAAGCCTGATGGCGCATGTCATGGCGCTCCGTCAACGTGGCGGTGTGGCAGATATGGCGCCGGAATCGTACGACTGTGGGGCTTCTTCGCATGCACCCACCGTCACCGTCAGCCTCATTGCCTATGCGGCTCTGTCTGTAGGTCATTGTCAGCGAATGCCTGCGACCCGTGATGAAGCTGCGGGAAGTCCGCTCCAGCACCCTACCGGAGATCCTGCGTGTAACCTGGCACGAAATTTACGTCCCGACCATATGAGAGAATGTATGCCGGTAGATTATTACCTACGTGTCGGTCGGGACAAACCAATCGAACCCGACGAAACCACTGACGATTCACTGCAATGCTCGAGCGCCTTTCAACTGTATGTTCATGTATTTTCGTAAGGTGCATTGGTGATCCGCAACCACCAGATCGCTGTAGTGGCGACTTGTTGCGGCCACCCGCGCGACGAGAAACGCAGGAGGCCAAGATCTACGAGCATACGAAGTTGTGCGATGCAAGCCGGTCGATAGCTAAAACCGAACTGCTTGAACCTTGGCGCACCTCGACTGGTTTACACAGTGCAAGCACTTTTCACTGCCCGTAAAGATCACCCCGCAAAATGGCCATTTCGCATAGATACGCGTTTCACGTTGCATCGCAAAGCTTTTTCTGACCGCACGCTTGCGCGGCAAAGGCGATGGGAACCCCACTGCGAGCTAGGGGAAGGTTGCACCCCCCACGTGCTGGCGAGCTTCGGCAAAGGCGCGGCGAGCTGGCCATGAGGGTGAGACGGCCAAGTTCAGAGCGGTGGGCGCGACAATGGGGCACGCGAAAGATATCACTGCATACTGTATAAGGCAGAAAAAGACAGATAGTGAAGTCTATCAAGCAAGCATTTTTCCCGCCGGAAGGCGCAGTAAATTGAAGCTCTCGGATAGCAAATTTGTCGATGTCGTTTCAAGCACCCTCGCACCTCACCTCATGGACATCTTCAACGCGCACTTGAGCAAAAAGCTTGAAAATGCCATGTGTAACACCGAATGTATTCGGTGGGTCGATTGCACCCAGCGGTGAACGTGTCCTCGGTGCGCCGCAATCGCTGAAATCGAGCCTTTTCGACCTGACGCCAGCGTAGGCTATCCACACCGAAAGGTGTCGATGATTCGCTCACGAGCGACAAGCGCTTGTCCCGCCTACAGCACGCGCCAACCACAGTTAACGAGCTAAAGTATTTTGGAGGGACACTTTTGCGCATAAAAAATCGGGTAAAACATTTCATGCTCTAGAACTGTCGTGAAGTGGTCCGTATTGATGGATTAGGGCTGTCGTCACGTCAGAAATCGATCACCGAAACGGCACGTGTCCATGTACAGTAGCGTAGCGTTCCGGTCGTGCGGTTTACTTTAGGAGACTCCTTCTACTATCTCTAAAGAGATGGTGGCTGGATACTTGGCAACATTAGATAGGGGAAAAAATGAAAATGACAAAAGACGTGGTCAGGGAAACTTATGAGCCGAAGGCGTGGTTCTGTAAATGTTTGCATGATGGCCACCTTCGGTTCTGAAAGGGTAAGCCTACACCGCCAGTAGATATTTCAGGTGCAATGATTCAGCGCCGGCACATACGTCCCTACTAGAATTTGCGTTGCACTTGTGTCCTGCCTCCAATATTATCATGATGGAACATGAAATCATCATATGTTGGCAAGCTCTGCACGAAAAAGTCTATCCTTACTTTAACAACCCGGAAAACGCTCCCACTAAGTTCCAGGCGACACGCACAAGCTTCCACACGCCGGCATATCAGCATCTACATGCACCTATCTGTAGACGCGCAATAGTATATTAAATATATATATATATACTACAAGGGGGGGTTAACGATTAACCGTGCTGTTGGTTAAATAGATGTATACTATGTTTTGGCATATCAGTACAGTACCCTGAACACGTCTTTAGTCATTTTCTTTTCTCCCTCAGGCTAAGCTGGCGCGTCCCATGCGCCGCGATGTGCCGTCGGTATCTCGGATCCTCAGCTTTGGATGGGGCGGTGCCGATTGCATTGCAAGTTGCAGTGCCTGCGGGGTGGCTCCGGGATAGGACGAGGACCCTGGCGCCAGCGTAGCGCGGCGATTGAGCTTCCCAACCCCCGCTTCCAGCTCCTCATTCTACAACTTGCCCGCTTCGGCCCAAGTCTCCTCTCAACAGCCCGAGCTGTTCTGTTGGCAACCCCTCAAGTACCCCCCTCTTCAAGTTCACCATGCTGTCCTGCAACAAGATGCTCGCCGTCTGCGCTACGGCTGCTTTGATCGTCTCCAGCATCGCGGAGGCGGCCCCCCAGACGACTGGCAACGGCGTGCAGCTTGGCGCTGGCGTCGGCTTGGGCCTCGGCCTTGGAGGCATCGGCGTGGACGCTGGTGCTGGCCTCGGCCTCGGAATCGGCCTTGGCGGCGGTCACCAGAACGCGGAGACCCCCTGCCCTCAGTCGGATGACAACAACCCCTCCCAGTCGGCTGACCAGAACGGCAACCATGCTGTCGGCGCTGGCATCGGAGCTGGTGCTGGACTTGGTGTCGGCAATGGCGGACTAGCCGTAGGAGCTGATGTCGGAGCTAAAATCGGCGGTGGCCACAACGGAGGCGTTGCTGCAGGCGCTGGACTGGGAGCTGGTATCGGTGGACACAACGGCGGTGTCGCGGTCGGCGCTGGACTGGGAGCTGGCATCGGTGGACACAACGGCGGTGTCGCGGTCGGCGCTGGACTGGGAGCTGGCATCGGTGGACACAACGGCGGTGTCGCGGTCGGCGCTGGACTGGGAGCTGGCATCGGTGGACACAACGGCGGTGTCGCGGTCGGCGCTGGACTGGGAGCTGGCATCGGTGGACACAACGGCGGTGTCGCGGTCGGCGCTGGACTGGGAGCTGGCATCGGTGGACACAACGGCGGTGTCGCGGTCGGCGCTGGACTGGGAGCTGGCATCGGTGGACACAACGGCGGTGTCGCGGTCGGCGCTGGACTGGGAGCTGGTATCGGTGGACACAACGGCGGTGTCGCGGTCGGCGCTGGACTGGGAGCTGGTATCGGTGGACACAACGGCGGTGTCGCGGTCGGCGCTGGACTGGGAGCTGGCATCGGTGGACACAACGGCGGTGTCGCGGTCGGCGCTGGACTGGGAGCTGGCATCGGTGGACACAACGGCGGTGTCGCGGTCGGCGCTGGACTGGGAGCTGGTATCGGTGGACACAACGGCGGTGTCGCGGTCGGCGCTGGACTGGGAGCCGGCATCGGTGGACACAACGGCGGTGTCGCGGTCGGCGCTGGACTTGGAGCTGGTGTAGGCATCGGACACGGCAACGGAGGCCTGGGCGTCGGCGCAGGCGTTGGCGTGGGCATCGGCGGACACGGTAACGGAGCTGATCAAAATGCAGAGACCCCGTGCCCGAACTCGCAGACGGCTTCGCAGTCAGGCGAGCAGAATGGCGTTGTTGTGGGCGTAGGCGCCGGTGTGGGTGTTGACGTCGGAGGTGTTGGCGTGGGCGCAGGAGCTGGTGTCGGCGTGGGCATCGGCGGACACGGTAACGGAGCTGATCAAAATGCTGAGACCCCGTGCCCGAACTCGCAGACGGCTTCGCAGTCAGGCGAGCAGAACGGCGTTGTTGTGGGCGTAGGCGCCGGTGTGGGTGTTGACGTCGGAGGTGTTGGCGTGGGCGCAGGAGCTGGTGTCGGCGTGGGCATCGGCGGACACGGTAACGGAGCTGATCAAAATGCTGAGACCCCGTGCCCGAACTCGCAGACGGCCTCGCAGTCAGGCGACCAAGGAGAGACACCTGCCCCCGTTGACAGCAACAATGCGTCGCACAATGGATCACAGCAGCAAGGTGTTGACGAGACCCCGGCCCCGACTCCTTGCACCGGAGACAACTCGCAAACTGGCTCGCAAAACCAGGGTGGTGACGAGACTCCTGCCCCCGCTAGCAGCAACGACGCTTCGCAGAACCAGGACGAGACTCCTGCCCCCGCTAGCAGCAACGACGCTTCGCAAAACCAGGGTGGTGACGAGACTCCTGCCCCCGCTAGCAGCAACGACGCTTCGCAGAACCAGGACGAGACTCCTGCCCCCACTAGCAGCAACGACGCTTCGCAAAACCAGGGTGGCTACGAGACTCCTGCCCCCGCTAGCAGCAACGACGCTTCGCAGAACCAGGACAAGACTCCTGCCCCCGCTAGCAGCAACGACGCTTCGCAAAACCAGGGTGGCTACGAGACTCCTGCCCCCGCTAACAGCAACGACGCTTCGCAGAACCAGGACGAGACTCCTGCCCCCGCTAGCAGCAACGACGCTTCGCAAAACCAGGGTGGTGACGAGCAGCAGCAGCAGCAGAGCCCCGGCAAGACGGGCGTTCAGACGGAGGCCCCCGAGGACCAGACCACTCAGCAGTCGGTCGTTCAGACCACGAATGAAGCGGTTCAGCAGAGTGGCCGCCGTCTCCGCGCTCAGAACTAAGTGACTGAGACAGCATGCATGTCACGGCATGCATAGGGTCCATCAGGACCAACTCAATGTTTTCACGCTTGGCTGATAGAGAGCGTAGCATTTTCAATGAAGTGAAAATAAATTTCTTACTCGCAGTCGTGTGAATTTGTTAACTACTTAAGTACAGCATTGTAACGTGATCAGATGTGATCGTATCTTATTAGTGGTCATGGATTACGTAAGTTGTCTAATATTTTTACTGCAGTACATAAACATACTCGTCGATGTAACTTCAAGATCCCAGGTCTTCTGCTCGCTACTCACGAAGTACGGCCCCGATAGGCGACTAGAATGACGAGGCAGAGGGCATGGTCCACAGTGAGGGAATAAAGCTGATGTGGAAGGTGGTCAATACCATCTACCGTTGCCGGGGAGCGACGACTACAGTGGGGATCAGCAGTCTTCACTTCAGGCGTAGCTGCTGTACATTAACTTGTTTGAGAAGCTTCACAAGATCCATTAAAGTGAAATGGACGACGGTGGATGCTTAGACCTAGTTTGTCTTCTCGTCGAGAAGTTCTCGATCATAAACTGATGCATGCCGTGGACACATAGTGACATTGGTTGTTATCCGCGCCACGACTACCAGGGTACTAGAAGAAGCGCAGGGATGGGTACACTGTTGGGTGCTGAGTTCATTGCACCCTATACTCTCGAGACACGATCCCTGCTGCTTGGAAAAAACCCGACTTCGGAGGCGTCGGACAAGGCGAAACAAAAGGATATTCACAAAGATCATCAAAAGTTAACAGAGGTTAGCCTCTTTGGAGATTTCCAACGGCGACACTCCGCTACATTCTGAATACGCCACGTCCAGCTACGACTACCAAAAGCGACTTGTTGAGGCGCCCCCGATATCGAACGCAGGATGATGGCGGGCTCCTTTTCCGAACGCAAAGTCTCCGTTATCATCGATTATAAATGCCTGTAGTAGGCCGATGTTCCCTGAGTATCGAGGGCAACGATCAGCAGATCCTGCAGCCAGAAGACGCTCCTTCGTCCAGTGATATTTTCTGAAACGGCAATCGAGGTGAGTCCTTGTGAGTGAGGCAGAAGCAGAAAACGAACACAAGAATCTTGTACCTTAGTGTTCAGCAACATCCCAGTCGTCGGTGGCTCCGGTTTTCGGACCGACACGCACAGCCCGCATAGCGGAGTGGTAGGTGGCGGAGGTGTCCATTCACGCAGCGACAGCAGCTTGTCAATCTCATTAAAAATCTCTTCTTCAGATTCTGAAAATTAAGAAGGTAAGAACAGCTTCGCCATTTTTGAACTAGATGACGGCAAGCATACCTGAGCAAGGAGGATCTCTAATAATTTGCAAAGGTTTGCCATCTTTGAGGCGTTGGAGTCCCTGTTAACAACAATACGATTGTTAGGCGCTGAAATATGCACGAGCAGCAATTCGAACGCACCTCAACCCAGTATACTGCTGCCTTATGCGTCACTGCACGCAATATAATCGTTGTGCTATTGATGCCAAGCCGTAGCAGTCGCGTATCCTCTTGATCTTTACAAGCAGTATCAACACGTGAGCACAGTCTACCAGGCGATCGTTGACAGGGAAGAGGGACGAACCTTTGGTGCCTTCATAGTCGAGTGCGATCTCGGACGCGCAGCGAATGTCTGTGGACATGACCAGCACTTGATGTGTGGACTATCAAATTAGCCAGAAGTGCGAGCTATTAGCACATGTTGCCCAAAGGATATATCAACTCAAGTAGTACGGGGAAATACGTACATGAACTCGGTAGAGTACCAGTTGGTGACCCATGGTCTGGAACAGGAACGGTCGCCACGTGCCGTTGAGCTTCCGGTACTCGAGAAATCCCGACAGTCCCTGCGTGTCGTCGTGCACAATTTTGCTGTTCCTCTTGGAAAAGGTGTAGTACGCCGCCAGGTCCACAGACTTGACAGGGGACGTGGGCTTGACTGGGGAGTTGCGTGTGCTTTCGGGCCTCCGCAAAGGCGTCGTCTCCGGTTCTTCGTCTTTTTCTGGGCGGAAGCTGCCACTGGAGCTGCTCGCAAGTGTGAACGTGCTCGAATTGCTGACTGGAGCGACCCCTGCATTCATCGAGCTGGCGCTGTCACTACTGACAGCGCTGCGAGCGCTCGATCGCCACGAGGCGCGGCGGGCCGAGCGCACGGGCGTCGGCATCGACGCGGACGACAGCGACAGCGACCGACGAGAGGTCTGTTGCATTTGGTCAGTCACGCAGTCAACGAGTTGGGGAATGGAGCTCCCGGGGCATGACGCTGGACAATAATAGCCGCCAGTAGCGTCCGGAGACATTCAGCAGCCGGGCGGCGGAACCAATAATCAGTCTGCCCTTACAAGATAGTAACGTTGAGCTGAGCAGCTGAAACCTACGCAGCAGCCCGCCCGGCTATCGGCCTTGGCATAGCGAACACCAACTGCTACCACAACATCAAGCTGTTCCTCCCTTCCGGTAGCTAGTCTAGCTCTCTCCCCTCTTTCAGAGTCTAGACACGAGCTTTTACGAAGACGCCAATGCTACATGTAGCGATGCTGCCGTCTCCCTGCCCGATTGCAGCGCCCATGCACTCGTTTATCATCTTGTCGTTGTCGCGTCAGCCGATCTCTCTCGCATTGTGGAAAACCCACGTCATAAGAAGCCCCAGGTCTTGAGCCTGGCAGCCCAACTTGTACGGGTGTGCGTGGGTGTGGAATGCATGAAGCAAAGTTGAGTCTCTGTTAAGTACGAGTATTGGCGATTTGCGATCTGAAGGAACGGTCGAACCAGTTGAAGGCGACGTGAGGATGGTGCGTGTGTTGCGGGCCGCTGCAGCGCGCTGTTCAAGCCGTAGAGGCCTCTCTGCGGCTGCCGAGTCGATGGCCGCTCGTGCGGTGGGAGCCGAAGCGTTGGGGCGGCTGGGGAAGCGGCAGGACGGACACGTTGGTGCGACGCTGGGGATGGCGGCGATGGCGCTCGCTGTGGCGGCCGCTGCGGACGACGAAGACGCATCGGCCCACGCTGAGGCCAAGCAGCTGGTCGGGGGACTCGGGGCCGTGGTGGCCGGCGCAGAAGGCGAGGAGACGAGCGCGAAACTCAGAGGCGGCCGCCGACTGCTGCTCAAGCAGCGCAGTAAGCACCAGGCCAAGCTGCAGGAGGAGGACCAGATGAAGACGCACCTGGATCAGTACAAGCAGCGTCGAGTGGCCATCAACTCGCTCCGGAAGAGGTTCGACATGTACGCGAGCAAGAGCGTGGAAGCGGGCGACGGCAGGCGCGTCAAGGCCATGACGTTCACCGACTTCTTGCACTCGTTCGTGCTCCCGCAGTTCCATCTGCACTCGCCCGTAAGACGGCAACTTGGTGTTGCTATGAGATGATATGTAGTTGTGTGCAGATGTAGCTAACTCACTGGGTGTGTTATTTCACAGCGGCCGGACGTCACGTACAGTTGCGACTTCGTGGGGGACGCGAACGGACTCATCACGTACGAGGAGTGCTACCTGCTTATCCACCTGCTGCAGAGTAAGCTATTGCTGCTACTGAGCACACACGTGGGGGTTGTTGGTAGATTGTACTAATAGCGGGGTGGTGCACTGTAGTCCCGAAGGAGCACTTTGACGTGGCGTTCTGCATGCTTGACCTGGATGGAGACGGGTCTGTGGACAAGGCTGAGTTCAGCGCGGTGATTGAAAACTTGCTGCGAACTATCACGACTCGTGAGGGTGGGGAAGAAGTGCCAATCTCCGCGGACAGCACACTGCCGCGCCTCACCAAATTCCTCTTTGGCCACTTCAGCAAGACTATCACGGCGAAAGACCTTGGGGAGGCCTTGGATGAACTCCGCAAGCAAATCTTGAGGGCCGAGTTTGATTTATATGCTACCGTGAACCCGCTGACGAAGGAGCAGACCATGTCGGTCCATGACTTTGCTCTCACGCTCGTCTCCTGCTTCGACCCGGACAAGTTGTCCCCGTATCTGGAACGCGTGCAGGAACTGAATGCGAGCGAGGTAATAGTTATTTGATCTGCCTATCGGAACCTTTTTAGGATCTAACACATTGTATGTGATGCCATTGCAGGGAGTGATAACCTGGGAAGAATTCTTCGCCTTTCACTTCAACGTGCAGAGCCACTTGCCGGATATCAAATTGGCGTTTGAGCTTACTGGAGCCGACGAAGTCACCGAAGGTAAGACGTCTGTAAGAGAAACTGCTGAGTTGGGTTGAATTTTACAGTTTGTGTGGCCTGTACTTCATTGCAGCCGACTTCATTCGTGCGGCACATGTCGTGAGCGGTGTGGAGCTATCGTCCCCTGTAGTCCAGCTCGCGTTCCGCATCTTTGATGACGATGGTAAGCACTGTAGAAGTAGCAAACACGTACGGGAAAATAGTTTTGATGGCTAATAATGTTTGGTCGATTTGACTGATATGCTGGGCAGCCAACGGAACTTTGGACCAGTCGGAGCTCTTCAAGGTGCTGGAAATGCGTAACACGGTCCAGCTCCACCAGGTCCGTTGCTATTCACAACTGACTCGCGTACGTTGTGTATACTTACAACTCACACGTGGCATGCTGTAGGAGTCGCTAAGTGGATCACGGATGCAGAAGCTATGGCACTGCCTTAAGGAAGACGACAAACACTAACTTTGTGTTAGTCATGTCGTCGTTCAACGTAGTATTCTGAAATAAGCGCAAACGGGTACTAGCGAATCTGCCTGGTTACGAAATCAAAATATTTGAGTGTTACTCCTAGCTATGCATCAAGCTTCCGTTGGTGTGGGCATCTTCCAGACTTCCCAGTAGACGCAGAAGCGGTGTTAGCATATCCGCTGTGTAGTCGAAGCTCACCACACAGTTCTTCGCGTTATCCCATTTGAATTTCGTCGTGCCGAGCAATTGAGTATCCAGACGTGACCAGGATCTCGCTGCGTGATGGCCGTGCACGTTCCAATGAGTTTCCATGGCCGCGTTCAATTCGCTCAAGTCGAATGTCAAAGTCTTGGTGGTAAAAGCGCTCACAACCTCCAAACCTTCATATGAGCCTGCACACCACAGGCGTTACCAGATAACATGTCTACAGCAGAGCCATACTCGCCTGCATGCTGCATCCCCAAGCCTCTGCGCTCCGGAAGTAGGCAGGCTGCAGACAGCACCTACCAGAAGCAATGGAATACTACATAATTATCGTGTGCATTATTCAGAAAATCCGAGCAAGAAGGACTCTGTTCCCCACATAAATATCGGCGCTGGGCGACGATGAGGAGCCTCCCATGCGCTACCTGGTGGCATTCTCCTCCTCAACCTCTTCCTCTACGTCTGATAGACTCACTTTGGTCAGCGACCGGTTCACCTGCACCACGGTCACCTTCTTGCCGCCGCTCACGACCACCGCCTCCTCTTGTGCGTCTTCCTATTGTGCTGCTCCCGCCGCTACGTCCTCCTCCGTGTCGCGTCTGGCTGTACCTGTATCCTGCTCGAGGATGGCACTGGGGGACCCAGTGGGGATATCCTCGAATGTATCCTCCTTCTCTGCCTTGGGGGACTCGTCGGCCTCGGTCTCTGCCTCTGTGCGTCGCTCCTCGGCCGTTGCGTCCTCGATCGTGAGCTTTCCCTTATCGTCACGCGAGATGGTCGTGATCTTGTTGCCCTTGGACGTGGCTGACCGCTTGATGGTGATCTCGTCGCCGTCCTCCGTCTTGATGGTCGTCGTGTGCACCTCCGTCTCGGGCGGCGCCTTGGTCGCGTTCCCGTCCGACGCGTTGGTGGCCGCGACCATCTCCGCGCGCCGTACCACGCCCTCGGCCACCGTGAAGCCATCGCGGAAGGTGCGCGCGGGCAGCACGGCGCTCTCGTGGCGCAGCATGAGGCCCGACAGCACCAGCAGCCCAGCGGCCAGCACGAGCAGGAAGAAGACGCGCTCTCGGGACAAGTCGCGCCGCATGCGGGTTCTTCTTCTCTCTTGCAAAGTCTTATGATGAATGAGGCCGGAGCGACCCCTCGTCTCTCTCCCCGATCGATCGCAGGGGCGGAAAACACTTGGAGTTTGTATTCCGAGGACTCGCGCCCAGTCAAGTCCCAAGACTTCTGTCTGTCTGCAACGTCAATGCAATGCTGGGCTGAAGGAGATGTCCAAAGCCGTCCATAGCAGACTGCCATTAGCGCAGCCAGGAGCTTGGTGCCGGCTCTCGCTGTTCGTGGCGCCGAGTCCAGGGCTGCTTTTGCACGCGTTGACCAGCTTTCACAACAACTGCTCTTCGGTCTTCAACCGCGCTGGTGTCGGCCAGTTTCAGAGGTCAGCTCGCCCGGAAAACTGCCGAGGATCCCTTCAGCGCGCGGGCCCAACCGTGTTCTTGCCGCCAAGGCCTCTTCCGTCGATCAAGGTAAAGTTGATCTCAGTGGATCCATCGGCTCAACCGATTCGCAAAAAAATGTACTGGTTGGGTTGGCAAACGCGCGGATAGATACATTTAGTCTTCACATGATGAAAAAAGCCTCTGCACTTGACAAGATCGACCGACTGCTTTTACATGTAGTTAGCCAAAGCTACTGCATCGAAGCTATCGTTTCCCGCTTTCCTGCCTACAGTAAGACCTTACACTCGCAGCCGCCGCCGCTGTGATGACTCCACCGCTGGAGTCAACACGGCAAAGCAACCGTGGACGACCCACCACATGTTCGTAGTTGTCGTCAACACATTTGCATCTCCATGGCAACAAGGCGACGCTAAAGTATCAGCTACAAAACTTTAATTTGCTCTCCCACCCGCCTCGATCCAGGATACATATGCATGGATATCCTATCGGTGCTGCCGGGCATGACGATGGTGCTTGGCTACATATACTAAGTATCGTCGGAGCCGCCCGCAGCTGCAGGCAAAGTGATGAATGATAAATCCAAAGGTGTGGTTACGGCAAACTATCCAATTGCTCGGTATGCTGTTTGATGGGTCTAGACGCAAAAAGGCCATGAACCCGTCCAGATACACTGGTCTGGCCCATACAAACCTCAAGTGATCGGCGCCAACGTACGTGTCGTAGGCGTCGTCAGCAGCGGCGGGTAATCTCCGAGCGCCCCGCCCAGCGTAAGCCGCGCACTGCCGAATCCGTCGCCAAGACAAGTCAACGAAGGAGAAGGCCACCTGACCTGACCCCCGCAGCGCAGCGCATGGAGGAGACGTGCGTGCCCCCGAGCGACCCGCTGGGCGGCAATGCGCACGCGTTCCTCGACCTCTTCATGGTGGTGACCGTGGGGCTCGCGCTCTGCGTCGTGCTCTTCCGCGTGCTGTTCACCGTGTTCCCCATGCCCGCGCAGGGCTCCAGCGGCGGCAGCAGCGCCGGCGCGGCCAGCCCCGAGGCCCCGCGCAGCCTCAAGGCCACAGAGAAACACCCCGTGAAGCGCGCGGCCAGTGTGCGCGACCGCCTGGAGCGCGAGACCCGCGCGCGCCTGCCGCGCCGCTCCACGTACTACTCGATGCCCTTCTTCGCCGACACTGTGGCCAACAAGCAGGAGTTCGTGGAGGCCATTGTGGAGCTGGGAGACGCGCCGCTGGACGGCTGGCTACTGGTCAAGAAGGGCCTGCAGCGCGGCAAGCACTGGAAGAAGCGCTTCGTGGTGCTGGACGCGCACGCGAGGATCAAGTACTACCCGAACGCAGACGCGGCGAGACGCAACACGAACGTCAAGGGGTCGCTGGCGGTGCACGCCGTGAAACCCGCCGACCCCTTCGAGTTCGGGGCCAATACGCTCGAGATCCGAGGCACGCTGGGCGGCACCTACTTTTTCAGAGCGGAGGACGACATGGCTGCGCGCTCGTGGCTCTGCGTGCTGACGATGCGCGCCATCCAGGGCCACGTGCCAGGCCGGATCGACAGCGTGCTCAGTGCTGCCGTAGCGCCTGTTCCGTCGCAGGCGGCGCTGGCATCCAACGGCGGTGCTCCTCCGCCCTCGTCTTCGACGCTGAAGCTGCACGACTCGAGTGAAAATGGGTTCAACGCGTTGAGCGCCACGGCCAGTGCTCTCAATCTGCTGGGCAGCTCCGGAGAAGATGCCGAAGTCCCCCCGGTGCGACTGAAATCTCACGCGCTGGAGCTGCTGGTGCAGGACATGAGTTACGACAAGGACGCGTCGCTGCGGCAGTTCTACGTGGTGGCCAAGTTCAAGTCCGAGCTGCACGACTACTCGAGCGTGCCCGTGGGGCAGACGTCCCCCAAGCCCCGAGGCGAGAAGGGCGAGAAAGGAGCTGTGGTGAAATGGAACGAGAAGCTGACGTGGCATTTCCAGGACCACTTGTGCTCGGAGTGCCAGGAGTGTCGCGCGCTTGGTGCGACGTCCGGCGCCTTTTGCGGCCTGCCCGACATTATGGTGCTGCACGTGTACGAGATCCATTTGCGCTATCTTACCACGAAAATTGGCGAGGTGTCCCTCTCTCTGCGCGAGCTGCTGGGCTTCACGGGTATGCGCACAGCACAGTTTACTTGTGCGTGGCCGGTGACGTCTACTCGTGATGCCATCCTGGGACAATTGATGCTCTCGCTGAAATACTCGGTGGACAATGCTGGCGGTGCAGAGCTGATGCAGTTCCTCGTTACCTCTGCCGATGAGCGCGAGCTTGTTGGCGAATACCCACTCCACGCTTCGTTAACGACACCCTACGACTTTTTCAAGAACTTCTTGGCGAATGACACTTCAGACCGCTTGAGTGAATACTACAAGGAGCGTGGCGACTCGGAGATTGAGGTCGGGGAATGGAGTCCGTCGAAGGAGTTTGGTGGTCAAGTGCGAACGATGAGCTGCCGCTCACCCACCAATGCTTCAATCGGGCCATCGCACACTATGACAACCACGACAGACCATGTGCCTTTCGACGAAGGCGGTATTGATGGCAGCGAAAAGCTTGTGATGCAGTCGAAGGTGGTTATGCACGACATTCCCTATGGAGACTGCTTCTCAGTTGAAAAGGTGACTGTTGTGGAGCGCGTCCCCTCCAGCGATGGCAGTCCTGGCCAGCTAGTGGCGAAGATTTACCTGGGTGTACCGTTTTCCAAGGGCTGTATGTTCAAATCGAAGATCATCTCGGCAACGCGTGAAGCTATGGTTAGCTCCTCACGTTTGTATTTCCACGTGGTGAACCGGTCGTTGGAAAATCCAAGTGCATCCGCGTCTGCAGCGCCTGCGAAACCATTTTTGATGTCTTCCGAAGAGGAGCGACAGGTTGTTGGCGAGTACGACCTGCACCCTGCTATCAAGGATGGACTTCACTTCTTCGACCTATTCTACGCAGACAACACTATGTCGCGGTGGCAAAATATCCATAAAGAGGCGGGGGACACGGAGCACGTTGTGGGGAAGTGGGAGGATTCGGCGGAGTATGGCGGGCAGGTGCGGGAGATGAAATACCGCGCTAAAAGCAACTCGCCTCTTGGGCCGTCTTCGACGATGGCAGAGCAGCTTGTGCACGTACCCTTCTCGTCGCAGGACCGCGACAGTTTGGATACTGATCGGGTCGTCATCGAGCACAAACTGACGCTGCTTGAAATTCCCTATGGAGACTGTTTCCATGTTGAAACAGTGTATGTGATCGAGCCCCGCACCGATGCCATTGGATCGCCCCTTGCCGCCAAAGTGTACATTGGGATCCCGTTTTCAAAGAGCACGATGTTCAAGTCAAAGATCATGTCTGCGACCAAAGAGGGTGTTGTGAAGAGTACGAAGATGGTTTTTGAGGGACTCAAGAAGGCGTTGGATGCAGAGGAGACTTCCAGTGCATCCGATGCCGCTCGTCCTTCTGGAGGTGCTGAGCAAGGCGGCGGAGCTGCTGCCCGCCCGCGAAGGAGTTCATCCCCGGGGGTTGTGTCTCGTCGCCGGCCGAGCGTCACTCGTTACAACAGCACCCTGGATGGAAGTGTGGCACTAGAGGAGATTTTCGAAAACCAGCGTGTGAGCATGTTTGGAAAGTGGGCGCCAAACCACCTGCTGCCGACAGACCGACCGCGCTTCTCGAATCGAGAGGGTGACAAGGCGATGAGCTTCGAGCAGGTTTCCCTGCCTCCTCACTGGAGCTGGACGACACCTTGGCGAATTGACAAGAACTACACGGATTGCGATGACGAAGGGTGGAGTTATGCTACCGACTTCCCTCGGTTCAAGTTTCACTTGGCTCGCGGCAAGTCCAGCATGAAGCGCCTGGGTGCTTCAGTGCGTCGCCGTCGTTGGATCCGCATGATGGCTTACGTGCCACCAGAGACGACGGACACACCAAGCCCGCCACCACCTGCTGGCAACAACAACCGCCGCAACCGGAACCGTGGTAGCCAGGGTAGCAGCAGCAGCTCCATGGGCTCGTAGACACCGGATAAATTTAAATGCTAGTACAAAATGAGCTCATCTGCGGACCGCTCCTAAGTGTTTTCGGCATCATCAACATTGGTGACGAAGCTGTCGTGTGCGAGCCACTGGTGGCTAGTCTTCCGTTGCTTTATTTCGACACCCCGCTGATGGCACCACCGGCTCGTGTTTGTGCTTCATTGAAAGCTGCGCTGCACGAGCTAACCAGAGAGCTTCAAGAAGCGGACACGCAAGCCGTGGCAAGCGATGTTTCACGATTCGCGTTCCCTTACAAAGATACAGCGTTGATCGATGGCGAAGAAGTGAAGTTGTTGTATAAGGCTGCGCTGGTTCGCAACGTGTTCAGTGCGCAACTCGCTCCATCGCAGACCAAAGTCATCGTCAAGTTCGCCAAACAATACGGTCGTGATGTGCACCTGTATTGCGCGGACAAGGGCTTCGCTCCAAAATTGCTGTATCACGAAATTCTTGTTAACGGTTGGGTGTTTGTTGTGATGGAGAGTTTGGTGCTGGCCCCACTCGTGCGAGCTCCTCTAACACCCGTGCTTTCACAACTGAGATCGATCAAGAAGAAGCTTGCTGCTGCTGACTATGTTCACGGAGATCTTCGCAACTGCAACGTCATGTGAGATGCGGTAAACGGTCGAGTCGTTCTTATTGACTTTGACTGGTCAGGAAAGAACGCCAAGACTATCTACCCGCCGTTTATGAATTCAGAGCTCTCCTAGCCACCCGGCGCCGAAACGGGCAAACCGCTTCCCATCGAACACAACTACTGGATTGATTTGCTGCTGGCCAAACTCAACGGCATTATGAGTAACCTGCAAGTCGGTAGGAGCAATCACAACCTGTAAGGGCTACCGCGAACTTGGCTGCAGTGCTCGCAAGTATTTGTTGTCGTTGATTTTTGCACCTTTTGCGTGTCTTGTGGCTGCTGCGAGCTCGACATCATTTTACTTAAAAAGAGATCGGGACTGTGAATCAAATGAAGATGTTTTCTCCTGTTTTTGTAAGTGCTGTGGTTTGTCATAGACGACAGCACGCCTACTCGCAATTCGACTCACTCGTCGAGATGGAGTTCAATGGTAAAGTGAGCTTCAAATGCGCCTATGCAGCCACGACTGACCACGTGTATTGCTGGCGATAATAAACTTGTGATGCAGTCCTCAACATTCTCTATGTCGTCAGCTTTTTAGTTGAAAAGGTGACTGTGTCGAGGAAAGCATTCCCTATCGTTTTGGAAGGGTTCTACCAAAGCATTCATGTCAGCAACGCGCGAGGCTATGATTAGCTCTTGCCGGTTGATTTTCTTAAATGTGCAGCCGCATCCAATTGGCTCGTAGACCCCGGATAATTTTAAATGCTATGGTAGTACAAATTGGGCGCACGGTCTTATCTGTGCGCTCTGGTGTGCGGCTTCGAGGACGAGTGGCTGGAGATGGAGTCTTGCCCCAGCCTTCCCCACTTCGAAACAAGCTCTCGAGCACTCAAGCCCCCTCAGAGAAAGTCGCCTTTCAAGCAACGACCAAGCCTCAGACATGAACTTCTCCCAGCGCGTCCTGCTTCTTATGGTGCTCGTAATGGTGACTTCATCGATGTGGAGTGCGGAGGCCGGCGGTCCCCAGCCACTCTCTGCGCGGTACGACGACTTCCGGTTGCGCATGCTTCAACAACGGCTCGCCAAGCAGGCGGCCTACGAAAAGAGGGAGAAGGACTTTTTCAGCGGTGATCGTCGAAAGCGGCACTAGACGCCGAATCGGAGAAGACCAAAGATGCTCCCGCAGTGTGCCAAGCAAACGAGGAGATTTGTTAACAACCTTAAACTAAAAATATACTAATCTCCTAGCGTTGGTCATTCCACCTTGGTCACAATTTGACACCTCGTGTTCTTTGAGCGGTATGTACAGATTTAATCGACAAACAAGGCAGATTTGCGTCTTGTCGTAGATTCGTGTTCACTGGTGTCATGATTGGTTGCACTTCCTGGCAGGTACGTTGCTGCCATCTACCACCGGTAGATCCAATTCAGTATTATATTGAATCGCTTGTTAGTAGTAGGATCTAGGGAAAATTCCGGAATGTGATACAAAATGAAAAAAATGTGCAAAAGTTAAAAGTTGTAGTGGTACAAGGATTTGTGCCAAGTGCATTTGGCCGTCGATAGCAGGCAGCCCGCGAATGCCATGCACGTTGCTGATGCATCAATTGTATCAGTGTAGCACTAGGTAAATGTGGCGAAGGCTGTGCCGGTGTAGGCAACGCCCTCTGGTGATAGTTGTACTGCCCGAGTATGGTGGCCTTCTGCATCGCTTGAGCGACACTGCCCGCGCTGCATGAAGCAACCGCCGACGGCATGGATGCCTTACAGTAAGGTTCTTACTCCTTATGTCGCCGCTGGAGGTAACAATACCGCGGCCCAATGCCCTAATGCTGCTGAACCTGAGAAGTTTGCTCTCGCCACAAATCCTTGTATTACCTTTTGCCTAAATTTGCATTTTGTATCACATTGCGGAATTTCCCCTAGGATCTATTTTGTTTTTACTATCCAACCATAATTAATAGGGGAAATCCGGTTTGGGGTCCGCTATCTAACTGATTTGTTACGTTGAGCGTTTTATTGAGCATTGAAGGTGTTCTGCGCCTTATTCTAAAGGCCGATTAGACACACACACTTGCGCTTACATGTCAACCAAAGCTTTGACTCGAAATTGGGAGTTAAGTTGAACCCAGCGACTGATTTTTTAAGACGAATGGGCTCTCCCGTATAAAACCCCCTTAATTCTAAGCTTCAGAATTTAGAAATCTGAGCCAAGCAGGAATACAACTAGTACGACCGAGGTGATCGCAGGGGTCGTTATCACCCCACAAAACGGGTCGATCCCGAAAGGCCGTCTGTGGGGGCTCCCCCACATTTTCGCGCCAAATAAGCCGCGAAGGCACACAAGTCATTCCGGAATTAACCTTCTCCAGCTCAAGTCGCCCAAGCCCAAACTCCCTTCACCTTCAAGATGCCGAGCCGCCCCACTCGCCGCCCGAAGCTCACCACCATGAACACCGCGATCGCGAGCGACGCCAGCACGGACGCGTCGTGCATCATGCTTCCGAGTCCGTCGTCCGTGGCGTTGCTGCAGACGACGTACATGTCGGTGCTGGACAAGACAGCGGACAGCGAGGCCAAGGTCCGCTGGTGCATGGCGGTGGGGTTATTGCCAACCTCACAGCTGTGTACAAAGTGCCACCAAGACTTGCGTCTTGACATCGGGCGCAAGCGGTGGCGCTGTGGTCGCACCAAGTGTCGCACCGAGCGCAGTCTGATCAAAGACACGTTCTTCAGCAAGTGCAAGCTGCCACTGCGCAAGGGTGTACGCTTGCTGCGCTTTTCGTGCTCGAGGACGCCCGTCGGGTGATATTTATCACCTGTTACTTGAGCACTCTTCGGCTGTTGTGTCTCTCCAGCCCCTGTCCACCTGTCGTTAGCCCTTGCTCGGTTGTCGTCTGTTAATAACCTTTTTCAAAGAATATATTATGATATTGCGAGGGGTACATGCGCGACTCGAAGTTTACCTCCGTGAGGGCACCGGGCCGACCAGTACGCGTCGTACGTCTCGCTGAAACAGAAGCAAATGCTTGCCAACTACCAGCCGCTGCGTGAGATGCACTACACCTTTGTGCGGCCTACTTCGTACCAACGTGCAATCAAATCCGAAAGTCGTAAAATTCACAAATTTTTAGTTAGCACGAAGAAGAAGGCGAATTGCGAAGTGAGCTCCCCTCGGTCGGCGTCGGCTATAGTGCGCGCCAAACCGCGCGCCCTTGGTTTTGGCGCGAGCACAGCACGCCAGCTTACGTAGCCATGGAGATCTTGGACCTCTGGTCCAACTTTGATTGCTGTAATTCCATCTTTGAATGCGTAATTGAAGTCAGATGTCCCTCCAAGGCAGCGTTACTCGCCACACCGTCCTCGAGAAGCAGCGTCTTAATATCCCGCATTAAGCGAGACTTGGCTCTGGATCACCACGCAATCTACGATCGCTCGCGTGAGCCAGACAGTAACGGTGAGATCCTCTCCATTTCGGAACGCCAGATGCACATCCTGGAGCGCGCCGCGACCGCTAACATGAACGTGATGACCCCAGCGCTGATGGCCAGTATGGAGCTGCATTGTCGCGACTTCGTCACCAAGGCGGCGATCAACGAGGACATGGTGTACGGCATGTAACAGGGCTCGTCGGACCAGTAGTTGTAGCCTACTGTGCGAATTTGATTGCCGTAATTCCATCTTTGAATGCGTAATTGAAGTTGCTAACTAGAAATTTGCAAATCGAATTTTGCGACTTACGGATTTGATTGCACGTTGGTACGAAGTAGGCCGCACAATGGTGTACAAACACGAGTGGGTCAACCACTCGAAAAACTACGTCGACCCGGACACCGGCGCCCACACGAACCGAATTGAGGGCACGTGGGAGATCCGGATCAAGCAGCACATCAAGCGCATGCGCGGCATGCCGGTGGACATGATTCCGGAGTTACCTCGATGAGTACCTGTGGCGCTCGTGGTTCCTGCCGGAGAAGTCGACGCCGACCGACTCGCTGCGAGGTCTCATCAAGACCATCAGGAAGTACGCGTGAGAGAAGTTCGCTTGAAGTGATTGCCTTGAAATGACAGACGCTTCGAAATACTCGTGATGCATTTGTACCGCTCCATTTCAATCCTAGATTTGTTCATTCTAATTTTCAAATCAAAGGGTTTAATTGATAGAATCTGAAGCTTACAAATAAGGGGGTTTTATACGGGAGAGCCAGACGAATGAAAGACGCTCCGTGCACCGCTAAATTTCGCGCTCTACTGACCCAGAAGCGTGTCAGTAGCTACGCCTAGAATTAAGCAGCACCCATAGTCTCCCACTCCTTAGCGTCCTCAAAAATATCTTTTATTACAGCTAAATAGAACGCTCAATTTAACACATCAGTTAGATAACGGACCCCAAACCAAATAAGTGTTAAATTAACCCCAAAACGGATTTCCGTAATCAATATTTTAATTGCTGTACCTCACGTTAACAGATAAAATGCGAAATACGATTTCCGAGGATTTGATTTCATTTCATAGCAATCTCTTAACACAAACAAAGCATATTCAAATCGCTGGTTAACATGCCATCCTCAGCTCAGTGAGAGCAAAAACAGGTGTTCCGTGGGTGGTTTTGAAAGAAAAAGCCACAACGGCAATGAATGAGAAAACGAAAGACCTCTCTTCATCTTAGTTTCTAGTAAAACCTCCGAGACTGCAGTCCATTATCTGCGTTACTGTACTCGGTAGCTAACTTAGCGGCAAGCGCTTTCTTGGTCGGGTCACAGCGCTTTACAAGGCAACAACCGGTAAACAGAGGTACCTGGAACGGCCATTCTATGTGCCGGTCCGGAACTGCGGGGATATCCACTTGACCACTACTGTAGTACGAAGGTGGCGTCGCTTAGGACGGCAACAATGTAGTCGCAACACAACTACTTCACCAACCATGGCTGCAGTGTGCTATCTGTCGAAGTGAGAGTGCGAGCCACGCACCACAACGAAGGAGGGCCCCTGGGCAATCGCATCAGACCAGACGCAACGATAGCATGAAAAAGGTATAGG